GCAGAGTGTACACATCGCATAAATTGTTATAAAACAAATTATTTTAATATATATTTAAATAATTTAATGACATGATTAGTTGTGCTTTGCCCGATGTCTGGCGCGGTCGTCAAGATTCTATCATTTATCGTGTAGTTATAATAAATAGACATTTCGATATTATCTTGAAAGAGTAGTATGAAAATGGTGTGAATGCGTTGAGAATCCTGCGGGATAGTATTGAACCGAAATTTAGGCGTACACAAGTGCCTCGTCACGCGTTAGCTAGCTTATATAAGGCAGCAGCCCCAAAATGACAAGTAGGGTTATAATCAGTTCATATAATGTTTCCCGTTTTCCTAATGGAGTCCAACAAAATTGTCGGCGACGAAAACGTCGTTAGTATCGGTCAAAGGGTACTGGTAAGCGGTAGAATTTGCACTGTGAGGTGGAAAGGTGAGGTTGCGAAGGCTGATTACGTGAAGCGTAAGCCGTTATTGACATACGTAGGATTTATTGTTGGCGAAGAGTTTCCTGATGAAAGTTCTGAGGTCCCTGATACTACAGAAGACTTCCTTAAGCTGATTGGTGTTGAATGGGACAATTGGCGTTGTGGTGAGCATAATGGTACTGTAAATGGTGTTTTTTACTTCCGGGCTGAGAAAACTCAACTTTATGAGAATGCATTGAAAAAAATTAGTGAGGTATATGGCGAGCACCCGGAACCGTGGATAAGATGCAATATTAGTGTATCTCCCTCTGATATTATGTTTGAAAACTTTGGCCATCTTACATGTTCGTTTGTTTTTGCGAAAGAGATATCTTTCGGTGTCTCTTTGGCATATGCGGTTTATGAGCGTTACATTTCCGATGAGATAGACGGCCTTGATCTGGCGTCATTGGAATGCAGCCCACATGGAAGGGGTATAATTGGTCATGAATTTGTCGGTCGTTCACGTGCACGTGATTTTTTTTGTGATACATGTAATTTGTTAACTTTGGGCTTACAAAACGCAAATATTGATCGTCTAGGTGACTGCAGCGCATACAAATTTCCAAGGGTACGAGAGGTATATTTGTCTCAAAATTTACTATGGAATTGGGATGTAATTAGGGAATTGATTCGTTTGATACCTCGAATGGAAACGCTTGATCTTACTGCTAACCTTATGTCAGGTGGTGGTGAGAAACCTCTTGAATGTTCCACATTGACTACAATTGTTTTAACTCGTTCTTCCATGTCGTTTGATGATATTGCTAGGGTACTGGGTAATCTTAAGAATCTGAAGTCGCTTGTGCTCTGTAACAATGCCTACACTGACATTCCTAGTACTTTTAAGTTGGATGGATTGGAAAGTTTGGACTTGAGTGAGAATTTGCTTTGGAATTGGTATTCTATATTACGTTTGATAAAATCGTTGGCTTCATTGAAGAAACTTATCTTGACTGACAACAAGCTATCTAATTTATGTGTTGATCCTGCAAGTGGTATGGAGATGTCGTTATACAGGGCAGCACTTGAGATAGCTGGTGGTGGTGACCAACGTTTGGAGGCATTTTCTGGTATCGAGGAGCTTTATATAGATGAGAATTACATATATGACTGGGTTACAATATCTAACATGGCTGTTGTATTTCCGGGATTACGTGTATTGCGCACCAAGATGTGCATGTTAGGTAAGGAGTTAACGCCGGGTGTCGCGAGTGTCCACCGTCAAGTATACATATCTATTTTCCCGAAGCTAGAAGTACTTAACGGTATTGAGGTGTCTAAATATGATCGCATCGATGCTGAGAGGTATTACTTGAGTCTTGAGTATAACGACTCTTTTCCGTTTAAGGATGTTAACAGTCATGAGGGTTTAGAGCAATCTCACAGTTCTCGGCTTGAAGTAATCCACGGTAAAAGGGACCCTCCCCCTCCGGCGAGTACCTTTATCCACCCTATTAACCGCGCTGTGCGTCTTGTGCTTATCCCTGATGCTGATTCTGATAGTTATTTGAAGCCTTCTGTGACCCGCCGCTTGCCTATGGATACTACTGTAAGGGAGCTGAAGTGTATTTGCAGTGAGATATACGGTTTAGACGCATCAGACATAGTTTTGGTCTACAATGACGGGGTAAGTTGTATGTTATATTTGTAGACATGTGTGTGTAGAAGCAGATGCCAGTGAGCGAGCGCATGGACAAAGACTACGCTGAGCTTTATTACTACGGTATAGAAGACGGTTACAACATCAAAATTCAATCTAAGAAGGTGGCTGCCCTTGAGGACGCTATGATTGCTGCTCTGGGGACGCGTCATCGGTTGTAGCGTTGAGTAGTTCTCATCGCATAGAAATGAAACCATAAGTCACCATAATGTCTGAAGTATACTGTCTTGAACCACCGTGTCGCGGCAGGGTTATATTACACACTAGTTTGGGCGAGTTAGATATTCGTTTATGGAGTTCTCAGTGCCCTCGCGCTGTGCGCAACTTCGTCCAGCTTTGCCTAGAAGGGTACTATAACAACTGCATATTTCATCGTATTATACCACAGTTCATGGTGCAAACTGGTGACCCTACCGGTACAGGTCATGGTAATTTTGGATGTGTAATTTTTAATGGTCTACTCCAGGTGGTGAATCTATCTATGGCGAATGTTTCGAGAATGAGATCATGTCACGGTTAAAGTTTAGGTATAGGGGTAGGAATCCATTTTGTTTTTTTGTGAATTGTCACAGGGCTTGTCGGTATGGCGAACACCGGTGGGAAGCGTTCTAATGGTAGTCAATTTTTTATAACTTTAGGTAAGTTGGATATAGGTACAATTGTGTTGATACATGTATTTGGCACATGCTGTGCTATAGCAGTTGTAATGTGATAAATTATATGTAGAGCGTGCCGATTGCCTTAATGGCAAGTACACTTTATTCGGGAAGGTGGATGGCGCCACTATCTACAACCTTATGAAGATAGGCCAATGTGAAGTTAACCCAGCAACTGATCGACCTAAGGATCCGCCAAGGATAACACATGTGGAGGTATTCATTGATGATAGGATGGCACATTGCATGTCAGGTGGTAGTTAACCCGTTCCCCGATATCCAGCCACGTTTAATCGCTATAAATGAGCCGTTGGACGATGATGAGAGTAGCAAGGATCCAATTAAGGAGAACTATACTGTCAGGTACCTTATATTATATTGCGGTTTCCATAAATTCCGCAGAAAGACGTGCCTACTCTCATTTGGCGGCGATAGTGATGAGGACGCATCGGCGCCAATAGTTTTGAACACCCGTGGCAAAAGTGCCCACGATCTGTTGGAGGACCCTAAATTGTCCAAGAAAGCTGTAGAACTTTGTACAACGGTATCAGCGGAGTCGGACCCTGAGGAGGTGCCCGCTGATACTCTAGCTCCAGAAGGTCACCCTGTTTCCAACTCTGACGATGAGAGTAGTGAAGACGAATCTGATGAGCGTAAGCGTGAGATTGAGAGTCTTCAAAGCAGGTTGAGGGAGGGAAAACGTAATTTGGTGAATCCCATCGAGGGACATGACGGTTCCAGTTACATGACCCGTAAACAGCAGAAATTGTTAGGGCATAAAGAGAATGTAATGGACCGTTTTGCTGCATTTACAAAGCGATTAAATCAGATTTCCCGTAACACGACGTTATCAACAAAAGAGTCACAGGATACTGATGAAGGTAATGTGACATGTGCTAAATGCATTATGTTCAGATCTTGCTGACGGTTCATGGTTTGCTGGTCGGAAGTTACAGTTTTCTGTTGATTCTGTTAAGGTGGTTATATATTTACTGTTTTTGATAAAGTTCAGGCCTATGAAGTTGATGCGGGGAAGGAGAGCGTATGTGTTATGTTTTTTTTGTCAATAAATGTTACAGCTGACTGTATTTGACCCCCTGCAAGGTAAAGACAATAGATTAGAGTTTTTAACTGGGTTACGCAAAGAGGTATGTCCGTTGTGTGTGTCCGTCTGATAACATTGTTAGCGAATGAGAGGCCACACTACGGGCAGTAACCGCGACTCACATGAGTGGTGACGTGGACATATAGCCAATTAATAATGCAGATATTGATAAAAACAATTAACGGGCAAAGAGTGCCATTTGACTTTGATCCTGGCGACACTGTCGCGCAGGTGAAACGTGCGATCCATGACAGCGAACGTAAGCTTGCCAATATTTTACAAATGATATAATGTACATAGCTTCCATCGATTTGCGTCAGATGCGACTTATATACTCCGGTAGGTCCCCAAATGGTTCATTGCATCTTAACGTAGGCAGACACCTGTCTGATGAGCTTACTCTTCGGGATTACAAGGTCGCACCAGGATCTACTATCCATATGGTACTCCAGCTTAGAGGTGGTTAAGATTTTCCAACCTTGAAGAATCCGCCGGTATTGTCTAAGATATTATTACGGCGTTTCGCCGCTGGCTTATCCACAGCAGGGTTGCATAGCTCGATACCTGAGGATCATATGTGGCAGTGCCACCGTGACATACCTTGAAGCGGCGTGAATACTAAGGACGATGACATTCCGTTGGTAGCGCCGCTGCTTTGCATGGCAATTTGTCGTTTCTTGGCTGTAACGATTGATATTCATATGAACTATTGACTTACGCAATTGCACCTTATTTTGTTTATGTTGTAACCGCAGCTTCCCATAACCCGTGTGCTTGCCTAACATGCCAAAACCATCACCTGGAAGAGATTTGTGGATTAATATGGCTATCGCCTACCTGTTTCAAGACCGTATTCTTCCTCTGCCTCTTCGCCGAACTTTAACCTATTGGCATATTTGCGGAACTCGCTAACGGCAAGCCTTTCTTTAGCTTTACGTGATCTGCGTCCTCCACGTTTTGTGGATTTTCGTTCGTCAGGTATGGGTAACGACTTTTTGGTTGGCGCTGGTGGCGGTTCTTGTGCCTATGTATCATCATGATTACATTCTGTACTGTTTTCATACCTTTTGTAAAGCTTGTAATATCATATTGCGATAATTGGCACCCATGGAGCCGTCTCTGGATTCTTTGAACATATCGATTTTGGCTGCTAACGACAGTTTCCCCGATACAAGTTTAATAGCTCGGTGTCTTACCGAGGGTACGGCATTTTGTATAATATCACAGGAATGTATCACACCAGGTACTGTTGAACCTTTCCTCATACTACCGACTAGCATGATATTTTGTGACGGCATTTTCGCCAGGGTACTGAGACCCCCGGCCTGCGTGATTAGCCGTGCGGCCAGGGCACTGCCTATTATGGCACTGACGTTTGGCGCTAGTAGTGCCATTCGACTCTCCAGGTACACTAGTATCTGAGAACAATGTGGTTGCCAAGCTGTTTCCTTACATCGCTACGGAAATCGGCGAGGAGCATCCCTTCATTGCACGCTGTGAGTACCTGTATCTGGATGAAAAGTTCGATACAGATACCACATGTAGTTTTGATTTAATGTTTTGGTATAATGGTTCAATTGTATGTATATAGAGAGAGCATTGTGTGTTTAGCTACATGGCACCTAATACGGACTTTTCGACTCACCTCCTTAAGAACATGGCTTGATAGATATGAACCTGAGGACGTGGTTGCTGCAACGGTGATTGCCATAACCATGGTATTAGGTAGTATGTCATTGAGTACCACTTTAGTGAAATCCTGAATATTATGAACACCTTTATGTATTTGCTTACCATTTCATTTTGTGCCCTTTTGACAACTGCTATATAATCCAAAGGCGAATAAACGATCGATTCCAGTTTGGGGAATCGCTTTGAGTATATGTCCCGGACATAATTGTATATGTTAATGATCTCATTGTCGATCTCTAGTACAGCTTGATTACATTCCTCGATTAATGACAATTCGCTAGGTTTGCAATCTGGTTCCAATGCCAATGCCCTGACCCTCTGTAACCCTTTGAATTAATATCATATAAGTACTAACCTCTACTAATCCGTTGAGTACTGGATCCTTAACCTTTGTTGAAAATGTAGTTGCGGATGCCTCCGCTGACCTGAAATACTCTTCAACGGCATCTATTATTGGTGCATCATCATCTGATTCGCATATTTGTGATTTTATAGCTGACGTAGGTGCCGCGGGGCTGGTTACCTCCTCTTCGCGTTCAAGATCCTCAAGGTCATCTAAAAAAGAGTCCACTAACGACGCCTGCACAGTGATGAATAAATATTCATAGATATTTACATACCATTGCGATATAGAAGATGATAGGTTAACTTCTGCTAACCTTATAAATGTCTTAACGTTAATGGCAGGCGTGGTGTCTGTACACATTTGAACTATAAGTTTAGTAGTCACGGTTTTATAATGATTATTTTGAATTCCAAATATCGCAATAATAAGATGTGCATCATCCTTTAAAGGTTTCACGTGAGCTTTAGGCCATGAACTTAACAGGGTTACTCGATTATGTATATATACATTTGGTACAATGATGGTCTCAAGTGCTAGAGCTGCTGTTAGCGGTGTCATAAATGTGGTACGGGATACTATTTCGCGTAGCGGTACAAACGTGAAAGACGTTTGTACCGCTATTAACAAATGTTCGTCTAACAAGGCTCAACGTTACGTCCTATGTTCCGTGGATTCTATATTCGATGGTCTAAACTTAGACCCAGAACCATCTAGTGAAGGTTCCGGTGACAAAAAGGTGCTAGCACGTGTATTATGTAAGTTGCCCAGGGCAGTTTACATGCCAAGGACCCCGGATATAACGAGGCCGGGGCCAGACTTGGGTTCCATCTTAGATCATGAGCTTAACAGCTGGGATTCCAGTGATACCACATTACAGGATTACGCTGTTATTGTACAAGAGTTGGGTGATACTGCCGAGTTTGTATCGGAGCATTCCTTGGATAGTTTCTTCGGTCCTCTGCGTCCATCTGCTATAAGTCTGCTTGAGAGATACAAGCATGAGCTTTTGCAGGAGTCAAAACGTGGTGACTTAAAGAAGCTCACGCATGCTACACAGCTCCTCCAGGTGATGAAGCTCCATTCCATGGATACAGATGAGCTGGTGGAGCACATAACTGGCATAATCCAGAAGACGCCTATGATACTTAAACAGTGCAACATATCTACTCTGGAGACTATTGCTAAGATGAAGTTACCTTCTGAGTTGCGGGATAAATTTGATGACTATCTACGTATGAGTACTACGCGTTATATGGGATTCAAGGAATGGTCTGAATATTTCTGGATGGTGGCTCGTAATAGTGATAACCGCAACACTATCGATTGCTTCCTCCACAGTTATAAGATCCTTGCTAGGAATATGCGTCGTGAAGGTGGTGATGATCTGGACACTGTGAAATCCATATCATGCGCGTCGATCATGAATGTCGTGCATGGAATAACTACATTGAAGAACCGGTTACGCACCAGCGATGTTGTATATAAGGATTCTATGGGTCTGCTTGAATCTATCTGGCCATTGATAGAGGAGCGTAAGCAACAATTCCAGAATAGTGAATTTATTGATATTGCTGAATGTTATTTTGAAAATCACAGAGTGGTCAACCCTCAGATGAGACATGGTAGTCGTAACTGTCTTGATGTTCTTATGAATGAATTTGTTCGTCGTGCCGATCAATTTTTATTACGTGATTGGGTGTCTGCTTTTGAAGTGTTGGATTGTGCTCGGGACGCTATGGTTATCAACGTGATGCAGAAACCTACCAATTACTATATTAAAGTTACCGCAGTGCAGACCGCCTGGATCGAAGACCTAGCAAATGAGCTTAAAGGGATGCCTTTAGAGGAGATCGCAGAAAATATATATTCACTTTCACTGCCGCAATGTTCAAACCTATGTAAGCACCTGGTTGCTGCCGGATGCTACGATGATCCTATAAGCGCAGCACTAGAACGGCGCTGCCTTGCCATTCTTACTGACTTGAAGTATCACAATACGCGGCATGTGATGGATTTCTATTTTGTGCAGCTTCAGATGGTATTGCCTCAGCAGAGTGCACTTAAGACGGCACTAGAGAACAACAAGCCTTTACGCGAGATGTTGGTACAAATGTCCTGTAACAGTCTATTGCGTCTATTGAGGCTAGCGCATCACTGTAACCCTGCCGATTCAAGGTTACTATTACATAAGCTTGCAGAGAAAATTGAAGCTAACGTTCTGAAACTCACGCCACAACAGTGCGTCACTGTTTTGAGGTACGCCTCCCGGCTTAAGGACTGCAACCTTACAAATGCCGTTATTGCTGTAGCAACACCGCCGTTATTGTCTAGTGACGAGTCTCACAAGGGGTTCTGCAAAATGTTAGACCTATCTAAATTTGCACTTGCGATGCCAAAAAGTGACTTCGCAGACACCACGCCAGCGGGTATTCTCAATCAGCTTATTGTAGATCGAGCACCTGTCCATGTACATCATCTTGGACTACAGTAAGTTTATTATATATTGAAATCTTGATACTTTACTTTTTAGGCATCTGGATATTTTATTGCAAAATCTAAACAGGGCTGGCGGGTATCCCTCCGAGCTTATGGAATCGGTGCTAGGTCACGCAATGGAGATAGACCTCTCTAGTGTGACGTCCACGCAACTGTCTAGCATGCTGCAAGCCTTGTCTAACCTTGGTATTAGGCATGAATACCTTTTAGAGCGGCTGGAAGACGCAATTTTGATGTCTTTGATAGATGAGGATGGTTCCGTGGCTGCAGAGGTGCTGACCTCTGCAGCCACTGCTTTAGCTCATTTAGGTTTGAAAACGGCAAGATTGAATGAGTTATTCGAGCATATCCTGGCATCAAGTCCCGTAGCTATAGCCAAATGGGATTATAGCTCGTTAAGTTTGCCTGTTCGTGTGGGACTACTTCATGCCATTGCCTTGTTCGGTACTGTGAACGAGCACCTGGAGACGACGTTTAGTGCCCTTGTTGAAGAGTGTGGCAGTGCCACACGGAAGGTTGGAGACGCAGTATCGTTCGTCACTCTAGATGGTGAAGCATATCGCAAGTTATATGACACTTACATTTCGTTATTAGTTGCTGGTTCAGGTTCATCTGGTAGTAAGCTTGTGAAATCGGACTTCTTACTAGAACATCTGCCATGTTACCACTGGTTCCGTTACCAAGATAACTTGCAATCGGAGTTCAAAGCTTCGCCACATTATACTCAATTGAAGGTATGTGATTATAATGTTATGTTAGCACTTCTCAGAGCGCATTACGTCAGCTTGGTCTAGAGGATGCGGATTCGCGAATAACGGAAGCATATTTCACACATATGGTACTCGATAGTCCAGATTGTACCTCTGTATTAGGGTCGCCCAAAATTTTATATTGTATCCCCGCTAAGGACGAGCTTCGATGGTGGACTCCTAAGGGCGACAGCACCCATAACTCTACTATCAACCGAATCGAGTCGTACAAGCATGCTATGGGCCAATCATCAAGGGTGATAGACCATTTGCAGCGTTCCGGTTGGACAGTGTTACCTATATTTTTACGAGAATGGGATACTTTATCTGCTGATAAGCGTTTACATCATTTAAGCAAGGTTCTGAAATTGAATAAAGAGAGATTAGAACATTAATTTTAATGTTTCGATGATATATATGTGTGTCTATGCTTCCAGAGGCCGTTTGGTCTGGACCGGTTGAGTTGTGTCACTAGAGTCCCACAGACCCAGCCATAGGTCATCATCCCATGTATGTCTCAAAGGATTTTCTAGTGTCTTTCCCCAATATGCTATGACATCCATTGTCCGTTTGATTATATCAGATTCTTTTATTTCTTCTGGGCAGAAATTTCCCCCTGCCTTGTCTGTTTCTTTTGTTAACATTTCGCGGACTTGTATGACCTTTCTAAAAGCGTGCATAAGCTTTCCAACCTTGGTATAAGGTTGATTTATCGGTATCTCTGCCAGGCGTTGCAATGTTAATGGCTCCCGTTCGAAGGCTGCCAGTATCGAAAGGCAGTAGCACCGTTCATCTGAGTAGTCCTTTGGTTCAACAAGTACATCTCCATTAGCAGTTTCTGAAGCATATACCTCGTCAAATAGCCGGCTCCATACTACAAGTAGCAGTAGTTTAACTATGGGCCATGGGTATGCGCAACGTCCTGTTTTAGCTATGTCTTCCAGCATGACTATGCATTCGGCATTCAATTCAACTGGTGACTCTCCTGTATCGGCATTTTCTATAGCTGCAAATGTGTTCTCTACTACCCTACGGAATACAGGACCACCAACCGATATATCAGATTCGAACTCATTTTTAAGTTCAGTTTGGAGTTTTGTGAACTCCTGGTCACGTTGTACCGTCTGTAACAGCTTAGATGCACACATATCTATTGTCTATATCTATATATCTATCGATTTGTATCATCAGGCGGTCACTTTGTTGATGGTCGCTTGAGTAGGATCGTTGGCCTTCACAGGCTTGGAAGGAGACCAGACGCATCAACCGGCTGAATATGTGACACTATCTCACAAATATCGCACTATATATAACCGCTATATCCATCAATTGTTTCTTCTGGCCTTAAGATATCGTCATTCCTGTGGTATAGAATACAATTCTTAAAGTTCCATACACTAGACCTATTCCAATTTATATAGCTCAAATATTTAATTCAAAAATACAAGGCACTGCTATAGTGGCCATATTTTGCCAAAAAAATCATGTAACTACTAATAAGTGTTCCTGTCTACCCGAACTCCGTGATGTATCGATACCGTTAAAAGATCTCATAAATCTAGTAAAACATATAAATAATGCCGTTCATATCGTAACAGTGGGTGTTACATAGATAGTTCCCATTAATGTGCAGGTTTCTGATGCTCAAGTGCGATGTGTTAGTCGCGTATGTCACATTAACAGCCCTCTCCATGTGCAATATATTAAATTTGTAACCTCAGGTGTAATGTTTGGTCGCTAGGTTTGTAACGTGTAGCCTAGTGGAGGTGATGGCTCTCTGTGTATACCCAAGCACCGCAGATGCAGAGAGCTATTAATACAAAATAATAGTGGCATATAACGTGTTGAGATGTGTAATTATTAATTACTATGAGATATAGGCATCTATGTTCCATTCCAGGGATGTATATCACTACACTAGTGTATGAATGGGTCATCCAATTGCAGCGAGAGGAGCCCGGAATAATATGAAATCGAGATGAGGAATGAAAAGTGTAGCCCAGGAAGGCTAGTGGAGGCCTTCCTAGTAGGATGTAGTATCTTGGTGGGTATACAACAGTTTGAACTGGTACTTGTCAAAGTACCTGGAGAAGTTGTCATGCTATACCATTACTACATAGGCATGGTGGTATTCACATTATGGCTTGCCCAGGCTACCAATACGTTCAACAGGCATGTCATATCGTTCTGTATCATTGGCCAGGTCTTAAGCATCTTGGCTCTATTTGCGGCAAGTAGTATGTCAAGGTCTATGCGACTCCTAAGAATCGTCATAGTCATGATATCTGCAAATTTGAATACCGTGCTAATGATACAGGTATCTGCAGCCTACTCCGGTAACCCGGTATCACTCGTCGCGCTGCTCTGTGGAACATACTTATCACTAAAACTACCATATCTATGTCGTGCATGGGAACACTTCAGCAGTGCTGGAGCACTTGGGTTTATGGGTAGGCAGTCCGCCACCCATGTATTGCTGGCGGTTAAATGCGTCGCAGTGGTAACTGCAATTGCAGCTAGATATATATCGGGAGAACCTTGCTATATCCGGACATCCATATGGAATACCTACAAGAACTATGTGAATGTATGGAAAGCTGCAGAACAGGGTAACCCTTTGAAAACTATGATATATGATCTGAGAAAGGATGAGGATATGTGGATTTGTTTTGGGAACTTGGCCGCACTTGTAGCCATGGTGGTCGCCATGCCGCCACACCTTGCACTCAGACAGCTGCCCATAGCGTCACACTACCTCGACGACCTTAATGGATATGAACGGTGGTCGGAGGGTTTAGGCGTGTTCACCGGGGCCACGATGCCATTAGCATATTCTAACCGGGATATGTTGCCGCTTCTAATATTCACTGCATTCCTACTCAATATAGCCTGTGTAATGTTATCGGCATACTTCACTACGATATCGTTCCTCTCTTTAAGTTGGGTTACAAAAGCTTGTGTACTCTCTTCCTTTGTAACAGGATACGCCATGAGCTTCAGTGCCGGGAAAATGGTGTTCCTATTCTTCCTTCGCACCTGCAAGGGCCCCGACGTAGCAAAACGATGTTGTGATGAATTACTTGATACAGGCTGCCTATGCTCCCATGATGTGACATATTACGATTGCGAACGTAGGGTAAAGCCATTCAAGTGCGGGGATAAAGAAGTAAAGGAAGAACCAACCACTCACATCCTATGGGCGGCAAAACAATGTCTCCCAACTGCTACCCAATGTTTTACATTAAAATGTAAATGTAACAAAACACCGAATACATGTAAGAATTGTTGTAAAAAGGATACACCGGAAAAGTGTTGTACCACTGAATTGCTGAAACCTAAGCAAGTGAAACAAAATAAATCGAAATGTGAAGAAGAGGAAGAGAAAGAAGCCGCAAAGGTATGTAATGCTACTACTCCTCAGCCCTCCTCTGCGCCAGCTCCTGCTGCCCAGACATCGACACCGTCGCAACCATCATCTAGTGACGCTACATGTGATACACAATCAGAAGAATGGTGTCCCAAATGTTTTTGTAAAAATACTATGGGTAGGGACTGTGGATCACCTTGCTGTGGTTGTTTTTGTACGACAAAAGAAAAAACAGAAACAACTAATTGTTGCAGTTGTGTTCAATGGATAGCTACAAGGCAGGCGCAGCATTATTTGTTACGGGATACATCTACGTCTACATGTGGCGACTGTGATTTGACGATACTGTTGAAAGGTGTTCCTCTAGGGAGGAGGGGCGAGTTATGTTGTGTGTCTACATTCGAATGCATGCCGCGAGTTCTCGGCTGGCAGCAGTGGAACCCCAAAAGTGACCGTGTTTTCATCGGTTACATCGATTCTGACTGCGCGGTATGTTCTCTAGTGGAGATACGTCCAAAGAACTTTGCCAAAGAATATAACCTCACTATATCGAATTCATTTCCTCATCACTTTAATATAGAGAGCATGTCATTCGGAGGTTGTTGTCATGATACTTTCCTGATGAAAGTGCAATGTGCGAAGCGTGACAAGTACCCGCATATATATAACAGGGACTATGCATTCAAGCAATACCTTATATCACATCTATACTTCACATCAGCATCTGTTATGGATGAAGAGTGTGAAAAGACGGGAACGTGTGGTAAATCTCAGGAACCGTCTGAATCGCAAGAGTGTAAAGATACATCTAAAAAATCTATTGACTGGGACGTATTTGATAACTATACGAAATGTTGTTTCAGTGTTGCTACTAGGGTATTTACTTACTACCGTTATGTCACTGAGAATAAGGGGAAAGATGTTTGCGTGTCTGTGGTAACAAATAAATCTAATGAGGCTAGGGGTCATGCTACTTGCAAGGGTAAATGTGAGACTGGCTGTTGTGTCAAGGTGCACGTTACGGATGAGCATGAGGCCAGGCTAGAAGATAACGCATACCGCTACCGAGTATCTACACGTTTTTGGATGATCGTGTTGTTTTTTCAACTTATGTGTATGATGATACAGATGCTTTATAAAAGGCCGGGTGTCAATGCACCATATAAGTTTGCTGTCGATATCGTCAAGCTACAACAGTCAGTGTTAAGTGAAGGTTGGGATGATGATATTAGATTGTTGGTAAACAATACGGACTTGGCTCAATTGAATTCTGAAGTTTATGGGTTAGCTAAAATGCTAAGTTTACTCACGCCGTTCATAGACAAGGGTTCACGTAGTTTCGAAGGTTGGGTCAAGGATACCGTTAAAAATGGGTTTCCAGAATACGTTGATGTGACGAAAGAGGCACAGTTTGATTTAGCATGTCTGGAGTTGGCACGTAAGGCCTTGAGGGTCTGTCTACGTGATAAGATGCCAGGATTTGAACTGTACCTGTTTCAATGGGAGAAGAAGTGGAAGAAGGAATTTAGGTACTATAACGGTTTATTGATCAATTTGATGCATAAGAGCGCGCATAAATCTAGGGTAGCTCAGGCTGCCATTTATGATTCACAACGTACTAACGATGAAATCGATATGTATCAAGAGGTTCGTGTCAGGAACTGGAACGAGCTTATAGAAGAGCTGGGTCTCTCTAAAGAGATATGTGAGCATGAGGAGCACGTGAAAAGAATGATGAGCGAGTCTGACGGCAATGTGACGATGACTGTTCAGGAGAGGCTTGACCGTATATGGGCGCCACGTTTGAAACATATTGCTCTGTGGAAAGAGAAGCGCTTATGTATATTCGACTGGTCTGGATTCCTTGAATCATATCGCATTATCCGAGGATTGTATAAGTACCATGAATAAGTATCTCGCATAAGCTCGGGACGCGTAGATCATGCATCGTGTGTGACTGGCATCGGTAATAGGTACAGTGTACCACATAATGGCACTGTATAGCTGTGAATTATACTTTTGAAATAATCTTTAATTGTATAGACACTTATATGAGCTGGAAGGTTCTGTTTGTAACGTATAACCGGTACCGCTATAGTGCCACATAGTGGATAGTATCGTGTATGAGTGTAGTCGCAGCCGAGAGAAGTTGCGTCGCACGAAAATGTAATGCTGCTATGGACGATATAGAGGAATGTGAAGTGCCGTTACGGCGTGGTACGCTGCGAGAATTGGTAGCGGTATCTAGGAAGCCACAAGAATCATCAGGAACATCTAAAAATGAAGGAAATCATTCTAGTGAGATCATTTTCAGAGAGGTATGCCACTATTGTATCACTGGAACCCCGATACTCGGTACTTTGACCCTCACAAGTGAGTCCTTAACCTTCGAACCTGATTCTAGGGATGCTACTGTCAATGAACGAGGATGCAGCTATTATCAGGTCCATCTGGATCTATGCAATATCGCAGAATGTGGTCTTATAGGTATATCCTCAGATGACCTCAGCTCATACGATGGTGGCAATATGCACTGCAACGGACTGTTACAAATATTACTAAAAACAAGAAATAGGGAGACCCTATCTGAACCACTAAATGATGATCATGATTTGTCAGTACCTGCAAATGTTAATAACGATCGTGAACGTCGATCTATGAGTCTTGTTTTACAAGGTATATCTAAATTGGGTTATGTTGCCAATATAGCAGGGCTCGCTATGCCACAAAAATTGCCGCCGGAGAAACCAGCACAACAACCATTTCCAGCAAAAGTGTTTGTCGTTTTTGCATTCTTCAAAAAAGAAGTAGCTCATAGATGCACTATCGCATTAATGGACGCACTGGATAAAGCTAGACATCGGGAAACTATAACACCTACCAGAACTAGAATATCAAGTGTACCATTTGCATCAAACTCACTGCTAGAAATGCTCACGGATTCATATAGTGATGACCAAAATGATAGGTCACATATGCGTAGAAGACGTTCTCACGATAGTGGTTCCCGGAAATCATCGCACAAGAAACCACAACAAAATCTTCATACAGATGGGATCGCCGAATGTGAGCATGAACTACGCAAAAGGGTGGAACGCTTATCACGAATATTGAAAGTTGATATGGTCAGTCAACTTATCGATAGCCTGCCACCAGCACTTGCCATCCGGGATTGGGAGCTCTCATTTAAAACATCACATGATGGTGTATCGTTCAGAACACTTTATAAGAACCTAGAAGGGCACGGACACTGTCTATTGGTGATAAAGGATGATCGGGGTGGTGTTTTTGGTGCTTTCACGGGACACATAGGACTGTCGTACAAGTTCTATGGTACTGCGGACACTTTTGTCTTCAGGTTCAACGAGGGTAGGCTGAAGGTGTACCGTTCTAAAGGTAACAACAAATGTTTTGTGTACTCAAATGAGAACGCTATTGTTATCGGTGGAGGGGCGAATTCAGCATTATCGATACATGAATCGTTCCGTAGCGGTACCACTGCTGCTTGCGAGACTTTTGGTAACGAGCCCTTATCGAATACGTTCGCTTTCAATATTGACGAGATGGAAGTTTGGACATTCGGAAACTACCTTGTATAGCAATCCACTGCCGCACATAATACTCCGGCAGAACGTCGCCGACCCACACATCCAATTAATATTTATATATATTAATCGATATATATTATAGCAATTATGTTGAAGCATCCGTGGGACGACATGGCGTCCACCGCGGCAGAATCTGATCTGCCTTCGGTGGACGCGACAAAGTCGTCCGAGTTAATGACTGTAGGCCATTTATCGGATGACGTAGTTGAATTGAAGACACATATCGCAGCTAGAGTGGCATTATTGTACAGAAGAGGTGGTTCTCTTGCCAATTTGGCAAAGAAAGCGGAATTAGCTGACGATGGTATAATAAGCAAGATATTACAATCACCGCTGCCACAATGTGACCGCAGAGCACTTGAAATGGCATTCCTCATCATAAAAATAGTCAAGGAACGTACCATGGTAGCGGATACTGACAATTGTGGGAAGGAACACGTGAGCGATGTCTGCATAGAAACATGTGCCGCTACCAAGCCAGAGGAGATGCAATATGAAAATCTCCAAGAAACTGTACTAGATATACTAACTTTAAGCTCTATATGGGGAATTGAATCTGCAGTAGGATCGAATCTAGCACGACTGTGTTATGACATACTATTCAAGTTAAGCGGGGCTCGTAAAAACCAACACCTAAACCGCTATGTAAACACGTTCCTCGATGAAACTTATAGATTGGGAGGAGAAGAGACCTACTGGAGGTTACAATTGCTCCACAAAGCGCTACGAAATGGTACACTGGGAGATAAGGAGCGTGCAAAGCTAATGCGCGCTTGTCTAGATATTGCCAAAAGAAAAGATAACACTATATACGTGATCGATGCTGTAACCAACGTTATATCCGATATTTGGAGTAACCACAAGTGTAACCTTGATGATATGTCCCCAGAGTGTAGAAATGGGCTCATGGCCAAGCTACTGGTGAAGGGACATGAGCTTGAGCAAGTAGTGACCATGTTGGTATCGGCAGCTGCTAATGGCACTTATAATGAGAGGAAAGTTGCAATTGCAGCATTGACAAGTGCAGGTGCAACAATACAGAACGATGAAGTCACGGAAAAGGTTGGAAAGCTTCTAATGGCGCCAACAAATGGAGATTCCGGTATACTCACAATAGGGGCCGCTATCATAAGGGATCATGCAAGTGCTGGAAAATATATACAGCAGTTATACGCTTATATTGCGAAGTCTATCGATATGGAAGCGAAATCACTGGAAGAAATGGTTTGTCAAATGAAAATTGATCTATCGCATCTTATGTCGACCGATACACCACCGACAAAAACACAGACACATATAATAAGAGCCAAAGAAAACTACTTCCTATTAAGAGATATTATACAGGCGATAACGGCAACTTTACAGAGGGTGACCACATTCCCATCGGAGTCTTTATGGAACAGTGAACTCATGGTCATGGTATACCTTGGTACGATATGTGAGGAGTTGGTACCATATGTCATGGGTGTTATAAAGGAAATTACACGTTTTGATACGATACCGAAGCAACTGTTAAGGTTCGGGTTCGGAACACTTGAAAATTGCAAAACGACAGGGAAGTTCTTCGATCACCTTGGTGTGGTCACATGCCAATTAGCAGGCACGGCGATTGAAGATTGGATATCTAAGTTAAAGGGCTACCCAGAAGTTGAACTTGGGTCATTGACTAAGTTAACTCTGGAAATTGCCCAGGTAATGCGGGCTATGGTGGCAACGCTCGATAGAAAGTTAGTGCAGTATCTATGCACGATGCATATAGCAGAGACTCTAGCCTGGGTAGCAGCATTGTCACGTAAATTACCGTGGAGTGAAGAATTGAAACTGGGTTGTGTAACAGTTGCAAATACACAACGCCGTATGGTACAGGTTATCCAAATGTCAACAAGGGTAAGTGACAGGGGCTCTGTAAAACTGGAAGACGTTTACTATGCCAGCGGAGATACGCTTTTATATCTTGCTGGCGGCTTCGAAATGCTATGCGGAACTTATGTACCACCAGTTAAGATGGTATGTATGATGCTCAATATGACATGGCATCCAGCAATTTCAAGTCTTGTTTTCAAAGGGTTGACAGTGCTACTCAGGAACAACAATATCGGAATGAAGATGAAAATTGCATTGATCACATATTGTATACGCGTTCGTATAAATACCGAATGGAATGTCCGGGTACTTGAGGATTATCACGAATTCCTACACACATTTTACGAAAAACATATACGCCACTATGAATTGCGCAGAAGTAATAAAGATAACATTTTGGCGATGTACACACCCAAAGATGGATGGAAGGCGAAGAAAAGGACGCGGTATCGAGGTAGGGTGGACCTTGCAATGAACCGTCATGTTGCAACCTTCGTGAAAGAACACATAAAGAATGTTCTAAAAGAAATCAAAAATACATATATGGTGACATACCAACCGATTAAACTTCTTAATGAAGACATGTCCGTACCGATAGCAATCCGAGAGAGACATATACATGATTGTCCGGGTGAATGAATGTAGTCCGTCCAGTTTCAAGAGAAAGTTTGGCTGCTGTGCCATGGGTAGGAGTTTCAAGATTAACTAGCCTGTTGGAAGAGGTACAACGTAGAGGACCGCGCGATACTAAAACGTGGTCACATCTACTCAAAAGGTTCGAGATAATCATAGAATCATTCGGACATAAACATCTGGCACGGGCATTAGTGTCCATGTCTAAAAATGGGCATGTTCCAAATGATTTGGTTAGTAAAATTAGAACTCAAGCCTTGGCACAGCTAAACCAATGTGATATCCTGTCTTGCTGTGGCATGTTATATGGTATGGAAAGGTTGAAAATATGTGATTCTGCGCTCTTAAAACTTTTCAGCGACCAGGTAATGGCAACTATAGGCACGGCCAAAGAGCCATACCCGATTGTTATGTTGATCAATACCTTTGCGAACCATGGTGATCGAGTAACAACATGTGCGCTATTGGGTGAATTGAACAAGAGATTGGGAGAAATGAGCCATCAAGCATTGGCTATGGTGATAATATCAGGCACTTCCAACTTTGGGCAGGCACCAGAAATCAAGGCGCTGCTGATGCCATTGATTCTAGAGGCAACGAAAAGATTGACTCATATGGATCTAAGATCACTTACACAATTATATTCCAGTATATCTAAAACTGAATTCAGGATAAGAGAACATATCATGGATGGAATTGCCGACGTATTGGTTCAAAAGGCCGATGGGATTACTCTACACCAGGCGGCACTGGTGCTTAGTGGCGCGGCGAAGAGACGGCATCTACACTCAGAGATGATAGGTGCTATAACAAGGGCTGTGGAACGGAAGACATTCGATGGAAAACCACAACAGATGCTATTCCTACTCTCGGCATTGTTAAGGCTGAATTTGCATGAAACAGCTTTGGTTGCAAAGATAACACAAGAGCTAGGTAAAAGTGACCTGAGATCAAGTGATTTGGCAAATGTAAGTTTGATTGTATTATACATTAAAGTATATTTTTAGCTTGTTTATCTCGCCGGGAAGTGGAAACTGCAACATGTTACGCCGCAATGGCTTTTTGACCAATTCGAGCGGCTATTGCAGCGCTTTCCCCAAGGTTTATCGCTGCGAGAAGCCGCTATCATCGCATACGGGTTCTCTATTATCGGCAACACCGCTCAAATGGAACGGACGTTACGTATAGCAGAGGACATTGCAGAAAAGGCAGGGGAGCAGTGCGACCGTCGTGCCATGGCAATGATCACTTATGCGTCAAGTAGACTGAAAATCTAGTCTCGTGACCTTGTGACGAACTCTTTCTCGCCTGAATAGTCGCTTAACTGATAAATGTATATATTAACAGTTGCAAGATGTACATACCGCAAAAGCTACCGCCAGATGCTTGTATCCCTCTAACAAGGGTGCAATAGGGCTAATGTCAGTATCCCTATCCCAGACCCTGTATAAAATGCTAACGTGTAAATCTGTATTACACTCACGTAAGCGACTCTATTGCAGCGGTTTCACGTACGAGTTGGCATGGAATCGAGGTATTCCTAGCCAAAGGGGTCTTCCGTGAAGACGATGCTGAAGCTTCTACAACAGCCATGCGACAACCTAGGGCGTCAAGGTTCAAACGGCTACCGCGTAAACAGCGACCCCGGAGAAATGTACATAGACGGTCAGCACCCAGCAAAGGGTCTGAGCCATGCTGAGAAGTATATACATTCTGCTCGAGATGCTCGGTCGTGTCCAGTAAGAATGGTACTTCGTCAGCGACGCTACCGCAAATATCACGTAAAGTAAACCCGCCTACAATATATATACACGATTCCAGCAAACATACCTAGCTCAACCTCAGTTTCAACCGTAGGAGATCCCAAAATAAACACCTTGTCTGTAAAGCCGCGCTCCACATCAGCAGGACCAGGCTCCTTTATTAGACATGGTAAAACGTGCACATTGATACTTTCCGGCATCTCCAAACAGCTCCTATTCTAGATGGAGCAAAATAAGTAGGAGATGACTAAATGTCACATTAACGTGCACACCCGCTAAGGATAATACAGATGGCTTCCTTGTGGAATGAAATAAGGCTACTATTTACAGGACCAGAAAGTAGATTCTTCATCGCATACAAACCTTCGGGCTGGTTCTTGACAACACCATTCGATAGACAACTTGGAGAAGGTATTATCGCACCTGTACTTGCTACCAAACTGGGCGTGGCACAGGAACATATATCATTCCCAAGCAAACTTGCAGTACATGAATCGGGACTTGTTATTGGATGTACAGATCGCGCTATGCATCAACAAATAGACAGGATATTAAAAACAAACAATTGTTCAAAGACATATCAATGCATAATACATGCGAATCGTGCAACACAACCAACAGATATACGATATTCTAAATTCAAACATGCATTCTCATGCTTCAATCATCGGCAGGATGTGTCGGCAGGGGTTATTAATCTTGAACTCAGTACCCACTCGAAGGCTGAGCCGTTAAAAAGACTACAAGGTATAAATGACGAACTGTTACGCAAAGGCATTTCACAATTCTTAGCAAGGTCAAGAGTAGTATCGGCTGCAAATATATCCATGGGTAAGCGTAAATACATGGAAGGAGATAATGATTGTGAGGACAGTGGAACCAGGGCCACCGAAGGTAACAAAGACCTGACAGACACTCCCTTGGCCAATGTTAACAGGAAATTACGACGCAGCAAAATAGCAGGCGCTGGTGAAACCACAAAGGGCCCACAAATAACGGGGAAACACTCATTAGCGTATGTCATGGAGAATCTACGGAACTACCTGGACAGATTTGATCAACACAGCACAGATACACCTTTTAATCGTAATACAGGAACACGACATGCCGTACTGACACGATTCAGACATATGGAAATCGTAACAAGCGACCACGATATAAATAAACATCTCGTAGAGATACTATCATCTATGGGACTAGTGGTACTAACAGGTCATACAAAATCAAAAAGTTATAATATTAAAATGGCGATTGGCACTATGTGCCTAGAATTATATGCGCTACAGTTCCCACATCCAATATACAGAGACAGGGTCGTCGAAGCACGTATGTATGACGCTGACCCAATGGTACCATATGAATGGGTTCAAGAAGCACTCATTTGTTCTGGTGGCGAGACATGAACTCACGCATCTTCTTCTGAGTCTCCATCTCACGTAAGATAGATGGTTGTACATCAACCATGGCATGAGTCAATGCAAGCTCATGTTGACGCCATTCAAGTGGTATCTGAAAACAAATGTAAATTTAATAAAATATATATCTATACCTCGGGTGGTTGGTACTTAGACATCACCTCAGGTTGTTCGTAGTTACCCTCAGGAGCAGACAAAACCTCTGACGCTATGGACTCATTCAATTGCTTCTCCTCTAGAAGACGCTCCAAGAAACCAGGCTTGTCCAAATATTCCAAATTGTAGTGAGATATAGGCAAATCGTGGTCTAAAGCCACCTGAGCTTTCTGAAAATAATATGATACAAATTATAATAACAGGTACCTCAGCCAAAGAGGCGTCGAACTCGTACATACGGTTCACATCATCCTGGGTAAAATGAGCTCGATGCTCGACCAATGACTTCATCTCCAACAATTGTGCGACCGCCATCACACCTAGAAACCGTAAACAATATAGGAAAAAGAACTACTAACCAGGGTGTGAGACGAATGGCAATCTCTCAGCGTGAGCGCCGAACATAACTAGCGCATCGCAGACCTTAGAGGCCCTGCGAACAACGCTATATCTTATCATTTTTTAGGTGTATATGATAATCTAATACAGATGTTTCAGATCGACAGTATCACGTACGATGCGACACAATGGGTGGGGGCGCGACAAACTGCGACAGAGATATATAAATACAATTTACATGTGAAGTTAACTGTCACTGTCATCATCTATTTGAGGTAAAGGTTGCGATTCCAGCTCAACCAATGGAGCATGACCAAATTCACCCTGTAAATAAATAAATAATATATATATATATATATATAACTTACGTTCTCTAATTTGATCTGAATAAGAGAACTTATTTTATGAACTTTAAAACCAAATATACGTGGAACATAAGGTATGGGCGGCTCCTCAGGGATAAGATGAGGGAATGAAAGCAGAAACATATGCGGAAATGATCGCCCGAAAAAAGCACCATCCACATCAGCATTCGCCTCACCAGGCTTAAACAGATAGGCCTCTTGACAACGAGGACAATACTTCTTTATGCGGTGACTGTGTAGCGAATCGCTGAATCCCACCGGTAACACGTTCTGGCGTTGGCAGCGGACACGTGGACAATGTCCAAATACGCCCTGCTGATACTTCTCTTTCTAAAAAAGTATTAATAAACACATAAATGTTGACATAGCACCTGGAACTATAAGTTACCACCCGAAAAAAAATAGATACAAAATAGAAAGTAATGACTTTGCGAAATAGACACCAACCAACACCGAAGAGTATCGAACATACCATCATCTGAAGACCCATAGGTGACGTGATGAAACGTGCATGGATCAATCCATAGAGATCGGTAGCTGATCGGTATATCTCTAGGAATGAAGCATCCACAAACAACTCCTCAGTAGGAGCAAAACCAAGGATCATATCCATAGCACTATCATAGTGTTTCATGCTCTTCAGACCACATAAATTAAATTGATCCAAAATGTAAGATTCATCAACCTGAGAGTAGTGTATATAAAACCAAAATATATAGATAACATTAACATACCTCAAGTAAAAATTCATGGCCCTCAAGCGAGGTAAACCATTGAATCCACTTCATGGAGTCACAGCTATCCACCGAAAGATCTTGCCAATCGTCAAGCTCCTCCTCCATCATTTAAGGCTGCCGACCATACGACATACTGGCTGACACGACCAACAAAGATTATGTCAAAACCATCGTATTTTCAAAATACACCATACAGATGCCGATAGGTCGGGAGCTCCACATGGCGAACGATAAAACGACGCAACTCTCAGCTAACAACAGTGGGGGATGGAAACATAAACATATTAGAATATAGCCACGATATAACAGTAATTAAACATAAATTTATGGATATATAGCTCGAAATAGATATCAAGTTAAAAGGATAGACGCCGTAAGCATCACTAACCAATAGTAACAGCTAAGTGATGCACGTCAAGAACCGAGATTAAAATTTACCAAGACGCACAAATATTACACTATAATACACAACACATCTTTGAAAGATAGATTTTTTAAGACACATATACACGTTTACAGAGCTCCAAGATACTTCCAGCAGCCGCTACACACCCATAATAGACGCCTTACACATACACATGGAAGGTCAACCAAAACATTAGAAAGGTTCAAGCTAATATACACACTAACCCTACAAACACTTCTACAAACTATAGATATCGCAAATGGGACCAACTAAACCAATTATTGGCGCTACGGCATTCAGCAGAAACATACATCTAGGACTTGCATGGGTAAATGCCGAAATAAAGCTCAAACGCACAATGCACAAACTCTATTGTCGCTATTGGAGAACCTATACTATCGATCTATTGCAACGGAACTGGTTTAGCAACTCTAGGACATTCGTGAACGCCGCAACAAACCGCAAAACCAACCATGATAGCCGTAAAAATGAAAACCTTAAGGAAAAGCTTAGAAACAACAGAGAAATGGAAAATAATAGTAACGAGGATGTAAGAAACTATTATGATATACGGGACCCGAGAGATCATGTACAGTCACCAGGATTTAACGATCATGATCATAGGGCAAAGATAACAAGTAGAGATCATGCAACAGAGGATATCGAATTAAATTTAGATCAGCAATATATCAATGCTGGAACACAAACAGCTCGAATCACGGCATCAAAATCAACATCTGTTACAATACGAAAAAAATGTATCGTCACGAAAAACGATATAACAGTAGATGTGCCCATAGAAAATCTTAATGGAAGAGATGTTATTGAAGCAATATTACATAGTGACCCAGAATATCAGCAACTCAGGAATGTCGAAAAAATGTACAAATATTTCTACAGAAATCAGAATAACGTAAACAGACGACCATCAAAACAAATCGGAACACTTCAGTTACTAAACGATCATATATGCCTATTAGCCAAAAACAACACATTGAAAGTCAAAGAAGCTCTCATTATAGCCATGATATATGATCAACATGGTTTGCTAGATTCTGAGATGAGATATGCACTATTAACGGCACTCAGAGGGCAACTGTATGCATTCAGACCATATGATATCGCCGCTACAGTAGCAGTTTATGGAAAATATGGTACAACATACACACCAATGCTCAACGCTATAGGGCTTGTATTCTATGATATTATGATAGCAGGCAAAACCGCGATACAGCCTGAAGGACCCTCGGTGGATGAAATAATCGCTGTAGTAGAGGCATACGCAAAAAACAAACTGACAATCAAAAGGGTAAACGATGCAGCCTTTGGAACCTTATATCAACATATAGAAAATATGACAAGAGAACAAATGTACATTGTTATTAAAGCGTTCTTTGATCTTACGAAAGATAAAAATTTTGTAGAACTATATACAAAAATCCTTGCAGCAATACTAGGAAAACCAATACTATTTGTCGATAATTTCCAAAAATGGGCAGAACAACAATTAGAAACCGATTTCCAAACATCAATAACACGATATAATAGCGATATATTTCATGGACAAAGGACATACAACCTCACAGATGTGTTACGATTCATGGCAGTAATGGCACAGTGTAATAGCGAGCATCTCATACACGCTGTGCATTCACGGATAGAATTCAGAAGGCTATGGACTGACAATATTAGAAAACGCATTATGCCATGGCAGGGGCCAACTATCACATCGACAACACAACTCGATATTAACGGATTGGCTCTAACTGGTGATCAATTTAACGATCACCATAAGATCACGGGGACCCATATTCAATCGAAATCACCTGAGATAGATGAAGTTAAAATTCAAAAAGGGGAAGAACACAGCCTATCACAACAAGATACAACGCAGACTAAAATACAAAATAGGATCATTTCGTATTGTCATAAAATACCATTAATACACAAATGCATCGTGAAAATGTTAATAGACACCTTGGGGACAATGCAACATCCACAAAAATATTTAGGTCGTATATACCAGGAAAACAAACGCGTTATCAGCATGGCTCAGCAATTGTGCCGGGATTCGGGGTTCCACGATCTTACAAAACTAGTAGAAAATAGATGCCAAGCATATTATCCATTTATAACGACGCTACAGGCAACTGTAGGTATGTCGGAGGAAGAATCCGGGCAAACGGCCGGGAAAAAAGGTATGGAAACAGATTGCAATACCGAAGAAAGGATAATTCCACATGCGTATCAGCTGATTAGGGAAATTGCAAATGTTGAAAACGCTAATGAACAATTTGTTAAATGGACGGAAACCAAAGTATCGGTTGACAGGGGCCTATTTTCATATGAAAATAGCCTTAAGGAGGCAATACAAGAGGTATCAATAGGGAAATCGGACCAAGTGGACTACAGAAATACTATTGTAGAGGTGTCAGAGGATGATCTGGCACAAGCTATAGTTGCTGTGAGCGACTATGCACGTTATGATCACCAACACGATGAACGAACCATAGCTATCCTTGGAGAATTGTATTTCCGATTGCTGTTCGTCAAGGCAAGGGCAATCGAGACAGATGAATCGACGAATTCATATATTTTGAAAAACTTGGAAAGGATCACTCCGAATAGTCTCATGGTGGAACATGGTCATATACCTTTTACAGAAAATAGGACTACAAACCTCACCACTGAATTTCACCAAATCAAACATTCTGAGTACCGTTTCTACCGGCCATCGCCAATATACGCCGACCTATTCAAGGGGAACGGAGACATATACGGGCTTATGTTGTACACCATTGCACACAAGGTACAAACGGCAGTGACACGGGGAATAGATGAACAGACGATAGATTGTAGTGTAACAGCGGCAAAAACTATACAACACGTGTTGCACCCGTTCTATGTCTTAAATAGGGCACGTGATAACAGAGTTTTACGTTGGCATGCGTTATACTACAATGGACAACTCAATTTGTGTCATGAAGCCAAATACAACGAACAGGGGATACCAGTCGCGGCCATGGTAGAAGAACGTGCAGAAGATGATCTCACATCACAGAACATCGGTATAAACATGGATGCGGTACCACAATGTCTCGAAGTTGTACTAGAGAGAACCATAGTTGAGGCCACCGAAAATGTATCACAAGTGATGAGATACCAACCATTCGTTCATACTGCCACAATTTTTGTCAACGTAGCGCTAAAATATATAAGACAAGTTATGCACATGTTGGAGGAAGAGAGTAATCTGCTATCACTCAGCGAATGTGCTGAAATATCAAAAGCAATCAACGTGCTCATGGTGTTCAACCAGATGCTCGATAGACAGGATAAAACACAGTATAATCCTGTTATTGCAGAGCTACAACAATCTATGTTGGCAATTATTGATAAAAAAATAACAGATGAAGCGACGAGTGGAACTAGAATTGGCCAAGATTTGATGGCGATACATCTAGAGAAATCATGGCAAGAATCAACTGACCAAGGGTTTTCTGATATGATACACAATCTAGCATTAAACATGGAACGTCATGGGTTCCTCCAAAGTACACGAGCATTGGCAGCAGCTGCTGCCAGTATGAGTCTCAATGACTCACTGACAAGTACCTTGCACACCGTCATGCAGGTCATGTACAAGAGAATGCCATACATGGCGTCCAGAGATATTGTTACCGCCTCAATGGCACTGAGTGATCTTCGCTATGCTTTGCAGAATACACACACAGGTTCAGAGGAAGATCCATTGGGCCAGTTGACGCAACTGCTGCAAATTTTGCAAATGCAAGGCCAACAGACCATAACTTCACTACCGGAAAACACAAAAGAAGTAGATGTCTTTAGTCAACACGGGATGGATGTCCTTATTAGGGCACTCCACTAGCCCCTTATAAGTGCCAGATACATTCACGCAACTTTAATCAAACAGGTACGTGACGAAATGAGTCCTTGATAATGGGCAAGGCAGACTCAAAAGAACACTGTGCATAAAGAATATAGAACGTTTCTGTATAGATATATTCGTATCTAAAAATTTTGCGTTAAAAATGGTCAACTCTACTATGAACATTGCTGCGGGATCACCCCTCAGTTGCTGCAAACCAAAAGCACAACGCAGAGGACTATCTCCAGTGTTCAAACAACAATACGTCAACGACAATGGAAAGATGAAACTAACAATGCCAGTATCACCTTTGCATTATATTACCACCGCGGGATATTATGCAAATGACATGAGGATGGTACCGCAAAATGCTCAGTGGGATAACCAAATTATTATACCACCAGTGGCACAGCAATTACCATACCCAATCATATGCGAACAACACGGATTATCAACGGGATCACGAGGAATTATGGATGGACTACACGCACACCGAGTAGAAAACGTACCACTTGGAAGGATGCCAACACCAAACTTCCAAGTAATGACACAACCACAAAGGAGACAAGAATCAGCACAAGTTAATAGAGCACCCGTTAGAAATCTAGAAGTACCGTATGGACCCACAATTTTCCAACAGAACATGAAACCTGAACTACCAGATCTTATGACACTATTGGCACGCATTGAAGCAAGGATTAAGAATTTGGAAGTAATATGCAAGTCAAATGAAACAAAAGTCGAAGAACTCAACATGTTACTGATGAAAATACAAGGAATCAACATAACGAAAAGTCAAGTGGAAGAAGACAGTGCATTAGACGGTAACAAATCTGAGGACAACGTACTAAACAACACGGAACAAGTAATAGAAAGCATGAGCAAACAAGTATCAAGAATATCTGAATCTGCATCTAACTATAACGCGGAAAAACTATCAGCTTCAAGCCATGGTGACGGACAAAGTGAACAAAGCTCATTACACCCACTTGTGGAACGGTTAACTCACACTGCCGACAACTATGGATCAGCAGTGTTCGACGTTTCAGAAGAGTTGCGCAACTCCAATGATATGCTCGAACGGTATTTGTCTGTCTCAGGCGATCTTAGCGCAGAGGAAGAAATGGAAGCTAGCTTAAGGAAACGAAACATGGAATTCTCATTGACGCTTAAAACGGACAAAAATTACAACCCACTAGAACCAGATTACAAAAATGAAAATGAAGCCCTGCAAAGAACTAAAAGCTCTGATAGTGAAACCGCGACCATCAAACCCATTGTCACCACTAACTCTATGGTACAAGACGAAGGGAGAAATAACACAGTATTAGCAAATCTAGAAAAAAGATTCCAAGTGCTCATGCAGTCATTCGAAAATAACAAGGAAGGGGTACTTTGGACAAGTCCACAATTCCAAATATTCCCACAACAGCGAGAAACCAAAAATTTAACAAACTCAAGGGACTTTGGGGAAGGGACATTGGCGATATCAGGTGAAAGGAACACAGCCCTTAATGAACAGGAACAAAATGAAGAGGACTTGCCATTCTTAATTGATAAGATAAATGCTCTTCCAGAGGAAATACGAAAAGACCTAATACTGGTCAAACCCAGTGAAGAATTTAGTGCTCGTAGAATATTCAATGAAAGAAAAGCAGCATTAGCAGCAAAAGCTGGTAATACGGTAGCTCTGAAGGACCAACAGCAAATGGAAGGGACATTAGTACTACCAGGTGACAGGACAGTAGCTCTCACGGAACAGCAACAAATGGAAGGGACATTAGTACTACCAGGTGACAGGACAGTAGCTCTCACGGAACAGCAACAAACGGAAGGGACATTGGAAATGCGCGGATCTGTCGATCAGTACCAACCTGAACTAGCACTCAGAACTGGGCTTACAAGAACTAGTCAAAGGAGTTCCACAAGGCAATCTGTAGACGGGAACACGCAACTCAGTAGACCTGGATCTCAGACCTTTACCTACTCTTATATGTCATATCAAGCCGACACAGGAAATATGATAGAAAGAATCGAGTCCATACAGTGAGCCAATAAAAATTAAAACTAAGTAACTGCATCGATACCCTTTGGTACCAATGCGAAAAGACCCTCCCACTTCTCGTCAAATGCATCCAGCGATACTAGTGCATCTCTTAACAATAGGAGATCAACGCTAGATAAAGAATTGATATTATCCTCCGCAAAAACAAAAGCATTGCTCAGCAAGTTTCCTCTTTTATCCAGTAGCCTTGAACGAACCTATATCATTTATATTTTTTACGCTTACACTCACCATTAGCGAAAATAACACTGAAAAGTCATGCACATCCCGATGGCGTCGAGGCTTCGAGGCGATGTCCTTGGGAACCGGTAGTAACGGGATATTCACGTGTCCTGACAGTGAAGAGCAAGAATCCTCGCCCTCGGTTGTTGACTTCACAGCCAACAGGAGCTCCACTAATGGCAACACCTCAGAGGGGATAACTACAGATGGGTCCGCAAGAAGCTGACGAGCAGATTCCGATGCAGCATCGAAGTATTTAGGCGACATGGCCTGGACCGCCATCAGGCCCAAAAGTATACTCATACGATGTGGCGCAAACTTTATACCCTCACGTAGTAGAGTTGCTGAATGTTGTGCAAATACAGACATCTCGTAACCCAATGTTGGAATACGCTCTAGACACAATGTTGCCGTACGCATGACAGATCTCGCCCTCGCAGCATCTAGCGCTTTTTCGCGCAATGATGATAGAGAGAATGTGATGAAGCGTTCAAGGTGGTCCAAGATGACACGCTGGGCACTTGATCTGGAATCAGGTATACGAGGCAAAAACTGACCCAAAACTTTGGCCATTGATGGCTCCAAAACACGGTCAGGCTCCCTAAATAATTATGTATACACGCCACTGTAAAATGACCTACATGCTCTTTAGATGATGTTCAACAGCATCTACAACCTCTATAGGGCATTTATTTACACGAATTGCAGCATGAAGTACACGTAAACGCTGCTTCAAGGTCAATCGATCGTATATCTTCGACGTCCGGACTAGCATAAGACGTATAAGTTCTAATGATGACGGAACCACTGGGAGTATCCTCAATGAATTCACAGCCACTTTCAATGGCAACTCGCACTCTCCAGACCGAATTGCGTGTAGCAATTCAGACATCTCACGGTCAGACAACCCTGCAAGACGTACAGCTAACTCATAAGCTGGCCCTTCAGGAGTTGCTGTCGGTTTCAAAAATTCAGGGACGCTGCAACATGCAAGCAACTCGTCCTTGATTGTTTGCGGTGTCGAAGGATCAGTAGACAAATACTCTAACAAATGCACAGCACTCTCAGGAGGTAATAGATCATGTTCTCCTCTAATCATATCGCAAATTAGCCGGCTGAATGCTGGGTGTACAATGCCTGCATTTGTAAGAGACCTTGCCAACACGGAGGCACGCCTACTTTCCACGGTTTTAACTGGAAAATACGAAAACAACATGGCCAAACGATGCAAAACCTCATGCCTCAATGGGCCACAATTATAGAAACCCATAGCTAAAAGTGATATCTCGCCTTGAGTTAAAGCATCTAATTTACCAGAAAGCAAAAGGTTGCTAATACGCTTGACAATAATATCACAAGTTTCCTCGTCATTAATCAGACGACGCGATCTCAACATGCCAACAGCCCAGGAGAACCACGGAATGGTTCCACGTGAGATCCCAGAACATTCTGCTTTCATAACATGTCGCAAACGACCAAGGATCGAATTCACCAAGTTGCGAAGATCACCGCCCTCCTCTTGAAACGAAAAATTACGGGCTATTTGTACAACCAAAGATTGATATGGGTATTCTTTGTCAACATTGAGACGGCACAAAGAATCAAACGCATATTGAAAGTCGCTAATATGAACGCTGTTCACAACACGTGACATAAGCAGTGCAATGAACGAATCTTCCTGTGAACGTCGTATATGCCCAGATTTAGTACGACTTAAACCCCTATATTCATCACTGGATAAGGGTGGTGGCGAAAATGGAGAAAATGGAGGTCGTGCTGTAAGCTGAGACTCACGGACAGTTAAACGGAAACCGTGGTAACCATTCAATCTTCCACGCACTATACCACGCTCATTACGGCAATCCAATACCACACTGACCTAAAAAATATAAACACAAATCGACTTAACGTACTAAATGAGGTTCACCTGGAGCACGACGAAAAGTAGACAATACAGTACCCCTAGCATTGCGATACGGTCCAGATGCTAAATACACGCAATCTCCGGGGTTAAAGAGTGGCCCTCTAGCTCGTGCCTTGCGTCTATGCGTGTACAATGTCCTTTGCAAACCAAAGGCAGGACTTTCAGATACAACCACCTCATGGTCCTCACCTGGCTTGGAAGATGGAGCTAGCAGCAGGGGGTCATCTAATAACGACTTCCCACGCAAAACGGGCCAACTAGGTCTGCTTACACCCGAAGTAAGCCTCAAACCGCCATCATGAACCAAGAACGCATCTACAAGAGAAACTAGTATGTGTAATAGTAGCAGCCAAAGCCGCATTCTCCCTTATGAAAATATAACACATACGTTATTAACAGCTACATTTCGCAACCAATAACATATTTCGTGCCAGCAATTATCATAACTTTGAGGCGATACGACGAGGCGCCGCCCACTGGAAGGCTGAGTTACTTGGTAGTCAACAGTAACAGAAATGGGTGGAAGTAAACACAGACACAGCAAAGATAAATTATATCTATTACATACCGAGCTAGAAAGCTCATTGGACCCCAAGGTACACACAAGAGCGGGAGAACTTCTACCACTAGATGCCTGTGCCTTGAGCCTACAGCCTTTCAACAAGCCGCTATGCACGCCGCAGGGACATGTGTTTGATGATAATAACATAAGGGAGTATATAACGAGGTATGGCACGAATCCTGTTACAGGAGAACCCCTGCAACTCACCGATCTAGTGCCGCTACACTTCACAAGAGATGAAAACAACGAACTACAGTGCCCATTGTCATACAAAAGGTTCACACCAAGCTCACACGTAGTCGCGGTGCTCACTTCGGGCTACGTATATGGCTATTCGACACTTAAAGAAGTCGCAAAGAAACAAAAGGACGGGCTAATGTATGACCCTATGACAGGTAAGTCGATCATAAACCATGTTAAATGTCATTTTTTCAGGCACTCCATTCACTAAGAACGATGTAGTTGTATTGCAAGACCCGCATAACACCGATGCGCGGAAAATAGCGGAATTCAAACATATCGCAACCACGTTCGCCAGAAACGATGAAACGAAACCGGAAATTAGAGGAAATGAACTATATCGCAATACCATCGAAAAGTTTGATGGTGCAGTGGATATGGTGGAAAACCATTCCAAACTATTCAAAACAACGGATAAAGATACATTAAAGGATAGACCTCGACACGCAAGGTTCACCACCAGTGGGCAGGCGTCCAGCTTCACATGCACTGCAATCGACCCCTCATATGGCACTCAGTATAGACCAATGACGGTTTTAGAGGTCAGAGAACCGCTATATGATCTTGTCAAGAAACAAAAGTTAAAGGGTTACGTTAAACTGGTGACCAGCGATGGAGATCTAAATTTGATGCTTCACACAGATAGAGTTCCAATGACATGTGACAATTTCCTCCAACATTGTGAAGATGGATACTACGACAATACAATATTCCACAGATGCGTACCCAATTTCATAATACAAGGAGGTGACCCAACAGGTACAGGAAGAGGGGGTGAAAGCGCTTTCTATACACGAGCGAAGCGTGAAAACCCAGATGAGGAAGTACCAAAATACTTCAAGGATGAATTTGATAACACGCTATTTCATGTAGGTGCTGGAGTACTCTCCATGGCAAACAAGGGGAAACACACTAACGGGTCACAGTTCTTTATAACATTCAATACCTGTGACCATTTGGATAACAGACACACTGTATTCGGGAAACTGGTAGGAGGGAAAGAAGTGCTTAAAAAGTGGGAGAACCTCAAAATAGACGATGACGAAAGGCCAAAACAACCACCAAAATTACTCAAATGTATAGTATACTCGAACCCATTTGAAACTGTGCAAAATCAAATTAAGGAACAAGAACAACAGAAAGAAACTTCAAAGAAACGTAGCCTATCTAGCACAACACGTAACTGGATAATACATCCAACATTAAAAACACAAAAGGAAAACGGAACGGAAAGTGATCAGGTGGGATACCTGTTAGACAAACGAATTAAAACTGACAAGAAAAATACAACACGCTGAGGACTATCATTTCGTATTTCAATGTTCATAGGATGACGCACGAACCTATCTCAGCGTAAACTCATACTGGACACTAAAATGCAGTAATGTAGATGTAACAATGTAAACACTTAATATTACAACCGATGTGTTAGTTTGTATATATAGATAATACATAATCCGAAGAGGGAAAGAAAACAGCTGCACACAGTGAGCTGATGTACGCGATCGCCAATCAAAACACAGGTCGACCTGCACCGTCATCCCGTGCACGACGCTTGTAATTATTTTCAGAGTCGTCGTACGGCCACATGAACATAGATAATGCGCAAAGGTTCTGAATAATCGAAGAAATGGAGTAGAAAAATGCCATACCGCACTTAGTATACAATGAAGGGTCAATAACAGCGTCCGGGACGCCAGCAACATGCATCTGAAGTGACGTAGGAAAACCAAGCTCCAAACGACCAGAATTCTTTACACGGGCAGACATACCGCGAGGAAGACGATCGAAAACAGCTGTACGATCAACAAAATCCTGATACAACCCTGGACGCATTCGATAACCCGAAGACTTTAGAGCAAATTTACTGGAGTGGTCACCAGACCCGGTCTTGCGGCCCCAGTACTTAAGCGCCATTGTATGCCATGGATAATTTAACGCACTGCTGGGATTGCGAGGGGTACGGCCATTATGCTGAGCAAGGGCAAGTAGGTTAGACCTACGACCATGTTCCGGGCGCCCAGCGTATATACCTTGCCGATAGAACATAGTGCGCAGCAACTCAGGGTCAAGTGGCAGCTTGCAAAGCAAAGATGATGTTAATTCGTCAAAAAATTGACGCTTAGTATCAACACCGTCACACATGAAGGGTAACCTACCCTGCTTAAACACGTTATTGAACTCCTTCAAAACCTCAACATAACTTACATTGCTAGTAGCGCTCTCATAAAGCTTACATAAACCGTTAAGGTATTCGTTAAATCCCCGCAAACTACGCTGTTGGCGATCTTCACATATCGACAAAATCTGGCTTCCACCTTCAGAGTAAGGCCAAAGCTCGGCGTTAGTTAATACTATAGAATTCAGCTCACATAACGCCTTAAAAGGGACATCAGTGGCATTGGGGATGTACCGTCCGTCGTGCATAGAAGCCTTGGGGTATACACCGCCTATATCGCACAGGGCGGGGATGGTCACATATGTTCCATATCCTTCACCCTTTGCACATTCCTTGGCATTCGGGTTCGCAAAACTATAACCAATTGAAGGATAAAGATCAGAAATCAAATGAGAACGCAACTCAAACAAACGGTTCACCACTGCAGAATCGAAATCCTCCAACAAACGGTCTTCGCAGATTTCACAGAATATTACCGAGACACCGTTATTAAGACTCCAACCAGAACACGTAGTGCACTCAGCACTAACTGCATTCTTTATAGCAAATAAACCAGAAATTGCAAATTCTAAACGGTTTTGCAATGTAACCTGACCATTGTGATACTTTAAAAGACGAGGGTCATAAGATCCGCGCTGCCGTGTACCCAATGTTCCCATGCAACTCACCTGAGGAACGCCATCAGCACCCACCACGACCGTTGAAGTAATATCCACCGCATCAGTAGTGAAATTGTGGTACTTCATAGATGCACGGTCTCCTAGCACATCTGACTCATCTAAGGACGCTTTCAGGGTTCGTGGGCAATCTCGAGGAACGTCAACGTAATAGTTGCCGTAGACACAATCAGGGTCGTACATCTGAGGGCGATCCTCACCCGCAACTACACCGTCATCGCCGTTGTCATCATCCGACTCGCTATCAACCGAACGCTCGTCACTATCACCAGTATAAGCAAGTTTATCCTCCAGGTCAGTATCCAGCTCCTCATCGATGACACAGTCCGCATGGATTATAGGCCCCTTTACACCTTCGTCATCAACCTGATCCCAAGAGACAGCAGAATCGCCACGCATACCTTCACTGATATAGCCATCCATGCTCTCATTGACGTTGTCCGTGTCGTCAACGTACGTACCTTTCTCACTATAAGCCGCAGTGGCAACCTCACTACCATCATCGGCAGCAATTTCGCCATCTAAGGAACCTTTGACATATGCATCTTCACAATTATCAGGTTGGTCCTCTGAAACCATGAACTGCTGAAATAATGATTCGTACGAGCTGTAAGAAGAGCTGCATGCCCACTCTTCTTCCAAAAGTCTATCATTCATGATACCGAATACAGCAGTACCGTGGTCAATCTTATATGCAGAATCCATATATATTGGGATTCTGCGATGCCAACGAAGCAGACTTTTATCCTTTACTTCTCCAGGATCAACACCAGATGTAGATGGATCAGGTCCTAATAAAGATCGGATGCTATCAGGGGGAGTACGCGGAGATAGAATGTCATCCGCAGTTATCACAGCATCTATACGATCACCCTCCACAGAAGCATCGCTATCGGATGAACTCGTTTCTTCCTCGCTTTCAGTAGAGGAGTGAGATTCCGAAGTAAGCTCTTCATGACGAGAACGACGTGGTTTCGTCGCTACCGCACGCTCACGCTTATCAATAAAGCCAAAAAATTCATGCCATGATTTCACATAATGCATGTTCAAACGAGTAAATTCAGGAATCCCTGGGTAAGCATATTGGCGGATCCCAGGACACGCACGTAACCTAAATGTTTTTACATCCTCGTGATCCAACACACCAACGGAATTAACCAATTCGTCAAGGGCCTTTACAGGTAACTGACGACAATTACCAATCGTAAATGAAGGAAAAGCAAGCTGGGCTAATAACATATTATCAAACAAGGAACGTAGACGCGCGCGATACTCGCCTCCCCGAACCTCGTATCGTGATTCCGATACGAGGAACTCATATAACATTGGTAATATTGCAGACTCTGCCATTTTCGACAGATACAATTATTAATAATGATAACGGACTACCGCGGGTGTGTGCCCGCAATGGTGCGGGAAATGTTACAACACAAAAGAAAAAAATTAATGAAAAGAGTTCAAAGATAATGCGTTCATATTTGGTCGTAAATGAGGGTCATCGTCCGATTTTATAGTCTCAGCAAATCTTACCAAATCACCAGGAGACTGGGATACCTTCAGAAGACCCCAAAGCTGAACAAAAGCATGATTTAGGTACTCCTCACTCACTCCGAATTTGCAAGTGTTCTGTAACACATGTAAGAAGCGCTCGACACCACTCAACATCTGATAATACTCTGCATGCTCGGTAATCAAGACCATGCTCTGAGCGGTAACCAAACCATCGAACTGAATTGGACCAGGGTTGATAAACAAATCTTCAACCAACCATTTCGTGCGAGCCATAGTCAGCTTCTTAAAAGCCTTGCTCTTTAAACTTACAACAGAACTAGGAATCATAGGTAATTCACCCTTTTTAAAATCGGTAAGAGACATAGGTGTCAAACTGTTTGGTTCAACCTTCATCAAACTTGTCAATGGGATGGCATACATCTTCCAACCCTCAATTTCACCACAAAGTCCACGAATAGAACAACAAACACCGGTCAAACGACTCTCAGCAGCAATGGCTGCAACATGACCATAAGCAAATGCTAAACTACAGTCAAATTCAGATGGCATACAACAACGCCCTTGATAACCGAAATAATGAGTTACAGCAGCGTAGTTACCCTTGTAAAGGCCTTTAGCCTTGCGAAGGTTCAACTCCTCTTTCACCATCTTAGCCAACATTAACTCAATATCCAAAACCTCAATGGCAACCTCAGTATCGAAGTTCAAAAGCTCCTTACGAATATAGATAGGCAAAGATGTAAACACACCCAAACTCCAAGGAGTCATCTTGCTAACCCACTCGTTAGCCACCTCTGTTTTCTTTCCGTAATTCAAGAAACTGTCAAAAGCCTCTTGACGTTTGCCAGCAGCAGAAGCCTCCATCAAAACACCACGTAACTCCTTAAGCATGGAATTAGTATTTGGCAAGTGCAACACAAGGTGGTCAGGGATAAGAACTGTACCGTAATTCTTGCCCATAGATGCACGCTTGCAAACAGCATCAGCAATGTCACTAACAACATCAAACAATGTCTTGTCAGCTGAACCATATTCTTCAGCAATAATAGTAAGGTTAGGATGGGTCTGAAGTGCACACTCCAGGACCTCTAAACTAGGGTAACGACCCAAAATCTTAACAAAATGCCAATATTTAGGCATACTAACGGCATCAGTAAGCACGTTGCCAACTAAAGCAGCGTATAATTGAGCGTTGGAATCAAAACCAACACAACTCTCAATCAAAGGACCCGCCAAACCATTAGAACCAGCCACAGGAACGCCAATAACGCAAATGTTGCTATTCTTGCTCAAGAAGTACTCAGTAAGCAGAGCAGCCTGACTCATCGCAACCTCATCTCCCAATATCACAAGACCATCAAGTTTAAGATCTGTGCATGTCTTAAGAGCAGCAGGCCAGTTCTTTGGGTCATGGAAGTAATTTACACGAGAACGGTGAACCATCTCAAGGCCACCTTGGTTACGGAAGAGCTCGAAATCGCTGCCAGATAATTTAATGTAATCGCCTTCTATCAAACCACGAGCGCCGTTAAAAGCTAAACAAGTGCCCTGGTGGATAGACATACGCTCATGAATACCCCAAATCACATTAAGCACACCAGGGGCCTGCTTAGACAACACAACCACACCAACCTTTAGCGGAGATGAGTTTGAAAAGTTGTGATACTTGTCTCCAGAGTAGTGACCAACAACTTCATACAGGTGAAATTGACAACGACGTATCATATGCGGATAGTTAAGCGCCACCTGGTCACGAGTGTATGGGTCGTTACTCAATACCTCTTTAAACATCTTCATACGAGCGCGAGGGTCAGAGCAAAGGTTAGGAATTGGAGGACGCCATCCTAAACGACTTACTTGCAAAGGACTCATGCAGTCAATGTGACGCTGTAGAAGGAAACGAGACTTAGTACCTGAAGAGCTCTTGGGCTTGCCTATCAAATCTTCTACTGTTGGGTCAGCAATGCTGAAACAACGCTGGGAGTCACTGGTAAACAACTGAATGGGACCAGGAGAACGATACAAATCGTCATACGCCCAAATCTCACGAACCTGCTCAAAAACTTTGAAGAGCTTGCCGTCAAGATTTAATAAAGTCTTGCGAATGGCAGGAACACGCTTACCACCCATAGTTATCATATGCATTAGGTGTAAAAACGGAACACCTAAAGGCATCCATTCTTCAATAGGTGACTTAAGGTCCCTAATTACGGACATGTAACCGTTACGCTTGGCGCTAATCAACACACCAGCATTGTAACCCAAAGAATAACAGTAAGAGGCGTCAAAGTCAGAAGGCATGGCACAACGCCCTTCATAACCGAAATAATGAGGCATAAACCTCAAAGAACTCAAATGGGTCAGTTTGCGCTCGGAGATCCTGGCCTCCACCATCATGAGTAATAGACGTTCCGTAGCAATTTTAGCTAGCATCACATAACCTGTGGCATCACGGTCCATCAATAATTGCTCACGAATAGAATCAGGAAGCATACTCCAGGTAGCGCGACTCTTTGGCAACGACTCAGGGGCAACATGTGTCACCGGCCCGTCGGATTTTGACAGTATTTCGTTTAGTTCTGTTATCAATACATTAATCTCGGGGATGAACTCAATCAGTCCTTCAGGAATAAGCACCACACCGTAAGGCTTGCCCATACTGTAACGCTTCTCCATCAGGTCTACAATGTAGTCCACTATCATAGACAGGGATTGCTGCTTACGGCGTACCTCCTCACCTATCAAAACGACGTTGGGATGTGTTTGCATACCACACTCCAATGCGAGATGCGACGCCGAACGACCCATCACCCGGATGAAATGGTACGTATAATGAGTACTACTCGCATCAGTACACAGATTACCGATCAGCTCAGAGTACGTACGAGCAGCGGTGTCAAACCCAAAGCTTACTTCAATATTGTACGATTGCACATCACCGTCCACCGTCTTCGGCACACCCACCACACAACATTGCTTTCTTAGCACAGGACGACCATCAGAAACAGTGCCAGGAAAACGAGATGCAAAGTGATTTGCAAGTAACGCAGCGTTACTGTTGGAACCGTCACCACCGACGACGATCAAACCGTCCAAATCCAAGTCGTTCACGACCTCAACGGCGCGATCAAGATCATCCGGACCGGACACTTTACCACGGCCTGAAAGAAACATGTTAAAACCTCCCATATTGCGGAAAGTATCCATAATTTCGGGGGTCACAATCTCGTGGCGTCGACCCATCAAACCATCGAGACCCCCGTGGAAGCCGATCAGTTGAGATTGCGTGTTTCGCAAATAGAGGTAATCGAACACACCAGCAATTACATTGTGACCTCCAGGAGCAGGACCACCACTGAGGACCATACCGATCTTTACGATCGGGTGAGTGCTCGACCCAGAGCCAAGCACTTGAGGCTGGACAGACACCATTTTGTTTTGAGAGATGTGGCTTAGAATGGCAGATAACTCCTCAAAATCACGTAACTCTTCGCCACTCTCAGCATGCTCTTCCAAAAGATGAAAATCATACTGCAACATCGCAGGTAATTCAATATCACGAGTTCGGTAAAGACCTTGACAAACACTCTTTGAAGTGTAACAAGAGTTGATACGCTTTACAGTGTTGTCTACAAAACTATGGGAGAGTAGTATCGCTAACCTACTATCTTGAGGAGTCACATCAGGAGAAACGCCATAAGCGAAATCCGCAGTTTTGTGTTTAGATATATGCAAACCCGGAAATGCAGAGTCACTAAGTTGACGAGTCGGACCACGCCTAACAGAAGTGGAACGCTTCGTGACATGGAACCGCTGACGTCGACGGTGGACTGCATCTTGAGCATATGAATGCACATCACTGTCAAGGTCACAGTCGCTCGGCGTAATGGAGGGAGCATCCATGTCTAGCAGGTCTGAGGCATCATTCGAAATCAAACGTGACTTCGTCATGTCCACTGCAACATTATTAAAAATTGCTAGGAGTGCATACGGAGCACAAAATGGAAGACAAGGCACACTGGACGTATAACCACAGGAAGAATAGGTCACACACTGGATGTCATACTGTGTAGGCTAATAGGATATATTGCAGGCACACGGATAAAAAATGATCACAGAAACTTGAGAAACATACCGGAGTGGTCGGAGTCTACCGCAATCGCCATTCTTATAAAGATGATATGAACGGTTTTTGTAGTTACTAGGAATAAACGTAAATCACAGATATATAGATGGAATCAAGCATGAGGCGGTTGGTTTTGAGTATAAAAAGAGGTAAAAATAACGGCACTACGGATCAGACGTGCGAAATCGGCCCGACCACAACCACAACACCTATTCAGGGGGAATGGCCCAACCACACCAATAACGCTTGTCCGGGAGGATATAAAAAATCGTACGATACGCTAAACTGATGTCAAGAGTGCATTAATGCAAATTCTTGATGCAATCAACAAACGTATTTAAAGAATATGAAATCGCTCGGTACCGCTGGCACGCGTACCGAAGCGACCACTGGAACGGATCTGATGTTCCGGTTGCCACTATAGTACGGTTCACTTTTTGAGGTAACGTCTGCATGGTGTGAATGTGGACCATAACGAAATGATGACACAAAAACGCAAATGCACACATCTGCGTGTCGACGCGAAATGTCAGAATGATAGCCAGGGCCATATACCCCGTTTTGGGGGGGTAAAGCTGCCGGTTAATATTAAGATAATAACCATGGAATCCTAAAATTGTTTTTGGTGGCCCTAGTGGGCGTTACCGGGGGTACCGCAAGCGCCCACCGACGTATCAAGCTATGCCACTGCCTTCGTTTGTACTTTGCTAACAAACCTGCAGTATGGCACAAGTACCGTTCCTAGTTATTGTCGGCCCATCAGGAGTGGGAAAGGGCACGCTACATAAGATGCTTATTGATGAATTTACCGATCTATTCGAACTTAGCATTAGCTGTACCACTAGAGCTATCCGACCCAGCGAACGTCACAATGTGAACTATTATTTTATCACCAATGAGGCGTTTGAAGAAATGAAAGCGGCAGATGCCTTCCTTGAGTGTGCATCGTACGTAGGCAATCAGTATGGCACACCTGTGAGCGAAATCAGCCGCATTCAAGCCAAAGGCAAAGTGCCGTTGTTGGAAATAGAGATGTGTGGGTTCAAAAAACTCAAGGATAAAGGTATACCGTTATATAGCGTATTCGTAACCACGTCCGATGTCGGTGAACTCAGAAGCAGACTTGTCAGCAGAGGCTCACACAAAAAATTGGAAATGGAACAGAGATTAGAAAGAGCGTTGGAGGAAATAGATGAGGCAAAGACATCTGATTTCTCCATCACCATAGTTAACGAAACTCTCGAAGAGAGCTATAGGATACTAAAAGAACAAGTTATGAAGTGGTACGGAAAACCATCAAAAGGTTAACGTACCACTGGAAATAATAAGCAAAGCTGTGGCAACGCCAAAATAGGGCGACAATAATTGCGAACGTCTGTGACCAAAGCAATATATGTATTATAATTTTTGTATTTAATTTAAGCAACAAAAAAATCATGCTACATTAGTAAAAAGATGTCAACGGACACTATCACCAGATGTTGGATCAGAATACACTCCTGACGAATCGTACCTGTCGGCACGCAGCTGAATAAGCATGAAGTATCAGAAAATGGCGACATACCTTTGCTTGCTGCTTGTTCAACATACCACGAATCACCGTTAGCACACTGTAAATGGCACCAACTGTTAATACTGACGCAACTATTGCACCAATTTTCCGTACGTTACTCAATGAACGAGAACGGTAGCGCTCGTAGTCCGCTTCTCGAGCAGCCATGTCTTCCAGAGTAAGTTCAAGAGCACGCTCAGACCACAAATCACTGATAACCATGAAAACGCACAGAAATACACTTACCTATTGTTCAACAGTTCATTGCTACCGGCAAATGGTTCCCGATTCTTTCCAGTAGCGCACAGAGGAATACTGTACCTTGTGGCCTCCCATGACGGCATCAATGATGATTGACGAACTTTACCAAAGTTCTTCCATGATAGGGGTGATATAGCGTGCTCTTGGACCCTGCTATAGCACGCAGGAACCAGGAAGGCATGCCTTCCCAGACTGTGAGAGTAGACACGGTACTCAAAAAGCAACAACGCCCATAAACATGTTAAAACGAATTGAAAACGCATCTTAGATGCGCACTGAACTAGGATAGGAGCTGCTACGAATCATCCACACATTAGGGAACGCGCCCGCGATGGACGCGCTAGACCAACACACTGGGACGTTATTTGATCGATAAAATCATGCTTATGCGCTTAAGAAACGTTAAACTCTTAAGAAGAGTGCAGAGATTTGATAAACGTAGCGGATTCTTGTCAATAGGTGTACCCAGCTTACTCGTACTTTTCAGCGTCCTAGCGGCAGGAACTATCATCGTAGATAAGCAATTAGCTTGCAAATTTGCACGAGCAAGTAGCATATCGAAGCGAGAATTAACGCTCAAAGAAGAACATGAAGAGATGCTCAAAATGCTCGCTAGGGTAACACCGGTAGAACAGTTAGACAACTCTGTACCGCTACCAAAAACTGACGATTAACATGACGAACTGGTGCCTGCGTATCATTGTCGAACATGTCGACAGACAAGATGAATATACCAAGTTTCGTGCTTTCGCAGGTTAGTGGCTTCACAACAACCATAACATAAAACACAGGAACCGTACAAGACGTTGTAAGCGATAGGGGCGATCTAAGACTTGAACAATGGAAAGGGAAACGTGTTGTGGGTTAGTATACCATCTAATGTGAATGGATAAGCTAAATTTAGGTATCACAGCAAAAAGCACAATTTCAGTCAACGATGTCATCGACAATCACCCAATCTCAAGAATTGTAATGATACCGGATGACTCAAAAATTGAGACACCGGATATAGTCATTAACATCATACCACTATGCAGAGCGCTAATATGTACGTAGGTATTATTCGGTCCTCATGTCAACTTAGGTGAAAATTTGCACATGAGAACTGTGGAAAACGAAGTTGTCATTATAGTGGCCGGGTCAATGGTAAGGGCACCACTTATGTGAAGTGAAAAACAGATTACAGGCATCGGCGGTACCATATCTACAGTGGCTGCTCATTAAAAATATCAAGGTTGCAGTGTATCTACCACCTGCAGAGGTAGGCAACAGGGTTGCAAATAGACAGCAAACAAAGCACTTTTCAGGCAGATGATGATCAAGAAAAGGGTGTTGATGAAGACTATAAGCATCCTTTGTTTAGTCATGGGAAGTTCAAACCCCTGGCCACAAATGGTTAGTTGTAAAAAAAAAATGACAAGTTATGATATGTGTAGTGATCATTCGACGGAATAATATTGAAACAGTATCGGATGATGCGCTCACGCTGACAAACGGAATAGGAGCTAGCGCGATAGCAGTTCTTCCCGATGCCGTAAAAGCGTTCAAAACAGAAGAGGTGCGAGTGAGCAGGCAAATGCTGCTTTCTGCGGGGATGGGATCACGTATCGTATGGCAACAAGCATTGGAACAGGTTGACCCTTGCGAATCAAAATGCCTCTTCAACAAAGGTGTCTCTTTGAGTCTCTTCAACTTTGACGCATCGCTGGAGGCTCATAGTTCTGACGGTGTGGTACAGCACGCGCTGATGGAAACCGTCAAAAGGGTAACACATAAAACCATTTATGTTGAAAAGTATTATAGCTAACCATATCGATCGATAAAAGGATATGGTTGTGTGCAAAATTGCGGTGTCTTGCGCTCCAACGCGACGCAACTATGGGGAGTCCAAACGGACTTGCAAAGCAGTCATGGGATGAACATTTACCTCCGACACGATGATGTGAATAGAAATGATCGTTTTACAACATATAAGCGTGCTCTTGGGCTCCGCTGATGCGGAAGCTCGCCGCAACGCGTATGTTTAATGTACCAGAGAAACTATCATGCTTCAGGAACGTGTGCCTTATCAAATGGCAGCAGAGTGTAGAAGCATGGCAAGAGGCACACAGTATGATGGAAGGGAGCTTCCCAGTAGAGGTTAGAACAAAAAAAATATCACGAAATCAGACACCCCGCAGGCCAAACTAATCGCCGCGCAAACGTTACGTGCGAAACTCATGTACGATTTCTACCAGCTGCCTCCGGAGTCAGTAGAGAAGCTGTGTGAAGTGCTGATGTCATATCTAGCCGAAAGTACGCTGCCGTAAGTATTGCTACTGGAGGAAAATACATGCAACCGTAGAAAAAACATTGCAGCTACTATCTGCCTGGCAATATGCGATCTCGCAATCCAAGCTGCAGAAGCATGGCCGTCACCGCTAGAATATTTCATAGCATGCTACAGTAGAGGAGCTATCGGACTCAAAATGCTCTTGACACTCATCGAGTGCCTTGCAGAAGAAGCCGCCAACACACGAATCATAGTTACACCGGATATCAGAAACAAACTTCTGCATAACATGAAACGTGATTATGCAAAGCTGCTAGAACTACTAGTTCAACTCAGAGCTTCGGGGAACGATCTCGAAATTACCACTGCGATATTTAGGTCGTGGCATAGCTGGAGGAAACTAGACAATTTCGCAGCTAATGCAGAGGCATGCAATGTATTCATTGACGATTGCTTGCAAATTTTACGCAGGTCCGATACACGAACAGAACATGGGATCGACGATGACACTTTCGAGTCAGCGGTAGACTGCATTGTCGATGTTCTATACGAAGTTACCGATCTCACACAAAGGATCAGAGAGGAGGGTGAAGCATCAGGAGATGCAGTACAATACCTCAAGCAAACAAAAAATGACCTCCAACAGGTTGTTCGTTCGTGCTTCGAGCTATGCGTATCCGACCAATTCAACGCATTCCTCATAGAAGCATTCAGCACAAATGACAGATTCTTATTGGGATGTTTTTCAAACCTGGTCATTGCACTTATCGACGCGCTGGAATTCACCCTTATAGAGCCGCAACCACACCTAATCAGGCTTCTAAATCTAGCCGTACATTTCGTGGAACTCCCATACTGCATTGTCTTCCAGGGGTTCAGCCATGCGGATGATCCGAATACCGTCAACTGCTTTTCGCAGAATTACAACCGTATGGCAGTGCGAGAACGCATCGCGCAAGTAGTCGTGGCGTGCGACCCTTCAGAATTTTGCCCCGTCGAAGAGGAGACAACCACATATGCTCGCAGGACAGTGTCCCTGTTATCAAACGTGCTACAGGCAGAATCGCCAAACTGCCAGGGTGCTAAGGATTTGTGCGCCCAGCTATTGGAAATTGTACTACTCGTTGCTATGAGACCCCCAGTACCGGGAGAAGCAGACAACACCGAATACGAAAACTACGTAGAAGAGGTGTATAGTGTGATCCCTATAGTTGCAAGGATACTGAAAACCGATGAACTTTTCGAGACCGTGAAGAAACTCACAATTGACAACAGCACACTCGCAGCGTCGCTCCATGGTCTTGAGGCCTGCTTCAGGGCACTAGGAGCAGTGGTGAGTTTTATAGACATGAGGAGGGCATCACAACATAACGTTGCCTCAATTTCCTCTATAGTAGAGGGGATTGAAAAACTGGTTGGAAACATCCCTACCGGACTCATGGAATTCTATTGCTGGAGGTCCGCCATACTATTTTTAAAGAATGCAAAACGGGTAATGATGCTGGATGAAACTGAAATGATGGTACAACGCGTGATGGGATTGCTATGTGGCGCATTTGTTGTAGCACTCGGATGTGATACCCCTCACGCTGCCAAAATCGAATATACACTCGTTTCTAGCATAGAAGCCGTATGCTACCATGTCCGTCTAGGGAAATTGCGAAATTGGGAACCTGTTTTACAAAATCTCGGATTGTGTATACAACGTGCAGGGCAAAATCATGAATTCAGTCTTATGCTAATAGAAGGAACCGCTAACGCAATGAGCGATCTACCACCAGAGACCATACTTGCAATCGTTCAGCAGATGAGCCAGGGATGGTTCCAGAGTCTCCAAGCTGTGGCTAGTAACGAGATGAGCATGGCTGCATCGGAAGTAAACAGGCTTGTCGCCAAACTGTGCGCGCTGGTCAGAAATATCAAGATGAAGAATGTACTACAGGCATTTGTACAGGAAGGAATCACACCCCTATTGTGCAAGCTGCTAGAGCAGTATAGGCATGAACCTAACACAGTAGAGGAAATTTGCAGATGCCTGAAACACTCAGCTAGAAGCATCGGAGAGGAGTTTGCCGTTTGTGTGAGTCAGGTGGTCGTTACAGTGGGTAACGTCGCAAAGGAACGTATGTGGAGCACTTACCTTTATCTTGTCGAGTGGCTATACACGTTGTTCTCACCTGCACAGCAGAAACAGGCTGAGGTTATGCAGCTCTATTTCGTACTCACTGAAATCACGCTGAACGTACTGGCAAACAAAGGTCAAACACAGCTGCACGAAGATCCAGAACAGATCATCGAAGATTTTTTCGGCCTACAAACCAGATTTATCAAAAGGTCGCCAGAGTGTTTTGACAACGAAGTAGCCTTCCGTGACATTGTTGGCGCCAGTGTCATGTGTTTCAACATGCGCCAGCCTCATTGCGTTTTCGACTTCTGGGTCACGCTTTTGGAGTCGGAAGTACTCCTGTCCAGGTATCGACATGTTGCTAACGAGTACCTGCCGAGATGCGTAGAGGAAATATTTGCAGTCCTTGCCACGGGATGCCGCACCTCGGTAAGGCACTGCATAGAAGATTTCGTCGACGTACTCATACGGTCGTTCGGAAACGAAGCGTCAGGATTGTTACAATTGGGTATGGGGAAACTACCGATGGCAGTAATACCAAATGAACGGCAGAAGAATATCATGATAGAAGCACTTGTGTCTCGAACGAACCAAAGGGCCATTTACGAGTTGCACAAACTCTGCTGCCAAATGGCAATGAGGAACAGAGCTTATTGACCAGCTTACACAATGTAGTAATTTATAAAGGGAATTTTTCGCCGAGACGCTTGCAAGGCTATCAAACACCGCTAAGAGTCTACAAGATCATCCGAAAAAAAATAATGCGGTGATGCAACGTTTTGCAATTACTGGTACATGAACCAAACTTATAGATGAATTTCTTGTCTGCGTGCGACTGTACAGTTCATATTAATGAGACTAAGGCGTCACTCCGGGGTCCTCGCCGGAACACGCGACGCCAGTCATACGTTCGTTTGACCACGGAGATGCTGCGGCAGACGGCACTGCAGAGGTAGCCAGAGACGACGACGAAAGTGCAGGAGTGTTTGTTGGCGTGGCCATGACCTCCTCCAAAAGCGTCTTTCGTTCGGGTGAGTCGAACATTGCTGTAGGGTCATCGTCAAGCCAGCGAACCAATTGGCCGTAGTCCCAGACTCCACGACGCTGGAGACGGTAACCACCCTTGTCGGTAGTGTAACATCCGTTTCCATGCTGTAAACCTAAGTCCCAGTGTCCTGTGTATTCCTTGCCCTCAGCAGTGCGGTAACTCCCGAAACCATGTGGTACGGAACCCTTCAACTGTCCGTTGTACTCACGTCCATCAGGCCAGGTTATGCGGCCGTCAACGAATTCTTCGCCATTGTAATGACCGCAAATGCGGCGACCCGAAGGGCTCCGGTATTCATGCAAAATGTACTCCTCCTCGTTGATACTCTCGTCGAGACGTACGGTAAAGTCGTTAGTACCCTCACTACCGCCGTAAAGGCTTACGGCACCGTCTCCGTTAGATGCATCCACATCGTAAGCAACGTCGCTATTGGTAGAAACGTTAAACACGTCTCGGACGTCGCCCCGGTGAACAAAGCGATGACCAGAGGCGGCCTTGACTAAATCTGCTTTATGGGCAGACTCTGCGGCATAACCTTCGAAAGCCGGATACTTACATTTAGTAGAAGCATCATCACGTGCAGATTGCTGTTTTTCTTCGAAAAACAAGTAGTACTCCTCCTGGAAACGACTCGAACTTACACTGTGCGTTTGTCCCATGGTTTAAGATTACGGTGCGTGGAAATAATACACAGTATGTTCTGACACACACCCACAACGGCCTCAAGTGGCAGAAAATGGTGCTGTACGTACTTATTATAGGCTTGCAGGGTAACACCCAAGATGTGCAACCTAATTATTTTACACAGTGTATAATTAAGGGCATATATGACCCTAAAATGTGATAAGAAGAGGTGTGCTACTGATTAGGGGCAGTGAAGTGCCCAAAATCAAGGGTATGAGTTAGACGCCGTATGAGCCCAGGGCCACAACAAGGAATGGGGCAACCGTAGGGAGAGCTAGGAGACCGCGGTGAAACAGTAGTTAAGCAAGGCACGAAGCCGGGCAATATTGTATTGCAGCACAACCTATTGTTATTTAACGTGCCGCATAACCGTCATAGAAGGTAGGTTCGCAGCAACGACGCCGTGATTCTTAGGCCCGACAAACAAGGCCGCAGCTGGAGGTATAAACCGCGGGGATACCTTGTGCCATAGTCACCGCCTATGTTAGTCTGTTTTTAAGGGGCCAAACACTCGCAGAGGCACGCTTCCTAAATTCTAGACACTTCTCATATACACTACAGATGGCGCTGCGCCCGGAAGTATCAATCCACAGTGTATCGAATGGACGCCGAGTGGAGGCCACAGTGATGCCAAAGGTTTTCTCGGCACCACTGAGGTCCGACCTCGTGAGGATAGTCCACACCAACATGTCCAAAAACAAGCGCCAGGCATATGCCGTTAGCAAGATGTCTGGATACCAGACTTCAGCCAGGAGTTGGGGTACCGGTCGTGCTATGGCACGTGTACCACGTGTAAAGGGTGGTGGTACTCACCGTGCTGGACAGGCCGCTTACGCTAACTTCTGTCGTGCCGGTGGCATGTACGCACCTACCAGAGTATGGAGGAGGTGGCACCGCAAGGTCAACCTAAAGGAAAAGAGACAAGCACTTGCATCAGCTGTAGCAGCTACTGGTGTTGTGCCTGTCGTCATGTCCAGGGGCCACCGCATTGAGGGTATCCGCGAGGTCCCAATGGTAGTCGATGACTCTATCGAGCAACTCACCAAGACTAAGGATGCATTCAAACTCCTGGAGACTCTTGGTCTTGGAGCTGAACTCAAAAGGGTTGACAAGGTCGCCAGACATGGCAGAGACGGTCGCAAGAAGAGACCCGTTGGTCCCCTCATCATCCTCAGAGCCTCAGCTGTTGAGGGAAGAAGGGCTTTCAGAAACATCCCCGGTGTTGAAGTCGCAGCTGTTGAGAGACTCAATTTGCTTAAACTGGCGCCTGCAGGGAAAATCGGAAGGCTCTGCGTTTGGAGCAAATCCGCCTTCGAGGCTGTCGACAATTACATCAAGGTGATGCCAACGAAGATGCTGAAGAATGCTGACCTCAGCGCACTAGTCAACTCAACACCCGTGCAGGTGGCCCTCAGGGCGCCATTGATGGCGCGCCGTAGAATGGCTCTCAAACGCGGATGCTCGAAGAGTGTGCTTAAGTTCGTGCAGAAAACGCTGCTAGAGGAGGGAATTGTGGGTCCTAAGGCCAAGGTTAAGAAGACAAAGGAGGAAATCAAACGTTGCAAGGCGAACTCAAAAGCATTTATCAGGAAAATCAGGGAAGCAATATCCACCAAGCCCCTCACTATTAATGAGGAAGCATGAACCTTAATACAGTAATTCGTATCACTGATATGTGCTGAAAGTAGTATATCTAACCGTATTTGCAGTGTCTATGTATGTTGTAGTAGACGACGTGAACGCTCAGGATGTCGCGCGCTTGGTCCTGGCACCCCTTACAGCGCAACGACGTTCATACATTACACACCAGAGTAAATCTGGTGGAGAATAACATGTCATTCACAATCTGTATGATGGAACGAGGATCAGAAAATGAGGTCTAACGCAGCCAAGAGAATCGACAGAATGTTGACATTCCGTCCCATGCCGCTTAATCAACTTAAAAAAATCGAAGTTACATATGCTAGAAACAACGAATGTGTTAGGTAAGATTGGGCTTTTTTTAAATTAAACAAATCGTAGCGATTTCGTTAGGGACTTAGTGCCACTGATGGCATATGGAAACAAACATATAGTTTTTCGTACAAAAACAGTAGAGGCGGAGGAAGAAGAGTACTGCGCCCTGTCTCTGAGTAGGATTATATGAAAAAATGTGCCATTTATACGCAGACTCAGGCAGCAACACGACTTTGAACCTCAAGCTCTACCGATACCCGTTGCAAATTTTGCAACGAATCCTCGATATAGCTGGAACAGAGGCTGAAGATACGAGAAACTCGTAGCCTGTATAATAGCAGCACTATTAGGTGTACATGTCACTGCTTTTAATAAAAGTTGACCTCTGCGTCAAGAAATCACTAATGAGTCAAATTTTGGTGTTGCCGTATGCTATATAATAGATTCATTCTATGTTTGTTGCGTAATTGACGATGGAGGAAGTAAACATGTCTACTCTTGGGGAGTACGGGACCCCCAAGCTGGAAGCCCCGGCTCCCGTGTTGAAGGTTGATGCCATGCCAAAAAAAGGTGAGATGAAAAATAAATTATTATAACCGTACAGAACCCAAAACCAAAGTTGTTATTGGCAGAAGATCACCTTTCAACCCCCTCGAGAAACTAGGTCTCATGTCACCTGTGAACAACAAGGGTTCTAAAAAAGTTGTTAAAGGAGATGACCCCATGCTCGAACATAATCCCCTATTGGGCAGGCTACCATTCATGCTCATGATTAGTGCCTCACTCATACTAGTATTCCTCACCGAGTATGTTGCCTGACGTGCCCAACGATATGATTGCAGATTGGTATTCAACAAAATCACCTTCAACGGACGATGCGCTTCATCAGTACTCTACCCAGCCGTGAGACCGGGAACAAAAGCAACAAAGCCATATATTGTGGAATTCGGTTATGGAGCGTGTGAATACAACCTTCAAACGGATGCCGCTAGGCGAGTGTTTTTCGGTTCCGAGGCGTCGGATGAAGGATGGCCTAAAACCCTCTTACAACCAGGTGTTACCGCACATGGTCACGCTGGAGCAGATGCGCCAAACGAACGAGTTTTTGCATTATTAGGAGGCCTTAATGCAAACATAATACGCAATTATGACGAGTATTTTAGATTATTCTGGAGTATGTTTCTTCATAGCAGCTGGAAACATCTGATATTCAATGTATTCTGTCAAATACAGGCATTGTGGATTATAGAACCGGTATGTCATATTATTAAACTTTTGACTAGATGTAGGATTGGGGCTTTCCTAGAACAATGGGATTATTCGTCATCAGTGGCATCGGTGGTAATTTAGCGGGAGCAGTGCTCTCCCCTTGCGGTACTACCGTAGGGTCTTCAGGGGCCATGTATGGGTTATTTGGAGCAATGATACCCTATTGCATAGGTAGGTCGAAATACTCATCTTATATCATGAGCAGAGTACTGGAACACCATACCCAGGCCCATATTCCTCATCAGTTACAACATTGTCACCCTGGTAGGCAATATCGATTTTGCAAACATATGTTTCAGCTGATAGGATTCGTCATGGGGCTTGCGCAAAACGTAGACAACTACTGCCACATAGTATGCTTTATTTGTACTTTTAAAATGCTTTTCAGGGAGGCTGTGTTTTCGGACTGCTGTGGGGGTTTGCGACCATCAAGAGTGTTTCCAGCTGTGATAAGTGTACAGTTCTAGAACGTTCTATGCTATCACCGCTCATCTCTTGGGCAGTACCTCAAAGGTTGAAAGCCAGGTTGCGACTCGCAATCGTATTCAAAAGTAAGTTTTGACTGGAGAAGCAACATACCGATAACAGAGGATCGAGGGGATCGCAAGAGGGAAGCTGCTATGGCCCAGGAAGCGGCCTTGCGAAGCGGAGTAACAGCTAGAAAGATTCAAAAACTTCAAAAGAAATTGAATAGACAAGGAGCTCCACCCTGTAGGATGAGGCTAAGAGAATGGATTCTCAGACTGGCTAGCATGGTGACAATGGTGAGATGAAGATACAATTGCATAATTTAAAACGCAGCTCATTCTCATTACTATTTCCACGCTCTTCCTTACTCAACCCGAGTTGTATGCCAACTATAGACCTCCAGGAGAATTCAAGTTCTCCGGTTGGCAAACGTGCGAATGCTGTTTCATCACGCAAGTCGAAAAGTTATTCAACGGGAACAAAGATTTCCCTGAACAGTACCGAAACAGGAAGCTTTTCTGGTGTTTTACGAAAATTGATGATGCCAAACACTTTTGCGGTGATAATTACGGTAGGTGACGAAGCAAACTGACTAACCATATACAGCGGACACTGCGCCAATGCATAATCTCCTGGAATCTTCACAAAATGCTGCACTGGGCTTATTAAGCACAGTTCAGGGGGCCATCAATTCTGTATAATATATCTAACAGTGCCACTCTGGCGATCGTTAATTTTGCAAAAGAGCATGACCCCAATTTTTTCATGACCCCCAATCTTTGTTAATGTGCCCATTGCACCTTTCCTGCGTCACAAATGTGCGTCTAATGGAAGGTTCATAGATGTTCTGGGCCATAACTTTCTAATATATCCCCGTAAAAATCAACACCATGGGAACCCACCATGTCGGGTAATTATCGGGTGCATGCTGGTATAGACAGCGACAGGATTCCTACGCTTCTCAGCTTTCATCCGTCAACAAACATATACCCAGAGTTAATGACAGCAGCTAACATGCTCCTAAACCTTGTTAACTGTCAAGCACCCATCACAGAGAGTACTTTTACTTTTTTGTATAACCATCGCACAAAGCAGACTTCTGAAATTTACCGGCAACTGTAAGACCTATTCAATTGGTACAATCGTTATACCCAGATCTCACCCATCTTAGGTGATGTTTTTTCTTGGTTTATAAGTGACCAGTTACAATAACAATTCTCTGCGTCACATCACCACCAAGCAGGGTGACATGGTAATGTCTAAAAGCTAAAGCTTGACAGCATTTTTAATGTTACAAATGACATATGCACGTCTCAGAGGAACAATATTACTCGGAATAGCATTCAACACGACTTTCATCGCACTGTCAGAAACTCGCATAAGTTACGAAGTACATATATCACCTCAGATAATAGAATGTATTGTTAGATGTGGTGTACATAAGATTAATGAACAGGTGTAACTCAAGGGGGTTTGTACATTGGAATATGCTCCACTACTGCGATCGAAGCTAATTTGCCATAAGAAGCTCAACCATGATAGGGTCAAGTGGTGCCTTGCCAATCACTGCATCGCAAATAGCAAGAGCGGTGTCGACGTCCAATATCTTGGCTAAGTAAAGCAACAAATGGAAATCGCTAAAAATCTTGGGATCAGAAGATTCAAAACCCTCAGCAAGCCTGCTAGATAAGAAACTCTTCACGGCATCTGTCGTAACCGGTTGAGTGCATCGATTTTCCCGTGGAAATTCTGCGTACTTGAAAATTGAGTTGGGAGTTATTGGTGCAGAGTCATTGACACGTATGACAAACCAACTTGGGTCAAACTTCGTTACCTCCTTCCCAGACTCAATAATTTGCGGGAGAATTTCATTCTTCTGTTTAGGCTCACGGATACGCAAAAACATAGGGTCACTCTGCACTTCCGATATGATACCATCACGTAACAACGCCATGGCCGTGTCAGATACCATAAAGGCATTCAGTGCCGGTTTACCCTCCGAATCCGGATGCAGCGTACAAGTAACGTGTGTTGACACGGGATATCCCGTGTAGTGAGTGTCGTAAACACGTTCCAATTGCACTTTTGCGCTGTCAATCACGTCCTGTGGCGACAGGTAATTCTCCCTAGGCAAATGCGTTATGATGTGCCCAATGCGCTCAAGCCCAAACCGATCAGCAATGAGATCAACGACTGGGAGGAAGTCATCCTGCAAGAACTCCACTTCACATAACGAAGACTTCTGTGGCGGTTCATATATGCCTTCGCAAACAGCGCGGATGCCAAGTGGGTAGTGAGGATCCTCGACATAGTAACCATACAGCCATCCCGCACGCTGTTCGGCCATCTCAAGATCGATCATCCAATAGTTTGCAAAACTGTGAATGTCTTTAACATTCATCAGTTCTATGTGATCAACATGTCGATACGGTTGGTGTTTTACAGTCACACCGGACGGTAACTGAAAAAATGTCAAAGGCATAGCGGGTTAACAAAATCCAGATAATGCGATCAATATTAAGTATAATTTAGAACTAGAATGAGCATGCATCGATAAATAATATGTGCTGCAAACATAAGCTCACCTTGTTCATTTTACCACGTTCTATAAGCACAGGCTTGTAGGATTGCTTCAACGCCAAATCCGATACAGGATATCCATTGTCACGTAGGTAGGCATCGAAAGACTTGAAATTAGGTTGGGAACCAGTATTTTGTGGTTCTATTGTCCATGAATCGCGGAATGTTTAAAACCCACCATCAGCGCTGCCACGCGAAGTAGTAGGCATAGATCCCGCAGGAGAAGGCTCTGACTCCACTTGGTCTGGATCGGGCTTACACATGGAGACATAACTCAGATCTTGTATTTTATCTGGGTCGGATTGGACGATAATCAGCCGTAGACAGGAACCATGCTCAACGCCGACGCTCGTAAGCGGGTCAACATCGCTCCCGCATATCTGACGCGCAATGGAACGGGCAATGCTAACACATACCTCATCGTTAGAATCTCCAACTACAAATTTTAGAGTTACACCTTCTGGAATTTGTATACGCTTCCGAATCTCCTCCTTGAGGTCCCCCAAAGTGGCGCCATCATCAAAGGCAATGCGGCTTATGCCAATGTTACTTAATACACGAATTATCAACATTTTAAATATGATATTGCGCCGCGTATTCGTAGATGTACAAAGCCACTTGACCGTATGGCGTCGTGCCTCGAGAGCCCCAACCAAGTAAAACTAGCGATAACCCGATCAAAGATTCACCATAACGCGTAAGTCCTACCTAGATATACTTTAATATCTTAGGTGTGCATTTATAATATATGTCTTGCGCCTGTATCGTAATTTTTGGCGTGCAATGAACCATGACCTACTGCCCAGCTAGGATTGGGCTTCGAGTCATGCCCATATGGCGGAATTTATAACAAAGTGAACACAATGGCGCTTTTAAACTTTAAGCATGCTGCACAGTGCCATAGACACGTGCCAAGATGACTATAGAGTCAATTTTTGGTGTTTTGTTTACTGCATCTGTGCTGATTTTGGCACCTGAAGCATGTAGAGGCGTATTGAGCCATAAGTTTCCACCTATAACTAATTGTAACGCTGTTTTAATAATTAGTGAAACTTCTCACCATGAAGCGAACATTGACATGCCTTTTAACTTGCGGCACCTTGGCCCTGGTCAATCTTTTGGCAATTGCATCGCTAACATGCTCTGCAATTGCCACGAGGCCAGGTATGGGTAATTTACGTTATAGGTTGGCGCGAAGAAAAAATTTCGATCCAACCAAAAATGGCAAGTGTGGCAGGGAATGCAGGAAGGTGACTGATGGGATCGAAAATTCTATTCCGAAACCGGTAAGATTCATAGTTAGGTTTCCCCAAAAGAACACACCTATATCGTTCCTTCAAATGAAAACGATTGTCAGTAATGATTACGTGAGTAATAAGGGGGTTGACGTTGTGACGCTGCCACACCTAAGAGTACATATCATGGAACCCTCGCCGGAAAGTACGCCAGAAGATCTAGAATCCGTTCGACAATATCTTATCAACCATGGTATTAACGTAGAGGATGATGATACAGTTTATCTGACTTCTGCTGGTGATTATAAGATCGCATCAACATCCACCGCAGCCAATCTATCAAACCGTGAGAATCCCACTGGCAATTACGGGAGCCACGTGAAATCTCAAGAAAAACAAACTAACGGTAATAAGAAAAAACCCAAAGTTGGCAATGGTAAAAAAGCAAAAAAGCACAACAAAGTTAAAAGGTCAGTGGACGAAAACAGAAGCGAAGCACCTAAGGATGAGAACAGAGGAGAAGCACCTAGGGATGAGAACATAGGAGAAGCACCTAGGGATGAGAACAGAGGAGAAGCACCTAGGGATGAGAACAGAGGAGAAGCACCTAGGGATGAGAACAGAGGAGAAGCACCTAAGGATGAGAACAGAGGAGAAGCACCTAGGGATGAGAACAGAGGAGAAGCACCTAGGGATGAGAACAGAGGAGAAGCACCTAGGGATGAGAACATAGGAGAAGCACCTAAGGATGAGAACATAGGAGAAGCACCTAAGGATGAGAACATAGGAGAAGCACCTAAGGATGAGAACATAGGAGAAGCACCTAAGGATGAGAACGACCCAAATAAAACAAAGGATACTGCTGCAGCAAATAATGGAGGCGATAATAACCAGGAGGAACCGCCGAACCGTGGAAACAAGACAGAGGCAACAAACGATTCGGACACGGAGGAGAGGCCAGAAATTAAAAAGGAAAAGGAGGTGTTCACATATGCTAAACAACAATGGTATATAAGTACTATGCAGATCAGCATAGCGATGGAAAAATTGAGAACCCTCAAAACCTCACCTATAAAAGTTTGCATAATAGATACTGGAGTAGATTATAACAACAAGTCTCTATTGCATGCATTCGTGCCTGGTAACGAACAACCTGAAGGAAACGGTGAAGAGGCGAATGAACCAGAGTATGGCATCGATGCCATTGAGGAAACCTACGACCCAATGGATCAGCATGGTCATGGAACAGCCATTGCAGGGTTGATTGCCGGTAGGATGACAGATGGTTACGGGATAACTGGTGTAAACCCTGATGCACGTATCATAGCCTGTAAAGCGTTTGACACGGAACTCAAAGGAAGGTTAAGTAATGTGCTGAAGTGCATCAACTACTGTATTGACCGAGGCGCAGATGTCCAGAATCACAGTTGGACCTTGCCTGGATCCAGCTTAACTCTTTTAAACGTGTTCAAGATTTTAGAACGAAAGGGGGTGCTTGTGACGGTGTCTGCCGGCAATATGCTGCCTGGCGGTCCCAAAGAACCGGATATAAGACTCGAACATGTAGTGCCTGCAACGTACACTTCATTCTTTTCTAATATGGTAACCGTAGCGGGTTTTCAGCGAGTGAGCGAAGAAGTAATGGCAGATCGCATTTCCAAGTGTAAATCGAGGCGGGCGAGATCTGATACGTGTGTCTCCAGTAGTTTGGAGCCTTACGAGATGTATTCTAACACACAATATGGAATACACATATGTCAACTCGTGGCGCCTGCCAAAGATCTCTATACCCTAGGATTGAACAATACAATGGTTATGGTCGAAGGTGCGTCGTTTGCGACTGGAATTATGTCGGGTATAGGATCTCTAATGCTCTCTGCAGTATTTCATAATCTAATGGTGGCTCCAACGGTGCTTCCGCAGTTCTTTAGACACAGTATAATGAAACTAAAGGATGCCCAAGGCAAGGTACGTTGGGGAGGATACGTCAATGCTCTGCTCGCCTTGAATAATATAAGCGCATACATTGATCATCACCATAGGAAACTGAGAAAACGTAGGGCTCTGTTGAATCAGAAAAGGATGTAGATGTTGAAACTGGATGATGGATGACAAAGAATGACAATCCCCGCAATGTAACAGTTTTGATGTGAATTCCAGCAAAAGCAAAGTCAAGTCGACAGTTTTAACCTTTTGTAACACCCCGAAACGAGTCGTCGCGCGGGAGAAAGACAGACATGACCCCTGAATAGTCGTGCTATGGCGTCCATCTGAAGGTTCATAGGCCACCGCATTGTGCTTCACAGCAATAAACGGCGTTTAGCCAACTAGGAGGCATATGCGGTTGTGATACCTTAATATGGATTTTAGATTTTGGTATTAAAACTGCATATTATTAGTCACAAGTCGGGTAAAGAGAAACTTGAGATTTTCCCTTCTACTTGATAACTCAAAATTTAATTTTTTCCTGCCATGTACACATTTGTATACGATTCCGATTTTGCTATGTAACGCGGCCTTCTCGCCAGATTTGCGACTCTTTCTATGGCAAGATGTGCAAACTGTTTGTACTTCAATGATGCAACAGAGTTTTAAAATCAACTCTATCTAGCGACATGAAAAATATTACTCACGAAGTATCACAGACATTAGAGGAACTAACTAGATCGTAAATTCCTAAACGCAAGACATACACACAGATTCGTGGCACGACAAAATTACGAGTGCTTTTAGAGCGATCATGGCGATTGTAACCAAACACGGGGGACAAATGTTGGACTTGTGTACAAAGACAGGTTCAGGGCGAACGCAGTTATAACCAACTGCAAATGGCGAGTGCGAAAATGTGTGAGTTGATGGGCCACCTAGGACATAGGGAGCATATCAGTCTATTATTAAGCGACACCTAGTCCACCAAACAACCAATAACCAAACGGGTGAACAGCAGCGCTAGTAAGCTCTGGTAGTATCATGTTTAGAGGTTTATGCAAATATATTTGGCCTAGAATGGACTATATAATAGTCTGTGTAGATGGGGATGCCACCCAAACATGCCCTATACAGATATTGCGACTTTATTGGACGAATAATGCCCAAAGACGTAAAACTTCGGTGAAGGAGGCGCTTCTTTCACAGGCTGAAATATTAGAAAGTGTTATTTGATGTTGGCGACAAAAAAGCGGAACCAATAGGGGCGCAATACTGCAGTCACACCGACAACTCACGCCACCCACGGGTCAAGTAATAACGCCTACGCAGCAATATATCACGATCAACGATTATTATACATTTTCTATGGTCTATGATCATTAGTTTTTGCATCTTTGCGTAGAAATTCGTCTACAATTCTACCGTCTCTTTTTGTGGCATACACAGATCCAGATAGCGTATTACTGAGCGATCCGAAGTCTACGGCGACAAGAACTAAAATCGCGAACAACTATCAACGGTTGTAGAAGGTCATTTCTGTGGCATTTGGATGAGAGTATCTCGAAATTGCAGTGTGTAGTTCCTCTCCAATCGTCGATCGTCCACCTATCGAAAAGGTGTAATGTCTACTACACATACCGTGATGCTGGTAAGTTAAGCAGCTACGTATTAATCGATATGAATTGAGAAGAAGCATAGATGTGGCATAGTTTGAGAACTGCAATTGGAAGTTATTTTTATCGGTGCTCCAATCTCGAAGGATGTTAGCAATCTCAAGATGGTTAGGTGCGACGTTTCAGGTGCCAAGTTCCAGAAGTCGACTTTGATACTAAGGGTGTATTTCCTTGTTGCTCTACTCGGTATCGCTAGTCTTACCACATTGGTACGAGCGGAAGATGTGGCTGATGTACCTGAGACACCTAAGGTATCTGGTGACTCCGCTAATGTTACAGGTTGGAAAAATATCTTCAGTGATATGAACCCCTTCTTCATCATCGCTCTTGTAATGATATTTCTGACTGTTTTAGGCGCCATCGTTTTTCTGGCGGTATACGGGACTAAAGGTGGACAAGGCATTGGAGCCATCGCGTTTTCTGTCATTATGATTCTTATACTCACCCCCCTTATTTGCTACTTTCTATTTAAGAATCATACCATTCCCGCTCTCCAACGATTTATGTCAAAGTATGACATTATGGTCTTCCCGGGATGGACACAAAAGGCTTCCAATGATGGGAAGTCCTCGATTGCCGAGAAATTGGACACATCGTATCTACGTGGGTTATTTAAAAAGTCAAGTGAAGCAGCGACGGAATCATAGGCGCTCGATATTATAGGCTAGGTCATTCCGTCCAACTGGCCTGAACAAAATGCTAGTTTTTTCTTAATGTTTAGCACTGCAGTACACTAGGTTGCAATTACCTTAATGAGCTTGACGTGTCACTCAATCTCTTAAACATGCGGTGCGTTGTTATAGGTGCCGCCAAAAATTTTTAGGCGTACCTTCCCCAGAGGCGGAGAGCGTCTGGCGGCTTTTAGCTCTATCAATAGCTCTCGTCAGCACGGTAAGGTTATTGAACAGGTATCGCATCGTTTTTGCTTCGCCGTTAAAGAGTGGCGGGAATGCATGCTGTTTGATTATTCTACGACGAGCCGCGTTGAGCGAAAAAGCTTGTTGCTAGATGACAACAAACACCAACTCGATATAATAATTAATGTATGAAACAAAATTTGAACGACATTAAAAGTGAGTTTTCACGTTACTGTGCTACGTAGGCTGTCTGGGAGTTAGCAAACAAATTTTTAATAACCACCGAAGACGGAAAGCGTAGCTACCTGGGCGGGGCCGCCAAAGGCAACAGCGAAGCCGATAGTTTTTAAAATCTCTGAAAGTCACAGCTTTATAGGCAATTCAAGTTGCCACTGCTGATCGCGTAATTACACGCATTGCCACTAGCGCAACATAGACTTGGTGCCAAATTTCACCTCCGCTAGCGTCTTCCTATACATAAAAAGAAACCCAAGATTAATCCTATGAAAAGCACGGTGCCTAGATAGCATGCAACTACCATCCCTGTGACCGTCTCAAAAAATGGCACGCTTGAGTAAAGTGCGTCTATGCGATATGCGTAATACGAGGTTATGACGAACAATATGGCGGTTACCAGGGTAAGAATTATACCTAAAATCTTTTCATGGCCTTCTAGCTTCCCACGTGCAGCTATCTCATACAACAAATAGGCCAGGCAAATGGCGCAGAAGAGCAATGCTAAACATAGCACTATCAGATTGTGCTCAGGTGATTTAAACAGACCGAAACGAGATGTGTCAAACGGTCTTTCGCCCGTAATCATAGACGCAGCCTCACTAACTTTACTGACTCCTTCCATCTTTTCAGCACAAACGAGAGATATGATTGATAGGCTAGCCAAACTCGATGACATGATAGACGATTTATGACAGTTGGCAGCGGAAAACAGTTCACTCCTTCGATGATATTGATCTCTGTATCTCTAGTGTCCCACGTTATTCGATCTGAATCTGTTTTTTACATGTACCTCAGCCTTGTACTAATATACCATGCCTATCGCAGTTTCAGCGTGTTACGGCTTCAAATTGCGCTCCAACTGGACAATACAGTATGTTATAAGTTGCCAGATTGTTCCATATCCTTCCACATATAGCCCCATCCACACGGAAGACGGCGACAATCTAACTGTCATCCACATACCTCGAACAATACTATTCTGGTACGACGATAGCGCAGATTGGAAGACTTACCGTGAAGCCATATATATGACATCTAAATTGTAATGCCTTCATTTTGCCAGCAAAATGAAAGACTGACGAAGTGTCAAATTATTCATTGCTCGGCATGCCTTGTAACACCCGTACAGTCCACCTCAAATCTGAGGAATTCGTCTTAAATTGTGCCGCAGTCACATTTTGGAACACATTACTGCATTAGCAAAATAACCCTTAGTGTTGTTTAAAACGACACTCTCGAGCTAGTACATTCTCTTTCAACTCCTCGGCCTATCAGGGGGTTGGCGCCATGAGCCATCCAGGGATACGGGATTCTGTTTCGATACCATTGCCATGAACTACAAGCTCTATGGCATTTGATGTAACAGACAATGTCCAATCCATCTCCAATCAACTCCGCCGTGATCCTTGCCATCAATTAATGTGTCTTCCTGAGAGAGTCTCGCATTTTATGCATGTCACTGCCCGGTATGAGGAATACCATGACAGGTGTTTGTTGACCAATATATGACGCATCTCCCGTTTCAGCTTGATATATCATCTTGCAATGACGTGCCCTGAAGATGTCACGGAAGAGTTTATATCCGAGACTTTGTCGGCATTTCTCTCAATCTCAAGATGCCATTAAGCGTTCCAAAGATTGATTTTCACGTACTAATACCATAAAGATGCTCTAGGAGTCTTGGTAAAACGCGAAACGGCCGCGGCGGATCCCATGAAATGTATTTAGCCCACAGAAGGCAAAAGGGATAGCATGGGCAAGTTTAGTTAGAAGCATGTATCTCTAGTGTTTTAAATTTATGTGTTATATCTCTATCTTTCGTTGAATATCAATAAAAATCGTTTTTCGGCGCGATTTACCAACGCCCCCAGGGGACGCGGTGAAGAATATAGAGAGTCTACCCAAAAACGTTCACGCATTACCTTAAAAGTTAAGTATTATTTAGGGAACTTAGAACATAGAACAACACCGTTATCCATGTTGTTGTTTAAGTAACGTGAGATGGTCTCAACTCAGCCAATGCAGTATAGCGACCGCAAAGTGTTCTGCTTTAATCCGCATGAGACAATCAAAGATATTTTTTTAATGTCAGACAGTTTATGGTGTTTGTATGGGAGTGGTCCACGTACGTTGCGCGTAAACTCCCTGACCATGTCTAGGAACAACCATTATTGACTGTGTCACCCATTTTTCGCAATGTAGAGCACTGAATTGCCAATTTAGAGTTACTGGCGTTTTGTTTTTGTTTTAAACCGTGTCGAATTGTCGCACATCACCAATGTGAAAGGTGCGTAGTATGTTGATGCTCTGCTAATGCCCATATTAACTTTGACTATTAGTGGAACGTTCTATTAAATAGAGTAAGTATATAGTCCATGGTCATAAAATGTGTTTTGGCATTAATTTGTTGAGTAAAAGATCACGGTTGCTTACCCATTGTTATCTGGAATCATCAATAATAAAGCAGTCATATCACATCTGTTGATAATGTACGCTAATGCGCCGCATTACACGATATGTAGACAGAATCGACAATGCTAATGGTTTATTTGATGTTATACTTTAAAATACCGTACATTGGGGCCATACAGTTTTATGTGCGAACGTAATGAAGTTCTGTATCTCGTATGACAATTTTTGATTACAAATGTCGTCGATAGTTGAGGTTGTAACACAGCTAAAAGCGATCTGACAGTCATATTAATTATATGTTTTGCCTACTTTACAAATGACTCATTGATTACCAACAAGATTGTTGGAATTCGTCTTGTCAGCTGTTGTACTACGTTTGAATCTTCTCCGAATTGCTTCAGCGAGAAGGTCCAGTAAATGTGAGCGGTAAAGGCAGTAGATGAAAGGAATTAACAGAACGAATATTACGGCAAAAATGGCATTCAAGTCCGTTTCATCAGCGTTTTGTGCGACTCCATGCAGTAAAACCGCTACAAAGCACAGGACAATGGTAACTCCGAGAATGCCGAGGGCGATTTCGATTACAGTGAAATGATGTCCAAACAAACCCATATAACAAGATAATGACAGCATTGCTGCTGTAAAAGCTAGAGCGAGGCATATGAACGTCTGTGTTGAGTCAGCTAGTTTTAATAGAGTTCCATTGGAGGTTATAGTTTCTGAAAATTTTGACAAACACCAGTATCAAAAACACCAATATAACCACACCAAATGCTATGAATAGCCTCTGCAATATACCAAATGGCAGTTTGAAGTAGCACTGACGGCAAGCAGCCAGGGTGAATGCAATCAAAAAGATGACGGAGAGAAAGATGAATACATAATCGGAAATTAATGCAGTTTCTGCGGCCGTTTGCGTCTGTTTAAATATCTTCAGGGCAAACAACACAAGGCAGCTGAGGAACAGTAGGATGCCAAAGCACAGACAGCCATTCTGACACGTCGACACGCTCCCGTCAGAGTGGTATAGATAACAACCGTAGACAATAAATGCGACCAACAGTAAGTAACCAAAACAGGAGAAAACGTATGTAGCGGCGATTTTATGCATATGAGGATTACGAGAGTCGCCACCTTTTGACAGGGATGTGACCATGGCAACGAAAAGGCAAATCAGGGACAATACCCCAAGCACAGCGAAGGTTTTTTCTCCAGCCGACAAATTTCCAAGCTTTTGACCTAGATTGACACTTTCTGATTTCTCGGGCTCCTCTGCTTTAACCGTTTTCATCAACGCTCCTAGCAGTAGGAAGGTCATCTGGGTAACGGGTGTCCCCAAAATACCATATCTCACTCCGCTGGCCTTTTTCATCTACTTAGTACAAACAAATGTTGATATTGTTGCGAGATTCGTTGGTATAGATGAAATTGTAGCTGTTGGAAGTGAGTTGAGGGGAAGCTTTAATATGTCAATGGAGCTCACTGCACCAACAAAATATAACGATAATAGAAATAATACTAATCACAACGTCGATTTTGACGATTATACAGCCCTTCTGCTAATACACAATGCCTATCAAGGCGACCGTGGATTTGCCATTGAAAATTGAACCACCTCCCTGATCCTACGTTGTTAAGAGGCCATAAATCTCGGCTTGTATCATAGTCACCGCAGGGGTGGCATGACTACCTTGGCGTATTTGTAGATGTTGTCTAGCATCACCATCCCAAACAGCATTGTAGTTGCACATTATGGACAATTAAAGTTTCGATGCCTTGGCATGTCCTACGATAGGCAAGCGCATTGGTCGATAGTGGTTGTCTGTTGTGTCGACACCTCTGCTGAAAGGGCGATACAATAACCAGCATAAAGTGCTATTCCTCTGTACTTGTACTTCGAGCAGTTCTATGTGATGTCCAAATTACTTGGTTTGCCGTCACCCAGTGTGCCGAGTACGGTGGAATGCATTTCGTGATGCTGCCGCACAGTCCTCTTCTCATCTTGAACTTTCATAGTATGACGACGTGATCATTCTGTTGTCCTCCAACTGGTGCATGTTGCCCCTCTTGCGAATTATTAAGCCATATAAAGCGTTGCCTGAATTGATTTATGAGTAAGACTGTCACCAGATGGTGAGATGACCGTAATAAGTCCTGTAGGTTGCTTAAAAATCCCAGTAGATGGAAAACTAGTAGGATGACATGATTAAATAACGAAATGATCGATAGGGACTAGTTGTGTGATGTAATATGGTGACTACCCATCTGCCACACCATTCTTGGGCGCATGCATTCATAGGGCAAGGTAACCCATAGACCCCCCCCCGAAGGACTTTCGAGGCGACATCTATAGTGTAACAAGAGAACAGTGTATATTAAGTAGCCGTGAGAGTATCGATGTACGAGGCAACGATCTAGACCATCAAAGTTATTGAAAATTAAATATGCGCAACACTCGCCACCTGTCATTCTTGCATACTACCAGACTTCTCTGATACATTTTTTACCAAGTAGAGACGCCTACCTTAGTGCTCATTAAAGGCTAATCGTGCGAATGTTGACACCAGGAAGGAGTTCTGCACATGGGACAGGTACCGACGCGCAAGTCTCCATATGTCCGTGAAGCAACTTGTTTGTTAATGCTAAACTAAACTGGCATGCTGTACAGCATTATACTATTTCGCTTGCGGTGCTAGCGCAACGTTCTTTGAATGATGTAGTCAGTTACGCCTCCGCGTTATGTGGATTTGAGACATGTGCTTGAATTAGGCGCCAAAAATACTATGGCCAATGTTATTAATGATAGTTATACGTGTTTTAGTGTAGCAGGATGTCAAGATTACTGCTGTAAGTCTGATATCAACTGTTGAATGCTTGGTGTGTATATACCACGATCATGCATACACACGAAATAATAGATTCATGGTGTCTAAGTTATCACGGTAGCAAATTGTATCATATGAGTTGGTTTGACATAGTGACATATTTGTTGAGCGTCACAGTTTACTAGTATTGGGGTTAAGAGTCGGTGCCAATGCGTCGCCTGAACTACAGTGGGATTAATTAACGTTTGACACTTATGCCTATACAATATACCCGCCGAAATACAGCACTCCGGTGAGAGCTGATAAGGAACTTACTTATGAGAAGATGAAACCAATATACTGCCCATTAGCAATACTTATCGGCGTAGTCTTTACTTCTAAAGCAAAAGTACTTGCCCTCCAAGTACATCACCTGCAGTTTTAGTATAATGTTTTCTGGGTTTTTCTTGATGTAGCAGCACTTGCAGGTGCTGCTAAAGGCACTTGTAACCTCCGAATTCAAACGTATATATAGGGGCTCATAGTACATTAACATTATCATGAGCACCAATAAAATGACCTGCATATAAAAGTACGAGATCAGCGTTGTTAGAACATACCAAAAGAATAGCACTCATCGCCCTCGTTACAATGTCACGAAGTCTCATGCGATAAGGGCCCAAAGGGTATATGCCAAATAAACGCTTGACAAATGACCAATGGTTTGCTTTAGCGGCTGCCAATTGTTCGTATTGAAGTTTATCCATCTCTTCAATCTGACTAGATTTTACTACATTCCGTTTCCATTTTGTTGTGCTTGTCTCACTCAGCCAGCGTGAAAACAACTGCAACACTAAACGCTGATGGAGGGCACCTCCGTCAAACAAAGTTACCGATTTTATTGTTGCGAAGCCGTAGAGTATACCAAACAGATAACTACCCTGAGACCACGTTTGTAACGTCACCGAAGTCTACGTGATGCATGAATGAATATACCAACCCATGGGCAAAGAGGCATCGTGTAAACAGCATGGCATTACATACAGTGAAAGTCACCAGACGGATCCAAAAATGGAAGCCAGAGTTCAACACTGAAACAGCATCTATCCACACATAATCAATCGGGAGGAAAATGCATCAAAAATTCATGACCCCAATGCAGTACATATACGGTTCTACCTCATGAATTAAATAGCTCATGCAAAAAGTACACCTTTGTTGTCATCAGGAATACTATGAACCTACCAGATGTATGTGAAGACCAATGTTTTTTTCCTTCACCGCTAGGTCCACCATAGGAACCACCATACTCATTATCAGAATTACTGTGGGTGATCCCATTTTATGCCAATGCTCCACGCAATATGGTATCATAGCTCCTAAGAAACCGAAATGAACTCCTGAAGATCCCACCTGCCGGAGACAGGGGATGAAAACCGCGCCGACTAGGTATCCGCCACATCCGGTGACAAAATATCCAACCAGTGTTCTACAGAGACCCCAGTCCTAAACATCAGTGAAACGGTGCGACATATTGGCTCAGTTTATGCATCATTTATGCAAACTAACTGGTTCGATGACGTAGAATACGATGCAGTGTAGCAAGACATTATTGAGCAGATGCATCCAACCTGCGTGTAATGTTATGGCTGTAACTATCCTGAACCATTCTCCATAAATTCGAATGTAGTTTGTGTCTACAGCTCCCAATATATTCAAAGCACGCGAATTGGAGTCAAATTTTCGCTGTTGACGAGAGCCGCCTTCCGTCAGGAGCAGAAACGGGTGCCTTTCGTCATTTCCGCAATGGCAGTGACTTACGCTACCCCTAATGACGTTGGTGTTGCTTTCACAAGCACTGTATCCGAGAGGTGAATATATAGGTGATCCTAATAGGCTGGAACTGTAATCGACATTCCCCACACAATGACCACTGAATGTTGTCCTTGTCACGATTAGACTGAACGTTATTGAATTTCTCGTTTCAATGTATCACAGCGATGGCTATGAAACGCTAGATCAGTATGACATATGGTTTCTAACTACACTGTAAACACCAAATATCGAGTGGAGGAAACTAACCTGAAGATGAAGGCAACGATGTAGACAACCAAAGCACTTCGGAGTACCGTTAGTTTGCTGAAAACGTCCTGATGAGTCGGATCCTTTCTTATGCTGCATTTTAGGGCGTTAATAAGAGATTCTGTACGTGTAATTACAGTTCTGAAGAACCTGGCTAGAGGTGACGTGGGTGGTTCATCCGGAGTGGAGGATGAATTTCTGTCTTTTACGTCCGTCGAACCTACTCTTTCTTCCATCGTCCAATGATATTACGTAGTCTAGACGTTATCATCTGTATAAATGAAGCATTATTGGAACGTACTAGTGATCCACAATTTGAACCACCGAGGGTGGATTAACGTAGCGGTAGATTTTGAGGGATTGGCCCATGGCCCTCTTGACTCCAAAAATTCTTTGGCGCTGCCACTCATCGTTTACATACCCAGGAGAAACTAATGACGAACAAAGCGCCCTGTGGAGTTGCGAGTACAAAGTGCCAATTGACTCCTGTGTATGTGGCATTGTAGCACGGGCGATGAAACAACCCCATGGCATTATGAGAAACGTAAAATATATCTGGTAGAAATAAACGGCCCTTTACACCACAACACCATACACTAACTCTTGAGAGCAAAGTAATGGAGATACGCCATAATGTACTTAATTTTTATGTCAGGTGGCCGAATCTGTGGATTCATTCCCAATCATCATTAAAATTTGAATAACATAGTTTTCTACCCATGATGTTCGCACAGTTTGCTTCAGTCTGCCTTTTTATCTCACGTTCGCATTTTTACATAGATATAGACACGAGCAAGGATTGGGTAACCGTACTAGGGTGTCAGCATTAACACATACACTTCACATCCATACAACAATGTCTATGCCTATCAATGTTGTATGTAAGACATATTATCAGTAATATTCGTCAACAAAATCATATTAGACATGATTATTTGTGTGACGAATCCTTTGTTCACTTGAATTTTACCTGAAATTTGGTTTCACTTTTTGGAGTGAAATAAGTGTTATCTGCGATATCAAGCAGTTGCAACAGCGACTCTCGTTGCTTCGCAGGCTGATATATCCATTCGTCAATGGGTTCAGGTACTTTGTACTCCGTTTCCCCATCTATGGTACATGTTTCACAGCCTTGTTGCGCTAGGGCATCCATGACTCTTTTCGCCGTCTCCTCGTCGGGTTTTCTGAACTCATATTTGTTTCTTATCATATAGCATACTTTAGATTTATCTCCACTGATGAAGGAAATGCATTCAGTGGCATATCTTTTGTGTTTGTTGCAAGGATGGCCAGCCATTCCAGATCATAGCACAAATTTGTTTGATCATCTTGTTTACGTTTCTGGTTCTTGAGAGGCGGTATGGACATGAACTCAATAAATTGTCTTCGTGGAAGCGGCTTGTCCAAAGCTAGGAAGTACGTGCTTCCCTTCTCATGTTGTACAGTTGCCTCGAACCGTACATGTAAATGAGCTGCAAACCAATAGCGTGGTTGTAGTTTCGTCAGCAGTTCCCAGGTGTATGGATTACCAAGTTTCCATTTTTCTATATCGAATCTGAGGTGTGGTTTCCTCCTAATAAGAGATCCAACATCGCCAGAACGTTCAATGCCTTGTGGCCAATCATGCGATAAGAAAATGTCGATCGGCTTTTCAAGCTGTATAATATACGATATTGAGTGTGAATAGCACATACCAGCAAAAGTTTCTTAACATCGTACTCACGGATGTGATATGCTGACCGTTTAGTGGATTCGTCGTACGGTGCTGTCTCGAAGAACCCTGCGTGATAAGAGTTAGCATTCATTTCACATACCTCGAGTGTAATCTCTGCTGTCATATATCCCAGACAGTCCTGCGATGCGCAACCCGTTAACATTCACAACTCCTGAATGTCCCATATAATATATGTTTTTTGCGACCCATCCTCCGAAATACCTGCAACAATTATTTTATCGAAAAAATGTTATATAGTCACATTTTGCAAATACACTGTTGCAATCTGTACACAATTTTAAATAATAGTGACTAAATCTGGCATCCCCCGAGGGGGAGTAGACGTTTTTCTAACACTACGGTTTTGATCAAATATAAGTTGAACCCAGGGATCACATTTCAGAGAGCAAAGAGACTTACAAATCCTTCAGGAATGCTGGTGCTTCGTGGTTACCTCCGACAAATATCGTGAGAATTGGAGCTACCTTTGTTCCGTTGTAATACTCTCTGAAATCACGGTAATGCTTGTATTTCGGCGGACACGCCAGGTCTTCTAGATCTGATTCGTTGCGTATAGCTTGAAAATCGCCACAGCAGAGCAATAGATCGACCTTTATGTTGTCGGCTTCTTCCTTTTCTTTAATTTTTGCATATATTAAATCAAGTTCCCCGTGAACACATCCTTCCACCGCCACCTAAGTCATTAGAACCGTTTTCAATCTCACTTACGTGCATTTTATGTGTTGTGTTAACGCTATGAAAGCGCAAATGTAATGTGTGAGTGTGCCCGTTCTATGGGTGGCGTCCACACCCAATTCCCGGGTATTTTGGCATTCCATACATGCTAATTATTGCCCATTTTTTACACCTTTAAATTAAATACCGGGTATCGACGCAAGTTCCGCCTTTGAGGCGTCCGGCGTCTAATCCCTGGTTGACTTGACGCCACTCGTATTATAGGCTGTCAAAATACCAAGTTTTTCGTTTCGTCGCTTCTTGAGACCGGCACACCCATAACAGTATGAATGTTTGTGCCATTTTGGCTGCTGTGAGACAGCAAATATCGGTAGGTGTATTTTTTGTGGTTGTTCAGCCGACAGGGATGTTCCATTTCATTTCCTGTGTACCACATTGCCCGTTTTAATTTTAAATTACAGGCATCCATTTTGCCAGAGAGCAAGTGGGTGATAGCTACCATCTACGTTGTGGCACTTCTCTTATTGATTATACGTCTGTATACAGGTTGGTACCACCTGACCATGATTATCACATATTCCAGGTGAACCATATCGCCGTTTGTTATCGCAAGGTGCTAGTGTTAATCGATGTAGGTAGTTTCGTGTGTTATATATATTTTATAGGGGACCCGTATGGGACGGATTTCTATATGCATAACAATCTAAGGATTAGCTTGCGTATGGTTGCGTTGATTACAACGCTCCTCACGAATCTGCTGCCACTGTTGCTGCCACTGGTTGTGAGCTCATTCTTCAATCGTATGCAATTGCAACATGCTGCGCAGCAAAATTAACGTTGAGGACTAATGTCGCACCGCTGGTGTCTGCAGACGGCGGCCTGTGAGTGCACGTAAAAATAACAAAATGATGAATTATCTGACTTTAGCAGAACAAGTTATCGCTTTTATCGCGATGACAGCCCACAGGGCTACATTTGGTTAAAATGTTGTCGTATGATGCCTATATTTGATATGAATCCTGAGATCGCTCTTTCTGCCTTTTCGCAAGCTAGTCGATCATCGGCATCTTGGGTATCATATATTGTCATGTCCTTAATCATCGCTGGGACATGCCTTGACAATGCTCTTTTGATGCGTTGTAGTTCGTATGAGTTCGATTCCATTATCGCGTGTAGGTCGTCTAGAAGGATCAATATGACGAATAGCCACATGGAAGAACTTTCATGAATATTTTTGCCTTTTCCATCACACATATAGTTTGCCAGTTCATGTAGAAGCCGGTGCAGTGTAGCGAAGCTAATACCTGCTCTAGCTAGGTCGATTGCCTCGGGAGGTTCAGAGCCAAATAGTTTAGCCCTTTCAGATTCGCCCAGATTTTCCAAAACCCCTGTCGTAGGTTCGGCTTGACTGTACCCTCTCAATGTGTAAAAACAATGTTTCAAAAGAGCACATTTTTCTTCTGAGCTGGGCTGCCTGATCCTCTTGCCGAGTTTATCTTTCATGTCTTTGAAGTATCGCAATTCGTCTTCCTTTATTTTGAACCTTGGGTCGGTATCCATAGACTCCATAGATATTTTTTTGAGCCTTTCGAAGTGCGCTGCTGTTCTTCCACGCCCGGCTGGTCTGGGTTTGCGCGGTGGTACGATGATGATATCATCATACAAAACATCATTTTCCTTAGGTCTCGCAAGATATTCATCCAATGTCATGCGTATTACCTTTGGAGACGTATACATGATAGTATAATTTTCTCCATGCCTAAATTCGATCGTCATTGCGTAAGTTGTATGGATCAGTTCAGTTAATCAAAACAAATTTTTATTTTCAGGATTTTTTTGGGGCGCGTCTCGCGGCGTATGACAATAACAACGGCGTGATATTATTTCAAATGATTCGGATTCACAGTTCCACAGGGCTGCGCCAACGTCCACGGGACGTACCTCGTTGTTTCTCCACGGTTTGGATTTAAATGCTGTTCCTTACTTAATTGCTTCCGAATGGTGGATTGCAGATAGGGTGTACATTTATGAGCGTGGAATCCTGGAACCTTTCTTGTTTGCTTTTAAAAAAATTAAAAGTGATGACTAACCGTTCCCTTGGAGCCTCGGTTAGTTGCCTCATTCGCTAGTACCTTTGGATGGGGTGGCAAATATGCGTCTGCTGCAGCCACGTACACATGAGCTGTTATATTTTGGCCCGCATTGGCTATTATGTTAGTGCTATTGGAGACCCCGGCGGGCTACGGCCTCTTCAAGGTGACAGACTCGCGTCTGCTGGAGTGCAATGTTGAGGATGTCCCTTCGTTTTTTCGGGACGGTGACTCTGCGCGTTCATCGTAAGTTTACGCATTCACTTCCTTTTATATAAATAATATGGATGTGTTGTTTGTAGCCATGAAAAGTTAAGAGCCAAACGAGACTTCTGGCTTACCTCTTTTCCACACAGTCAATTTATACCGGCTGTCACGGATTTGTGGGCGTGCCCGATGGATTATTATAGCCTAAGTGTATCACTGTTTCATCTGATTACACCGTTTGCGGGCTGAAAAATTTTTTCTGTTGCCCTGGCGCGGCATCTATGTATTGCTTCAACCGTTATACGTCCATGATATTTTATGTATATTGAATATATCTATTATTTATAGTTAGTTTAAACGCATGCCAAAGTTGTTCGATTCACGATCAAGGTCGTCAAGCAGGCCGATAGCCTGGACAACCATCACGTCAACCTTTGTTATACGTCCATGATATTTTATGTATATTGAATATATCTATTATTTATAGTTAGTTTTAACATTTGCTCAGAGTACAGCTTTCGGCGTTTTCAAAGTTCAACAGTACTGATGATGCGCTTGAAGAGGCAACTGCCCTTTCGGAGTCGCGTCTGGGCAAACAGCTTAAGCGTATGCTGAAAAAGAAGGTCGCTTCTGCGAAGGTGGTAGAGCCACTGGCTGTGTGCGATAAGTTGTTGGCCGTTGAAATCCAAAAGAAGTTGAAGATTGATGTTGTGTACAATCCTACCACAGTGGAGATCGCTCGTGGCCTTAAGAGCCAGTTTTTTGAGTTGGTAGCCGGAATATCAGAGGCAGACTGTAAATCTATGTCTCTAAGTTTATCGCATTCTCTGGCAAGGTTCAAACTGAAGTTTTCTCCCGACAAGGTTGACGTGATGGTTGTCCAGGCTATCGGCCTGCTTGACGACCTTGATCGTGAATCGAACAACTTTGGCATGCGTTTAAAGGAGTGGTACGGCTGGCACTTCCCCGAGCTTTCGCATATTGTGCCTGACATGGCACTTTACTCTCGTACCGTACGACAGATTGGCATTCGGGGGTCTACATCTTTGGACAATTTGGAGACCTTTTTACCTAAGGACGTCGTGGATGAGATAAAGAAGGCCTGTGAAATCTCTATGGGTTCAGAACTCTTGAGTGACGACTTGGAAGCAATCACAGAGCTGGCCGAGCGTCTAGAAGAGATGCTCACTTACCGTGCCACATTGGAGGAGTATCTGCGGGTGCGTATGCGCGCTTTGGCACCCAACTTAACCCATATGGTTGGGGAGGTGATAGGCGCGCGATTGTTGTCGCACAGTGGTTCTCTGATAAACTTGGCCAAACACCCCGCATCCACGGTACAGATACTTGGTGCCGAGAAGGCTTTGTTCAGGGCGTTGAAGACAAACGCACCTACACCAAAGTACGGTATCATCTACCACGCAGGGTTCGTTGGCCAAGCGCAACCTAAGCACAAGGGCAAGATATCACGTATTCTTGCAGCCAAACTTGCGCTGTGTGTGCGTGTAGACGCCCTACAAGACAGTCAGGAACCCACGGTTGCAATTGAGAGCAAGCGTTATGTTGAGCAGAAACTGGCCGAGTTATCTGGGAAGCCCGACATTGCGGCTGTTGGTGGCATCAAGCGTCCTGAGAAGCATGGCCAATTGCAAAAACCCAAGTGGACCGCCTCTAAGCGTTTCAAGGGCGCTGCATCCGAGTGATGTTCATCCGGAAACTGCTTCAATTGTCTACAATACCCACCCCAATGAGTGGTCCCAAGGGTTGCTCATTGCTTAGAACGTTGTATGCTGCCGTTAACCTCGGCGATACATCGCACTATCAACTGACAACGTGCCGATCTACGCAAAATTGCAACAGGTCATAATTTTTTGATTATATTACACTTTTATGGTTTAACAAGCGTTAATCGTAACACATTACATTAAGGTCACACGGCGTCCTTCGGCGCCATTTGTGTGGACATTTCTTCCCCGTCATTCGAGGTTGTTTCGTGGACATTTACAACATGATCTTCAGATTTGTTAACTTGTTTGTCTTCCTGCAACTCAGCACTATCACCTTGTCTTGCGGCAATCATCTGTAGTTTCGCCCTTAGTCTTGTAAATCTCGAGTATAGCGTCGGTAGGTTGGGCGTTTCTATACCGACAAGATCGTGTTCCATGTGTCTGCATAGGTGATTCATCTTTGCGACTTTCTTGATACAACCGTGGCTGAGTCCCTTGATGAGCAACGTTTTGTTGTACGAGGCATATTCTGCCTTGAGTGAATTGAGTGTTTCTATGGCGGTGTAGTCGAACAGCGTAGTGGATGCCAGGAGAACAATGACCGTGGTTGGTGGGTCTTCGTCCGGCGTGAACACACGTGTGAGCATGCGTTTGCTGGCATAGAAGATGTTCCCTTCAATTTCATAGTACTTAATGTTCGTCTCATTGTCCATGTATATTTCAACCTTGAATCTCGATTTAGACTCCCACACATAGGCGAATGCAGCGAGTACAACTCCAGCCATGATAGCTATAGGTATCACGACTACATTACACATGATGGTAACAGTCACTATGATGATTGCATCTGACCGTGTGATTTTCATTTTGAGCTTTGGGTGCATATTACGTATCGCCTGTGGCATGAACGTAACTATGCACATGGGCAAACTGAACCACTTGAAGCAGTGGCAGAAGACACAGAACATAATTCCACAAAGGCTTGGAATGGGTATATAGTTCAACAGCGGGAACCCTCCAGCGAGCATAACAAAAATGAACAAAGCTGCTGCAATACTTGACTCTTTACCCTTCGACCCTGCCTTAAGGTTCATAATTGAAATTCCAACCATGGAACTGCCGCCGGCAGAACCTAGCAAAGTGCTGACCATGTTTCCGATACCAAGTCCGAAAAGCTGTTGGTTTGAATTAGGGTCTGTTCCACTGAGCGTTTTGATGATATCGTTAACCATGAGTGCCTCCATTACTATGCTTCCGGCGAGTATGAATACTTGCCAAACAAATGAACTGTTGAATGTGATATTTGTAATGGTGTTCCAATGGTTCCATGAAAATACTGGTAGCGCAGTCTCCGTGGTGAGGCACGCCACATCCCCGATAGTTGTGATTTTGAGATCAGGTGCGACTTGCTTTACAATAGCCAGGTCTATGAACACTACTACCCCTACGGCAAGCAGCGCGGGTGGCAAGTACTTTCCCACCTTTGGTATTTTTTCTGTAAACTGCATGAGTGCGAATGCGATTACACAGTACGATATTGCGACAAACAACCTTGTGCCTACCATATACTCATGTGTTTTAGGGTCTTGAAATCCATGTAGTTGTGCCCTTGCAATAACAATCGCAAGTCCATTACTGTACCCTATGATAACTGATGTGCTTAAGAATTGGCTGATACTGGCAAGGTGGAAGAACGAGCAGCATACAAGCAGGACACCTGCTAGGAACATGGCAAATAGCATCGTCCATAGGTGTAGTTGTACTTGATCTGAAGGTATACCATCACCTGAGAGTGCATATTTACCAGCCACCGCGGCAAGTGCTCCTGAGAGGCCGCTCATAATTCCTGGTGATCCACCGAATACAGCCGCACAAATACATACAATCCATGTTCCATGAAGTGCGACATGTGGCGGTACTCCTGCTAGGAAGCTGAAACTAATAATTTCTGGTAACATGGTCATTCCACATAGTAGTCCATTAATGACTTCTGTGAGGTAGTATTTAAAATTTTCCTTTGGTGCATTAAAACCCCAACCTGCTGTTATCCCGTTGCTGCACTTGACTAGGCTCCTTTTGAAGCCGTAGTAGAAGGGTAGACATATGAATATATCATCACATTCTCGTTTTTCAATGGGAGCTGGGACTGGTTCCCTGGTGCGTGTGTAGTCATACCAGGTATGATGGCTAAAATCATGATAATTATATCCTGCTGCTTCCTCATCTTTGTTATCTTCGTCGTAGTATCTTACGCATACATCTTTATCCTCATCTTCGTACTGGATAACCTTAACACGTTTTCCTGAGAAATCTGAACGTTGGCTGGCGAGTTCTACCAACGATGCCAGATTCTCGTTGCTCGGTTGTGCAGAAGTCATTGTTATCACTGTTGTGTTTGTTGCCGTAAAAAATATTTAGAGTTCGTCCCTGGGCGTATGCCCGTGGTCAATAGTCTCGTAGTTTTCCGGTCTCGCCAATAAAATCCGGCAGCGATTAGAGCTTGTTTAATATTACTATCAACCTTTTTGACGGTTCATGTTGTTTTTATTTCTGTTCGAGTTCCGCATTGGAGGCATTAGAACTGTTTGGGTAGTATATCCTTGTCTAAATCACCGCGCGGCACACGTTGCGTAATTGTAAAATATATTCTGTGTTATATATTCTGTTTAAGTCTATTTAAAGTGGAGTTCTGGTATAACCTGTCAAATTTTTACATGGTTGACGGGTGACTTGAGTTACTACGCGGTGCGCTCCCCTTTCATCTACCTTCTGGTTTTCACACCCAATTTGCAAGAATTTCATTATAATTATGTTACTTTGATGCTAAGTGTCGATTATAGGAGGCTAGGAGTGACTATTAGTGGCTCTGGAAAGGTTCGCTCTACGCCTTATAACTGTTCCATTGTATCGCCTACTCCATACGTCTATGTGGCAGGTGATCTATTGATATTTCGTATACATTCAAATACATGCCAATCAAGTAGTGCCAGAGTCACTATTCTGAACTATTAAGCCCATGCACACAACATCGCCTTTTTATACTCCTTGGTTCCCGGTGGCGAACAACAGGGTACCATATATTTTTTGGCATGCCTATGAATATTCTTCGGTACCTGAGTGGAAGAATATCTGCGTTATGAGTACGAATCTGTTATTCAGCCAATGCACATTGACGCTTTTAAGGAGCTAATGTGTTTATGTTCTAATTCACACATCGAACTATATCAGGCAATTTCAGATCTTTCAGTTCGCTATATATTATATAAGTGCTTTTCCTCGGTCGTGCTATGCCGCGCCGCGCATTTGTTGTTGCGCGGGTTGCAGAGTGCCGCAGCTGCATTACTTCTTGCCCACACATAAAGACTAGAACGTTACATTTTATTGCTATAGTTTCATTTTTTTCTATTGGTGTTCGGGCAGTCAAGTGCAGGAGAGTTTTACATTTGATTCCGTTACCGACGCTGTCGTCACTGAATTCTTTCTTTTCAAGATGGGTCGTTCCGACAACTCGCGAATATCCCTGACCGACCTTTGGAAAAAGGTATATACTAGATTCTTTGAAAAAACACTGTGCAGCTGAAAGGAATGTCAATTACGGTCAACTGCTGTAAAGAAGATCCTCAACGTGCCAGGCGCCAGCTGATCTACGAGTACAATCGCAAACCTTCAGTTTACGTCGAGAATGATCCTATCAAAACCTGCCTACGGATTCCTGGACGTGTCGTTGATTTCTTCAATGATTTATTCCAAAAACCTCTGGACGTAGAAGGTATGTTGGTGCACCGTTATCCTGACGAACTGATACAGCCGTTGCTACTCAACCCCGAGAACAGGGAGAAACATCCGATAATCTCGCAGCTGGAGCCCCTCGTAGTGCCGTGTGTGACAATCTTGACGTTTCTGTGTACAAGGTTCTTCAGCGTGCCATATGCTACGCCGGTAAGTCACATTGATAGACTCTAAAGACTGTCAGGTGCCGGATTGGGTATCGTAGGTATAGGTATGGTTTCTTTCTTCGCTCTTTTCACCGCAGCCGGTGCGGCATGTGCTGTCATCACTTGCAACAAGTTGGCCGACCAGCAGTGCCAAGAAGTCTACGATCCCTGTGACAGCGAGGCCTACTACGAGGGCCAAACCATAATGACGGCGCAGAACAACTACCAACCGGGATCCATAACCGACAGAGCGCCAATGCAGCATCATCGGTATCACCCACCCTACTTGATGTGATAATCCTGGTTGTATAGCAGTGTACGTACGAGCCCTTGGGCAATACATATCCTCCGGAGTTTCTCATTGTTCGAGGTGTGGCTACTGTTTACATTTTCGCAAACACTTCCTGCTGTTCATGCCCGGGGGTTATCTCACCGTGCCACATTCTAAACACCGTTTAATGTAGTACTCATTACATCAGCGTTTAAATTCTTCATTTATTGATATTTCTACTACTTCACAATCCGTACGCGTGACGAAGGAGGTCTTAATTTCCCCGCAATTTATTGCACAGGGTAGTTCCATGATGACTATTTTTTCTTCATCAACATAACTAACGTTGCCCTGCGATGATATTGTAATACTGTGTTATTGAAACTTACTTTCAAAAGCACGAAGATCCGTCCACTCGGTATTAACGTATTGTCTTTTAATAGAAAGATATGTTTTGCCCTAATAATGTCAACGTTTTGTTGGTTCTCTGGTACATTGAGCGCTCGTAATATCCCTGGTATATCTTGTATGGGAAATATTGCTTTTATTGCATTTAGGCTGAGTGAGTGTACTGTTTTCACACAGTTGAGTTTTTCGTATTTTAACATCTGCACTTCATTTTTTTTCGCAATGAATTCTTTTCCGTCGGGTTGCCTCTTTTCTCCATGAATATCATAATCCTGTTCATAAGTGACACTTTCTGATTCGTGTACGCTTACCTGTAGCATAATGCGAAGAACGTCATCGACTGTAATGATTCCCACGTGTTTGTATATAGGATCTCCTCCCCTATGCGGATTAATGATAGCTTTTCTTACGACAATGACATGCCTCGAGTCTCTTTTCATTAAGGGCATAAGGTCGTTTACGGTGCTCTCAGCATCTACCGCGTATATAGGTTTTCCTATAGTATCGCACAGGTCCCTGACTCTGTAGCTTTTCGCGTGATTGAGCATGAGTAAGTCTTTTACAACAATGAACCCTACAACACTTTTGTTTTCATCTTTTGTTACGATGGGTATATTTGAGAATCCTGATTTGGCTATATTTTGTACAACCTCTTTTGTCACCGCTGTTCCATCTTCGATATGCACAACTGCGTCAATGGGTGTCATTACATCTTCTGCATATATTGTTGACATTTCTAGGCATCCTTTGAGCATTTTAGCCTCTTGTAGTGTGAGTACATTGCCCTTTTCTAGCTGGAGGTCTACAAGAGCCTTGAGCTGTTGCCGGGTGTATATGACTTGGCTTGACTTTCCTAGCAGGTAATCTAGTAGCAGTGCCAGTGGTTTACATACTGGGTACAATATCCATACTAGTACTCTCAGTCCCGTTGCAAAGAATCCACACAGTGTTAAGGCATGTTTCATGAATATAGACTGTGGAGCTATTTCTCCTAGCAATGCGGTTATAAGCGTGGATGATACGAATCCCCAAGTCCTGAGTATGTTAATTAAAGGTAAATGTTAACTCACATGTCCAACATGTCACCTAGTAGTAGTACCATGAGTGCGTTAACCATAGAGTTGCTAAGTATGAGCGTAGACAGTAGAAGATTAGAATCTCTCCTCAATGGGAGTATTCTCCTTGCATATCGGCTGTATATTCTATCCCTGTTTGTCGTAGGTTCGACATATGTGAGTAGTTGGAGTTGCAGTATGTCTAACGACATAAATCCGAGTATTAACCCCGAAAAAAGGGCGCTGGCGGCTGCGCACAAAACCGATAGCAGCGCCTTTGCCCAGACGTACATTTTGAAAAGTAAAAACTGGATAATGGGTGATCCAGGTGTTAACTGGGGTGTCACGCGTTTTGAGTCTTCGTGGGTTCCGACTTATTTTTCTGTATATTTAGCACCAGAAAAGCGGTTTTTTAGCTTTATGTGTGCGTTGTGTTACCACAACTTGAGGCCTATGTTTTAGGTTGTCTGGCAGCAGCCGTTTTTTTCATCGGTGAGTCGCCTTACATTGCGCGTTTAATACCCACCCGTCAATGTGCGATATGTGTTACTGACTTAATATCTGTGTAAGCTGTTAATATTTTTTACTGGGATATAGTGAAAAAAATCTTTATGAGGTCAGGGACGCTCCAAGGGCGGACATTGTCTCACCCGTACATCTGACCGTTGGCTCGGTCATGTCGCATCATCCAAGTGTCATGGTGGCGTTCTTTAGTGCCCTACCACGCGCAAGTGCACGCTGTGTCGTGTATGGGGGACTGGTGTGCGGTTACTAAGTGTTATATAGACACAATATATCTTTTCTTCTATTAAAGATGGCAGATTGGGTTCCAACTATTAAGCAGCTAGCGCTTGCTGACAACGCTTGTTACGGTTGTGGCATTGCCAATGTAAGTTTAATGTCTTGTCCGCACAACACTGCGCATATAATTTGATGCATGTTTCGTTAAAACAGCGGGATAATAGTTATCTGTGACCTTTATCCGATTTGTTTTTAAATTTAATTGTCTTCCATGAGTTTGGTAACCTCCATGTGACGTTTTCGCAGGCCGACGACGGTGAACTGTTCTCCGCCGCTGACATTGACCACGAAGACTTGTGCTGGGACAGTGTTTACCGCGACCCTTATGAGTTTGAGGCTACTGACGAAAGTGGTCAGCCCATAAAGCACCACATTACCGAGAAGGCTACCATCCAGGAGGTCTTTGAGAAGCAGCATTCTAGCATTGGTATCTTCATTGGTGGTAACAAGTACACTTTTGCTAACTACGATGATGACTGCCAAGTTGGTGACTACACTTTCAAGTGCGTATCTGCCGCTAAGAATAAGGGTGGTGCACATTTGGTGAAGACCCCTGGAGGTTACATTGTGATTTGTGTGTTTGATGAGAACCGTGGTCAAAACAAGACTTCCTCAAGGATGGCCGCCTTTGCGTTAGCGGAGTACATGGCAGCTAACGGATACTAAATCAACCTACGTCTATACAAAAATAATCGTCAAATGATGTGTCTGCGATAAAGCTTACAAATGCTATTGGTAGTGCTCCAGTGTCGTACTTTAAGCACGTACACCTGAGTCGCTGCTACACTGGCTACCCCCGTTTACGACAAATAGTCCCTTGTGAAACACATGTGCTAATGATGCCTTAAAACGGCAAAGCCAACTATACGGTCTGGACTACTCCAGCTGTTTGCTTATTTATATTAAACTCACATTCAACAGATACTTTGTTATTTGTTGCTCGTAGCTGTCACTTTTGGTTCAGTTGCTTCTATTCTTGACTTGCGATGTGTACACCCGCGCGCCTCGCCGGGAGTCCCAACATCTAGCTACCGTTGTAGGCAAGAATCTTCACATATAATTTCTCCATATAATAAAATGGAGCCCGTAGAGCGTGTTGACTCGCTTGGTGGATCTGACGTTGTGAGCGATGTCAGCGAAGTGAGTGTCGATTCGGATGATTATGAAGTTGACGTTTCTGTATCGGATGACGGCTTCGGCGACGACTTTGAAAAGGACCCTCATAAAGTGGACGCTGATGATATCCACGGCAGAGTGGACTTGACCGATCTGGCTTCAGTGAAGACTCGTATCGAGAGTTTATGCGGTATTTTGTCCAACTGGTCCTCCGCATCTAAGAATGGAATTGCAACTAAAAAGCGAAGTATGTTATTATTACGGCTGTTGACCATCGGTAGGCTCCTATGTGTCGCAATTGCAGAGGATGGTTAGTGCTTACTACGGTTACTCTGATGAGTTGGCTGAATACTTCATGAGGGTAAGCTATCAATTGATTATAAATATATACTTCTTTAGCTCTTCAGTCCAACTGAGGCGATTCAATTTTTTGAGGCTAACGAGAGACCTTTGCCAATGACGTTAAGAGTGAACACATTGAAGACTCGGCGGTACGTCGATTTCCAAAATGTTTATAATATGCATTTAGCAAGGAACTTGCCGCGGCACTCATCGCCCGTGGAGCCAATGTTGACCCTGTTGGGGATTGGAGCAAAGAGGGTCTAGTGGTTAATTCGTCGCAGGTACCCATTGGTGCCACCCCGGAGTATTTGGCGGGGCACTACATGATGCAGTCTGCTGCGTCTTTCATACCTGTTTTGGCGCTGAACCCCAAAGAGGGTGAGAAGGTACTGGATATTGCAGCTGCCCCTGGTGGTAAGGCAACACACATTGCCCAGCTAATGAACAATGGCGGTGTTTTGTACGCTAACGACGTGAATAAGGAGCGATGCACCGCTCTCGTGGCTAACATTCACAGGTACTATTTTGTTGCCGTTTATTATCCATCTTTAATTCAGACTTGGGATAACTAACACGATTGTGACCAACTACGATGGTCTGGACCTCAAGAGGGTCCTACCACCTCTTGATCGCGTGCTGTGCGACGCTCCTTGTTCTGGTTTAGGTGTAATATCGAAAGATCCATCGGCTAAAGTGAAACGTACATTGCTGGACTTGAAACAGAACGCTGATTTGCAGAAACGTCTTTTATTGTCTTGCATCGACATGCTCCAGACAAATCCTAAAAATGGGAACTGCGTGGTCTATTCCACATGTAGTGTTTCTGTTGAAGAGAACGAGGATGTTATAGATTATGCGTTGAAGATGCGTGACGTCAAGTTGGTACCACTCGGTATGTTGACTTTAATTTTGTGTTAAATCCGTACAGGTGTGGAGGCTGGATCCCCTGCCTTGTCAAATTTCCGTGGTCGCCACTTTCACCCATCTATCGGCCAGCATGCACGACGTTTTTATCCTCATCTTCACAATTTGGATGGTTTCTTTGTGGCTAAATTGGTAAAGCTTAGCTCCAAGGTGCCTACTTTGACTAAGCGTTACCGTGAACCACGACACTATTCAACTGGTGGTTCTGAGCCCTCTCCCAAGAATCGTAAAACTGACACTTCTAAGAAGTGGAATCAGAATAACCCTGGGAAGGGTAAGGGTGGTCCTTCCAAATCGTTGGAGAAGTCTGATTTTGGTGACAGTCCTGTGGATACCGATGTGAAGAAATCAAACTTTAAGGACGATTCTTCATTTCCCGAGGACAGTGTATCGGCATCTGCGTCTCGACATCGTAATGAGAAACGTGTTTCAAAGGACTCTAATATGCGGGAACCCGCAGAATCCAGGACGAGCGAAGTCAACACTCGGGGCTCCAAAGGGAACGTTCGAACTAGAAGGAGCGGTCGTAAGGCCACAAGGGGTGGCAGCTCTGCATCTAAGAGGCGACGTTAGGCGCTATGACTATTATGAAATTGGTCATTTAACTGTGCTCTAAAATTAAAACGTTCAGGTATACTGTCCGTTTATTGTTTAGTTTGGATATATTGCTGGCGTTTGCCTGGCATTGTGTATATTGGTTTGCCGTTACAATCGCGTCCACTAATTTCGCTACTGGAAGATGCATGGGTTTCCTCTGCAGCCGTCTTGCTGCAGGCATCCTAGAATTGCTTCGTTTGAGGTTCTCCTTGAGCTACGCATGGAGTCCATTCTGCTTGACTCTGCGGTGTTTATTGTTGCCTCCTCATTTCCGTGTGTTGCATCTGCGCGTGACTTAAGGTTATGTATTTCCTGTAATAGGAATTCGAACACATCTTTAACGTTATGTCCGGATACCGCTGATGCCTCGAATAGGTGTAGGTTCCACTCGTTTGCGAACATTGCTGCTTGGTCTCTGTGTACTTGCCTGACTGCTGGGTCTTGTATGGCAAGGTCAATTTTGTTCCCGACTAATACTACTACAATATCTGGTTCTGCGGCTAGTCTTAGTTCATCAAGCCACTTGTGGCAATTGTAGAAGCTCTGTCGATTGGTAATGTCGTACACCAGCAGCGCTCCAACCGCACGGCGGTAGTGTGCGCTAGTGATGCTGCGATAACGCTCCTGTCCTGCTGTATCCCATATCTGTGCTTTCACGGTACCTCCGCTGGCTAGAGGTACGGTTCTTGTTGCAAACTCCACCCCGATAGTAGCTTTTGCCTGCTTAGGGAGTGTTCCCCTGATATAGTGGCTCAGCAGATGGCTCTTGCCTGTAGAATGTTTAAGAGGGTTATATGGAACGCAAAACAGATGATACGATTACATCAAACAGCCATAATGTAGATGTATTGTCATCATCCGATTGGTGTGCCACGTACGGATATTATCGTTTGAATCTCGGGGACCCCTGGGCATTGCGTCACACAAGACCAACACATCAAGTGTTTAAGTGAAGTTAATGCACCTAAGTTGCTGGTTTATGTCGCACATCATTCATTCCGCGGCATAAAATGAGCAGGGCCCCCTATCCATACCGTCCGTTTAATGGTCTTGGCACATCGGTTTGATCACTAACATGCAGATGTATAACACCACCATTTAGTATCTTATAAGTCCGTCATTGTCCACATGTGTCACTGTTTGTTCAATCACATAGAGTGGAGTCATCCATGAATAGCCTACTTACCGACTGTGGCGTCGCCCAGGAGTATGATTTTATAGACGTTGTCATAATCGTCCTGTGGCATTTTATATAGGTGTTGATAAATATTAGACAGTATATATTGCGTTGCATCGGTTGGTACGCTTCACTCTCCACACAGGGAACCCTCTATTTGTCGGTTTACACATCTATGCTTGTTCCGTCGATATTGATTTTATCACACCAAACAATGTTCTCTCGTTCCGTCTTATAATTTACACACTTTGTATACTGCTACTTAGTTGGTGTTCAGCTAGGTGTGCGACTGCGTGCCGCTTTTGTGCTCCCCGGCTCATACATCCACTAGCACAAATACTACATACCAGAAACACTCTCTGGTCTAGTTATATCTTAGCATATCTATTGATATAGGTAGAGTCTATGTGCCTCCGCCATCACCTAACAGTTTAATATTTAACTTTTTTACTTTTACCGGTAGACGGTACGATGCGTGGTCACCCCGAGATGCTAACACGGTCGTAATTTGTGGCCTTTAACACACTATGTTTATGTGTTTTATAAATTGGATATGTTAGTTTATATGTGGCTATGTAGCCTTGGGTGGATCCTTCCATAGGGCGCAGCGCGTCTGTTGTATCACTCGAATTTCTGCCACGATTTCTATACCTAAACGATGGGACGAATAACTTTTGACTCTGTTTGTGGTGACTTGGGTTTTCAAGATGCTCTTAGCCAGGAGTGTGCGCCCAGAGTCTCTGCGTCCCGCGGTCGTGCCCATGACATTAGTATGGGCACGACTATCATAGCGATGCATTATCGCGATGGTGTAATATTTGCTGCTGATAGCCGTACATCGTCTGGGCCTATAGTTGTGAATCGTGTTGCACGTAAGATTACTCGTATTCTTCCGAATGTGTTCATGTTGCGTTCGGGTTCCGCGGCCGATACTCAGATGTTATCAATGATAATCCGATACCACGCACAGGCGTTGTGTCTTCAGTTGCGTAAAGCCGGTCGTCGTTCAACGGAAGATGCAAGAGAGAGTGACGATTCTATGCAAGTGGACTGTGAGATGTATACGGAAGGCGAATATATCTACCAGTATGATGACAGTATGGTATGTCCTCCTTTGAAGGCTCTTGCTACAGCTACTCACAATGTGATGCACGAGTACCGTGAGCAACTTTACTGCGGTGTTATTTTGGGTGGTTATGATATGGCAAGTGGCCCTGAAATATACAATGTGACACTTGGTGGTACCCTTTTAAAGATCCCTGAGTTTGTCGCCAGCGGTTCTGGATCAGGTTACATCACTGCGTTTCTTCAGGACAATTACGAACCTAACATGACTCGTGAGAAATGTCTTGAGTTACTTAAGCGGGCTATCAAGTATGCTATTGACATTGACAACAGCTCTGGCGGTCTAATGCGTGCCGTAGCTGTATCTCGCTATGGCGTTTCTGAGTTCTGCTTTACTTTCTAGGTGGACAGGCGTCTTGATTAAACCTTAGTGTAATGTGTAACGTGTGATACATAGCGAGTTGGCCAATGTGACAGTCTTATGTTTCTGGAATCTGATCGTGCACTTTTGCTTGCATCATTTGGCTTGGTAATTTGGCCTGGAATGTGCATTGGTGTAACTGGGTTTTGGTGTAGATCTAGTGCGTTTTTGTGTAGTGTGTCGAGCGTTGATGGCGACACACTCACACCCTGAGGTCGGTGACGGTGTCGGCAACACACCGCTAATGGCAGCCTCGGCCGCCAATCTAGCACCCAACTCCGATGTAGGATTAAGCTTTTCGACCTCCCATCTGCATAAATGGCAATGTTATCGCAACGCACCGGACTGCATCAGGTAGAATCCGTAAGGGTGTTGGCCCGCGACGTTGCACGATGTCACAACATATTGCCTTTGTTAAAGTTAAACTTAAATAATAAGTATCACTCTACTTTTGTGACGCAAAAATAGCACACAAGATGGTATTCCGCAACCAAACGATCTCGCTCGATGAGCTTAAGAAGGCCGTCGCACAGTCTTACCCTGGCATTGAGCAACGTTTGAAGTCGACTTTCATCCAACATGACATTGTCGGTGATGATGAGCTTCCTTACGATGTTGTTGAATCATTGTTGAGGCATTTCTTCTTGGAATGTGGTCTCGATGAGTGCATGAGGAAGGTAACCAACGCTGAAGGTAGGTGTTCCCGTTGTGTTTTTTTGAGTATGCACGGTGAAACTGTATTATTATTGTCTGATCAACATAATAGTGTTTGGTTGGATCATTACTCATTTTTATAGTTGCACACAAAGGACTTGTTTATATATATTTCTGCTTCCTATGTGCATGAACGTGTTCGATCTTTTAACCGCGATCTTTCAACACCACTTTAGGTCGTCTTCCTCACTCTCGTATTGCTTCATACTTGGTTGGTACTACTTTGGAGGACTTGAGCGATGCCAACCACGATCATATGATCAAGAGCGAAGAGATGGTCACCTTGGCTGTCGTGTGGTTTAAGGTTTTGAGTGATGTCTTCTACCGCGGAGAGTATGTAAAGCCATTGATGTGCGGAGGTGGTTTCTGCTACGGTGGTTCCACCCCTTCTCATGAGACTGAGGTCGCTCAAGAAGTTGGAACACCTACTTTCACCAACGAGGTAGCTACCCCTGTTGTAGAAGTAAACCCTGACGTGGTCATTGACGAGCCTCAATACACTGAATACGTCAACACTGAGATGGACACCGTGCAGCTCGCCCAGAAGAACGTTAACCACTACATCCAGACTTTGGTGAACGAGGCTGCTGCTAACAGGCGAAAAGGTGTTAAGTGCTTTGTCTACTCCTCAGAGATGACCGCTAATGGTGCCTGCATTAGTGCTGGTGCTGCTGTACCTCAACGCAAGGAACGTGCTCAAAGTCGCAGAAGGGCCACTACTGGCTGCTGTTAGATTAACTGAATAACTTGCGGTCGAAATGTGACCGTGCAGCTCTCGTTGTAGCTTTCGCAAAGCATGTCAGACTGCATCATTTAAGGAGTGTATACTAAATTTTGTAAATAGTTTATGAGGATAGAGTAGTTGACTTTTTTACTTCATAGGACATGGCTACTCATCTGTGAATACGTATATATATAAAAATATTAATGATTACATGGAATGATTTCGTGCTTTTTGCAACCTTCTATGATTCTGTGATGTTTTGCTCCCTCACAAAGGTTGCTATGTTACCTATTGAATGTCTAGAGTTAGGCTGCCATGAGAGACTTGTCAATTGCCAGGTCTAAAGTGTTGTGTCAAGGATCTATCAGCTATTTAGAATAAAATATGTTGTAATATGACATTTTTTATTCCTTGTTACGTTGAACAGCATCTTGATGCGACGTGTGTTCGGGGGTGTATCATGGTCCCTACACGCGTTGTGTGTTGTCTAGAAAATTAGCATATTGGTGCATCAATATGGGGAGTTGTTAAAATTAGAACGCTTCTGTTTTAACTTCCAGGGCGCAGAACTGTCAATATTCACCTCCAGTCGGTGAGAAACGTCCCCACCCATTTGTACCGCCCCGTGGTTAGGTTAGACCTAGTTGCGCTCTATAGTCATTCAAGATGGCGGCTGAGGACTCCAATGATAAGAACGGATCCGATGAAGGCTCTGGAAGAGCTTCTAAGGGGTCATTTGTGAAGAATACGGTGAAGAGAGGCTTCTTAGGCAGCACCAAGCGTTCTTCGGACGCCGATCGTGCCACCTCCAAGAATGTTGTAAAACCCAAGACAGACGATGTCAAACCGGGGGCGGATGTGACTAATGACAAGAAAGACGATGTTAAAGCTAACAAGGAGGTAGCAGGGCCTTCCAAAGACAAGGATGTACCTGCTAAGGACACAGTAGACACTGCCGAGAAGTCCGTATCTTCGAAGGCCAAAACCGAACCAAGGCCTACATCTGTCGACACTAAAGCAACTCGGAATGCACGTGCCAAATTCCTCGCGGAGAAATATGAGAAGATTATTGCTGCCCGTCACACTGTGGAGGCATCCGCAAATCGTGCTTTGGAGCGTGTATCGCAGGCGGTGCCAAGAACACTACCGGTTGCTGCCGAGAATGCTTCTAGGGGTACCAAATCTGCCAGCCCTGTCGTAGAATTCCCGGCCCCCAGTCCCAGACTACAAACCCAATCAACAAGATCAAAAATACATACTCTTTCTGAGACATTGGCCACTGATGCCGCTGCCACGTCTAGTGGCCGATCGGCTCCAGTTCAAGTCATTATTAGCGATTCATCGAGCCAGAGCACCCAGGATGCAGCCCCGCGACGTCGTAATGTCAATGTTTTTGGTATGCCCCGTGGTTCGTGTGTAATTCGTACTGAGGCGAAGGCAACGCTATTCCCAGGCAAGCTAATTTGGACGTTTAGTTCCACGTTGCTAATGACAGTGCTTTTCATATATCAGCTTTTCATAAACAGGACGACGTTCAATGGTCGTTGTGTCGGAGAAGTTGATTACAGCACTGCTGAGGGAAGCAAGCCGTTTGTCTCTCCTTTGGGTTTCGTCGCATGCGAAAACAACTTGAAAACAACAGTGGCACAGCGTGGTTTACTGGGTGCGGCTGCGAGCGATGACGGTTACCCGGAGACCATTGTAAAAGAAGGTCGGAAGGGTTATTCGAAGGCATCTAGTGATGGCCCGAATTTCCGTATCGGTATAATCGTGGGCTCTCAATCTGCCAACCACATTCGCCATTATGGTGAGTCTTATCGGCTCTGGACATCTATCTTCCTCCATGGTGGTATTTGGCACATTTTGTTCAATGGGCTATTGAATCTTCAACTTCTCTACATCGTTGAGCCTGTGAGTTTAAATGTGTTTTAGCCATATATATTTGATTCAGGATTGGGGTTTGCTTCGTACTGTCGCTGTATACATGCTGGGAGGTTATGGAGCTAATTTGGTACACTCCAGTATGTCTCCTTGCTATCCCAGTTGGGGAGCTTCGGGTTCTTTGTTCGCCATGTTTGGTGCCCTGATTCCTTACTGTGTGGAGCATTGGTATGAGTTGCGTGCGCCCGGGGTACTTACGTTCCTCTCCTTCATGTTTCTTTCTTTTGAGATTATTATGCCGGCCAAGAATGCCAGTAGTCACGCCCATTTGGTTTGTTTTTTTTTCTCAATGTGCTTCTAATAATGTGCAGGGTGGATACATGTTTGGTTTCTGTCTTGGTTTCTTAACTCTGAAATCAACCCTTTTGTTCGACCGCGGAGCATTATATCACCGTTTCGTGTTATACACGTTTGCGCCGTGGTTGCCAGATGAGACCTTAGAGAAATACCAGGCTGCAGTTCGTAAAGCTACACAAGCTGAGGAAATAGCTCGTATAAAATACGAGCAGGAGGCTAAAAATCGTGCTAACCGTTTAAGGGCCGTGAAGCGTTTTTTCCGTATTTACCCGTTTGGCCCATATCGTATGCGTCTACGTGACATTTTGATTAGATTGTTATTCTTATGTATTACGGTACGTCTAACTGTATATTACCTATATTTTTTGCAGATTGGATTGTTTACCTACTTCTACGTGGCCACCTTCAACGAAAGTGTATACAGCAAGTTAAGCCGCGAATCAACGCGGTTTTTCTCTTCCGGTTGTTTCTGCGGTTATCTTAAAAAGGCAGCAACTAATGAGACTATTAAGAAACAAATTGGCAATTTAGCTGGGAAGTTCCACTGTTTCCAGACTGAAGGTGGAAGGAACTCTTACTGCGACTGAGTTGTTTGAATATCATTGGCATATAAGCCGTTGTTGTACTAAATGCATCAAAGAAAAAAACTGTGTTTTAATATGTATTATATTGGTCATTTCGCTACCGGTCCGTAGCCGCACTTCGTACAGGTCACCACCACCTCCATCGCACGTTAATGAGGCTTCTAACATTCAGTTACCACCCACATTGCTTAATGTCAGCATTGTGGAGTATCGTGTAGTACTGCGATATTGTGTATTATACAAATTGGGGGGGCACGTGTTTTACATAACTCCGTCCATATTTGTAGGAGTGGTATCACATCAGCGGTAGCTTTGTGGCCGCTGATGCGCCGTGATTTGTGGCATCACTTGCCCTTTGTAGTACTTCTATACCGCGTACCCGTTGTTAACCGATGCTTCAACTTTTGGATATCTGACGTCATATTCGGTTATAGCTTTTCCAGTGCCTGAGAATTATGCATATGTTGTGTTGTAATTTACCTGAGAATGGTGTCCATACGTCATCTTGGTCGTTGTAGTTTGCATTGTCATGTTCTTCATAGACGTTAAGACCTTCCCTAGCTGGCCTCTCCCACACTGTAAGTTACATGTCGCTGCACGTTATATTCACTCACCGAAGTTAAGCGCAACGAATATACCAAGATAGTAAATGATGTCGAGGCCGTATGCTAGGACGCCAGTATTTTTCAGAAACTCAGCCGACCAAACGATCTGTATTGATCATTTTTGCTATTTTATCCTGTTTTTACCTTCTCGTACGCGACTCCCACGATCAGCAGTAGTATAGTCGTTGCTAGAAGTGTTAGACCTGCGTATTTGTATACCTTCACTATATCACTGGACATACTCAATGTCATGACGCCAAGAAGTCCAAGCCAGGTAGGGTTGATGACGTGAATCATGATGAATAAGCCTGTATATGATGAGTTCTCTTTGGATTTTACACACCGAAGGAAGCATCCAGTACACTGTTGACCAGGTTAGCCGCGTGTATGTGTAACGCGGAGGCCACAAAAATGGTGATCGTTGCCACTGCAAGAGGGCGTCGCCATTTATCGAATGTATCATGATTCAGATCTCCAAGGTAGTACTTGAAATCCATTTTGCCGTAATTCTGTTTGTGTGTTCGTTCGCCGTCAAGGAATTCAGGTGTGGACATATATCCACGATCAGGTCGATGTGTGCGGTTATTAACGCACACCTATTTAAATACAACAAACTTCGTCCCGTGTGTTCGTTTCAGAGTTTGTCTTCGACTGTTTAAGGTGTGTCGACTCCAGCAACCACCTGTGGGGGACGTGACGTCGCGTTTCATTGAGTCGTTGTGCGCCTCGTGGTACTTTTAGTCCTCATATTGGCGCGTTACAATGTGAATCAGCGATGGCAGCTGTAAGTTAGTAATTTAGTCACAATGGATCAGTGGAACTCCGACCATTTCGACTCACCTATATTTCGGCCTAGTGGTTATTTCCACAACTTGCCGTTTGTCGTTAGATATCGCTGCTACCCAGTTTCATTTATAGGGAAGGAAGCTATGGAATGCGGTAACAAGATATCTATGCCACCTAGCGCTCTGAACGAGTTAGCATCTCGTAATATCTCTTGGCCGATGATATTCTACCTACGTAATGAAGAATCAGGACTCTCCACCCATGCGGGTGTCCTGGAATTTGTTTCTGATAGTGGAATGTGTCATATTCCGTATTGGGTGGGTTTTTGCTAGCTCATTTTATTACCTGTCTTTAACGTGCACATGTATCATTTTTCTCAAGTATTGTGGAATCCCAGTTCTAAGTGTTACATTGGACCTTCTGTCTGTCATTGTGTTTGTAATTAGGCTTGAAGTCGCTGTCGTCTCCGATAATGATGTCGTGTTAAAACAACGTTTACACCAACGCAGATGATGAAACAACTTCAATTGAAGGAAGGTGACTACTTGACCATCAGGAACGTACGCCTTCCCAAGGCTAACTGGGTAAAGTTCAGGCCGTTAAGTGATAATTATTGGGATATATCAAATCCCAAGGCAGTGTAGGTTTTATATCATGGCACGCATCTATCATATTTTTGTACAGCCTCGAAACTGCATTGCGAAACTTCGCGGCTTTGTCGGTGGGGGATAAAATCCCTATCCATTATCTAAGCAACGTTTACGAGTTGTATGTCATGGACTTGCGTCCTTCGGATGCATGTTGTATTATTGAGACGGATATGGAGGTCGAATTTGCGGAACCCAAGAAGAAGAAACCGCAACCATTGCCTACAGTTTCTGGAAAGCGTCTCGATGGAAAAATGCCTGTTGTGCGTCAGAAAGAGGTTGACGCAGTGAAACCATGGCTACGTAGGTTGCGTCATGGTATCCGGGTATGTTAACTCCCTATTGTTATGTATCATCACACAGACTACTTGCGATGAGTTCCAAAGGATGGTTCGTCTGGGCAGCGTAGTACCATGTTCACCTAAGCGTTAACACATTAATGTAGCACAATTGAATTGTACATGGTTGGGTGTCGCGACCTTGATAAGGGGGTCACATTATAATAATACCGTAGAGCAATGTCTGACGACCGGGCGTGTTCTCCACAACTGTCGGAATTTTACAGTTGTTTGGGATCCTCTGGCCGCGACATATCGCAATGTAGCCGCGAGCTTGGCGCGCTACGTCAGTGTAGCGACGGGTGGGTGTTGAAAAATGTCATTTTTTCACTTTTTTCAGGGACAAAACAAATAACTATTGTGTTAATGAGATAATGCGCCTTCTACGGTGTACAGCGTAAGTTTTACTCGGAACCTGGGCTAGGTGGAATCACATCATTGGTATATGTGCAGATCATGTCGACAGTTTTATCACTGACAGTCATTGTTTTACAGTGAGCCTGATTCTACGGGATGTGCGAAAGAGTTTATAACCTTTCGGGAGTGTAATCGCCCTGGTGGTCCCGAGATCATGATAAAGGTGAGCTATGTATATCTTAGCAATTAGGCTTACATGCATGACTCAAGTTCTTTGGTGATCGTCATGCATCAAATTACGTTAAGCTCATGCCACTTAAGGTTCTACATGTTCACCTGACTCGACACTGTTCGCTTCATGTTTGAACCTCATCTAATTTGCATGACATTCTGAACTTTTTGCAGGACAACATGTACACGATAAATAGGGATCACTTACAGAAGTACAACGTGACCTCCGACGTAGTGGCCCCGGTAACCGCCCCTTGGCGTGAGGGACGGGCGATAAGCCGTGCCTTGGATCGACTCCGTACAGCCTGCGGTTTCAAGAACTTCGAGGAAAATTTCACTCCAAAGGTTAAGATTTAACCTCTGTTTATCTCCAACAACTCAGCCACATTCGGGGCATATAATCTATATCTCTAATACAATAAAAGATAAGAGGCCAAGCATGTGCCTAGGTTGGCAAGTTTCTATCTATGCGCTGCGTAGATGACACATAACATGCAGTATAGTTTACTTATGCTGTGGGTGATATCTATGCCTAGTTATTACAAAAGGTTTGTTGAAAAACGATCTGTATTGCAGCGGGATACCCCCCCGACGCCTTGGCCCGTTACTTTATGACACTGTCAAAAAAAGCGATTGGTGCTGACAAAAAAACACAGTTTTATCAGACGTCTACAACGATTTTACAACGATTGTCTCCCTTCCATCGCGAGTGACGATATTGAAGGAGTCGTTGAAGGATGTTGAGTGTAACCAACGTGTCACACGGTCTGGGTCGAACTTGAACCCCTTTGCCACCTGTATAAAGAGCGATATATCTACAGAAGCAGCCTCAGGGTCATCCAAATCGTTGTTGTCTAGGCTCATATCGTCGTCCTTACGGTGCAAGCTCATAGCACCACGACGTCGCATGTTCCTTTCTATCTGTGCCTGTATAGTGTTGCGCAGTATCTGAACAAGCACATGGTCATCTCCGTCAAACAACATGCGGTAACGAGAATATTCCCTTGCAAGTTTACAGGCCACAGAATGGCGCTGAGATGAGATGTACGACTCCAGTAGCGTGGCGATAGCGAGATCTACATCGCTTGAATTCAATTGGCTTGATAATCTCATTTTGGCATTTGCTTCAGAAATACGAATCACAGATTCGATATGACGAAGCGTTAATGGGTAACCACCGCCATAGCGTCTTCTGCCTGATGGAGCTATAGAACCCTGCAAGTTTACCCTCTATAACACGATAGAATTCAGGTGATATAGTGGGAACACAGTTTGCCTTTGCATATCTGAGATAGTTTGCAAATTCCTTTTGCGTAAGTGGTTCACATGCCGATGATGAGCTGATTTTATTCTTGAGTGTCTGCACAACCTGCTGATAGTTTGCTACGTTTTCAATTCTTGGATGCATCAGCTGATGATTTGTGATGACGTACTCTCCAAGAAGCAGGTCTTCATGTGTGTTTGGTACATCCTTCATGACGATGATCAAGTCGAATCGACTCAATATAGGATCTGAGAAATCAACGTTCTCTTTAAATGTTAGTGACGGCTCATATCGTCCAAATATAGGATTTGCTGCTGCAATCACTGAACATCTTGCTTTGAGTGATGTTACAATACCAGCCTTAGAAATGGAGATCGATTGTTGTTCCATAGCCTCGTGGATGGAGACACGATCTTTGTTTGACATTTTGTCAAACTCATCAATGCAACAAATACCTAGATCGGCGAGCACCAACGCTCCTCCTTCAAGCGCCCACTCTCCAGTGGTAGGGTCACGTCTAAGCCCTGCTGTAAGACCAACCGCTGAAGCACCTTTTCCTGTAGTGAGTACACTTCTTGGAGCCGTTTTATGTACATAGGTGAGAAACTGTGACTTTCCAAGCCCAGGGTCTCCCACTAAAAGAACGTTGATATCTCCCCTAATCCTGTGCGAAGAGGTAGGATTAGCTGACAATAAGCTAGTGGTGTTTGAACCAGGCTCGTTCCTGTTAGCCCCTGTTCCCTTTCCAACACCTCCGAAAAGAGCACAACATATGGCAGTTTTTGCGGCTTTCTGTCCAAATATAGCAGGTGCTACCGATGCTATAAGTCTTTCACGTATGCATGGATCTTTTGCCAGTTTTTTGATATGTTGTATGTCTTCTTCTGTGAGATCCTCTTGGATGCTTTGGTTCGTTTCTACTTCTACCGCAACAGCTTCAAGTTCCGTCTTGAGTACTGGGAAGTTATGTTTGATATTCAATGCTACATCATATCTGCTCTTGTATATAGCAAGTATCTGTATGAGGTCTCCAGGTCGGCATGTGTCAACCAGGTCTCCTGAGAGTATAACTGTTCTTTGTCTTGGCGTTCTTCCAGCAAGTACCGATTGCGGTGGTTCCTGGATAGTAACCTTCTGATAATCATCGTAAACTGTGTTGATCCTGTCAACGGAAAACGCTGCTGACCCACAGAATAAGCACTTTTGAGGGTGGAACGGTTTCTCTCGATCGGTGAAGTATATTGGTAAATCTGATCCCGAGTCACACAGGCTGCACTTAAGGTATAAGACTCTCAGTTTTGGCAGCACTAGTCCACGGCGTACAACTATACCGCTAAGTTTCACCAGTGTGTTAAGTTCTCTGCTTCTGAGATGGCATAATTGTGTTGAGAAAGGCCATTCAAGCAGTGCTACCTTGCAATATCTGGTACGGTATAACCTAGTTCGTTCCCTGTGTGCTTCAACATTGACACAATCGTTGAGTACGGGCAACACACCGATTGGGTTAAACTCTAGCCACGGTATGATGTTTTCACAGTGGAACGCCATGAGGTGTGGTACCGATACTTTGAGTATACTTGAATCATCTTGTATCATTTTGTCTATAAGTTCCATGTAATAGTACTTGGTATCCTTTTCGTTCAACTTGAACCTGTGTATGAAATATCTGAAGAGAGTATCGATTGCTTGTTGGAACTTTTCATCAAAACGGCTGACAGACGGATCTGCTTGTAACACAGCCTTAGCTCCCTCTATCATTGTAAAATCAGGTGCATCTGCATCACCTCTATGCAGTTGTTTTCTTCTGCTTTCCACACGCTGTACGATACGTTCAAATATAACATCTTCAGCATTTTCTTCATCGTATTTAAGTATTTTCCGCCACAGTTGTTGGTGTCCTTTACCCTCTGCTTGTCTTTGGCGTTCCTCGTATCTGATCCGCCTCTCCGCAGCTCTGCGTGCTCTTGGGTCATCGATATATTCTTCATCATCTAGAAGCGAATCGTCATATTCATCTACATTAATTCCTAATTTAGCGAACCCCGCAGCTTCCCGCTCTAGATCGTCCTGTCCAACGACAAATCCCGTTTCCTCCTCATATAGATCATCACCCTCCTCGGATACGACCTCCTCATCCTCCTGGAAGTGTTCCCTGTTATCTTCTAGGGCCTCTGCAACGACATAAGTTGATGTCAGTTAAATTATGCACATCGGTGTTAACCATGTCTAGACCGGGTGGAAGGCAGAGGGAATGGGACCGTTCCTTATTTATAGATAGACATTTGTATGATTCCGATTTCCAAATAGAAGTCTGGGTGTAAACTAACCTTCTTCCGAAGCAGTTTCATATTCGTCTTCATCATCATGATGATCGTAGACGTCACGCCGTGCCTGCGGCATATTGACCCATTTATGCTTACAATTATCTTACCATTTTCGCTAAGGAGAGTGTTGTCTGAGCCGTTTAATATTGTTTACTATGGGGAGTGCTTATCGGCACACCTCTGCGGGCGTTATCCATCAGGGCGGCGCGCCACGTAATAACGACAGTGTAATTAGGATTCTATCTTCAATAAATATATATGTACAACATATTTGATAGCGTTGTTTGAGATCGTCACTTTGGGCTACGATCGTTACACAATCCTACAAGTCTCGAGGGCTACTGGAAGGTCGATTCCACTCTGTTAAGCCCTCGTATAACCTTCTAGGCAGTTTTAAAATCGAATGCATTGTGTATTTATGTCTTTGATCGCAACATTTCGTGAACATTTCCCCTATCGCTGTTCTCCAGTGTCTTGTGTGCGTCGTCGCTTTGTGCTCTGTCTTCCGAGATTTAAATCGGACACCCGTTTCATGGTTGCCACTGTTTGGAACCCACCACCGTGCAATTGAGTCCCACTTGACATACTACTGTCTTTCCATCAACTTCTACTTTTATTTTTTCATTGAGGTTCCTAAAATAGTTTGGTTTCCTCTTTTTACACAACTTACCATCCACAACTATCCGTGGAGAACACTCTCGGCGCTACATTGAATATCGAGTTTTCGATTTGTACCTTGATATGAGGTGCCCTTTTGATGAACTCGCTCCTTGTCATGAGTGCTGCTGCATGGCATTGAGGCATGTATATGTGCACCAAAAGTCAATTTGGTAATACATAATGATCTTTATTGGCCGGCACCATTGCAAATGACAAGGCATGTGGACATGAAGGCGTTTGTTGTCCAAAAGAATGACTAGGTTGGCCGTTGCCAAAGTTGCATGTGGTGGATAATATCCAAATTTTTTCGATATTAATACACTTACCTTGTGTTTGTTTACGTCTCTTGGGTGACTTTTCAAATTCTCCAGCAGACTCTGAATTTGTATTCGGCGGTTCCGACAAGGCATCTCCAGTAGATGTCCTTTTCGATGTAATTGTCTTTTCTTCCGATTCTCCCTTTACTGTACTTTTTACTCCATTCGATTTGACCGACACGGCCAATTTACCTTCGTGATGCATCTTCTTTAGTACCTCAACGATCAGTTCGTTGACCTCTTCTTTTTGTCCGTCGAAATATGATGCTGGTTTCCGAAATCGCTTACTAAGCTCTTCACGAATTGATAACAGATTACTGCTTTCAAGATTATCTGGCTTTATAATTTCGCTGCGAAATGTAAGAAGGTGTTTAGTTAAAGGTGTGATCCTATCGCGTGACTTACCGGAGTACCTTGACGATATCGTCCCTATGGACCGGTACACATGTGGCTTTGGTCATGTTTTAAAAAGTAGTTGTAAAAGGAAGACACGTTACGAGGCACAAAGACTGACGCTTGTTACCGCACGCACCGCTAGTCGCGTTAATATATGGTGGCTATGTTGTGTTAGCTTTAGTAACCATTTTATGGTGTTAAATAGAATAGCTGCTGTCTTCGATAATTTAATTTTGGCTATAGTAGCCCTCTCATAGCACGCTGCTTGCTCAATTAAGAATCACAGTTCAACTGTAGCACAGAAGTGTCTGTTTGGCCATCGCTATAGGTTCCTTCCGCTAGTTACTCGGTCATTTATTACCGATATTGCGCTTTCTCTTGATTTCAACGCAAAATTTTAGTCATTGAATATGCTAACTTTCGGGAAATCCCCAAAGATACCGGGAGTTCCCGGCTTTCATTCTCGCTGCTTACCGCGCGTTTGGACAGGTAGCAATGAAACTAATGGCTACAATCGCTAGAATGCGGTTCATAGAGTTGCGCAATCACGATTATGTCCAGATACCATAGGAAGGTTGTACAGTTATGTGCTACTGCAACACAAAACCCTAAAACTAACATTACACCTAGTCTAAAGCCGAATGGCGCGCCGCATTTGGCTGGCTAAGAACCCCATTCGATCAATACGCATGATCACGTGCTTAAGTTGCGCGTATTGTTGTAGCACTGCCATCGACGCATTCTGTGGAATGTTGCAGTCGAGCAGTTTCTTGTTTTGCTGCATCCATAACATGTGGAATATCATTTCAGCATTCTCTCTACTACGGCGCGCCAGACCCTCGGCCATCTCGAAACCAAAGACATCGACGACGAACCTCTTCTGAGCAAACGATCCAAAAAAGTCAATGTAGCAACAACACCAACAAGGGGTACCTTGTGGATTAATGCACAAATGACATTTTGAAAAAAATGCCACATTTTCAGGGCCAATCGGCTCTCCAAATTCCCGCATGTCTAACAATTCAGAGTCACAACAATTGCAGTCGAGCTCGTGCTCATCCAATGACCCTGTTATAACGATCTCTTCTTCCGTGCCAATGTCAAACACCTGTGACGGTATTGGTGTATTCAATCTGCATAAATTCAAGTCGTGTAATGCGTTGAACAGCACGTCGTTTATAACAGTTTTACGTCCCCGGCTCTTGGTAGCTTTGGCCGGTGCAGCTTCACCTTCACCCTTCTTGCGTTTATTTGTTCGTTTGTACTTTCCACGGCCAACTTTAGGTTTCGATTCCGGTGATTCGGACTTCTCTTCGTCGATTGTTTCATCGGTCTTGAAACCTTGACTGCATTCCGTTGGGGTAGCAGTACTGGCGAGTTCAATTTCAAGCACGTTATCATGAGTATCCAGATCGTCAATATCTATCTTGAGTGGAACTGTTGAACTCACACCGTCCTCCGGGGTGTTATCTGCCGTAACCACATTCTCTTCTTCCTCCATTGTACCTTTTTCGGCAACCGGTTCTTCATTATTATTGCAGTTCTCACTCTCTTGTGTAGTAGTTTCACCTGTTTCGATGTTTTCTGATATTGCGATGTTTGTTTCATCGGCTTTTACCGGAGCTGCGGATAACACGTCTGTTTTCTCGACGAGCCCATCATTATTCGCAACATCATCGTTCTTCAACGCCAATTTTTCGGCATTTTGAAGGTCTTTTATAGTAGATCGTGTTACCCGTTTAGACTTGGTTTTGGTTTCTTTTTTTCGAGCAGCTCTTTTTTGGCGTGTTGTCACAGTCTTGGATTCAACATTATCCGTTTTCTCATCGTTATTAGAAGTAGATTCAACCATAGTATTACCCTGAAAAACCGGGTCAACACTTGGTGATACTGTCTGTTCCCCAATGTCGATGTTTGCCGTTGCGTGCAACGCGTTACCGGCAGGCGACGTAGTGCTACTATCATTATCTTGAGGCTCGGTTATTGAAGGGGAAACAGTGCTTCTAACAGTGTATGCCTCTGGTTCCAACTCTCGAAGTTTTCGCATGTTGGCGCTTTTTAGCGATATTGTACAGTGCATCGGGATTTTCCTCTGTATGGGCCTACTCGCAGTAACCTGAAGATCATTCTCCAGGCATAGAGGCCTTTCCAGTTCATTTTTTATAGAATCACAGTCTCCAAAAGATTCAACATTATTCAAGAGAAGGTCCATCACTTTACCCGTGTCTTCGCTACGGTAACGTATGGTAGGCGCATATCCTGACCGTACGTTGCTTGCAGCTAACGCTCTTACCGATCGGCGTGTTTGGTATCGGCATTGTCTTATGTCGGTATCCTCTGCAACCGTATTATTGTATTTTATCTGTGCACCTTCAATCTCCTCTTGTTGGTCTCGTGTTACTGTACCGTGTATCAATCCATTGTATGATGTCATGATACGTGGTATTTTGGCATTTGGTGCTATTGTATCTCTTCCATTTTCCATTAAATCATGCATCTGCAGTAATTTAGCACTCCTGGTGGGTGGTTTCTGGATATTGGCACTGGCAACTGTTATCTCGCCCTCCAGTGCCTGCCGTTTAGCGTCGCTTGATGCTACAGGCGCCCCGTTTAGGGCGTACGATATCACCCTGCGCATAATCGGCATGTTCTACCTTGCAAGTGTTGCCGTATTTCGGTGTTGCATGTTTTGTTGCACTTTTCGTGCCTAGCCTACTGATGTGTTTTGTGTACCTCAACTTACGATCAACCTCGAAACTAAGCGGTGTCGAACGTTAAAACGTTGTCAAATGGTTATTCAGCACCTTTTTCGTCTCGGATGTAATTTTCTTCGTTTTGATGATGAAAGATGCGGGGCATCATACCAACGTGCGCGTATTTGATGATAGATTCCGCATTAGATAAGCCACTTGTTGCTTTTTCGTAGTAACTTTCGTCCTAGTATAAGTACAGATTGTCTTACTTTGTGATATTGTCGGCCAATAACACGTTTTTGTAACCACGTGTCGTTGCTTCTGGTCGTATTTGATGCGCGACACGGTGCCAAGTTCCACAATTATATACTACAAGTTTTAGCGGTTTTAGCTATCTCTGAAGGCTTTAGGCCGCATCAGTACCTAAAATCTATCTAACTAGTTCAACTGCTTACGGCACCTTGGTATTGCTGTACTCTGCCTATGCCAACGTACTCGCGAGGGAGCCGCAATTTGGTGGTGTGCCCCAGACCATGCTAGGAGACCTTGTTACAAAAGACTATACATCGTAATCGCTGATAATGGCTTATACGGTGTAACTGCTGCGTTGACCGGTGCAGGTGACTCTTACGTCACGCTGCAGTGGTTTTGTCGATCACAAAATCATAATTACATCAACGGTTTATTTGTTATTACTGTGATAATAGACACTGCTGTTAAGCTATATGTCTTCTGTTATGTCGTTTTTACTCTTCTACCAAAGAGTGCGATGACGTGAATGCTGCGACTACGTAGCTAAACCACCGGGAATCTCACCGCATGATTACTCACGCAATTTATACATAATTTGTGACATAACCTGTTATGTCTCTTGATTTGAAATCGTTACTTCCGCATTCCACTTCGACGTCGCGTGATCCAGTACCTCACGTTACGCGGTCCTTCGTATACAGGTCTCGGTAGCGTAATGTTTCGTTCTTTACGTACAAGCTGTTTGGTATAGCGTACCATAGCCTCCAATCTTAGCTGTTCCCGGCGTTTTGACGCTTCGCGGGCCACATCCCGCAACACCAGGGAGACCGGTTCTCTGACCTGTTTTGCAACCCCTGTGAACATTCGGGGCCTCACCACGTTGAAGTACATAATATGATACATAAGAAAGGAATGTTTATCCTCTGAATTTCACAACAGGCTGCACTCCTGTGGTATTGCGATGCGCATTTGTCTGAAGTGGTACATCAGAAGGATTTACTTGTTGAAAAAAGTAATCATTGACTAGATTAAACTCTAGTTACCACGAAAACGTTTTTTAAAGGGCGCTACGCCCATCAGCCGCTCTGTTTGGCGTTGCGCCTCAATTATCGGTGTGCGTGATGGCGTTTGACCATCTCGAGAGTCCCGCTGGTACTGAGTTTAACTCCCGGTGCCAGCGCACCCTGAGTTTAACTCAGGAATATAAGGACGGTGAAGATTCGGACAGTGTTGAGAGTGACTCCAGTGTACAGAGTGCCAATTCGTCTACTAGTAGCAACTCTGACATCAGTGACAGCATAAGCACAAAGTTGTCTGATATTAGCGATGTATGTACCCCTGTATCCGCCGGATACGCCTTCTACGATCGTGATGCTTTGAAGCCAGTAAAGAGCAAGTCTGTTAAGGACCTGGAATGTGAGGAGACCCTTAAACGTCTACACAGTCTTGCTGTAGGAGACATTATATACTTCAGGCGTTCTGTTCTTGCTGCATGTTTAGGGTTGGACCCTCAGGATCATGACGGATACATGGAAGGCAAAGTCACATGTTTCTCATATTGTATATCACGTCGCTATGTCGTGGTCACTGTAGAGGGTTGTGGTTGCCTCAGGTTCACTTTTGGCGATCTTTACAACATGTCTATAGACCGCAACCTACATTTGCAACGTCTGCAACACCCAAGTGTTCTAGCTAGGGCTTTACGCCACAAACGCCAACGTTACGATTATGATGATGACTACCCTACTCGACGTTCGTGGAGCAGTCAATTGTGTACTGAGGATTCTGATAATTTCTCAAGCTATGATGGTTTCTGTGGGTCGCCGTATTCAGATTCGGTCGATTCACCGTCGTATTCCTTCGTTGATCGACAAGACGTTAGCACGCGACCGATACCGCCAGGTGCTGACATGTTTTGCAAATGCCGCTTTGTAAATAGGTTGGAATTCACGCGCTTGTTACGGGAGATTATATATGAAGATGAAGACAGCTTCAATGACAAAACTGCAGAGATGCAAGAGTTACGTTTGATCCTGACCCAGAATGTGCGACCTTATGAGCTCGAGATAATAGCATATCTCCTTGGCGAGGATCCGTGGAATTATTCTGCAAACCCATACGATAGGCCAAATTCTGAACAGATCAACGATATAATAGAGCAGTATGCTGCTGCAGTACTCAGCCCAGAGTACGTTGCGCTCTATGAGCAGTGGCAAACATGCCAGCGAACGTTCAAGAGCGACTCTAAGATGGCAGAGTTTATGTCTGATGAGTTCAGTATTAAAGCCCTATAACTTATATGTAATGTTATTGAAGCACATATATATTTGTAAACCGTAAAATTTATTCTTTTGTCATGTGCCTTACTACGCGATGCTTTAGTAGGCGTCGTTATAGCCTAAGATTTTGACTTAAGTTAGCGGACTTTGCGCTGTAGATATTGCATATCCACTTAGTTTGAAGATTATCACCGAGCATTGGATTATGCCCTACCTTTTGGGGGGAGTGTAACCTCCTTGTAACTTGGATCTCCTCTACTTGACAATAATGTTGATATTCAGGTATTTTTCAATGTGTTGGGCATACGCACAATTCGAACTATTCCACTGTCATTGCCACAAGCGATTGCCTGTACATAGGCTGATGTATCTCTCTTAAGTCACTCACCGATAGATCGTTAGATATGGTCAACGTTTTTAACCGTTTACCGCATACTTCTCGGTCCATCTTCCCATAGTAACGTGACCCGTCGAGTGAAAATAGCAATATAACATGATGCGTATCGGGATCAGAGTTTAGTTTAAAGATATCCACTTCTGATTGGGTCGGTCCTTCCTTTGTCGGCGTATGTATGCGATCGTTATTTTTAACAAGCATTGGTCGCTGGAAGTAAAGACACGGTTTATATTTCCTCAAGATCAGTGGTAATTCTCCTGGTTCCTCGGTAAAAGATTGTTTCTGGTACGCACGGACGAACAGTAAGTTAGCCCATATGGAATGACAACATAAGTCCGGATTGTCCATTCCTGTTTCACGTAAGTTTATGTTTCAGAAAAAGTTGGTAAGTGCAACTAACCATGTAGAATTAGCTGTCTCGTGCGTATCATATGGCATCTTGTGAGTTCCCAGAATTCGATGCACATTCTCGATATTGTAAAAAACTTCCTTGGTCGCTGCGGCAGCGTTGACTGTGAGGTAAAAAAACATACATATGATAGTTTGTTCCTTCGCGGCATAGAAGACTCACGGCATATTGTTTCTGTCGCAATCTGAATGTAATTATTGATATATTTTCTACGTTATGCCTTACATCATAGAAAACGAAACCACTAGGTTGGAAGTTGACGGTATCAGCTACAGTGAACCCATCACCACGCAAAATATCATATGCTCTTATTGGTCCGCCTTGTTGTTTGATCTGTATTGTTTGTCTGTCAACGTTTCTAATGTTAAACTTACCAAGAGTTGTGTAACCAAGAGCTCGAGGAACTGGAGTTCTCTGTGTTGGACAATTTCCAATTGTCGTGTTGCCTATATGCAATCTATGGTTACCTATGCGTTACTTACCAGTAGTTTGCCATCTTCAATGTCATACAGGCTCAATGGAATGAAGTTATTCTGAGGCTGGCCGAGCATCACTACTACTCCGTCAGATACACGTATCTCTTGATATCCCTGTTCCTTGATTTCAAATACTAGTTTGTAGTTATCCATATTCCAGAACCTATATACATGTTTGCATAGGTCTGCTGCTCCGATGCGTTTGTTCGAGCCTGCGTATTTCAATGCAATGTACATTTATACCAACTGCAAAATTCGAAGAAGGCCGGATGTCGTAATACGACACATTCAAACTGGAAGCTATATTTAGGCGATTCCAGTTTCCCCAATTTTAGCGACTGAGTTGTTTTTGGTATCTTCGGTTATATTTTATTACCTCTACCATTGCAACTTTGCATCGTAGGTGCGCAGGCATTTCCGAGTACGCAATGATGATCGTGTTATTCGCCGAGTTATGGACGATCGTATGTACGACTGGAAATGATAACTCTGACATATGACATTACCTGCAAAATGCACTGAACATGGATCAACAGGATTGAGTTCACATAGCAGTCTTCCATCCGTCTATTAAAATTTTTTAAGGTTTCTGATAGTATTTAATTTACCGAATCGTAGCATCGCGCAAGGCCATTTCTCATGCTGTATGAAAATTATATCCATGAGTAATTTAAAACATACAGCACGCAAGCAAGGTCTTCTACAAGCAATATTTCCTTAACTTCGCTGGGTTCATGATACCCGTATGGGTAAAATTTTGGTATATTTTCCGTAACATCGATTCGCAACACCTGGGCCCTTTTAACCTTAATATTGGTGTCCTACCCCTTTGAATCGTGTGCAGATAGCACCGGCTACCATTTTGGTATCGCCGGTGCTGCTCTCCAGCCTTCCAGGTAAACAGTTGCCATGTAAACGTCTCTTGGCTACGAGTTGAAACATGATTCCTAATGGTACAGACTATGGTATATGTATAATCCTAGACGACTAAGAAAGTTATGTGTAATTTACACATCCTATTGGGAGTAGCAATGGGAGGCCGACTCAATGGCACAGGTCATTGAAAATTCTTCGTCTGCTGCGATTCGGCTCAAGGTACACATCTCACTATATAGAGTCTTTGTGCCAAACTAGCTTTATAAATAGTGTTTAAGGTCGCGTAATTGCGGCCCTTGCCTCTTAGGGCAATGTTTTACCAAAGATGACATGAAAATACTCCCTTTTCTGCGTTCTTCTATCGCTACAGTGTCAAGTACACTTTGTATCTATATCTGGTTCAGCAGTAGTGCTGCTTCACTTACGTCCATTAGCGGTTTTCGGGAGCCGTCGACTCCTCCAGCGCTGAGCGCGTCACGAGGTGTCGACGGCCACCTTTCGGGGGCCGTCTATCAACGACAGGTATCGTCTATACTCTGTCCAGGAGGAAATGTGTATGCCATTGGCCGTAACACATCTTCAAATCGCCGTACTCTTAGTTCTCATTTTGGAAATCGCAGCCTTGTATTAGGATTTCTACCTTCCGATACGAAGGTAACACTCCCACACATTAAATCGTTGTTTGGGTGTAAGAAGAAAGTGGTCGATGATGCTAATGTTACCCAGCGAGCGAATGTGCAAATTAAAGCTGCCGGCAAAGGACCGCTAAGGGAACGTGTACTTCTAGTAGATGGCACCGGTTTGGCATACCGCTGTTTCTTCGCTCTTCCAACGCTAACTACTTATCGTGGTACAGAGATTGGTGCTATTGTTGGTTTTATGAACTCTTTGGGCCGTATATACAAGTCCTTCGGACCAAAGTATGTTGGCATAGCGTTTGATTCGCCTGGTTCTAATAGTACAAAAAGAGAAGTTTGGCCAGAATACAAAGCCAATCGTCAAACTATCAAGACATCATTTAAAAAGCAGTTGATGTGGATAAAGGAGTTTTGTGCCATAGTGGGTATCCCCGTGTTCCTTAAACGTGCAACAGAAGCAGACGATATCATAGCTAGCATGATCAATTTTCTAAGTGGTGGTAGTGCATCGCGCGATTCTGGTCCTTCAGGTTCTGAAGATGTGCAACGTCTACGTCAATTGGATTTCCGTGTTCCCGAACCTGGTCCGGGTGGTGTCTTTGACCGTGTAGCGGGGGCATCCACTACAACCCTGGAACCTGTTGACCTTTCTGGAGAGAGTGGTTTGGATCATCGCAGTTTTGAGGTACACGTCCTTACGGCGGATAAGGATCTTTTACAGGTGCTTGAGTACAATGATGGTGGTAACATGAACGTACGTGTAATTCAGCCACATAAGAAGTTCCGCGTTGTGGACGAGGAAACCGTAATACAGGAGTATGGTATCCATCCAGGACGTTTTAGCGAGTACCTGGCTCTGGTCGGTGACTCCGCTGATAACATCCCTGGCGTGATGGGCATAGGTCCGAAAACAGCGCCATTGCTCATATCTAAATACAAATCTTTTAAGGTAAGTGGTTGATTCTGTCTATTATAACAGTTGTGTAGGAGATCATAGAATCAGAGGAGATTGCAAAGATCTCGAAGCGCGGTGGAAAACACAGCGTCAGTGTGGACCGTGCTTATGATTTCCATCTCATTACAAAGTTACGTGGCGACGTCCCAGTGCTTTCATCTCTAAGTCAACTTTGTAAAAAGCGTACTTTGGAGCGTCAATTTGTGGCATTCTGCCGCATGTTTTCACTCCAAAAATGCTCACTGCGATGGCATGATGTAACTCACTGACGGTAGTACCGTGAGTATTAACAGTATGATTGGACGTATTATATAATATGGCTCTAATAGTGTTTTTAACAAACAATTAAGTCGGTGGTTGATATTTCTAAGGTTTCCTAACGCTGAAACATCGTTCAACTCTAGCTGCGCATACCTTTAGTGCAGCTGTTGAAATCGATCATCTTTCATCGTATCTTAATGTATACTATCGTCGAGAACCCGATAACCGCGACGAAGAACGACGTGACGATAAACTCCCTTGCTGTTCGCAGTGGCTGCACCTTTGGCATCGTAAACCCACAGGGAACATAATCATCGGCTAGTAGGTTTGGCACAATAGCAATATCGTAGAAAGTTGAGACAAACCAATTGTACAGGTTCCGCCATTCATGGAGTATGCTGCTAACACGGGCTCTTTGTATGCAAAGGAACCCTAGTAACTTGTTCAAATGCTCTTTTGACTCAGTCATTGAGTGATAATAGCCATATGATGCTGTGCAATCCTGTACAACACCCACTCCAGCTTCCAGCATCGTGGCATATAGATACGTTGCCTTGTGTTCGTTTCTCAGCTTAGCCTCCAGCATCCACTCTGCGGATTGCCGTGGGTCACGGTCTAACAGAGCTTCTGCTAGCAACAAAGGCGACCCTCCGTTAGTCTCATATCCACTTCGTCGAGCGTAAAAGAGATGGCAAGGCGAAGTTCCCGAAGGATCTGTATCTTGTGTGACGGCATGAAATATGCTTCCTTCTTTAGTATTAAGCTTAGCGTCTATATAATCCGATATGTCGCTATCCATATAACTTTCAACGCCCGGTACACCATTTTGTGTAGTTGAAGGCACAGTTGACATAACATCATCTGAGTCTGGTACTTCCTGTTGCAGGCCTAAATCATCTATATAGCAGAGTTTGTTGCTTGTTTTAAAGTGGCGAGCCGCAGCGATATGGGCTTCAGGGTCACCCATCTCCGATAGGAACATGCTGAGTAGCGCGTGTCCTATTTCATCTCCGTATAATGACGCTCTTTTAGCAAGCGTTCTTGCCACAGCTGGCACCAGTGCATGTCTTCCAACTTTCTGGAATAGTGCGAACGCTGCTTTGCATCGATCTACTGACGAGCTGAATTTAAGATCGTATCCATGTAATGTCAATACTGCGGTATTGAAAGTTGCCACTATATTTCCATTTTTGGCTGCACGTCTGTAATAGTCCAACGCCATGAATACATTTTTGCCATCTGGCGGCGTGATGTCGTCAAGCATCCCTGCATAGGCATGTCCCATTAGTATCTGCGACGTCACATCACCCCTATCAGCGGATTCCTGTAGGTACCTTGCAGCAGCTACAGGATCTCTTTCGTGTCCTATCCCATATCTCGTCATGTAAAATCGTGCAGTGGATGCCGCTAACGGATTATTGGATCGTGCTGCAGTGTTTAAATATCGTTCTGCCGCTCGTTCTATATCAGCACGTTCTGTACCTTCTAAATGGAGCTGTTCTGCAGTTACCATGACATCATCTGGCGTAGCTTCCCTGCTATTTGCTACATCTGATTCTTCAGTCTGGTGTAGTATCTGTATAAGATGATTTGCCATGGTGAGTGCCGATGTAACGTCGCCATTTTGTGCTGCCATTGTCCAATACTCTAGTGCCCTTGGTACATTAACTTCTATATTTCCTGCCTCATGTCCCATAAAATGGAAATCACCCATTACCCTTAGCCCGTCAAGATCACCCATGACAGCAAGTTTCTTTACAAATTCAGCATACCTTTGTGATCTGTATTCTTCACTTCCTTCATCTTGGTTGATATTAGACCTTGTTCGCATAGCCGATTTAGCTGCATCTATTACATATGGCAGTGCGTCTATACACTTGCTTCCTATAGCTTTAGGTTGTCTTTCAATTCCCGAAGTGACATGTGGATCATCTAGAATACGTGATGGGTTTCCTATTCCACTATATAGATAATAGCTAACAGCCAGACTGGATGCATCATCGTCCTTGTAGTGTCCGCTAAGGTAGCTCAAAAGCGTCTTGTCGAAATACTCAGTATGGCGTTTACGTATTGATCTTTTGGATGTCACCAACATCTGGTACACCGCCGACTCAACATGTGTTTTTCTCATTTCCCAGGCATACATATTGTTAACCACTGGTGGGTATCCTATCCCTGAAAGGAACCCTAGTACGGCGTTACAAACTCCACATGAAGCTCCTATCCCTTCAGTTATATATGTTAGGCTATTTCCGATATTCCGTGGCCATCCCCATGGAAATTGTGGGCGCCCTGATCGATCGGTTACTCCGAAAAGATAGAGGAATGCAAGCAGGCATCGGCATTTTGTCATCAGCTTCTCTCTTACCGATGCTGATAGCGATAGATACTGTTGTTCTACCTTTTCTGGCATACTGTGTACAGCACGGCAAGTGTCTGGTGTTTTGAACATTACACTCGACGTCACTTGTGTTTCCGGTGCGGTAACTCGGTGTAGTATATCATGCACTTCCTGGAAGTCTATAGGGTCGCCTCTTATATTCAGTAGCCTACGTAGGAGGCGTTCCGGGTCGAACAGCAGCCCCAATGTTTGTATAACATCCGGTGGGACTATATCTGGCGACTTGTTATACAGTGTATCATTTTTCATACTCCAGTATGGCTGGAAGTTTTTACTGGATTCGAACAACATTTCCTCAATTTGTTCTGCCTCTTGTGGCGAAGGGTTAACTTCGTTAATCGAGTTTGGTGGATAGTTATCCCTGTATATATTGATCAGTGAACGAATATACCTAAGTGGTCCTAATACACCATATGTCCGTCGTGATCTCCTACGTTGTCTTAGGGCGGTGAATGCTGGTATAGCATGTTTTTCGAGCATACGTACCATGAGATGATATGCCAGTTTGATTGTAATTTTTGCAATCCTCCTTGCTTCAGCATCAAGGCTTTGATCCAACGTGAGTGTGGATTTGAGCAATGGCAATGCCATAATATCGCTATGTGGCGTCGCGGTGTTACCCTGGTGGATTTTATACCTTGAGTAATGTCCTAGATTGTCGAACAAGCCCTCAGCATATTGTGTTCTATCAGTCTTTGCTAGCATTTCGTCCAATATTTCCACATATTTTTCGTTCACTGGTAGTTTGTGTAGTGACCAGTGAGATATGAGAGCTGCGAAGTTATAATGTTTATCTTTGTCTAGTTCGACATCGAATTTGAATATCAATAGCTCATTTTGCTCATTTCTGTAGCAATATTTCAACATATTGCGAGATAGTTTTCCCTTATCTTTAATGTGACGTCTTTTTACCTTGACCTGATATGAGAGCGCTCTCCACATGTACGTGTATGCAGCTTCGTTATCCAAGTACGTTGGCCAAGTGGTGTTTGTCGGTTTGAATGGTTGATATTGCTGCAATTCGTGTAAGTCATTGCGTAGCGCTGCGATTGCCAAGGAATGTGCTGCACCTCCTTCCGGTAATTTCAATGGTAGACCCAAGATTTGGAAATGCGGAAGAATACCTTCGGGTACTGTCATTGATCTGAAAAGTGAATTATGTAGAACTGGTGAACTGAGTATATGTAACATGATTTCCAGTTCTCGTGGTACTAATGTTGTCCCCCATCTCAACAATCTACCGTTTCGCTGTGCTAGCATATCGAACCTTCCATACTCTCGCACTGTCAAACGTTCGGTAATCCATCTTTCGAACCTGCGTAGTTCCACTTCCTCCATAGTTGGCTGCATACATATTAGTTGTGAATCCTAATTTGTACATGTCAGAATAATCACGTTTTTACGACGCACTAATATCCATTATATCTACTTATACATCATGATATGAAAGTGCCTCTTGCTTTGTATCTGCCTATGGTATAAAATCATGTTAGCTCAGAACTCCAATACAGAGATCTGTAATATACCACCACGTTGGTGGTCTGCAATATACCGAGTTGGCCAGGATACATTAGCGTTCGGCATGTGTTACAACACGATGAACGAGGTATACTCCCTGTATTAACCCAAACTTACCTCGATTACTTGATTGGTGGGTGCCGCCGATAGCCAATCGACGTTTGTCGCGGCATCGGCACTAATGGCGGCTGCCGCCAGCGCGATGACCGCATAAAAGTTCATAATCTCATAAATCTGTATATCATCAGAAATATGCACATGAATGTGCACTAAATTGTGAATGGTATTGTAATGTCGCGTTGCGGGGTATCACCGGTTCGGTGAGATTAAATTAAATGACACTTCCAACACACCTCGACCATTTTTGTGACATAGCCTGTATTATTTTTGTGTGTGGCATTTTAACTATTCGAGCGTCTCTGAGAGTTTGTATCACTAAATCTGATGCTAGGTGATTCACAGTAGCTTGAATCTCTTGAATATTACGGCATTTCTGCCACCTATATGTATTTTTTGCTGTTGATATTATATGTGAACCCATTTTCTCGGTGGATTTTGCTCTATTATATGTCGGAGCTATCTAACGTAAAGCTGCGTATCTCATGGTCTAATATCTCGTATCATTAACTAGAGAAACTAATAAAGCAATAAAAACCTTTGTATATAACAGTGGATTGTATATATAAAAGGTTTGATAATAGCAAAAGTATACCTCCGGCGGGACTCGAACCCGCAACCTTCGGATTAGAAGTCCGACGCGCTATCCAATTGCGCCACAAAGGCCTAGCGGGAAAACTCATTTTTAGGTTTATAAGGTTGGCCACCTTACCTATTGCGCGCGTTCGAATTTTCTGATGATGTCTTCAGTATATAATTGATTATAATACAAAATGATTATTGGTACAAGCGCCTCTCGGCGCAGTATGCGCCTATCCCCGGAGGTTAGCCGGATTCTATACCTCAGGTAATCCGATTTTATTAGTGTGCTTAATGTTCGTTAGGAATCTACCGTATAAGATTTCTGCTGAGGAGTTATACGATATTTTTGGAAAATACGGATCGGTTCGTCAGATTCGAAAGTAGGTTACATTGTACGTTGTTTCTACACCTTTGTTTCAAACGTTTGACCATTAACACTGCTTTAGGGGTAACACTCCGAGGACTAACGGCACGGCTTTCGTGGTCTACGATGATATCTATGATGCTAAGAATGCGTTGGACCATCTCTCAGGGTTCAATGTTGCCGGTCGGTACCTGGTGGTGTTGTACTACAACCCTAACCGTTTAAACAAGCGTAAGGATCTTGACAAAGAGCAAGAGGAGCTTGATAGGGTGAAAACAGCTCTAAACATGAACGATTGATAAGTTCATTAACTGTAAACCTAATTATCGCAACCATATGAATTCTGATTATTGACACTGTCCCCGACTGTTAGCTGGAACATCTAAATCTCTTATTCGTCCACCATGTAAATTTTAGGTGCCAGGACCTTGTGAATGTGAAATACGGTCGATGGTACCAATATCTATGCAATGTTGTTTGTAGAGGTCATAACATCATTGAGTGAGTTGAAATGTTAGGTGGTAGCACCCTAAGCAGGTTTATCGGCCATAGAAATGCCTCGACAGTAGCCACTGACGTGTAGATAAGAGAAAGTGCGTGACGATAATGTCGCAGACAGCAATATGACATTATTGCGAAGCAACACTATTTCAATGTTTAGTGGTAGTTTACCTTCTACAAACCCATAAGGGTGATATTTTGAACAGCATTACGATAAAGTTGAAACATTGATGAATCTTGGTACCGGAACACACACACTGTTATAACAATTGGAAGTGTCATGAGAATGAGATTCCTGGGTTTGTGGCCGTGCTATCAGATCTGGTAACTCTAATATATTCGTTGTGTAATGAATAAATACAACCTGGTTATCTCTGTTGTATGGAAGGTTATTAGATCGCGTACCTAAGACACCTATTGTAATGTGTGGGTAATTCAGCTAAGATAGGTACTTCACGGGGTCAACTACACTCGAATTCTAATGTTTTTAGATGTTTCATGCTTTGTAAACTGGGTTCAATAAGTTCGGCTTCGCGATGGCCGCTGTACTAGAGGCCGGCTTGCCAGGATTGGGTATAGATTGCGATAACGATCTTGTGAGCTATCTTCTCGACCTTCTTGAGGGTGAAGGTGTAGATGTGTGTGCTGAGTGGCTAGAAAGTGCGGCTACAGTCCCCGATACCGGGGCAGCGCGCAAGCTGGCTGAGGCTGCCTTTTCATCGCTAAATGGTGAGTTATCTTCGTAGTTATTTTATAACATTGCTTGAAGCATCGCGTGAAATGGATACAGCTGGAGGTTCTGTTGTTTCAACTTCTGTCACTGCCGTTGGCGACCCCTTGGAGGGCCTGGACCTAGCACTGACTTCCGCAAAAGCTTCCAGCGAAGTGTCACATACTAATTCATTGAACTCCAATTTATGGCAGCATAATGGTGAATTGGATAAAGACGTTCGGCGTGAGATTGTACAGCGGTATGCCTGCATCGAACTGCAAACTGTCCACTTGGGAGAAGACGGCCAAGTGTGCTCTAGTGGAGTTGCGTTGCGGGACCTGGAGGAGGATGTAGTCATCCCTGTGAACGACAATGCTGCAAGGGTACGTCAGGAACAACAGGAACGTCGTCTATCACAGAAACAGCAACATCTGGAGGCCCAGGCAAAGCAACAACAACAAAAGTTGAAACAGCAACAACGTGAAGAAAAGGAACGTTTACGTTGCCAAAAGAAGGAGCGTCAAAAATAGAAACATGTATTCATTATCGCTTAATTTTTTTGTGATAATTCTTCAACCAAGTTTTGGTCGGTTCTTATGCAACCTGCATAAACATGTGGGCATAATCCATGTTAAATGGTCCCCCGATGATATCACTTGCGCCATCTTAAATGTCTTGTTTCTCGTTCTTTACCAGGTTTCATGATGCGCCATTCTTGTTCGTGTAGGTTATGCAACCGTTCGATTGGTTTTTTAATACCCGATTTTGATTTGGCTTCGTTGTCCGTTTGGTCCCCAGCGGCACCAATTATACGGCCCACAGACACCACCGGTGATTTATGATGTATCGCCTGTGCTGTTTCCAAGAGTGCTGTCATTTTCTGTAGCATGGCAACAGCTCTAATTGAAGATTCTAGTGACTTTGCATCTGTCTTTCCTTCAACTGCCATTGGTCTGTTAAGGCGCATAGCCGCCATTTTAGCTAATATTGTGGCCTTGGCCACAAATTTCTGCATTGTAACGTTTACAAAACAATGCTAACGGTAGTAGCTAATGGTCTTATTGTGCAATAGTTAGTCCTAATTCTCTAGCAAATGTTCTCGTTTTAACAACCATTCCGGTTGGTCCACAGAATACCGTGCAGCTTTCATCCGGTTCAAAGAACGCTTCCATATATTCTTTTGATAATTTTCCAAATTCTAACCATTCATTTTTCTTTGGTCTGAAGTGTTGAATGACATCTTGACTTTCTGAGGTTACTAGATATCTGACTTCTAGTAATCCACGTTCTTGTAATTTATCCAGTAATTTTTTGAGTAAAATTTCCTTTACAGTTTTGTTGCAGAATAATAGTTTAACCTGTGTGGTTTTATTGTGCAATAGGAACCGAATGTAAGGTGTGATGCCCGTTCCACCCGCGACTATGTTAAGTGTCTTGAACTCGAACACATCTCCTGTTACTGGGCTCAAAGCTCCTGGTCTAATAAGTTTGAATCTTGCGTGCCATGGATTGAGGACTAATGGGTGTCCTGGTTCTATTGTTTCTAGGAATCGCGTCAGGCGTCCTCCATCAGGGTAATCATCGCAAGCCCGGTATATACGTATAAGGAAGTGAACTTCTCTTCGTGTATGATCAATGAATATAGGTGTGTATTTTCTTGATACCCAAGTTCCCTCATGTTTTAGCATGGGAGTTCCGTTCCATTTCCCTGGTGTTGTAGGTGGCTTGCGTTCGCCGTAGATTAAGTAGTGAGCAAATACGTGAGAATTAAAATCGGCATCATATTCTTCGGGATATGCAATCACGAAAATGTAGGCCGTTGGTGATACCGCGATCCGTCGCGCTAGTGTCACCCTCAACACTAATTCCGTGTCTAATGTCGGTGGTGCCGGTACTTCAAATCCTTCCCCAGCACAATATTGTTCGATAAGCGATTCTACTTCATCTACTTTGGCCATTTTGGTCGGTGTACGAAAAAAAGACTTTTACTTATTGTGAGGCAATGTGCAGCCACGGGCCGTTAGGATTCTGTACAATTGCCCCCGTGGGATCCACACAAAAAGTTGTATGAACCCGCTATAGCTTATAGAAAGTGCTAGCTGATGGCTAGCACCCCTGGTGCGGTCATATTTTTTAAAAAATTGATATAGTCCCATATATATGAGAAAATAAAGGTCTAGCATTACACAACCTGACCTTCTTCCACTTCCTCCGGTATATCGTCATCCGAAACTGGTGAATCTTCCAATTCTGGTTCATCGATAATTAGTGGTTTCTCATCGTAGAACTTTGGTGGTTTTGTGCGTGAGCGTCCTTTTCCGCCGCCCAGACGTTTTGGGAACCACCCCTCGACTGTGCGTGCTCGCTCTACATCGACCATGACGCGGCGTCCACTAATTTTTTTGCCATCAGCTCGTTTATATGCATTTACCATATCGCGTTCGTCGCTGTATTCAACGAAAGCGTAGCCGCGCGGTCGGTTCGTGCGATCGTTAATCATACGTATACGTCGAACTCTACCATATACGTCGAATTCCTTCCATAGTTGCTTCTCCGTCATTTCGTACGGAATATTACAGACGAATAGTGTTTTGTAAGGGTCGTGGGTGAGCCATGGGTTGGTAGACCCACGAGCCAACGCTGGGTCAAACTTAGGGTCATACGCCTCTCTATCTAGTCGTTGTTTACGTTGAAATTCTATTAGTTTTTGGCGTTTCTTCCTATCAGCACGTTGACGTGGTGTTTCGAACGGTGGGTCAGGTGGTACCTTTTCATCTGAAAAGCTGTCTAGATACGCTGCGATACCATCGATCTTCTTCTTCATTCCATTTTGTATTGGCGGTATGTAATCCAGTGGCGGTCTTGCTTGGAAGAGCACCAACAGATGTGGAGGCATGCCAAGTGCTGACATTTTGATTTGGCAGAGGTTCTCAATTCGATGCGTCGGATACGAGGTAAGAACCCTGAAGAGCTACTATAACATCCCTGGTTGCGATATTAAGTAGATGTAGGTATATTTGAAACGAGCTTGGTCGATTGTCCCGGTCTTAATCGATGTTAAAACCAACAACCGTTCCTGTTGGCTGTATGCCAGAGCGTAAAATTATGTAGTATCTTTGGTTTATGAAACTTGGGCATAATTATGCCATAACTTGATTAACAGATGCCATCTACCGCAAGAGTATACGGCGCGCTGTAAAAGTCACACCCTGATAACCTTGCGATATTACACTTCTATGAAATAACCCATATCTTAAAGATTAATCTCATATATTTCTCAGCTGGTATAAACAACGGTACTGAGCTCTTTACGGCGTGGCGCGTGTGCCATATTTTGGATGGGGGTGAACCTTTAGTCTCACGCCTCTATTCTGGCTTTAGACAGATCTCCGCGCAACGGCGGATATCGACGCAGTGCGTCGTTAACCAGGTATCCACTGTACAAATATCCAGAATACTATGAAGTGTGCATTATAGACAGAAGATTGTATAGGTGACATAAGATGTTGGTTACACTTGCCGCCTCGTTGGCGGCATTCGTAATCGTTTCTGTCAGAGGGAAGGACCTCTATCAGTCACAGAAGGTAGGTGTTATACCCCTCTACTGGCACCGTAGAACTCGGTGTTCCGTTATCGTTTTTCTGATATTCATCTTATTGTAGACTATACTGTGTCCTCGAGTCGACTCCAGGGTCAGTCGTGGTAGTGATTCTGTTGAGATTGCGAAGAAAAATAGAGTAAGTGTCGCAGAGGCGCCCATTATCAAACGCATCGATACCCGTAAGGTATCGCTCAAGCCTGAGGATGTCAATTCACCGTCTTCCCGTTTGAATTCCAGCGATTTATCCGGCGATATGTATAAAGAAAATGGTGAAAGACAGTTACAAAGAAGAGTTTTGGCTGTAGGTAGGTGCAGCTCTGTCGGTTCGGACAATGCACTTTATAAACGCGTGATTGGTAGTGTTATAAAGAACAATGGAGTAAAGAATACGACTGCTGATTTGGACAATAGAGTGGTGGATGCCTCAACCACCCCGTTCACTTTCTTCGATAGTGGCTGGGCCACTGAGAGAGTACTGCCGCTAACAGTTGCGCAACGTCCAAAGTATGCCATTGGGATGCGCCAGACATTCCCTATCCCATATTGTTCTATAGTTCCACAACCAAGTGTTTTCCGTGTAATGGGTAACCTTTTGGCATCACTGAGGCTGCTGTTGATCAACCAACGTCCACCATACAGTGAGAACCCTTTGGCACTTTTTTGTATGGCAACTCTGTCGGCTATTCCATTGTTTGTTGTGCGTTTTGCAAGTTTGCCGCCGATAATGGATCTGTTAAGAAAGCGTTGGGCGTTCCAGGGTGAGTGTGGTGACTTCACCGTTGAAGAGGTTTTGAGTGGTATGATTACTGTACTCACGGCTGAATCTGCATTAAAGTTAGCATTACGTGCATGGTTTTACGGTCGTAATGTCCATTGGGATGTAATGCTCCCGACTAAACTTAGCAATTTGGGTCGTGGCCTATCGCATTATTTCTCCTTTATACCAAGAGCCATTAGTATTTTGGGCGGTGGCATTTTGGGTGGATATTGGAATGCCGAAGTGTTACATGGTGTGGTACACGTATTGGTCCACGCTGCCGTTTTTGCAAGATTGGCGTTGTTTACAGCTGTACAGCATGCCTTCTTCAAGGAGAACTACCACACCGCTGCCTTCCTCCTAAGTCCTGTGGTATCACAATTGGCTTCTGCGGTTACTGCTTTAATGTGTGCTATATCGAGTGCAGCAAGTTTGGGTACTATGTTGATTTTCAAGAACTTCGCAAACGCTGTTGATGTGGAGCATCTCCTTGATTCTACAGGGTTCCGCACTACTGAGAGTCAAGCTGCAGCTACCAGCTATCTTCGGAATGCTCTGCATAATATCCCTAAGTTCTTCAAATCGGACCATTTTGATATGCTTGTGCAGTTAACGTACTACCATGACTATTTAGTGCGTTTGGTGCCCCGTGGGATAGAATGGCCGTTGCTGTTATTGCATTTTTCTATGGCCCTGAACTCCAACTCTGCTGCAGGATTATACCTTGCCGTGGTCAACTTGGTCTATGCTGTTGTGAACCAACGACTGAGTACCTATGAGCGTTCTATTCTAACTCGTGACATCGATGAGATTGTCCAAGAATCCCATTAAATAGATGGGAGACTTATAGTGCCTTATGCTTATTTGCTGATGGCTACATTAATTTGGGTTAAATTTTGTAGAAAAGTTCTTATTGCATATTAGCCAATTGCGAGTTTGTTACTCGTCTTTAGTGTAGGTCTATGCTAGTTTTCACGAATATTCAGTTGCGTTGTAACGATATTCAGGCAGTAGGCTACATATTCCTGGTGTACTAGTGTACGGTGGTTGTACAGGGTTTGTTGGTATATATTACGAAGAACATACGATAAGGGTATAGATTGCAAATCAAATTTAATATCTTTTCGTGTAATTTGCAAAAAATACGTGGCATATAGCGTACGTGAGGTGCGTCTCAGCCAGACAGCACACACATGTCCTAGTCCCCCGAAAGTCGGTGGAATCCTAGATACGGATCCAACTTCTATCTGAAATATACATCTAATATTGTTGTATCATCCGTTAATGTGGCCTTATTAAGTGCAGGTGCAGGTTTATTCTCTTTAAGTCTGCATTTCGGTTGAACTACTGTTCTCCATCTCCTCGTTGTGCATCACCTTTGAATGAAACATGGCAATCTGACTATAAAATGGCAACACGTTCTGGGAGTTATTTCCTAACAACACATTTCTGGGGACCTGTTGCTAATTGGGGATTCGTCTTTGCTGGTTTGAGTGAAATACGTAAGGATCCCGAGCGTATATCTGGACGTATGACAGGTGTCCTGTGCTTCTATAGTATCCTATTTATGCGATTTGCGATTGCTGTGCAACCACGTAACATGCTACTCTTCTCATGCCACCTTTGCAATTCTACAGTGCAAGCAGCTCAGCTTTATCGTCTCTATAAGCACAAGACCAAGAAACTCGAAGAGTAGGGGTTTTCTACAGTTGAATAATCGCCATATAGCTACAAAAAGGGCTCGAAATAGATACTAAAGTGCACAAAGGTTAAACTAATCGATTCCAATGATGGAACAACGTAGATGAACCTAATGAACTATTACTCTGACCTAATATGTAGAATGTAGATTACATGTGTTATAGTCAATGCATATTGTCAATTGCCAGTATGATTGAATTGCAGTTGTTACCAAATTACGTTTCATTGTCATTGCAATAACCGTAATCGTCATCATCAACGGTTTCATTGTCACCATCAGTTAGAACATAATCATCGTCATGTTCAGATTCTGGCGCATTAGGAAGCTCAGTTTCTATGGTTGGTTGTTCTGGAATAGGTACTGCACATATAGCGGCGCACCTGTCACAGAACCCCTCAGAAACGTCTTCACGGTATAGCCAGCATCTTTTACATTTTTCGTAACTGGTAGGCTGTAATAGCAGGCTGTACCCGTCACCACGTAAAGGTGTTCCTGCAGGAATTGCAGCGTCAGAATACAACATTAGTCGTACATTGGCAACATTCAATAGTATTCTTAGGTCAATCTTCAAGTTCGTCTCTAGGTCAAGAATACGGCTGATAACACCGTCATTGGCACAGATGATCACCAGTTCTTGGTTATCTCGTCCATGTCCTAGAGTATTGACCAAATTACGCAGTTGCAGTGCATAATGAACACGATTGGCTACATCCACACGAGTGAGGTATGGAGGTAAACGTGACCAACGGTCACCGAATATCGATTTGACCGATGCCGCATCTCGTCGTTTCAATATTGGCTGTTGATGTGATATAGTCTGGTATACATCTTCGGCCATATGTGGCATGATCGGTGCTACAACTCCTAATACGTTTCTAAGTATTTTTTTAACGATAATTTGTGCACACGTGCGAGACCAGCCATGTTTCACATCACAATAAAGCCTATCTTTGCTGTATGAGATGTAGACGTTAGAGAATCGAGTTAAGAACATCTCTAGGGCACGTATGACCTTATGGAAACTTCCCTCTCTGAAGAACTGCCGTGCATCACGCACCAGTGCATATGAGAGTTTGAGCATATACAAATCCAGTCCGTTGAAATATTCTACCCGGATACGGCATCTGTCGTTTGTGACTTTACAATCATCAGTAACTCCCACTACATATTTGAAGAAATTGGCTATCTTCTTTGCGAGATCACGTGCTTCAGAGAGGTTAGCTGCATTCAGCCGTATATCCTTTTGTAGGAAGTCATTACTACACACCCATAGCCTCAAAACATCGGCACCTACACACTGTGGGTTATCCAGGTCGACTAATTCAGGGTCATCATAATATTCGCCGCCTAACATTTGCAATAGGTCAGTAGCCACTGGGCTTGCTGAAGAGTTACCCTTATCCAATTGAGATACCTCTTCATTTACATGACTTTTGCTAACTGTAGTTTCACTCTGTGTGTCAGATGCATTTTCCATTGACCCCTGTGATGCAAATGTTCCGACTTCAGGGCCCGAGGTATCAGTAGCATTATTGTCTACTTTTTCGTTGCGTTTAGAAAGTTTCTCACCTGTATCATCGTTAACAAATCCGTGTGTGATAACTCTCTGGGCAAGTGGGCATTGTGCTTCAGTGTCTTTCAGTAGAGTGTTCACTAACAGGGAGGACTGGTACCAGCCACGAAACTGATCTTGTCCCTCAACTACATATTCCGGGGTAATTCCTCTGAATTCATAACGGCTATGCGGTGCTGCCCTTCTGCACATGCCTGCTAATATTTCACGTAATCGTGACAGTGTTACCCGTTGTGCTAACGCTGACTCAAACCATATGTCCACAACGTCACTCCTGAAATCTAATTTACGGAATACACGATCGCCAATCTCATATGGCGGTAGTGTATCTATGTCTACCGCTACTCGGTATTCGCCTGTAAGGACACCTTCGTAATGTTCATCAGCATTTGACAGTTTGGCGATGTTCGGGCTCTCTAATGCCTTGGCATCTACATATACAACAGGTATTGGAGTTCCCCATACTCTTTGCCGACTAAGACACCAATCTTGTGTTCTACTTGCAATTATGTTTCTCAAGTAATTTCGAGATGCCTCTGGATACATTTTCATGGCCTCCATTTTCGGTATACAAGCCTTTCGCCCTAATAAAGATAGACACCATTGTTTTGTTAATCTAACATGTGTTCGGTTGCCTAACCTCCAATCTACATCTACTGCAAGTGGTTCTACCTTTGCCTGTAGCATAGCGTCGCCTAAAATAGAGCTTAGTCGTTCAGCATCCAGATCATGTATACTGATCCCATCCAAGAGTGGATGTAGCCCGTAATAGTACCTTTCATCTTCATCTATAATGTTACATATTGTGTGAGGTTCGTTGTCGAAATTATCTCGTACCGAGAATTTATCATCCGAAGCCAGTAACCTGAAGTCGATAATACCATGTGCCGGTGCTGCGTGTACAATACCAGTTCCTTTATCCTTTACAATTCCAACATGGTCGTGTACTGTATAGTGTTCTTCCGTTACCGGGTTCGATACTGTTTTTCCTACGAATAGCGAACCGTTTAGGCGGCCAACGTGTTCTTTTTGTAAGAATACACGAAACTTCTCATTATTGTTGAGAACAAAGAGTGTCCCTTTACGGTAGAAAACATCATATTCAGTTAGTGCATCGATCAATATGCCACGATTCGCTGGTATTGTCCAAGGCGTGGTTGTCCAGCATACCAATCTTACGTCTGCTAGTGGTCGATGGAAATCCAGTGCCTCCATAACGGGTTTTGTATCTACCAGTTCGAAACCAATAAGTGCGGTTAGTATGTCGCGTTCTTCTGACCTAAGTTCGGAATCTGCTAATACTGATTTTGATTTTGTGCTGTAGTGTTGTGGGCATCTATCACGGTATATCAATCCCGTGTCTAGTAGTTTGTTGAAAGTTTCCATAACCGTACGTTCATAATAGAAGTGGTATGTTGCATAGAAATCTTTCCAAAATCCCCATACACCAGCTTTTTCAAATGTTGCCGTTTGTGATTCTATAGACCGTGTGGCCACCTGACTACAGCGCTGTCTGATTTCCACGGCCCGGGGTACCCCGGCATCTGTTAACCCGGTACGCAAGTCCCCCAAACTGTATCCAGTATTGCTTAACACTTTGGACTCGATAGGTATACCATGGCAGTCCCATCCTGGTAGGAAGAGTGCCAACTTCCCATCGAGCAGTGCTGCCCGTAGCAATACATCTTTAATAGTTTTGTTTAAGAAATGTCCATAATGTGCTGATCCATTTGCATACGGTGGTCCATCTAGTATAACTGTGGTCCTTTGTGTAGCTTTAGTATCAGATAGTCCTTTATTCTGGAATTTAGACAGGCGTCGTTCTAGTAGTAACCTGTATATATCATAGTCCTTCCAGAATTTTTGTATACGTATTTGTCGTTCAATAGCAGCTCTATTGAAGTGTTTTTGATTGGGCCACAAGTTTTGTGGCAGGTTGACTGTACTTTTAATATCAATAGAATCCTGTGTGTCTGTAGTATCCGCAGTTGCCGCTGAGTTTAGTAACCTGTTTGATCGGTACCTTCCTTGTTCATCTAGTGGTAGTACCACATTTGTTTGACCATTAGACGTCAGTAATTGTGTATTCGTGCCTGTTCTGGTCTTGAGTATATATGAATTGCAGGTAAGTATCGTCCCTAGTACCAGCTGAATTAGGGCTGGACCCCGTAGCCGCATACTTGCACAAAATGCCGCTTACATTTCTAGATTTAGATTGCCAGAACGCTAGAACTGGTTACTATTAAAAAATATCGTACACATTTATGGAAGGTTGTTAACAAGTCACTTTATACTGTATTGTAACAAGTATGATCGAATTTTTTCCATTTCTTCAACCATAGCTCTTGTTGAATTTGATGTCTGTATAAATATGATTATATTGTAATATAAAGGGCTATGTCGGCATTGCATTGGTGTGCAGGTGATGCGGCCTCATGAATATTGACTTACCTTAACTCCGAAGAATCTTACCCATTTTAGAAGGTTTTGTTGTGACATTGTATTGAATTCTAGGTCCCAATAACGTTTTAAAGGGTCCAATGATGGTTCCTGTATCTGTTGTGCAGGTGAGTCCGTCCTTGTATCGTCTCCTGTTGCAGTGACTGACTGCCTTTGTTCGTTAGAGCGTGTTTTAGGTCCACTAACAGAGCGCCTCAATTGTATTGGACTGGGTGTATCTTCCGGTTGATTGTCATTTTGTAACCAGCACGATGTCCACAAACGAAATTCCTTATCAGTTTCCGTGAGCCTCTGTTGGTTGTAATCTGGAACATTACGTTCTACTTGTTTACTTGCTATTAATTCTATGTCCGAATCGAATTGGCTAGTTTTTCTTTTGCAATCTTGTAGCAGCTGTTGTGAAAAGTCGTCTCTTGAGGTTCCAGAATCCGCTGTATGGGCCGATGACTGTGGCATTAGAGGTTTATTTTCTTCGTCATCATCATCGATAACTATGACCTCTAGATTATCATTTTCATGATTTTCGTTTGATGTTGCTGTTATATTATCTGTATTGCTCTCTGCTACCGAATTTTCCGGATGTGAGAGTATTGTAGGATGAGGTGTATCACTAGATACCCTTGGTGATATCTGGTAATGCTGTCCAACAGCATCTTGTATCTGATTATCTTGTATAGGTGTTTGTGGTTGATATGTTACAGTCCCCGTTTCACTGTCGGTTGTCTGATTGTTTGCCGTATATTCTGCTACATCGTCGTTCTTTTCAGGAGTATTCTTTGTACTATCATCGTTTGACTTTGGCGATTGTGATTTTGTTGTACTCTCCTGGCTGTTAGTCCATGTATTGGGGAATAATGTCTGTACTTGTTGCAGGTTCAACTGATAAAGTGCATTTAGCAACGATTGTCTTTCTGCTTCAAAGTTCCTTATATTTTTTTCTATATTTGATATTCTTGAGCATATAGTTTTTACATAGTTCCCAATATCCTTTAGATCCTTGGGTGCCGATAACCAGAAGGGCATTACACCGTTGCATGGTGCATTGAGGGTTGCCGTAGACGCTGTAGCGTCCCTTTTCGCATTGCCTCTTCTTGACAACCGTCTTTTACGTGGTTCTGTCAATATTGAAGTTCCTGAACCATCCAATAAGAGTTGTTTCCTTGCGCCAAGGCTTCCCCGTACAAATTGTCGTAACCCTGATGATTTAGTTAGCCCTGCAGCCCTTCCTTCTAGCCCTTCATTTTCTCCATTTTGGTTCGCCTCATTGTCATTAGCTATTTGTGTGAAATGTTCTATAGCGCTTTGTGAATTCGCCCCTTCCCATGTATTTTTGACAGCAGGTTGTTCGGTTTCTTCTGTATGGGCTGATAGGGGTGTTGCGTGTAGCGATGTTGAATTAATACTTCTTGACGTAGCTATTGGCGTACTCCTTGGGCTCGATGATGCTGTATATCCACATGATAGGTCGCTAACAAATTTCAATCCATCCAAAGAATCTATGGAGAGTGTTTTCCCCTGTGTATGGGTAATGTTATATCTCCTTGGTGTGGATAACGGAGTGATTGATGTTTTGGATATTGAGCATGTCAGGGATTGTAATGATGGTTTCTCTGGCAGCATTTTGGCATTGCCTTGAGAATGGTCAGTTGTGTGTATGAATGTCCATGATTCTTGCTATTATAGTTTTTTACTGCATGACAGTATCATCTTTATATTAAAATCATCATATTATTGCGATATATTGTTTCTATGGATTTGGATGTGTGTAGCATTTTGGTGTAGTATCGCCCGCTGTGTAGAGGCTATCAGTGATAATTTCATAGTGTTAATTCTAAAATGTGTCTATCTGATAAATTTTGTTTAGGTTATTTGCGACAAGGTGTGAGACATTTTGGTGTGAGTGGTAGCTACGGTCCGAGTATCTATGGAATCCAACAAACTGAGACTAATACGCGCCTTATCCGTTTACCTCCAGAGGAGCCTTCAGCTAATATTGATCTTTATTCCCGACTCCACGTATCTAAATGGCCCGGGGAGATCCGTGCTTTGCGTGGTAACTATTTCTTCAGAGCGGGTCAGCGTACCAACACTGGGTACTATCACATGTTGATTAAGAACAAGAAGGACATATGTTTGGTCTCTAACGTGGACAAGAGGCTAACTGCTACTCGTAGTATTGAAAATTGTTTGTATGAGCGTACCCGTGGTTTCGCTGGTCAGGTGCTTTTACATGGTAGGGGTGTGAAAGCTTTTTTTGATCCTGAATTTCCACATCTGATGTTCAGATTAGGAGTGGGATCTAATTGTTTAGATGCTACCCGTGTATGTACCATGTATGCTAAACATGTCAAGGTTGAGGTCGACAGGACCGGTCTGATAGTATCTGTGCATGGTTATAACAAGATGATGGTCGGTAATGTCGTTTATCGTCTATTTCGTCTTGTGGAAGCTAATCCTTATACACTGAAGGGTGGTCATATAGCAAATTACCCTATCAAGAAGAAGATGCCCAAGAAGAGGTAGTGGGCGGAGACCACTTTGTTGGTCCATTATACTTTTTGATAGGACTTCTATCAGTATCGCATATGATTAGCCTTGGGGTTAAGACGGAAATACGCTTCCTCATGGTTGGTCGCATGAACTGTGAATGTAACAATTTGTATATTATAATTAAAGGTTGTTTCACTTTTAGGTTAGCTCTATGTTTTTCTTATATATCGGCGTTTGATCGGCTAACCATATTCTAATTGGTAATATTGTTTGCATCTCCATTAAACATGACTTCCGAATCATCTAGTCCGACATCGTGCTGTTGCACTGCCTTAATATATTCCTGTACATCTTCATCGGGTCCTATAATCCTTTCTTTGATATTACCATTTCTAAAACTTTCTACTAGTTCCAATACCTCTTGTGCACTTTTAACCTCGAAGTGGTAGCTATCTCTTACCATTCCTTTGAGTAATATTAGAGCCTCTTTTTCGGCTTCTTTAAGTTCTTCATTATTATATACATCGAAATCTTTAAATCTACGTTTCCTTATATTTTTGGTGGGTGGCGTAAGGCCATGAGGCCACTCCCATAGCCTTTTACGCATATTTTCTATGGTGACTTCTGCTTCTTTTCGTTCCTGTACTATCAAAATTTGTGATATATCTGCTGATTTGAATAGTAGATCGCAGTCTAGTGTCTTATGTGCCTCTAAATGGCATGGCAATTCTACTAATATACCAACAAGTTCCAAGGGTATCCCTCTTATACGTACCACGAACTCACGATAATCATATCTTCCTGTAGGTTCTATAACTAATCCCATATCTTCTCCTGTTTCCATTCTTGTTTTTAATATATCTGCAATATCTTGTGGGAATCTTATTATGCAATGTTTATCTAGTGATCCCAGGTCGCAAAAATCTCTTGCTGCATTGCTATCTACGCTCTGAAGTCTCTTTGAGCTATGTCTTTCGCCTTTTGCAGGTTTATTAAATAGTACATCTTCATATATTTCATGTGCTCCAAATATTCCATGTCGTGCCAGCAATTTTCCTTTTATTAATTCTTCAAAATCTGTATGTCTACGTCGGTTTGGTCTTTCTTCCGGTTGATTTTCATGAGTTCCCGGTGCGGCATTTGAAATGCTTGTGTTTGTTATGTCAGATTGATTCGCAGGTACATCAGCATATTGCTGAGGTTGTGCGACGGCGACACTGGTGACATCGCTTTGTGTATCTGCGAAACTGCTTGCGATAGATCCCTCGTTATCCGACATCGTTGTCTATATGAATAGTTGTTCTATCCGCATTGAATGCACTAATACATATACCCTTAGCCGTCTCTGAAATCACTGTACAACAACACCAACCTCCAGAGCGCCTGCTGCAGTGGCACTGTACCTCCCAGCGCTAAATTACGTATATCTGATATTTATGCATCCGAGCTCAACAAACCATGCAGAAACGCCACCAACGTGATGCATACGATGTATATTACAGTCCCGTTTATGTATATTTGTGTAGCATTATCCCTGTAATGATCTTCGCGGCTCCTGTAAACTGCAGAACCTCAATTTCGGCTTCGTGACAGTACTATTTGGAGACACCGCAATACACTACTAAATAAATTGCCTTTATATAAAGGTGGTTACGGCGGTTGCGCCAATGACGATAACTATCGGCACACCCAGGGTGTCGCGCTCGCCTCAGTTTGACCTTCTGCGGGTCATTACACAAACTTCTCTAATGTTACAAATATTGTACAAATCTAGGACTGACCCGCCATATGAACTAGTGGGTAGTCATTACTATCGTGTCACTTATGGTTTATTTTCAAAACCAGAAGATGTTAGTACCTACGGTTCCACCATATGAGACTGTGTCTATTTGTGTGTAACATTTAACGGTAGCTATGTATTTCCATGGCGCCGTCATTGCTTGCCGTGTTCGGTGAGCATCATATCACTTGGTCTTTTTGTGCAAACTGTACGATATAGCGATTTATATTGGTCACAATATGCCCAAACGGTGTGTGGTCACACTGTTGGTCTCATAGTTGTTAAGGAACATGCCAGAGGAAAAAATCGATGCTATTGGGATACCTCTATTCCGATTAACATTACTGGGTACCCATGGCGTCGGCAAGACCTGCCTTGTGAATGCTATAATGAACAATGTGTTACCCCAAGTATATAGACCCACAAAACTTCCGGAGCTCTACTATTTTCTTTTGAGGCTCTCTTTCGATGATCCTATCGTCAACGACGGTTCTGAAGACATTAACGCCTTCTGTTTTGAACTCGAGGACACCTGTGCGGACTACGACTTGCGTCAGTTGATTGACATGACCAAGGCCAAATGGCCTTTTGAGAGTGGCATGGATAACTATACGCCCTTTGGCATATTCAAGGAGCCCTTGGTGCCATTAAAACAGGGTGATGAGTTCCGTGCGGTATCTCAAAATCGCATGGGCTTTCTGGCTATATTTGATGCAAATAACTATGAATCTTACAGGTATGCAACTTCCATTATAGAATGTATCCTGCGTAATTTCAGCTGCATAGGAGCCAAACAACCGGTGGTGTGTCTAGTGGCCAACAAGACAGACCTTGTGCGTGAAGATGATTCTATATTTGAGGAAGCTGATGGGTTCAGTCAGTTGCACACAATCCCTTTTTACAGGGTATCAGCGCAACTGAACCGTGACGTGTCAAAAATGATTCGGGAGCTTGCCATGATCTTGTATGGTTCCCTTTCTTTGTGGGAGATTGTTACACATACCAGTTGACTTTTGGGGGTCTATTACGCCAGTGTTAATTTTTTTTAAATACACGTGACGATGCGGTCTGTCTATGCATTTTCTTTGGACCCCAATTATCGGTTGGATTTTTCAACCACCTTGCTACTGTTTTTTTCTCTGGTTGTTCGCGTAGCGTTAGGTCGATATTTTTGGTTTGTATAGGTGTTTTGAAGAAGTTATGTGTCCCAACTTTGCCTTCTTGTTGTGCTTGATATCTTAATATATCCATGACTACTTTATTCGGTGCATCTGTTTTGAGCGACTGTGGTTCTCTATGAAAGTGTGAAGCGCGGTATCCTAGATTTTCTAGGCATTTTTTGAATGCCGATGGGCTTATCGTGGTTAGGTTCCACCTTTGGCAATAGTACGGTATGTTGTAGTGTAGTGGAACATCTTCTAGTTCCTCCGATATTGCTGTTAGTGTTCCTATTATTTTGGGGTTTTGTGTTACCCCTGGTAATGATTGTCGTGCTGTTTCTGCATTTTTGAGTGTTGCACGTACAAAATCCTTATTGTGTATGCTTCCTATATATAGTGGTCCACCTATCTTGAGTCTTCCACCACATTCATCACAGTTGCCTCCAACATCGTTAGGTAGCGATGCTGGTCTTTGTTTCGGTTCACTATATTCTCCTAGTTTGACAAATCTGAAGGAAGCGCATTGTGCGCATAGTAGTAAAATTCCGCAATTTTCGCTCAATCGTTTACATTGTTGTACGTTATTTGTTATGCGTACGAATACCCTTACGTAGAAGTCAGCGCTGCATGAGATCAGGGGTTCCATAACTCTTTGATATTTTGCCGCCGTGGTTGCGATTGTGTATAGTAGTATCCTTAGCGATAGTTCATGGCAGAATGCGGCTTTGATACTTGAGCCTCCGTATTTGTAGAATGATACTAGTGGGTTATTTCCGCATAGTGTTGGCATATCTGTTGACGTAACGAAGAGTATGCCTCCACTTTTTACGCATCTGACAGCTGAATCTAGGAAAAGTGTTGCTGTAGAGTATGGATCGATATCAACAACGTCGATAACATTCCTATATTTCGTTTTATCCTCTGTGCCTTGACTTACGGCGATTACATCTAAAAACTGTTCAACTTTTTTATTATGGTCTTCTATAGCATTGAAGGCCTTTGTTGGTACAAATCCGCATGGTATTTTTTGTATATTTCCGTTCATGAGCATTAGCCTTAGTACATCTGGTTGTGCTGTAAGTATCTGTGCTACTAGATTTCCATCTGCGCATATAGCTCGGTATTTGTTTGCTGGTATGTCATTAGCTTGACAGTTGAGTGCAATAGCCTTTGCTGAATTGTAGTCCAGGTCGTTAATGTATACATGATTAACATAATCTCCTAGTTCTTTTATGTATCTTATGCTCCTTATTCCTGAAAGATTGTTTGTATATTTTAGTAAAGTTGAGTGTGTTAATGTTCAATTAAAGTGTATATGTTTATTTTTCTTCACTAAAATAGGCTATGTAGTATATATGTTACTAACCTGTTGCTGCTAGCATTTCCAGTACATTTACTCCTACGAAATCGCCTACAAAGCTTCTGCCGGTTACCGACCTACATGTGTTGGCCCGTGTCTTTTCATATTCTACGAATGTCTTGAGTACTACTAGTGAGAGATCTCGATTGAAGACTTGTGGTGGGTTATAGAATAGCGGTTGTCCGTCTATAGAGCAGCTGCTGACTGTGACTAGCCCTTCGGTGACCGTCTCATCTGAATCCGTGGTATCCATGATTGTGTTGTGTTATTTGCGGTAAATACCGCACATTAACTTTAATAGTTTGTGGGTGTGTGATACTTTGTTATACTAGCTACTGTAAGCTACTAGCAGGGGGGCCAGTTGCCTATATAGTCTGGTAGCGTCGTTCCTGGTTTGGTTTATCTAGCCGCTGTGTGTTGTTGCGTAACATTAATTTATGAAATGTGATTTATAATATATGTATATTGTTAAATATGTGTAATTGGTGGTATTAAATGTGATTGTGACTTGGGAGTTCTTGTTTTTTTTTCAAATGGTAGCCATAGAACGTCTGTGTTTCGTATTGTATTCTATTGTTTTTTGGTAGCTTCTATCGCTCTAAAGTACCTTTGAAATCATTGTTGCGTACACAGGATCCAATTGTAATTTGTAAATGATCGTATAGTTGTTAATTTGATGTACACGTAGAATCATTGCTGTAACTTGGCACGGGCGGTTAGAGTTTTGTATACTAAGTTGTCAGAATATAATACTGTTGTGTATTTGTAAATTGTGATTTACAAGTTGTGATTGGTAAGGTTCGTTGAATAACGCCACACGAGAGGGGCACACACAGCCCGCCCACAACTTCCCAGGTATTATCTACTGGTTAGGGTATCTCCCGGATCGTGTAGGTTATATACATGTTGCAACAAGGTATTGCACTGTATATGTCATAACACTCGGCGTAAAAGCTGTGGTCGTTGTGACCTTCCTGTCGTATTGAATCTATCCAACCTCTATAATTGGCAATTTTATTTTCTGTAAGCGTGAATTTCTGTTATACATTGGTTGATCTGGTGTATATTTTTCTATATAGGTACATTTAAGTCTAGTGACGAACTTTAAAGCATTGAAGACGATTGTATTGGACATCTTCTCTGTTAATGCACATGATGAAGGAGGGCGATAGGAAAGGAACTGTCGCCTCTGGCGATTTTAGAGCGTTGAGTGCTCCGCATGTAGCGAGCGTGGATGATATATTGAAACACTACGGTGCTACTTTAGAGAAAGGTTTAGATGACAAGACTGTTGTTGAGCGTCGTCGTATCTTCGGTCCTAACATGTTGGCACAACATAGCAAGGAATCGTTGTTTAAGCTTTTTCTTTCACAGTTTGATGATATGTTGGTGAAGATATTGTTAGGAGCGGCCGTTATCAGCTTCATCCTAACACTTACTGAGGTTACGGAAAGCTATGCCATAACTGATTTTGTGGAGCCTCTTGTTATCCTCCTCATATTGATATTGAACGCTATAGTTGGTGTCTGGCAAGAATCGAATGCTGAGCAGGCGCTTGAGGCTTTGAAAAAATTACAACCTACGGTTGCGAGTTGTCTTCGAAATGGTAAATGGGTTACTGTTGATGCTGTTGATGTGGTGATGGGTGATATCATCCGTCTACGTACTGGTAACAAGATCCCTGCTGATGTGCGTATTTGTAATATATCGTCTACATCCTTGAGTTGTGAGCAATCTCAGTTGACTGGTGAATCTCGCAACGTTGCTAAGGTGTCGAAGGCGTTGCCAAAATCTATGAAAGGTTGTGAGATCCAAGAGAAGACTAATTTGTTGTTCTGTGGTACTACGGTATCAGCTGGATCGTGTGTTGGTATTGTAGTGGCGACTGGTATGTCTACTGAGATTGGTGCTATTCAGGCTGCGGTGTTAGAGGCTGATTCTCAGGAGCGCAGTACTCCATTGCAAAGGATGTTAGACGAGTTCAGTACTTCTTTATCGAAGTTCATCACTATAATCTGTGTTGCTGTCTGGGCGATAAACTTCCGTCATTTCAGTGACCCTGTGCATAGCAACATCTTCAAAGGTTGTATATATTACTTTAAGATTGCGATATCCCTCGCTGTTGCTGCTATTCCCGAGGGTCTTCCTGCAGTGATAACTACTAGTCTTGCTTTGGGTACTCGTAACATGGCTAAAAGGAACGCGATAGTGAGGAAGTTACCTTCTGTGGAGACTTTGGGTTGTACCACAGTGATTTGTTCTGATAAAACTGGTACTATGACTACAAACAAGATGCGCGTTCAGGTATTGAAGCTTTTGACTGAAGATGACGTGGTTCAATCGGTTCGATTTACGGGTGACGGTGCTGTTGACACTACTACTGGTGATGCTGAAGCTTATGTATCTAAGGGTGATTCTAAAGCTCCTTTTGACGTGCTTACTGAGACTTTGTTTAAGTGTGGTTGTTTATGTTCTGAAGCTTCTGTGGAGCAGGACGAAGGTGAGCCTACTGAGTTGGCTATTGTTCACATGGTGGACCACCTTTACAAATTCATCGCTGGTGCGTCTGACAGGCCTGCTTCTGTTACTTACCAGCGTCTGTTGAAGAAAGAGGCTACTTTGGAGTTTTGCCGTGATAGGAAGATGATGAGTGTGATTGCTAGTGAGAATGGTAACGTGAGTGTCTATACCAAGGGTGCGCCTGAGTGTGTTATCGAGCGTTGTACGAAGTATATGAAGCCGGATGGTACTATTGTTGCACTGAGCGATAAGGTGAAGCGTGTGCTATTGCGTGAGGTTGAATTGATGGCCTCTGAGGCCCTTCGTACAATGGCCTTCGCCTGTTATGGCGACGCTGGTAATGCTTTGAAGTTGTATAAAGAGAATAGTGGTGCATCTGCTGTATCTGAGGGTAGTCCCGTTTTTTTTGGGGATATTGAGCGTGAGCTTGTATACCTTGGTCTTACAGGTATCCTTGATCCTCCTAGACCTCAGGTTAGTCAGGCTATCCGTGTTGCTAGGCGTGCTGGTATACGTGTATTTATGATAACGGGTGACAATAAGCTTACTGCTGAGGCCATAGCTAAGCAGGTTGGTATCCTTCCTCCTGATTATCCGAACATTGGTAAGGGTTTATATTATTCTTATACTGGTAAGGAGTTTGAGGGTTTGTCTGATGATGAGCGTCGTCGTGTTGTGAGTGCCGAGGGTGTGGTTTTCAGTCGTACGGAGCCTAAGCATAAGCAAGATATAGTTTCTGTATTGAAGAAATTGGGTGAGACAGTTGCGATGACGGGTGATGGTGTGAACGACGCGCCTGCTTTGAAGATGGCTGATATTGGTATAGCTATGGGTATTGCTGGTACTGAGGTTGCTAAAGAGGCATCTGATATGGTTCTTGTTGATGATAATTTCCAATCTATCGTTGCTGCTATAGAGGAAGGTCGTTGCATCTATTCTAATATGAAGTCTTTTATACGTTACCTAATTTCTAGTAATATCGGTGAGGTAGCTTCTATATTTTTGACGGCTGCTTTGGGTATCCCTGAGGGTATGATGCCAGTGAAGTTATTATGGGTAAACCTTGTAACTGATGGTTTGCCAGCGACTGCTCTTAGTTTTAACCCTCCGGATCACAATGTCATGCATAAGCCTCCTAGGAGCAACAACGACAAGCTTATCGACGGTTGGACGTTTTTGCGTTATCTAATAATAGGTTTATATGTTGGTGTGTCTACGGTTGGTATTTTTATTTGGTGGTATTTGTATGGTATATCTCCAAACGACCATAACACACATGTGACGTTGCATCAACTTATGAATTTCAACAAATGTCCGTTGTGGACCAATTTTCGAGTTACGCGTCTGGATACTATGAGCGTGAATATGTGTAGTTACTTTACTCTTGGTAAGGCCAAGCCTGCAACGCTCAGCCTGACGTTATTGGTGATGATAGAGATGTTCAATGCTTTTAATGCTGTTTCTGAGGAATCATCATTATTATCTGTTCCTCCTTGGTTGAATCGTCAACTGATATTTGCTACGTTTTTATCGATATCTATCCACTGTATGATCCTTTACACACCATTTTTGGCGAATGTGTTTGGCGTTGTGCCTCTTGACCGTTACGATTGGTTAGCTGTGTTATTGTGGTCTTTACCTGTGATATTGATAGACGAGTTGATGAAAGCGGTTGGTCGTAATTTTATTCGAAGGTCTGCTTCGGTTTTTGATAAGGAATCTTCTTCATCTAAGAAGTACGACTAAGGTTGGTTGTGTGTTTTTTGAAATTATGATTGTTATAGGTAAAAAATGTGTATGTAGCTATGTGTATTGAGCTTTTTATGTGATGTTTGTGTTAGTTGCGTCTCGCATCTTTGGTTGCGCGTGCATCGCCTGTGGTTCTGGCGTCATGAATGTAGCGTGTATCCCCAAAGTTGCTATGAAAGATGGTCTCCGCGGTTGGGTTTTCGGAGGTTCGTATCATAATAACAGATAAATGACTCTAATGATTCTAATGTGCGATTTTGTGACCGTGTCAACAATTGCTATTTTAACGATAATTCATACCCTACGGGTGTAACTCACATGGCCTGTGGCGATTTCTAGATTTATAAATGGCGTCGTATGTATACCGTCAAATTGACCACTTATAGATATAAATGGGTTGTCTACGGCCTTTATGCGCGTTAGCTACCGTGAACGCTTAGATTTATGCACTAAGCAGTGTTCATGTATCACAATAAACGGAACAATGAGATTAGGAGTTCGTTTCGTAGACAGTTATCGTGATTAAAGTGTTTTCTCGGATCTTGCGTGTCTGTTTGACTGGATTCTTGTTCTGGAATGGATTTTCTTGGATAAAAAGGGGTCATGAAAATTTTGGAGGATGTTTATTCCGTTGATTCAGGATTAACCGGCTTGATGTCAATCATGTGTCGTGTCATAGTGTCTTGTTCCGTAACTCTTAGTTCAATATTTCCATCTCTAAATAGGGCCTTGACAATGTAGGCGGCCGCCTGTAGTGGTGTCCTCCTTTCTAAAGTCCTGACACTTGGTACTAAATAATCGATACTTCCAATAACGTAAGGGCTATTGAAGAATCCATGTACCTTGTTGACATCATATCCGCGGTGGTTATCGGCAATAGTGAAAACAAAGCCGAGACGGATTCCATCTACCAGTGGGCTGCGTTCAATGAATGGGTGTATTACGGATCCTGGGTGAACATTCAATTCCAATGATACTGGTCCTTCTGTGACTGTTGTAACTGTTCTTTCAGCACATTCTAGAAAGCCGGAAGGCGTCATCATGAAGACCTTGACCATGTGTCCCAATGTTTTCAGTACCTGGCTGTTGAATGCTATCAATCTGACTACTTTTTGTCTTCCACGTGCAAAGTACTCGACATAAACATCATCGTGTTTATAGTTTTCGACGTGTAGCGGTACAAGTTCTTCGTTTCCATACATGACACGTACCTGTCCCGCTGGTAAGCTTACCATTCGGTATACTCCACCATTTGTAAAGGTTCCCTTAAATACCGTCAATGAGGGTGGGAATTTCAAATGCTTGAGATCGATGATAACCGGTTTCATTTTGTCGTCGTTTGCGAGGTGTAGCAATTTCAGGTGTTTCGCTGTTGCGTAATAGCGTAAGAGAAGTTGTATAAAATCGAAAAAATCGAATTTGTTTTTTCGAGAGCTGGCACAATATTCCTTAGAATATATATACTGACTATAATTAGTGCAGCGGTTGTAGGGCTGAAAAAATTAATTATAGGGGTTTTTGCCACATCGAGGAAAATTTTGTACCCCTATGATTTTTTGAGTACTACCTAGACATGGTTTTCCGCATGTTATTTACACATTGCTGTCATGATTCCACGCGTATATACTGGCAAATGCTCGTATTTTTTCGTGGAAGGTTGAAATCGGCCAAAAGGGCGTAGCAGCATGGCTAGTACAGCAGCAGCAACTTGCATCGAGGAACTTTGAGGGGGTTGATTTTTTAGCACCACACCAACTAACTTCATTTGCAATAGTTTTATAAACTTGATTTTGTTGAAAATGTGTTGGTTGGAGAGTATAAAATGCCCGTTATTGAAAAATGGGTGTTGCTCCATATGTGGCTCATGGGTCTCCTGCAGCTTGAACTTGTAATTTGTTGAGTTAGCCTCTGATACTTCCTAGATTGTCATTATAGCTCCACTCGATAAATATACCATGACCCATTAGTCCTATATAAAAAGTTGATAGACACAGTATAGAAGGTCGACCCCTTTGCTGCTGAGGGGACTATGGAATCTGACCGAAAGCACACACCAGCACAAGTCATGAATATGTAGTCTAGCTAAGGTATATATTAACGTAACTAAAAGTTAATATGACCGGGCATTGCATGCGTGCGCGCACACGGGTATGATAAATCAGCGGGGTGCCGTGTGGGTGATGGGCGTGCGTCTGGCGGCAGCTAACATCGGGGCCATGGTACCAAAACACCCTAATAATTAGCATCCAAGTCACATTACGACGTATTGGCACTAATATGATTGCCCACTGCGTGTGGTAACACCTTGGAGAGCCCATTTTCTTGGACCACGGGTCACCTGATGATGACCAAAATCAGTAGGATCAATGCAAATGCTGCAGCAACCGCTATAAACATGCCAGTCCACTTCAAACCTGATATAATAGCTCCAGAAGCGTTGTTTATAGTCGCCTTGATCTCTTGCCAGTCCAGGTAGGTACGATTTTCAAGAACATTAGGTAAGAAGGGGTCCTTGTTAGGAGCATCGCGACCCTTCCCCACAGCAAAAAGCTTAGCCTCGGATTCTGTGAGTACTGAAAATTCGATACCGATTTGACCTCTTGATTGGTTCTCATGTGACGGATGAAGACAGTCCACCCAAAACTTTTTACAGTGATATGGGCCTGATCGTTTGCGAATCTTGGAGTAATCGTTACGCAAATCAATCTCACATTCTCCTACCAAATCACTAACTCCCAAGAGATTACAGGTATGGATTTGTAGTTTCAGGAACGAAAAATCACTAGGGATACGGATAGGGTACTTGAACCGCCAATTAAATACAGCCGTACCATCACGACTGTTGTAATGGGTATCGGTATCCTCTACCAGATCCTCACCATCTGCTACCTGGAATGTACCACGCACAAATAGAGATAATGCAGAGTTACCATCTAACGGTACGCCGCGGACGTCCCATATAACTACACGCAGTTCGTAATCGGATTGCTCCATACCACCAATGGTACGGATAGGTTTTGTCTGAGCTGTTGCAAGATCCATCATCTCTATCCAGCAGCGTAGAGTGCCATGTGATACTGTGGAATCTTCATTTTTCAATGTACGCAGTTCTATAGGGACAATGTCCTCCTGCATGAGCTGGTACATCTTCTGGTTCAAGAATCGATCTTCGCAATCTACGAAGGTAGTGCCAATAACCTCATCTTGTATAGTACCCTGTTCGACTACACTTATTTTCAGAATCGCGTTTTCAGGAAGGGCACAACCTAGGTTAAAACAGGTGTTGTAAACCGGCTTCACACCCTGACCGTGGATAGAAGTATCCCTAATATTCTGAGGGTAGCTCAGGGACCTTTTCTGCTCTCCATCGATGTTACGAACCCACAGGTAGGTCATAATATTGCTGTGGCCGCTGCTGGTGTATAGCCCTTTAGCCTGGAGGACATATAGTCGTACAACAAGCTCCTTGGCCTTAGTATAAAGCTCTACAAGTTTCTGCCGACGTTCCGTCATCTTTTTAGCAGCCTCGCGACGCACACGGATGTCCTCGTTTGCCTCAACGGTACATATAAATTTTAAAACACCAACGGTTTCCGGGACACCAGCGGCGGTACACTGCACTATTGGCGCCTTCATATAAGGCAGGTCCTCAGCGGCGAAATCACATTCCATTTCGTAAGGTAGCTCATCACGTTGTAGTTCATCGGGTTCGTCATCCTCTACTACTGCAATCTCAAAGTCGTTACGGAACTCTTCACCGTCACGAGGCTCTCCAGCACGCTGTAAGGACACAAAATCAAAAGTATCGTACAATTTTACATTCATCGACTCGATATCATCTTTAAGTGTGGTTCTCACAGGGCCGGGTTCATGTTTAGATTCGTCAATTTGTGTTTGTTCACCTGTCGATAGGAAATCCTCTAGAACTTGCATTTTGAATAGTTCCTTTGAATGAAGGCGTTCTTCATGGGTTAACCATGGTAAAAATGGGTTCAGGCTTACATACGTTACCCCGAATAGTTCATTTTCATCACCGGAAGATATTGCAAATTCAATAAAACAATGATGTTGCATACGTTTAGGTAGGTCAACGAGGATCTCATGCGTCGTAAGGTAGTTCCAGTTACCCTCTGAACCTGAGATAGGGTACCCGCTGGAGCATTTGTATATAGGTTTTTCAGCGGTGCCGAAACGGATTATCACCCTTGGCCTGTTAAGTGGTTTGAAAGCGCGTATACCTATAAGTAGCAACGATATCAATGCCGCTATCTTGGTTGGACGAATATCATCGAAGAATGGGTATAATTCAGGGCTCTTCTTCAAAATGTCCATAGGTACTAATTCGAAAGCTACAAGTACGCATGGTCGATGTAGATCATTTTTCGTTGATTTTAGTTGTACCCATTGTGGCGCCTTGCGCCATTCTTTCGGGATCTTTGTCAAGCTGAAATGGCCACTGCACAGGAGCTGTTGAGATGAGAACATCGAATTGGGCTCAGCGTATATGTTTATGGTCACATCTGGAGCTAATAGAAGGTTAGAAGGTAGGCATATTTCCAGTTCTGTGGCCTCATAGAACATAGGGCATAGCGTTTCCCGAGCTACTTGCGACTTCACGTGGTAGCCGCCAAGTTCAATTTCTACGAAGGTATTGGGGAAAGTAGCACTATCTATACAAGGTAGGTTTAGAGCCTCGTATATCATAGTCCGGAACATATAATTGACCAGGTTATATTCGAGTCGTTCTGGTCTCCGCTCAATATCATGCTCACCCAATACATCAAATGACATGAGAACGTTGAAGGCACTGACCCTATGGTCTGAGGCGTTTGTCAAACAAATCCACATGGGTTTCCCCTGAGAACGTCGGATACCCTCGTAAGATATACGTTTCCAAGCTACACGCTGAGAATCTGATACACCCCAGTCAGAACGGTCATTCACGTATACGAAGAAATCCCAAAAGTCGGTCTCGTTACCACATGAAACTATAGGTTCCATTGGATCTAGTCTACCTACGGTATGGTTTACCTGGTAAGTGCCATGTTTGCTTAACCTAAGCTCGGATGTGCCGACGGAATATGGGCCTAAGGACACAACCACATCGATTAAGCTGGGACTCTCTGCTAAAGGTACCACTTCGTATAGATCTATCCATACAATTTTCTTTTGTGTAATGGGTGTAGCAACTTGTTTGTACGGTTTAATACCTTTGATGGGTGGTATTTGTACTTGGGTGGCCGAGGCACTGATTAAAATACGTCCACCGTAGTCGGTCAGTGATTCCGAGGATCCTACTACATAGTTTTTAACAAAGCTGAGCAAATCTGCTTTTGTAGCCGAATTGCAATATATGTTTATCCATCTAGGATTGTATTCATTGTTGAATAAGTATTTTATGTCAATGGATTCGAAGTGCAGTAGCACCCCGTTCGATTCACCATTCCAAATTTCCACCGTGACCAAATCATCGAATGAGGGTGATATACATGGCATGTATAGTGTTGCCTGCCATTCTGGGTTGGGATTATCCTTAATAACAGGTGTTTGTACATCGAGGCCACCATGGCATATTTTTACATATGGTTCTAGGCAGCTAGAGAGTAAAGTACCCCGTGACATAAAGTCCCGACCACATATGACGTTCACATTGAGTACATAGAATTTTGCAGTGATTTCAGGTGAACGGATGTTACGGACTGCGTTATTTCCAGATTCGGAGACGCTGGAAATAACGGCAGTTGATGGCCGGCTGCCTCCGGCCGCTTCCTTGAATAGTGGTACATTGTCTCCGGGTCCGTATACACCTATTGATGTCAGTAACAGTCCTGCGTTATGGCTGGGGAAATCTGGGCATAGAATCTTTGCCCATGACCTGTGTATACAATGCTGTTGTTTTGAGTATATGTTATGCAATCCGAAGGCATGCATACCAATTAGAGCGCTTTGTATGCGATATTTATGATGGACCGAGATGATGATCCTAGTTCTACTCAGCTCGGAAGGAGTGAGCTCGAGCGTGAAGTTGAACGAAGCATTGAAAACCGCATTAGATGCCTGGTTCCTTTGCACAGTTGAATGTTGTACTCCTCCAACATCCACTATACAATAAACGTTTGGTATAACATCGACTTCCGTGCTTGGGTCCTTGAAAATTACATCCTTCACCTCATGTAGGTCCACCTTAATAAGGTACTTCACGGCGGCCATATTGGCCATGTGTGTATGTATGGCGAACTTTTAGGCATGATATTTCCATACCGAAGCACACCGCATACACACACTGGTATGGGTTCGAGTCGACACATCGCTCCGTCGTGTAACCTCACCAGCGACAGTATCGTTACATCACCAATATAGAAACTTCTACTCTGAAATAGGAACGCTAATGACATATAAATAATGTTAATGTTATAAATTCATGAGGATATGGTAAAATAGTTCAGGCCGCCTTGGCCTTGGTAACGCGTCTGTAGATAGGATTCCTATATTTTAGACCTACCCTAGGGCAAACATGGATAACGAATGTCCCATATGCCTCGATGTAATCACCCCGTTAAGCGAAAAGAAGCTGTTAGTGTCGAAAGTATGCGATCATAAAATGTAAGTTTAGCATTTATACAGTTATAATCAACAATGTTTGTATATATATACATCCATTATCATTGTGTAGATGTGATGTATGCGCGGAACAACAGCGTGAGTTAATTGTGCCACTTATTTTAATGCCAACTAGTGTCATCGCAACTTGGCCATGCGCAGTGCGCAATATGCCGATGCCATATCACCAGGGAATCTTTTGCGCCCTTCGACATGTCTCAAATCCCCTACAATATTCTCAAGGATGCGCATAAAAGGGTCTTGCAAGTGTAGGTAGAGATATGAAAGTTACCTGTATACATTGCAGATACAATGATACCAGGGCCAACTTTAAGGACACACCAGAGTATGACAAGTTCCTCGAGGAGCGAGAGACTTTAATCAATAACTTAGCTGCGGGTAAAAACGACCCACGGTGGGACCTAGCAGATGCCGAACTCAAGAATTACGAACGACAAAATGCTGGACGTATCACAGAAAATATCGCATTACAGGTTTGACAAACAATATGTATAATCATGGGTTACAGCACGATGAACTACGTAAACGTGTAAAACGTGTTGTGGAGACTGAACAAACGTTCTACGAAATGGTAGAAAAAGGAGCACCATTTAATCTCTGGAAGGTAGAAGAGCTAGTCCATACTCTACAAAGGACACATGCTTCGTTCTTCTCTGAAGAAAAGGAGGTAGTCTCCTCTGTTGGAGAGTGTAAAGTAGGCATTATTTCCCACATATGATATATGTCACGCAGCCACTCAACGCGGCAATACGTAACGACACTGATATCCCTAGGCGTACGTTGACATCCAGGTAAGCGGATATCTTTCTAGCTGAGCTGAGAAAATTTTTAGAGATAAAGTGCTGGAATGTGACATCTCTGGAGGCTACGACTCTAAACTAGTTAACCATAGATGTGAGATCCAAGTGGATCTCTTGTTGTTCTGGAACTTGGTATAGGTGACATTGCGATTCAAACATAAATGATCATAGATTGCATAGATGAACAGCCATATATGAACTAATAACAATACACTTAACAATACAATTTTGTGTAGTTGCAGATGTATAGAGATAATGAGCTACATTAGCCTAGGTGAATTTGATGAGGAGGATTATCCTCGGGAACAGCACCCTGGTCCTAGGGATGGAGCTCTACCGGACGATTGTAGCAGAGCGGAATCGCATATAACAGAGACTTGTAAACGTATCATTGAACAGTTCTGTATCAAGTCACGAGCTCATAATCTACAGTGGAAGGCTGAGAGGGTAAATGTAGAGTTCGACACCCAAATTACGGATGATAGCCCGCAGAATATCGAAAACACAACAAATACTCGAAATATACCGAATTTTAGTACGCTGTATACTTTATGGTAGGTATACCATGCTTATTTATTATATGCGAATGTAGCTACACACCAATCGTACGTAGGAGAGCTCCTGAAAAAGGACGTGATGAGACAAGGCTCACAATTGCTAAAAACGTAGACTATTTCTAATAAACATTACACTTAAACACAGAGATTACCTCTTAGATTATGACCTCGACCATGCAGGATGAGCCCATAAGAATAATGGAGACATCCGATATATATTAAAGATGAAACGAATATACATTGTAATGGAAACAGGCCACACCCATAACATACCAGGAAATCAAAGAAGGTGGTAGGATGATGGAACCGAGGCGCCAAAGACGCATGAGATGGTTCGAAGCTTGGCTCAACTCTACAGTCATAACAGCGTCACCCAGATCATCAGGATGGCATGATAACCTGTATTGTTATCTAAGGTTCCATCGTTCAAGCTCACAAAATGAAGTCGCTATCGAACTCTACCACTCTATGCATCAAGCCGAACTCTCACTCAAGGATCTTGCATTGCATATCGGAGAAATTGGTAACCTTCTATCTCATGTAGACCTCAGACAAATCGCAACACAACCAAAATCAAGACATAGACAAATGCTTAGTATATTCTTTGATTTCCCAGATATGTCTCAAGCAGTAGCTGAATGTTTAAGGCAGGAGTCCTACGCTTACGTATATCTATTAGTGAGGCTGCTGTTTGAGATATTGCTGTATACCAGGTCTAACCCAGTAAGATCATTTTGTTTCTTTCAAATGATGAGAAACGCACACGTATTAAAAGTACTATTCGGCATGGTAACACGCGAAGTATCACTCAAAGGTGTCATGGGTTATGAAACAGCAGATGATGATAATTATGTGGTAGATGCTCTAAGCACAGTAGGACAGTTACCGAGACATTTCATGTTCAATGTCATGGACCACATACTGAAACAGATGTTAATATCACGGGATATTAACCTCAGGATAGCTGGAATAGAGGTGCTGAGGCTATGTCCACACTTAGTAGCCTGTAACCCGCAGCTTTTAAACGAACTCAAAGTCGCACTTATAGGACCTGAAACAGAATGCTCTAGTAAAGCAGCATCCTCATTATACACCATAATGGAATACCTGCCCGAGAGCATTGGGGAAATATTACTCCAAAGCTGCCATGACCATGCGATATCGGTGGAATTTGATCCACAACGCATACAATCGTTTTGCCATATGGCATTGGGGTGCCGTGATACACCGCTATACAGATTAGCGTATCGTATGTGCTGGAATATATGGCTACATATCGATAATCTGCGTAGCAAACCAATGCCGGAGTCACTAATAGTTCGGGAGGCGGAACTCTACCTCTTGGCCACCAGTACTATACTGTGTGCCGAGTGTCCGGACCTTTTGTCACGGCAAAAAATAAGGCTGGAAGCGCTTATATATGACCATAGAGATCGAGGAACCAATATGGAAGTGGCATTCTGTTTGACCGTGCTTTTCAAGAGAAGAGCAACAATGAAAGAGGTTGTAGCTTTGATGAAAGCACCTAATATACAATTAAATTTAATGAAGGAGTTTAATACTATCATATTCTGGAAATATCTCAGGCAGTTTAGAGAAAATATCAACTCAATATCGTTACAAAATGCTATATTAGCATTCGAGACAGTCGTTAAAGAAGATGCCGCCAAAGTAACATTGTTGTGTCATATCAAAGAGGCGTTCAAATTACTAAAATCAAGCTATACAGAACACTTGTTGCGTATATTGCGAGCTATAATAGTTCCGTTTGCAAAGCTCACCGGCAACCTCAAATACCTGCAGATAATGGTTCTGCGTACACTCGCAAATATTGTCAAAATGTGCTATGTAGTAGAGATGCAAAAGTTCGCAAGAGCGGTACCCGAAATTAAGCAAATTGTTAAAGATACAGATATCAAATATATATTCAAACCGATCTTGTCTGCAGATGATTTTAAAGTAGTCGACGATTCTTTAACTGCAAGACGGGTCAACCTATGGGTAGGGACACTGTATGACCTGTGTAACTTTAAACCACCAAAAATACACAACTACATCGGAACACAAGTTACACTCAACTTCCTCACTGGCACGGTCATGTATAAATACAACCCAGGGACGGTAAGGATATCAGCAGTCACCAAAAAGGATAGATTCAATGCAACAGTGCTACATAATCATGTGAACAAACTGATAGCTGATGGATACAGTCGTATCAAAAAAGGAAGAGCTATAAAGCAGGTAATACACTTGTCCCTGCGTCTGGGTCTATATACCGAGGCGGCAAAATACTTGAAACGCCTGGAATTATACACAACCGATACACTCCTATGGTTCAATGCTCTATACTACTATGCAATCGCGGAAACTGAACCTGATTTGCATAAATCGGTACAATGCCGTGTACAGGGACTGGACTCTTTGGATGCTTACAGCTATCAGTGCACGCTCTGGATGCTCAATAGTGTAACCAACGATGTTATGGCACCTCAGCTAAATTACATGTTACCGGAAATGGTTACGTATACATGGTGTTCGCTGAAATTGATCTTCCAGGTGGCAGTAGGCCACCTGCACCAAATGGCTCAGAATAACCTTGAGAACAAAGAGATGCTCGCTCCTGTATTCGCAGGACTTTTTGGCCATTTCAAGTCACTAAAATGGTGTTTCAAAGGAACGTGCACTGAAACGGTTGACACACTACAGGTATATGAAGGATTGTGCATATTGCTATATGCTATATGTCATACGCCAAACCCAGATACCCTAACGTCACAAAACCAAGATTGCGTCTTTATAAATCCAGATGAAGCACTACAAAAATATATTATCGATATGTTCGAAGGCGGGGAGATACATATCCCACGAACTTTCGCAATTATCAATCTGCTAGATCCGGCAATAAGGACAAGGTTATACACGGCACCTGCCCTATTGGCAGCTCGCAATATACTCATTGGAGCTACACAAAAAGCAAAACCGGACCCCAACAGCAGTGGTTTACCACCGACTGACCCTGATAAGATACCTACGTATGTAGCAGAGATGTCTTTGGAAAACCTTCTTAAAGAGTTTGTGCTCTTCTCTCGAATAAGGACTAACAAGGAGAAATACAATACAAAGAAACCAATTACAGATCCTAAAGATGGTAGTGGAGCCAGCTTACAAAGCGAAATACTGTTCTCATACATGTCAAGAGATTTAGATGAACTGAACGCTCTGATACCGCTTGTAAAAGTCTGCGAAACACAGAGAAGGAACCCTGCTACAGTTAAGGACCTTGCCAACCGGATATCTACACTCAAGTTACCGATGCCCGAAGGATTGATTCAAACGTTTCCGCTACCATTCGCATCCCTTACCGCCGTGGTGGAATACGAGGTAGGTATATAGCATCGATATTCAAACGATACAGAAACGAACGGGTGAGGCCCCTGTATCTATACACATACAAGGGTCAATGCGTAACGTAAGTGTATATTTGTTTGGTTAAACACCCTTGCAGTGTGCGCGTAAAGTAACGTGGATTAAGGTGAAATTGGAAGTTATAGACGCTACAAGCGGAATCTCTGTGATATTCCGTCGCAATTTCAAGATGCATCATGGAGTTATAGATAAACATGTACACGTCTATCTGCCGTTACGACAAATCGACAAGTTCAACTTCAGCTGCCTGCCGCTAGACAACGACAAGTACCCATGCGGATTGCCCACGTTCTTCCGGCCAACATTGCGTGAAAAATGGGCAAACTTTTAACGTGCAAAATTAGCCAATTTATGTATCGCATAATATAACCAAAAGTCAGTGTCGCGCGGCAAACCGCCAGTGTCATTTCACCCCGCGTCACAGGAGGTTACAGCGATCTATCGTAAAAACGGTGATATACAAACCAAAATTTTTTACGGAACGAATACAACAACTTGTTAAAACATAAGACTACTAAGAAGCCGCGTCGAGCCGTTGTATACAACTTGATAAAAAAATGGAAGACGCGCTCAGTATGTTCAACGCTTTCGAAGTCAGGACCTCTAACAAGGTCATGGAGTATGATCCAGAATCGTTCTCAACAGCCCCTGGATTTGTAGGAGCATCTGAACATAAACTAGCCGCGCAAGTCATACTTGAGAGGCTGCCAGGAGGCAAAAATTGCACTCATCATAGGCTAAAACCAGCAGGATATGAAACAGAACAGTACAAAACTGCAGAACCAGCACGAAATTACCCATTTACACTCGACGATTTTCAAAAAAAATCTATAGAATGTCTAGAAAGGGGTGAAAATGTATTGGTATGCGCACATACATCTGCAGGAAAAACAGTTGTGGCAGAATACGCCATCGCAATGGGATTAAGAGATCAAAGGAGAATCATATACACCAGCCCTATCAAGGCACTAAGTAACCAGAAGTACAGGAATCTATGCGATGAGTTCGTAGATGTTGGACTTATGACAGGTGATGTAACGCTTAATCCAGAGGCTTCAGTCATGGTCATGACCACTGAAATTCTAAGATCCATGCTATACAGAGGTAGCGAAATAGTACAGGAAATGAAATGGGTCATTTTTGATGAAGTACACTACATGAGGGATGCAGAAAGAGGGGTTGTATGGGAAGAAACGATTATACTCATACCTCAAAAAGTACACCTAGTCTTTCTATCTGCCACTATACCAAACTCAATAGAGTTTGCTGAATGGATTTGCAGAATCAAAAATATGCCATGCAATGTTATAGCAACCGACTACAGGCCAACGCCACTACAACATTATATATATTCACCAGAGTCAAAAGGTGTTTTCCTTGTTGTAGACGACTCCGGGAGGTTTAGGCAAGATGCGTTCCTAAAAGCAGTTGGAAGTATGGATACAGTGGAAGAGGGACGACGCAAAAGAGGCAGAAATACAAAAGATATAGATTCTGTAGTGGCAATGTGTAATGACAAACAATTTACACCGGTTATAGTATTCGCATTCTCTAAAGCTGAATGTGAAGCTAATGCCACAGCACTCAGATCACTGGATATGACAGATGAAGCAGAAAAATCACTCATCAATGAAATATATCAAAATGCTATGGCAACATTAGCAGATGATGATAGACAACTGCCACAGGCAGTGTTTATGCTACCCCTACTTAAAAGGGGAATAGGGATACACCATGGAGGACTGTTACCAATTATTAAGGAAATCATAGAAATACTCTTCCAGGAAGGACTTATCAAGGTACTATTCAGTACGGAAACATTCTCAATGGGGGTCAATATGCCAGCAAGATGTGTAATTTTCACAAATCTCAGCAAATGGGATGGACAAGTTAATCGGCTTATCACATCAGGAGAATATATACAAATGGCAGGAAGGGCCGGTAGACGTGGATTGGATGAACATGGTCTTGTTATCATCATGATGGAACGAGGAATCAAACCAGAAGAAGCAAAATCAATCTTTTTGGGGAAAGCTAATAGATTGGATAGCTCATTCCATCTAGGTTACAACATGCTACTGAACCTAATAAGGATAGAAAACACAACACCAGAGTTCATGATAGAACGATCGTTTCTACAATTCCAAAGAGATGCGAATGCAAGAAAGTACCAAGGTGAACTTATACGGGTGCGCAAGGAAATTGAAGAAAAAAAAGCATCGATTAGACACGAAGATTTGGTAGAACTCACACAAGTGTACACTCTACGCAAAGAAATAGCACAGATTAAGGGAAGTATAGGCAGGTTAGTATCCAGGGATCTAAGGATACTCAACTTCCTCAACTTTGGTAGAGTAGTCAAACTAGAAAATGAAGGCGTAGTTTGGGAATGGGGGATCGTCTTTGCAACACCCAAGGTGAAAATTAGGAGAAGTGCACAAGATAAACAGAAATTCTACATTGTAGATTGCCTCGTACTATGCGATCGTGATAACATCACCGCTAACAAGAAGAACGCTCCAATACCCGCGAAGGATCCTTATAACGGCGTATTCGTAATAGTACCGTTCGCAATCGAATGTGTTAAAGAGATCAGCCAGATAAGGATGCAAATACAACAAGATTTTAGAGTTAACAGTGATTTGTGCCAATCTACAATGCGTGCAAAGTATATGCAGATGCTAGATTATATCAAGACACTGCCGTCACCGCCAATGCTAGACCCTGTGGAACATATCAAGATCGATACACCCGAAATGAGGGGGCTGCTTAACCAGATAACAGCACTTGAGCAACAGTTGGGGGCTTGTAAGGTGCTAGTTAGCGGCGAATATGAGGCCAAGTATGCCTCATTTATGGAATATGTAGAAGCACAAACGAAAGAAAGGGAAGTATTGGAAAACATAGAGAGGTCACATCAAATAGTCATGAAAGAAGAATTGAAACACATGAAAGATGTATTGAGGGTGTTAAATTATGTAGACGATCAAGGAATAGTTACTATCAAAGGTAATGTAGCATGTGAAATTAATGCTACAGACGAATTGGTTGTAGCAGAGATGTTCTTACGTAACTATTTCGAAAGTATGGAACCGGAGTACATATGTGCAGCGTTAAGTTGCCTAGTGGTGGATGAAAGGAAAGATGATAAAAAACCTACTGACCTAAAGCTGGCAGAGGCACACAACAAGATACAGGTAAGTTCTTTCATAGTTACATATCTGAACTCCAAAACTATTGTGCTAGTGTTGCATTATAACTGTTCTATACAATGTAAGCCACGTGGTCATCTGGGCATCGTGGATTAATGGCTCCATGTGATTATATAGTTCCTTAATCACTCCACAGGAAATTGCAAGAGATATCGCAAATGTCATGGTAGACAATCACCTTGATTTGAACGTTGAGGATTTCGTAAACAAGTTCAAACCAACGATGATGACGGTAGTCCTTAGGTGGGCCAAGGGCCAGTCATTCGCAGAGGTAATGTCGGAATCTACCCTTTTTGAAGGCTCAGTGATCCGATGTGTGAGGTATGTTAACACTCTAGCATAGAGTTATATGGTTATATAGGCGTCTGGAAGAGTTACTGAGACAGCTTGCCTGTACGTCGCGCAATATCGGCAATCTACATATGGAGCAAACCTTCGTGACATGTATAAATAAGCTGAAAAAAGGCATTATTTTTACATCGTCACTATACCTTTAGTTTGGTAAATGACAAAAATTTACCAACTCACGGAAAGTCCCATTGCCCGGCTAACCACGGCGCGGCCTACCCACGCCTATTGGCATAGCGGGAGGAAGAGCTTCTGAATGCCAATAACTCGCTGGATTCTAATCGCTTATTTAATGAAGTAAATGTATGCTTAGAATGGATGAGATACGCGCACAATGGGAAGCTCTTATGGGCAATTTCGAAAATCCCGTAGATTCTAAAGCCGGAAAGAACTTCCAAGATAGCGATGTATGTAAAATGTATCTAGTAGGGGTGTGCCCATACGAGCTATTTGAAAATACGGTAAGAATGAAACTTGGAATATATATATCGTAATACAGAAGCATTACATGGGACCATGTCCAAAGATACATTGCGATGAATTAAGAACAGAGTAAGTAGATATATAGATGCAATAGAGATACCACAAAATAGGTATTTAGAAGAAAGGAAGAAACGATACTATGGATATGAAGCGGATACCCTGCGATTCATTATACCCCTCATTGAGGATTGCGATCGCAGGGTACAAAGAGGACGCCTGAGGGTACGCTTGAACACAGTTGAACATATATAAGTTCTCTAGGCAGAGGATGATGTGGCATGCAAACAGACAACGTTGGATGAAGGTACAGTAGAAGAAGCGAAACGTATAGATGCAGAAATTGAAAGAAAGATGCAAATTGTAAGCTAACACAACATGTGATTAAAACATACAGGCCAACGAACTTGGAATGAAAGGAGAGGTCGAGGAATCGTTCAAAGTTTTAGAAGAAGCAGAATTATTAAAGAAAAACAAACTTGAAATGCTTGAAAAAGCAGGAGAAACATCTTATCAATCACGCATCAAACCATGTGATATATGCGGTGCACTACTCTCAGGTAAATAACGGACTAAATAAAAAAAAGATAATGAACCTTGCAGCAACGGATACTGACCGTAGACTCACTGAACATTACAGTGGGAAAATACATATCAGTTACCAAAAACTAAGAGATATGTCCAAATTGTTAACAGAATATATTAAAGAACGTACAGCAGACCGGTAAGTAATATACATATAAAACCTAGAGCAATCTTATAGTAGCAGAAATAGAAGTGTCGAACGCAGCTCAAGCAGATCATATGGAAACAGAAGATCATCAACAAGGAAACATAGTCGTAGTTCAAGGTCAAGAAGCTCCAGTAGTAGCCAAAGTGGTGGTGGCAGTAGTAGTAATAGGAAATCACACCGCAGACGTAGCAGGTCACGTGACAAGAGTACCAGGAGATATTAAGTCATTTCGATAAAAAAAGTACATCAATCGCATTATATCGAAAGTTGATATATACATACATGTCCGGTGGGTCTATCCAATCGCGGGATCAACTTTGGGATGCACTCAGTGTGTTTATTCAGGCATGTCGCGGCACATCATGATAAATATGATGTGCGGCAAATCGCAGAGTCAAACGTCAAATATATAGTACTACATGATATCCATGGTTAAGCAGGTACTTGTTACCGTTGGAACCACCAGCTTTGACGACCTCATCCTGGCTGTAGACAACATCGAGTTGCAACTGGAACTCAAGAGACTCGGATACACAGATATATGTTACCAGATAGGAGCATCGGCTTTAGAAATTAAAAATAAAATTTTAAATACAAAAGTATTAAGGTTTGAACAAGATTTTGATAACGTGATACAAAGAAGCGAACTCATCATATCGCATATGGGAGCAGGGACTATAATAGATGTCTTCCGCTTACGTAAAAAGGCAATATTCGTACCAAACCGAAAAGTAGCTGCCGATCATCAGATGCAACTCTTCAGGGTTATGGACGAAAGATACAGAGCAACACTGGACAATCTCAAGGACAAGTTGAAGACGGCAACAGAAACCACGGGACCCTTCTTCAACAGGATATTGCCACCAGGGCCGCTAAATGAGGTAATAGAAGACACTTTATCACAATGACCTCATTCACAAAGCATGCGAAAGTATCAAAATGAACTGTCGCGTAGATAACATCCAACAATAGCGGGAACAGAAGTAAAGCGATTGAAAAACTATTAAAAACATATGTTGCTGATATAACATGCAGGTAGTGATAGATATACATTGGACCTGCGCAATGCAGGTACTACCGTCACTCCTCGTCCCGCTTGGCAGCAGCCTTCTCATAAGCATCGTACAAACGTTTGGTAACGTCAGGCGCCTCAGCAAGCTGACTTCGATATTTACGCGCAGTCTCTTGCATACAACGACCCAAACTTATAAGAGCATGAGCACGTGCCAGACGCTTTTCGACTGACACGTCACAGTCCTTGCAACATTTAGTCGCAGCAGCACTTACAGTGTTCTCGACATCGTACAATACCAGAGAAAGCACATTCTCAACAATGTCTTTCAGCTGGTTTAGCATCTGACTCTGGTCCTGATCACTTTTGATGTCCTTGACAACCATGGCCACGTTAACCATAGATTTAGCCATGCTCCAAGTGTTACCCAGAGAACGACCAGCAGCCTGTATGTTCGCGTACGTGGTACCCAAACCCCAAAATGTTGTAGCCTCAGCAACGAAGTAGTCACCGCAGTTCTCATAGACCCAACCAATCGAGTCCACCAAAGCGTCACTAAAAGCACCGGAACATAATTCAGTCAAATCTGCCTGTAACCGCTCGCTCACGACACCGTTAGGCACATCTTCGTCAAGCCTTTTCGCGAGTTTGACAGCCAATGTAACCTCACGGTATGTCTGCTCAACCTCCATGTGGCTACTCATGTTTTTAGGACGAGCTCCTTGAGATGCTGCAAACTTCACAAGGTTAGCAATTTTAAGAGTGCCAATGTAGTCGACCAATGCCTCAGAACCAAATAAAAGCATAAAGAAAAGAGATGGGTCAACCATAGGAAAGTCAAATGTAGCCTGACTACCCTGATGATCGTACATTTGCCTTCGTTGCTCATCATAAAGGATCTGATACGCTTCACCGATCTCTTGAAATTTTAACTTAGCAGCATCGTCGTTGGGGTTCTTGTCAGGATGGTACTTCAGCGCCAATTTGTAGTACGCTTGCTTAATTTTTGATTTAGGAGCATTGCAAGGCACACCCAAACGATTATACATAGTCATATCAGCTACAGTAGCACTAGGGGTATACTTTGAATCCTCATCACCAGAATCACCAGCAAATGGTCTATCGGAGCTACGGTTAGGGTGAGACATAAGATCTTTCAGTCTCTGAGCCTCAGCCGCATCCTGAGATAACGAATATACAGCTTCAGATTCACCCCATTGAAGCATATTGGCAATCTGAGATGTATTGCTTACAACCATATCGACAAGACCTGTACCAAACCAAGAGAAACTACCACTACCGTCGTTGCCGCTCGTGCGATCCTCCAATGCAGCTGTAGAACCAGAATGGTCTGATATATATGACGGTTGGTATCCATTAGAGCTCATTTGGCCAACTTCGGAACCTTCAGAACGCCGACAGCTACCGGCATTGGCACCAGCGACGCAGCTACCGGTGTTTGGCATTACTATATCACAGCGCTCTACAAAGCCTGAGATATTGTTCTCACAGTCTAAAATGTTGCGATAAGCAGCATCAGAATTGTATTTATGGCGGTTTACGCCATTAAATTCGCCTGCAGCATAACGATCGGTGCGTGGTAATTCGTTCACGGCATACGGTACCTCAAAAGCGCCGTTGCAACCTTTACGCATAACATGTGTTTCTTTTGTTATAGAATCAGAGGGCTGTGCAGAAAATAACCAGTGCGCGACACCGGCAGTGGACGTGGAGAGATCAACGTCGGTGGACGTGGCGAGAAATGAACCACTGTTGGAAAAGCCCTGCTGCATTACACGACTGTCATTAATTTATTTGAAATTTGGAATAAAACTTATTCCAAGAAAATGACGCGCAGCATACCTCAAGTGCTGGAACCTCGCCGGTAGCTCGGGAGTGTCGTCAACCAAAAATGCTATACATATGACATTCAATGGCTTATATATCTCTATATGTGTTAAGCATGCTATATGTGAGACCGTTACCCCGCGACATAACAACATCATAACATCCCCCTGGGGAGTACAGGGAGGTTGACATAACGCAAATAACAATTGTTTGCAATATCTACGGCGCGTAGAACAGTGATCAAAGGATCGAGACATTGCATAAACTTCGTAAAACATGGCAGAGAAGCCAAAATCATACGGATATCACTGTATAACAGCCACTTCGATGTCGATCATGTCACGAAGTTACTACTGTTCCGCTCAACAGTCTCGCTGCGACTTCGTTGGCGAGTCTTTTAAAACAAATCATAAGCACGTCATAAAACATGTAAAATAAGCAGCTCCCACATCGCCTAACACACGAGTTGTGGGTAATAGATGGTGCCATGACGATGGATGACCGTAACGGTCGGAGCTACCAGAGACGTCAGCCAATGCGGATCATATGTCGCATAGACGTCGGACTCAACTACCTATGCTTATCGTTTCCTTTACAGCACGCAAGTGCAGCGAAATAAAGAATGTCACCTTGTCGATCAGTGGCATACATACAACGTAAAACTAAAACAAAAACGAAACTAACTTTCTTGTTATGATCTTCGACTGTGGACGTTATATCGGGAAGATAGTTGATCTCAAGCTTAAAGAAAAAAGAATATCGAGAAGATTAATACGCGTATAACTATATGGACTGCAGCGAGACACCGACACATTTTCAACGCTGTGGTAAATTAACGACAAACCAGCTCACACTTATGGGATATTGCATACAAAAAATGAACTATTAGGCTTCTATACAACGCGAAACGGCGTAACATACGTAAATGTGACATGGCTTCATTCTTATCAATAACACAGACTTCGGTAAGAACAGATATTCATAATTATTGCCCGTATGTGAACAAAATATACGGCTGTCTTGCAACAAGAGGGAAGAAATATATTAAAATAACGTACAACGCAAAACGGGGAGTCGCTAACTACTCGCCTCTACTGTACTACATAATAACGTCTAACACAAAATACAGGTAAAAGGTGCAAGAAGTGACAATTTGCACCCAAAAATATAAAGAACGTTCCTAGGGCCGCTATAAACTACGGGTCATTACATTACAGGTGCCTGCCAATTCTAACCTGGGGGATCTAGCTGTCGCTGCTCACGGGTAGAAAGGTAACCATTAGGTCACCATCTCATTTGTTGAACTTTTGGCATCGAATAATAACCGATATCTTGTGGTGACCAAAGTAAAAGGGACAGAAATCAAACGTATGCGGAAAATTCAAACTAAACGGAAAATACCGCTCTAGTATACGGGTGAGACGATGTGCCACATTCTTTATTTGAAGCACTCTGCTAGTATTAGTCTAATAGTTACACAAAAAACCTTGTGTTCTGTTTATAATCTCGCAAGTTACGCGATAGTGGTGTACGAAGCCAGTGGCGAGTACTAAGAAACGCAGTCAACTGATAGGATTTGATAAGACACTCAACATGCCCAAACAAGAGGGAGGTGATGAAAATTCAGCTGCTGATGGACAAGTTGTCGATACGCCAAGGGCAACAACTACAGCAAGCAGAGTTACAAAATCAGCTGAAAAAAGGGCCGCTGAAGAAAATGAATGGCAGATTCAGTGTATCGCAGGCGCATTGACAAATTCCAGAGGCGCATTCCCGGAAAATATATCGTATGAAATAAACGGTAAGTTTGAAGATACACAATACACTTCATGATATTCATACATCTAAAAAACAAGTGTACATTATATATTATGTTCCGGAGCACGCCAGGATGATGGATTATTGGTTTAGACGACCCAATATTATCCTTTACACACTTGAATGCTGTATTGTTGAGTTAACTCTATATTACCATAGCTGTACGTTGCATCCACACTTTATATATCTCATTTCATGGTTTGTTGCATCTCATTAAATATCTGACATTGATTAAATATGACGCAGGTGACATACTTACATGGATCGCACGTGGGTACGAATGTGAATTCAAAATCGATTGTACCAATGCACTAGAAGTGGTGGATGGGTTTTACCGTGCTGAATATTTCCTGGATACCAGCAAAGTACTGGATGATCATGGAGAACTACATGCGGTATTTACGGTAGAGAAAGATGAACCCGTATACAAACCGCAGCTCATTGTCGCGCAGCAGCGAATAGTTGCTACCGTAAGACAGATGAAACGTAAGATTGTAATGCGAGAAAAATTAGAAAAGGAGGAACTTGAGCGTAAAGAAGCACAAGAACAATTAGCGGGAGATAACACAAAGCAAAATGGAAAAAATGGCCAGAACGGAAAGAAACGTAAGATTAAAGAACCACAACAAACACGTTGCGATCCAACCATATGTGTAAGGGTGCTCAACAACCAACGGAAAGTATGCGCTAAAACCATGAACGAATTACTCAGCAAGAAAGATGAGCGTGGGATCTTAAGCAACTGTAATGACACAAACTCGCAAAACAACTTTCCAGATCTGTCACCTACGGCAGTTATAAAACGTGAATTTAGACTGCTAGATGGTGAAACATCGCCTGTGAAACGCAGAAGAATGTCAAAAGAAGCAGAAGCCGCGGCAAAGTTCAACGCGATGGTATTACCTATGGCGGACGAACAAGAACAACTAGAGACCACACATCTCAAGAAAGAAGATAACGAAGGGGAAATACCTAAGAAAAACAACGTTTTTCAGGATTGTTTCGTCCCCATCGCAAAAAATGATTGGGTGACGGAGAGCCTAAACAGAACGCATAAAATAGCGTATTAAATGGTCATGTCACATAGAAATAGCTCTATATAATCACTGGAAGATTTGCGGTTAGCAGCGTAGACAAGTCGCGGTAGTGCTACACACTTTCACGCCCCGCGGGTGATGTTGCTACACCCAGATAGAGCTGCCGAACACAATGCCTCGCGTCGTGTCTTGTGGGCCCTTACAGTTGGCATTTTACACTGTTATACGCTTGGCTTTACTCCTGGCTCTATTGACGGGATCCACCGCGCGTAAAGTCTCCAAAGAACAACAGACACATTTTACACCGTATGGAGAACCATGTGAAGGTGATAAATGCCATTTCGACGCTGATCCAGTGGGTCAAAATCTGGGAAGCTTCTGTGTCACTAATGGCAGCAGGGGTGGACATCCAGTTCAACTAGTACGGCCCGCTGAGAACCATCTCGGGCTAGAACTTGTTGAAGAGGGGTTGCGTGTACTGAGCTCCCTACCAAAACCACTTGCGATTGTTGCAGCAATAGGAAGCATCAAAACTGGAAAGAGCTCGTTGATGAATGTGATAAACGAACATGTACTTTGTAGCGAAGGTGACAAATTACAGGGTTTCGATATCAGTGACACGGTCAATCCAACGACACAAGGAATATGGTTGTGGTCAGAACCTATTGAGCTTGATTGTAACGCCTTGAAAGAACAATTGAAAGAAGATGGGCGTATACCAAATATCTTCGACCATCTGGTCACCATGGTTACTTCAGTTATTGGTGAGACGGTAAGAGCAACTGTAACGGCAAAAACGAGACTCGATATTTCAAAATGCGAATTTGACAAGGTCAATATCGTATTCATGGATGTGGAGGGATTTAATGCGATAGATGGGTTTCAAAGGTATGACGAGGCACTTTTCACGATCGCGGCCGCTATGAGCAGCGAACTCGTATACCTCACCCACAAAGTAATGGACGCAAGGGATATTCTGGATTTACAACATATGTTGCAAACATCGACCTCAATGTTGGTTAACATGTATCGGTCGCTCTCAAACGTACCTCATGTAGTTAAGCAAGAGGATAGTAACGCTCAGGGACACAAAGGAGTATCAGTGTCACAGCAAACTGAGATGTCAGAATTAGGAAATAATAATTCTTGTGATGCGAATAAATGTCAAAAGTCGACATCGGATGGCGAAATATTCGCAGATATGCTACTCGAAATACAGAGGAACACAACGCTAACCTTGTCAGTACAAGGGTTCGACCTGAAACTACAGCAGTCAGCACTGGATTATATCAATGGAATAGTAAATAAGAAGCGATTTGACATGGATTACAGTGATCAAAAGTCATTTTTTGATTATCTGGAACAAACACGAGTATCCTTGTTGAATCTTTTCAAACGTGAAAAAGGAAAAGGTAAAGAACCACTGGAACAAATAGTAAGTGACATTATAGCAAGATTGACGTCACGATATAAATCTAACTTACCACATCTTTTGGGTTCAATAGATGTATTACTAACATCAGCACCCTCGGCTAGGCGTGTAATACTTAACAAATCGGAGCTCTTCCGAGGGTATCTACAGCATGTTTTGAACTACAAGATGCGGTTGTTTAAACGCAGTGCTTTGCAACCAAAGAAGCGAATTTCACCGGTGTCAAATGGTGTGACATTGATGACGGGAGAAGACCTCGTCAACGTAATAACACACCTTGTCAAGGCTCTAAACGAGGCCATGAAAAATGGGTCGTTGGATTCTCAGGGGGACTTTAGATTAACAAGAGCAAATCTTATCAAACAAGATCTCGTAGATCTTTACTCTGCTGAACTGTTGAAGTTCATTCACAAAATGCCTATACCACTAGAGGGCGACTTGGAAAAATTCAACCAGCTGGCTGAAACCAGATACCTCCATCTCATGGCATTGTATGCGCAATATGATCTGAGCCCTCTGCAATTCTCGGAAGTCAATACAGATTTCAAGAGCCGCTTACACGAAATACGGGAACGTTTAGGGCAGAAGCTGCATGATATTACGCTGCAGTATTGCCGGTCAAAGATGCCACAAGTCAAGAATCTCATACGAGAGCGTATTGAAGGATTGAAGCTACCAGTACTACCTGCTGTAATAGGCGAATTCGAAAACAACAAACAACAGCTAGTACGCTTGTACCTCATGGCCGTTGACGACAATGAAGTCAAGTACTCCACCAGTGCTGCGTGCAAAGAAACGTCATTGGAAATTGTGGAGTTTGTGGAGAGCGAGATACGTGACCTTTCAGCAGAAAATGAAAGTGAAATCAATATGTTATTCCAAGAGGCCACTAGGCGTGCTGTAGAGTCTTTCATCGCTAACGCTGACCGTAATGCTCTTGAAAAGTACAAAGTAAATTATGAAGATTTCACAAAATCACTGCAATCGTGGTCTGACACTGCATATGAAGTTTACTACAAGGCGGTGGGTGAATTTAAGCAAATACAGAAATTTAATAAGGCCTCCTTGTCATTCTTGCGGCAACAATTTTCCATGCTTGAAAAGGAGTCTCGAGACCATTGGAACGATGTATGTAGGGATTCCGTATTGCACGTATCACAAGAATTCCAAAAAACGTTCGACGTGCAGTTACAACAGCTCCTGCCATACAGGCCCGTGCCTAAGCCAGTGTTGAAAGTAGCCATCGAGTACCTCCGTTTCCGAAAGTGGAGGGAGATGAGCAATCTCCATTGTGGTACCTCTCAAACAGTCCGCAATACACAGCAGTTATTCGACCGTATGGTTCACGAACTAGGTCATAAAGCACTTGCGGACAACGATGAGGCTATTTTCAGGCATTTCGACAAAGAGTTCAAGGCCATGTATCAGGAAGCTCTGGACCGCGTAGACCAGGTTTACCATTTCTATCAACTGAAAAAGCATCTACATTGGTACGCTAAGTGGCATGTGTTTGCACATGTAAAGATTTTTGAACAATTGTTGAGGCCTAAAAGGGTCCTGGAAGAATTGCAGAAAAACATCGATGCTGAAATTGTCAAAGCTATGCCAAACGATGTCGAGCGCCAAACAATGCTAGAAATATTGCACTTCAGCAATTCGAAGTCTCTTAAGGCTTTAGGTTTGGATGGCGGTGCGCTGATGGATGCTATCATAGAGCAGTGGTTACGAGAAAGGCTTTATCCTCGTATACGCGGTCGCATAATGCTGCGTATGCCTAAACTTTCAACATTCTTTGCCATTGTGGGAGTGGTTGTGTCCTCGTCACTCCTCTTAAGGGTGAGACACGCACGTATGGTGTGTTTTTTATGCTTAGTTAACGCCCTAGCGCTCGTTTATATCCTAGGTATGCGCAGGGTCCTCCTTATAATTGGAATATCCATACAGTATTGTCTAAATTGGCTTATGAAGTTGTTTGCTTATTTGGGAACAGCCTGGAGTATGGCAATCGTATCATCTCTTGTTGCCATTGCTTTGCTGTGGTCACATTCAATGCCCAGTTTCCGGACATCGAAAAGACAACGGCGAGCAAGGTATATCGTTTTAAAGCAAAACAAATAACAAACATGATAGTTTCATAAACTAGCATACACGATACATGATTAGAATAACGTTATTAGATAGGCGTGGGTTAGGCCATGCGTGAGCCCGCTATGAATGAGATGTTTTTTTGCTACTTTCTAACATCACTGCTACCATGATTTTGTGTGCTACGGCTTTCTGACATCTGAGAGTACTATGTGGAAAGGACAACAATTAAAAATATATGTAACGGCTGGTGCCTACACCGTCAGGTTTCTTTCTTGGCCTTGTCCAGGAGTGTGTCCAAACCGAAGGGGTCCGAAGTCTCCTTTACAAATTCCACTGGTGTGGTACGCTGTACCTGCGCAGCGTTGGCAAATGAGGGCACACGGCTCGCCTCGTTAGCTCCCAGGGACTGGTGGAAGCGTTCGTTGGAATGTTGATATATCCCAACAATACTCCTATCGGCAAACAATGGTTTGTCATAAACATTGTAGTTCTCGTCCTCACCAGCGTCGAAACCTGAATCGATACCGGCTGCCGTGTTCAGTAATCTTGTATCATGGGCATCGGAGAGTTTGCTTGGTATTGGCTGTCCCAGTGCTACACGCTCTGTAATATCCCTATCACGTGCTGCAGCAGCTTTGATTTTCTTTCCTGCCCGTTCTAAACGCATTTCACGTTCAATCTCGCGTTTGCGTTCAAACTCAGCAGTTTTGAGTTCACTGTGAAGATCCAACCTAGAGCGTTCTTCGCGGGCACGGGCAGCAAGTGCACGAAGCTGTTCCTCTTTCTCTTGTGCTTCCTTAAGCTTTTCCATGCGATGTGCCTCATTACGCAGTCTGACCTCTTCACGTGCCGTGCGTTCGGCAAGTGATAAGCTTTCACCAAATACAGCAAATTTCTCATTAACGTATACCTCTTGTAGCCTACGTCCATCGGCCTGTACACGTTTGTCTATTGGTATTGTATACCCCTTTGAATTCTTCCAGTTGCTAATGCAAGGAGGGATCTTCCATGCCAACTGGTCCTCCTTAGTCAGTTTACGTGGCGGTGAATGCTGTAAAGGTGGTGGCGGCGATGGCGCAGCAGCAGGAAGCTTCTTATTACGATAACGTGAAGGTTCCAGAGGATCTGTTTCCTTCTCCACCATTTTAATAAGGCGTTGGTTTATTGTTCGTGATGACTGCTGGCTGGGAGTGTAACGAAATATCTCCGGCTCGCTGCGAGCCCCCGAAGACGCTGCATTTTGCTGTCTACGACGCGTTAAAGCCATGTCAAGGGCCTCCCGAGTACGATCTAGGTTCTTATTCACATTATCGTCTGAGGGTCGTGCCAACGCTTCTTGGCTAAAGTGCTTCTCACGCTGGTCTCCAGGTTTCGAATAGACGACTTTGCCATCACGCACACCTTGACGTGCAACGGCATCGAATTCTGGCCGTCCATCGGCTCCATAGCGTAGCGCTAGGGTGCGAGAACTCTGAGAGACAATTAGACGCGGTTGGTCATGATATCGGTGTAACGTCAGAACTGTATACCTACCTCTTGAGGTTTGCTGGATACAGCCAGCTCTTCATGTATTGAGAAGGACCCTGTGGTATAGCTGTCTTGCGATTGGAGCTTCTGCTGGCTCTGTAGCAGAGCGTGATTGCTCTTCCTGCGACACGTCATGTGACAGGACGTCAAAACACACCTTGTATATTCCGACATCGTATTTTAATGTGCGATATTTATTTAGAAAAATAAAAAAATATATTCTAATCCGACAAGTGCACAATATTAGTTACTTGTAAGGAACATGACCAACACGTCGAGGTTGGTCAGATCAACTGCGTTAAACTTGGTGTAGTTCTCGAAAAAGCACCTATTTTGGTGATTAATGTCCTGCGAAATGTCATAGATAATAATAATTCGCATACCTGTGATAAGAGGAAATACCGCGCAGCTACAGTTTTAATACTTAGAACCTTCGAGTCGAATCGCTTCGTAAAAGCACGCAAAAGGCCAACAGCGTGTTGGCATAATAGATCCGCGAAAGAACGGGGGTAATGCACCGATAGACACTTGGTGCTAGTTTCAATCACGTCCAAGATTTCAGCGTCCTCTCCAATATTGGTGTCCACCAAGTGGCTTAGATATGTACCATAGAATTCGAAATCCTCAGGGGTATCACAACGCGAGCCCATAAGCTTATACACCTTGTCGTAGTATACTTTGGCATCTTTATACAACGCTAAATCATAGTCCAAGATTTCGGCGCAAAGGCTCAACATCTGTTCATTATCAGGAAAAACCTCCGCACCGAAGAACAGAAGAGGTTCTACCACACTTGACTGGTAGGCATGCCGTAAGACGCGAGCGGTGAATGCTATTTGCCTCGGCCCCAACTCCTTATCTTGAACAACGTGATTTTCGATCCATGGCTTATAGTGATCCACCTCGTGCACCGCTTCCCATGACAGTTCGCCTAATATAGTGGCCTCACGACGGTATCGGAATGCCAAGTAACGTCCATTAGAAAATAAGAGCTCATAGTATGGGTCGCCAGCCCATAAACGATTGCACAAACGACGGTAATACGGCGTATTTGGTGCGCAAGTACCCATAGGGTTAAGTGACAAGAGTTTATGTACCTCACTGTTCTCTTCAATGTTTGGTATCGTGCAAAACTTCAGTGGAACTATCACCAGCTCTGTACCATATAACTCAAGCATTTTATCACCGAACCACCGTGCGTCATTGCAATCTCCCAGGATATAAAGAAATTCTGTTTTGCGTCGTAGAGGGGTGTACTCGAATTGTGGATTTATAACAATACGACTGTGGGTAGCCGCACGCAAGGCGCTCGAGGTTGGCATATCCGACAGAATCGGTGTACCTGGTTCCACGTTACGATTCACCCAAGTAGTGAGATCCTTTAGTTCCACAGTGTTGTACAACTCTCCAAAAGGTGGCGTACGCATTTCTTGGATGGGGACTGACAAAATAAAAGGTCCCAGAGCCATAATGGCTACCAATAAGGTAAGGAAACGACTGCAACACTTATATAGCATGCTTGACGGGGGAACTGACGAGTGTTTTACTATTGGCATTCGCAGAACAAGAAGGGAATATCCAGCGAATACACAAAATAGCGGAAGCGCTAACACTCTCAAGCGTGATACCAACACGGCCATTGTTGCGAAAGCAATAAGCTGCACTAAGAAGTAGCTGTTGAATTCTTTGCGAAGCTTATTAGGACGTCGATGATACTGAAATCAGTGATACATGAATAAAAACAAACATTACCTTCAAATGCGCCAAAAAAATAACACTCACTGCTATGCAAGCGTAATGGAACACATATGTTTCTATTATTCGCAATAATACGTTTGATGATAAGGGTCGGAACTCCTAAAACGTTCTGATTACACAATAGCATATACTTACCGAACCCATCATGTATAATTGTGAGTAAAACGTTGGATATGACATGCCCACTTTGTATAGTAGTATATCAATAATATGACCATCATGGCGGGTGGTAAGCGTTAATGCAATATTTGCGAATCCAAATATAACGACTGCAAGTAGCAATTTATGGAACGCGATAGTATACTTATATTCTCTCTCGTCTGAAGGAATGACCAGTGTCGATATCAGCACGGCAATTCCACCGGTCATCAGGTGCGACGTCAGAGGAAACGAAGGACATAGCATAATCAACCATGATAATACCAGCGATCCCAGAGCCATAGAGCTTATGCGTCTCATATCAGCGTCACTTATGATCCCAAAGAGATTTACGAAAAACAAACAACCCAACTGTGTCGCAATAATGTGCAGAGATAGCTGCCACGTCAAAATCATCCATGTGAATGATGCAAAAAGCAACTGGCGGTATCGATGGGTATAATCACTCTTTCGTCCCAATATCCCGCGTAGACATAGAATCGATAACCATAATGCAGGTGTGGCAAAATTCTCCCTCAGGGGTAATGCCGACAGACGGCAAATTAACTTTTCTTGGAAATTGGCGATATAAAGGGCCAGAGTTAAAAGCCCCGCCATAATAGACTTCCCGCATTTGCAAGACAACAAAAATAGAAGCGCTATTCCTCCGGCATTCAATATAAGCACTGGCGACATATAAGTTTGGCAATTAAGAAAGATACCTGTTTGCGCGTAGAAGTTAAAAGGCTTCGTGATGAGGGATCGTAGTTTGAAGATGCGGTAGATCAACCCCAAGACGATTTCTGTGAGGTATAATTATTTGGTGGAAGCAATGTGAATTACAAACCTTGAGTAATATTGAGGCGTCTGGGGGCAATGACAACAGATGGGTACTCGGTTCTATCATCATACCTGTAATATTTATATTAGAATATGAAACTGTTGAACTCACATTAGCCTGTTCCATATCGACGACCAATTCGGTGCCTCAACAATATCGTGGTAAAAGGACAAGTAGAAGGTAGACTGAGCATTGTTGCATCAAATCAGTAGGAATGAAATAACATACTTCTGAGTAGTACATCAATTTTTGGTCTTTCGGTTCTAGTTCGAATATCCCACGGTACCGCCTGAATAGCAGCGCAGTGGTCAGTGCCCTGGAAGACGATGAGAATATGTGGAATCTCGCTTACCATACAATGATGGCTGCTTGCCTGTAAGTTGGCCCCCTCATATTGCAATTTTGAAACTTTTCGCAACGGTATACTGGCACGTTATTTACACACCCTTCCGAAGGCGGAATTAATAGTTAACTGAATTTTCTTCGCAGCTACATTTCTTCGATAGAGACAATAGAAGGATGCAGCTCATGTGTGCACTCTAGGAAAGTTTTCTTCGCTAGAGGTTGCACGGTGTTGTATCATTTTGCCACAAACTAAGAACACAATTGCACACGGAGACGCATGTGTGACTTACGTCTCGTTAACTTTGCATTAAAGGCCCGTTTTGCGTTACGCCATGGGCCAGCGCTATATTAGTGGCACAATTAAATGCAAAACAGGGTTACCATGCCCACACCTATGTCTATGACCTCACCACCTGTGGCGATGCTACACGGCTGGGTGTTATGCAATAAAGGAGAGAAAGCACTTTATAGTTGTTTTTATTACTGTTATCATGTAACACTACTTATTCACTATTATAACTAGTCAGTGTGTTAGTCTTAGGTGCTGTAACCATGAATGTGTTGATGCACATGCTGGTGTTTAGGGCTTCAAGTGTTGCAATCAACTAATGCAATGGTCATAAACCTCTCTAATAAATCCATAGGCCATTGTTATAATGTTGCAGACGCGGTGGAAGAGTGTGACACCCTTATCGCGGACTGCTTTAACTACGGTTATGGTTGCGCAAGTACAGAATGTGCTCACACAGACGAAGTGAAACCACCCAGAAGATGCGAATCGGCTAATGTGTCACTAAAAAGGTCTAACAGCAGGGTAAATATCGCAAGGCTACTTCGTACCCATGGGCTGCTTGCCCTGATGGTTTTGACCATGGTCACTGGTGTTGTTGAAGCCCATAGTTCCCCTTCGACTGCTCAAGGCAACTTTGGTGATTTCGTTGCGATCTGTCTTTATGTTGCTTGTTCTGCTGCCGGTGTTCTCGTTGGTTCTTCACTAATCTTCAGTTATATCAATGAGGGTAATAGCGTCATCGACAACGATGTGGTGAGAACAGTGGGTTGTACTCTTTTTGTTTTAGCCATTGTTGGTTTGTGTGCTAGTGCTATCCTTGCCGCAGCTCGTCAACTGGGATGTGGCAAGTTTGAGAGGTGTTGTCACCTTGCTCTTCAAACTTCCGTCGGTGTACTTGTTAATGCAACTTTGATAAGTTTGGGTCTTTGTTTCGTCCTTATATGTGAAAATTTTACCAGTGATGGTGGTATCCCAAGCGCAGACAAGGTTGTGGTAATGGCTATAGATGTTGTGCTTGGTGTTAAATCGCTCATTATTTTAGTGGTCACTGGTGGTCTGCTCGGAGCTGTGATCAAACCGAACCACTGCGATGATAAAATGATCATATTTTTCGCGTTTACGATTTTAATTCAATCGTTGATCGAGTTGGCTATGGGCAATATTCTTGGTGGCGGCTGCGTTGCTTTCTTTCATGGTAAATGCGCTGAATTAATTGACTATGGTACATTTTCGCTGCTTGCCCAGGTTTTAGGATGCATGACAATCGCTTCGGTAGCTTCCAGCATGCTTATTGATTATGTTCGGATAGGATCAAATGTCTCACTCCTTGTTGCCGCAACTGTCGGCATCAAAGCCGTACTGCTAGACCACTTGAACTTCTTGCGGGTTGTCAGCATTTTGATTTGTATTCTGATCATTTCTAGTTTGGTGACCCTTGGTGTATTAATCGGAGCAACAATCGTTAAAGGTGATGGACATGGTCAGCATTCGGCTAGAGGAGGGTGCAGTTCGAGCCCCGGAGGTGGAGGCCATGAACACGAACACCACGGTAAAGGTCACAGTCATGGCAACGGGCATGGTCATCATCACGGTGACGAGCAAGGACAATCTCAAGGTAGGTCTAACCAATCGGCGCCATCAGGCAGTAATGGCGCAGGTGGAGGCCACACGGATCATGAACACGTAGATAAGGGGCCTCCAATACACATAGCAATCAACAGTAGCGGTGCTGTCATGTTCGCTGTGTCTGTGACTAGTTGGTTCGCGTACAAGTTCATTTATGAAAACTTTGTTCCTATAGCCAGCTTTGAACTCAGCGACCTCCTCGACGAACTAATATCTTAGTGTTGACACTACAGAATCTTGTGGCATTTAAAATAATGCTGCTCAGTGGTACCTGGACATTCAAATTAATATGTTTATGTTATATTGTACGTGAATGTAGTAAATAGTAGCTTTGTGTCATACCATGCGATATGGTTAATCAAAACCATCGATATGGCAAGTATCGACACGCTCTTCATTATGTATACAGTGAAGGGCTAAACACTTCTGACCGCTATAATAATTTTTGCCTTCGTTGCTATCTCATCTGTTACCTTTTCTGTAGGTATCACTAATTATTGAGGATTCAGAATCTTATCGGAATCATGTCTTAACAGGATTCGTCCCTCGCTTCGATTAAGCACCATGGGTACGCCATCTTTCAACACGTATAGTAACCGCAAAATACAGTATCTCTATGCCCACATCAAGCATTTTGTAATGTTATTCACGAATTACACAGTTTATATGTGTCGTAGAAATCTGCGGCTAAAAATAGGATTTATTATCGAAAGGGCCCACTGGTATAACCAGAAAACGGCAGCTTTAATCATAGCATAGAGTCTTACAAAGATTATTCTAACGTTAAACTGCTAGATATTTCATTAAAGGTGCGAAGACAGGACGGAACCTCGGAGGGTCCTTTACACAATTTTAGACAAACTAGAAGTAGCCGTCAGTGCATGCAGGTATTTACTGCATTCCCCATTTAAAAACCACAGAGGTTTCCACGAATGGTCTGGATACACCTGTGTCACGGCTAGCAAGTCAGCTATGCATTGCACACACACACGCTGCAAGACGGGCAATTAGACGGGATTACTGCGGCCTCGTTGCTTCTATTTTGGTGAGGCATCGCAAAATTATCACATGACTACCGAGAAGGCGCTACGTGGTGTGCTATATCGCAGCTTCCCCAATATCACCACGGTTTGGCTTGTGTGTTCACGAAGCCACAGAAGTCTGGCAATGGCGCCACGCTCTCACTTCTTTTTTTCATATCCCTAGATTTTGAAATCCTAAAACTTCTTTGTTAACAAAAGCCGAAGATGAAGCTTGTTTTCACCTTCTTCCTCTTGGCTGCCAGCCAGCTCAAGTTCTCGCTTGCCGAGGAACCGACCGGAATTGACTACGAGAACATCATTCGTACCGCTGAAAAACGTTTCAAGGTCGTTATGCGAATGATGAAGGACGGTAAATTCAAGGAACATTTAGTCACCTTCGCGAAGGAAGAGTTTAAGAAGCATTGCGAGAAAGGACCGATGGGTGTTCCACCTCCAGGTCCCCAACCCAACGTGGAGGTGGCGGAAGGCCGCGCTCCCACGGCAGAGGCCTTTGCTGAGTTATTGGAGAAAGTAGGTACCGGGTTGCACGAAGTATTCACTGGTCTGTACGGTGCAAACTACATGACACTGGCCTTCCCCGCAGAGGAAAAGCGTCTAACAGAAGGGTCAGAGGCAAGCAATGAGACCGAATTAACCAACGAAGTCCATTTTCTCAATATGAGATTTGCACTTCCACAACTATATAGTGATGTATTCTGCCTGTACAACATCGTCAACCCTGAGGGGAAAAATACCACGTTAACGGTGAATGCTCCAGCACTTCAAGCGATCAAGGAGTGGGCAAGAAACAATACTCCGAACATAAAGCTGCTGGATAATATTAATCAGGAAACATTTGAGAAAGGTTTGAAAGCCTTGTTTGGCGATAGCAACCCACCTTTCCATAAACTCAAAGTCCACATTGAAGTCTTCAATGGAGACTTGTCTCAAGAGACCAAAGACGCAATTGAGAAATGCAGAAAACTAAATTCGGCTTTGTTCGGCTCCGTCGCAATTCTTTTCGCCTCGATGCTCACCTTCACGGCCTTCTAGATAACTTACTAATATTACATGATTCTAATGTTTTAGTTTAACTTCCTACGATATAATCTCACTGATACAGGCAGGTAGCCCATTATACCTCGAACTACACGAGCTACGCGTTGTGTAGTGACGGTTTAGGGGTATAACCACGTGATGTGAACACATTAGCAATCGCTATAAATGATGATGAGAGGATTTGCTTATTCAATTTGTGAGAAATACCTATTTTGATGTTCGTGTATCACAATTGCAAAACACCTGCTATGCTTTTACGTGAGTGTAATCATTAATCATGCCTGTATACACGCGTAATTGACGTGGGTCAGCTGGGAGCCGTCAGTAGGTGTCGTAATAATTTGCCGAAAAAATGGCAATTATATATCGTCTATTGTTGTAATACGACACTACCAGCTTGTTAACGATAACTGTGCAGCATGGTACCTGTGATGATTAAAGAATGGCGAGGTAGACCTAATAATTAGTGTCCCCAATAAACATCAAATGTTGCGTCCATCATAACATCATTGCCACCGCGGTCAGGGCACTCTGTCGAGAGTGTATTAATGTTATATAGCATATCTATATACGGTTGTACCCAGAAGTTATTTAGATTGAAGTAGGTTAACTTTTTTTCTCCGTCTATGCGTTTGTAAACTATTCGTGCATCCTTTATATGCGTTTTTACCCATTGCTTAACATTTATTACAACATATTGCCACCCATGTTTGACATGAGTGAAGAGTTCCACATGTGTCACGATTGCATCATCTGTTACTTGGTATATTTCGCAGCTCGCTGAATTCATGACCTTAACAAGCGTGCGTGTAAGGTCTACTGATGACACGAAGCTGTGTTGAGTGTAGAGCCAACATCCCCTTCTTAGGTTCGCCATAATAACTATATCTGGCACTTCGGTCACAATTTTGGATATATCTATAATAAGTATATTCGGTCTTGGGGAGGTATGTGGCATTTGGTGGAAGGACAATTTGTAGAAATGTTTCAATATATTTCGTGGTCTGAATATGCCATTTTCAGTGGGCGGTATACCTGCCCTTTGTAATGCTGTTGATTTATCCTGAAGTATGTACAAATTGATGGAATGACGTGTATCAGTAATATCAATTTTAATGCTATATGAACTGAGTGATGGTGGAGGGCTGTTGGTATCACGAGGTTCTTTATCTATATTGAGTACAGGTGAGATAAGAAAAAATTCATTTTTCGACCTCATCCGGCCAATTATGTTTTTTCCATTGTACCCATGTGAACGTAGTACAATGGACCAGATGGTACGTGCCTCATGACCCTTCACTCGTTCCAAGGCGATAAAAGGATGTGCCGTTTTCGCATCCAGATCGAGAGTTATAAATATAGGCCCTGCTACAAAGCTGTGTCTACTTTCTCGATTAATAAATATGTATTTGTTTCCTTCTTTTGCATAAGTTTTTGTTACCAACGATGCATTATTTGACTGGTAAACCCTGCTAATTGTAGCGATTTCACGACCATCACGCTGAAATTTTTGTATATAGATATTTGTAGGTTTGGCTTGTCCAATTTGTGCACAACACACGATTTGAATGCCAGAAGTAATAACGGTGATTAATGGATTTTTCAAGTGGAGCATTTCATAGGTCCCTCCACCACTGAGTGTTCCTTGAAAAACATCTACATACGGAGGGTAATGTGGTTCTTGCATATCGAATTCGATTCCGCTTATTGGGCCTATTGATATTATTACCACCAGAGCATATAATGCAATCCTGGTTTTCCAAAAAATAAATGTCATTTTCCAAATATTAGAAGGTCCTTTAACTAGAATAGAGTTCTACCGTTGTTATTTGTACTAATCGTGCAGATATAAATTTTCATTCATCAGTGCTAGCGAAGAAAATTTCAGCTGCGTGAGTAATATTGATTAGAGCTACAGTAGTCTGAGTTTAACTGTGTGAGTGACTTTTTTAATGATTAATTTAGTATTACTAAAACTAAGGTAAAAACCAAACCTAAGGATGCCATAGCACGAAAAAATGATTTTCTTTGCTCCCTAGTTGAGAGAATATTCGAGATATACCATCTTTTCTTGATGTTTCACCGTAATAGCGTGAGCCGAGACAAATCTTTGTCGGCCACATTCAATAGTTATCGTTACTTCATAACGAGGGCGTCTCATCATGAAAGGCCTCTGTGCACCCTAGCTCCTCCATAATAATTTTGAAGGCGCCATTGCAGAGTTACTACGATTGGTATGTATTACAATACCCAATCACGCACGTTTGGATTCCAGCGGCATAGTGTCGTTGTTGGCTAGGTCAGGCCAGGGCCATGTTTGAGCATGGTCAACATTTATCGGTGCATACTGCGGAGTTTCTGGCAAGTACGTCTAGGACTGTCAGCTGTTATCTAATGCCTTTTTTAGGATTTAAAAATCGTTATACTTTCCCAATCGCAGGTCATTAGGATCATGGGAGTTTAAAGGCTTAGAGTGAGGAATGACAGTCGATATATTCGAGAAGCGTCTCCTTAATGTCGTTTCCTAGCATTGCTCGAGATTATACAGTTCCTGATGATATTTTGTCACAGAATATAACCACGACGTATATCACGGCCGACATCATTCCGCTGCAAAATATGGTTGTAATCCATGTGACGAAGATTTTGCCGTATAACCTCATGTTTACGTTATCGGTATTGATGCGTCTAAGCAAGGGGAACTTCCTCCAGAAAGGTTGTGATTGATCTCTAAGTTCCATTACTGGTACTTCGGAAGCATTTTGTGTCCTTATATTTTCTACAAGTCCTACACCCATAATGCTTGATACTGCGACATGTGTGGAGCTCAGGGGTATTCCTAGATAGCTGACCAATAGTACGATGTTTCCTGCTGTGGTGTCAATGGTGTATCCTCTTGAGGGCGTGACCCTTGTTAGCTTCATTCCAACATTTTTGATTACTTGGTATCCAAAGCAAGCAAGTCCCAAAGACATGCAAATACCTCCAATGAGTAGTATATACCATGGTGTAAAGCTCTTTGTTTGTTCCATTCCATAGAGGTATAATAATAATACCGTTGCGAATGGTGCTACCGCATTTGCTGTGTCGTTTGCACTGTGTGATATAATAACCGTAACGGCCCCAATGATTTGCATAGCTGAGAACATAACTTCCGTTTTGTGACTTTGTTCGTCCTTCATTTGTTGTACTACTTCCATTGATTCTTGGCTTTCGACAGCGCTTTTTAGTAGTCTTCCGTATGCACCATTATTGGTGCATAGGTTTGACACGTCTATTACTTCCATTTTCTTTTTTCCGATATTGAGTTCCATTGATTGTGATCTTTCTCTTGATATTAGGGATCTCATTTTCGATCCGAAATTTTTTCCCATTTGTAGGCTTGCGTTTCGTTGATTTTCCAAAAATGACCATCCATCTTTAATCCTTTTTGTTCCGTAAAAGTATGCGAATGGTGTAAGTGTGGCGACTAACAATACCAACAATACAATAATAACGATAGCTTGGTTTGGTTTGGAATCTTTGAACCATTGTACAAATTTGAAAGTATTTCCGTCAGTGTCATTGAGTTTTACGAAAGGGTTAGCATATACAAGGAGTACGACTAGTGGTAGTGATGTGATAGCAATCAAGAATGGTTGTGCAAACTTGAGTATGGTGAATGATCTTTCTCTTTTGAGTATTGCCTCTTGTAAGAGTATGTACATAGTACAGCTGATAACTACGGCGATCAAGGGAACAACTATCCATGAGATAATGATATAGAACATTTGTGACCACCTAAGACTATCTACCCTTCCTGATGCGATCCCAAATCCTGCCAAAGCTCCGATAACGGAATGCGTTGTGGATACTGGTATACCGAACCACGTTGCGAACATGAGCCATACGGTTGCACTGGCACTTGCCGACATCATTCCGATGGCTAATTCTCTTGGTGCATCATCGAATGCTTTGAAGTTGAGCACCTTTGTACGTATTGCGTCCGATACTGAGCCTCCTAGTAGCAGTGCTCCTAGAATCTCGAATATGAATGCCACTAGGATTGCGCTGCGTAGCTTGAGTGATCCACTTCCAATAGATGTGGAGAAGGCATTGGCGACATCATTAGCGCCAATAGCCATTGCGAGGAAAGTGGCAACAAACCCGGAGGTTATGACTACCCAGAGCAACTCTGGGTGTGCTACCGCCATCCTGTGTAACTGTGAAGATTATGTTGTAATGATTGAAATTGTAACTCTACATTTTAAAACTTCACTAAATAATCAGTGTCATTTCTCGTTTATTTGGGTTCGAAAGGATACAACACGTTGCGCCTTTCCCCATCCCGTAATGTGCCACACTGTTGGCACTTAGCCGTCTCGTATCTGAGACACGTGAAAAGTGTGTTACGATGTAGCGTTTTCGCGATGCCTTCTGGCGGCAAGTGTGCATGTTTTTCTAAGCTGGCTCAGCTTCACGCAACGGTGGTGGATGAGTTTCATCCGTGCAAAGAGCAGATCTATGAAGCGCGTCTCTCTCAGCTCCAGGGAACGATAGATGAGTTACAACTAAGGTAATATATGCTATATAATGTTATATTAAATATAGTTTGTTATAAACGTCATAGTGTGTGTGTACTTGCTTAAGCATCCATTATACTAATATTCTTTAGGAATGACGACTTACGAGCTCAACTTGCTGATATCCATTCTAAGATAGCATGTGACCCATTTTTGACGAGCAAGTTCCAGGGTGTGACTTCCAGTGTTCACCATGGTTCATCTCGGTCTAATGGTTTTGACATGCCTTCTGCATCAGCTCCTGCCGAAATCTATCGTCAACTCTCGATTTTAGAGGTGTGTCATATCTTCTTTCATTAGCTGTAACTGATAATCTGACAGTATCGTAACCATGAACTTGAGAGCCGTCTATCATCGGAGCAGGCTATTTCAATGTCATGGAAGCACCGCATTCACGACATAGAGAATCGTTTACGATCTCAATTGGATGATTTGCTGGAGACCACTAAAGATGTGACATGTATAAAGGACGTTGATTGTGCTAAGATGCGATCCGCTAAGCGTGAAGCTTTGTCGAAAGAGGCTTTTGATTTGCTTAAACTTGCTAGAGTACGTATTGACGATGACCGTACCCGTAAGTTTCTATTTTCTTGTTACATATCATGTTTTATATAGGTATTGAGGGTTTTATGAGTCGTATCGCTCAGCTGGAGAAAGAGCTTCTGGAGCAGCGTCTTCGTGGCTCAGATACGGCAAACCAAGGGGTGAGGGGCAGTAATGTTTAGCGTGCAATGTCGAGTTCTTCTAAATAACTGCAATACTGCTTTGCGATTTCATTTTAAATTAGAACTGTATAATCATTTGATGATTATATTTGTTTGCGTAGATTGATTATGTGTCGCTTAGCATTGACGATTTATGAAGGCCATATATATGGTTTTTATATACCGTCGGTGAATCCATTTGCTTAAATTGGACCATTTAGTACCGCATCGGTCATTGATGTACAGATTGAGGTTTTTCCGAGTGTGAGTGTATCAGGGAGTCAATGTCAGAATCCTTGCACGGAGTTGGCCTTGGGGTTCCCGAAGCCAGACGCGGATTGTGTTAGAAAAAATCTAGTCTACACTGGCGATCCTCTAGTTCGTGACATCGAGTTATCCCGAATGGTGATTAACCATGAGCCTTGGCCATATTATCGCAATTTTGGTTCTGCCGCTGCTATTGTCCCTAGCATTACCGCTGCTCCTACTGGCTCACCTGAATGCAGCGGGCGCAAGAAGTTGATTAGCTTGTACGGCGAGATTTTGAACCTTATAAAGAAGAAGAGGCCGAAGAGGATTATCCCTGTGGTAAATATCGCCAAAGAGGTCAATACCCCAGTGTTGGCTACTACGGGTGCGAAACTTGTAAGCAAGCGCCGAATAAGCGCTGAACCCTTGGTACCCTCGCATAGCGCATTAAATAGCGTTTCCGAAGATGGAAGTGTAGGTGTACATGAAGGCAATGAACAAAGTCGCGAGTTAATCGTTACTCACAGCTTAAACAGTTCGGCTACATTGGATGATGGAGGTTCATCTATAAGCGACCACCGCTTCGCGGTGCCATCGACACTCTCTATCCAACATTACTCTTCGTTGAAAACAGATGACGCGCTTTATTCGAGTACTGTCTCCGAATCTGGTCCTGTGGAACCTTCTAATGAGGACGATAAAGATTCGAGCGTACCTCTAGCAGCTAAGGATTCCTTTGACTACCTTGACAGTGCGAGTTCATCGGCCGCAGACATCGAAGTTGTATCATCTTCTGGCACTGAAAATACAGCATTGTTATCTTCAAGTTCTGTTGACACCGTTTTAGATGACGCTAGCGACACTTCGGTTGAGCCGGAACCTGAGATAGCCCTGTCTGATGCAAGTGGTCCCAGCGTCAATGCTGTCAGCGGTGGTGTGGCAATACAACATTCTGATCCATCTGAGACGGTATCGCGTATCAGGACTGCAAGCAATGAGGTCTTGTCTACTCTATCTCCGTCACTTTCTTATGATTCGGATTTCAGTGATGATGTGACTAATGTTTCGCGTAGTGTCTCGGAGTCAACAGCAACCTTATCCATTGATACTAGGGTTGATAAGGGTTCTGTCTTGACACAGGGTGATAATCATTCAGTAATTACTGATGATCATCCTGACACTGTTTCACCTGTGTCTGGTGATGGAGACGTTGGCCCATCCGCTACGCAAGGTTCAGTATCGTATGACTCGGATTTCAGTGATGATGTGACTAATGTTTCGCGTAGTGTCTCGGAGTCAACAACAACCTTATCCATTGACACCAGGGTTGATAAGGGTTCTGTCTTGACACAAAGNTTCAGTAATTACTGATGATCATCCTGACACTGTTTCACCTGTGTCTGGTGATGGAGACGTTGGCCCATCCGCTACGCAAGGTTCAGTATCGTATGACTCGGATTTCAGTGATGATGTGACTAATGTTTCGCGTAGTGTCTCGGAGTCAACAACAACCTTATCCATTGACACCAGGGTTGATAAGGGTTCTGTCTTGACACAAAGTGAGAATCGTTCAGTAATTACTGATGATCATCCTGACACTGTTTCACCTGTGTCTGGTGATGGAGACGTTGGCCCATTGGCTAAGCAATCTTCGCTTTCGTATGACTCGGATTTCAGTGATGATGTGACTAATGTTTCGCGTAGTGTCTCGGAGTCAACAACAACCTTATCCATTGACACCAGGGTTGATAAGGGTTCTGTACTGACCCAGAGTGATGATCATCATCCTGACACTGTCGCTGGAGATATTGGTCCATCTGTAACGTCTTATTCTTTAGGGTCTATAGATACGGAGGTATCGTCGCATTCTTCCAAACCGCCGCAACCAATAGCTGTAAGAGACCACGATCGTATAACTACGGATTTGTTGGATTATACATCGAAACAATTGTATGGTTCGGAGAATACGCTGGCGTGCGGTTCTATATTTGGGGAATCTGGAAGTGTTGATTTGAGTTTAGATGGTAATTCTGACTGTTGCGGATCTAACAGCAATGGTAGTACGCCCCGCCGTGTCCGTCCTATGATTGATCAGAAGCGTGAATTATGGGACACACGTCTTCTTTTATTTGAGAATGTTCCTATCTTCAAAGATTTGCCTCGAAACCGTTTGTTTGCTCTGCTTGGTCATTTTAAGCTTCAATCTTATCCTCCTCGTGCTGCGATAATCATAGCTGGTGAGAAGCCTCGTTATTTTAACATTCTTGCATCTGGTACGGTTTCTGCGTATTCTTACGAGGGTTTTGACAAGCCTAACCGTTTATTACGTAAATATTTGAACGCTGATTATTTTGGTGAGTTATCTGTGATAAACAACAAGGAATGTACATCATACATCATCGCTGAGAGTCACGTGACTGTGCTGGCTCTTCCTGCTAAGAAGTTCGTGAAATATTTATCAGATTTGTTTCCTAAGTTTAAAGAGCGCGCTCAGGAGGAGTATGAGAACAGTCGTAAGAGTTTGGATGATAGTGTTGGTAAGGTTTTGTCAGCGCCGGCTATTGAGAAGTTCCCCGATATTTTATCATTCATGAGTGCTGTGCCTATACTGTCAATAGTGTACAACCCTGATTCCTTTACTCGTATGTTTGGTTACAAGGAGTTTGCGGATAACGCTTTGGTTGCAGATCCCATATCATCGTTGCGTGATTTTTGTGTTGTGTATAGAGGTTGTCTTCGAGTGCATCTGAAGGATGAATCATCTGCTGGTCCTTGTGACCTTGGCGTCTTAGGCGTTACATCTTTCATCGGTGGTGTTAACATTACCAATTCTCGTGTATTGGATACAATTGACTCTGCTTGCTTGGTCGCTTCTGGCGAGACTATATTGTTAACATTGGATTCTGTTACTTTTAATGACTGTTACAAGAAGACTTCTAAGCATGTCTGTGAGTACATTGAGCGTTATTTTTTGGACAAGTTGCATGAGCATGATTTGTTGCGGTGCGTGGAGCAATTGTCTTCCCGTCTGGATGATTCCACTCCTTCTGGTTCATTATCTTGCACTTCAGAGGATTCTGATAGTGATTCCTTCCTTGATAGTAGCGATTATGAGTTGACATCTGGTGAAGTTTCAGCGGGCGTGGGTTCATCTGTATCTGATGGTAGTGACGGTGTTGCATCATCCCCTAGGAGTATTTCCGATTCGTGTTCGTATCTGCAGGATGCAGTAGAATCTAGCCGTTCAAGTTTGAAAAGTGTACTATCTGATCGTAACACTGTGTCTTCTACCGTTTCGGCCTCGGATAACCATAGTGGTTTGAATGTTCTGAGGTCAATTACCAACGATGGTTCGTCTGCGCAATCTTACAGTTCTCTATCACCAGTTTCTAGCGATTTGAGCGAGAGTGGTTCTGCTATTAGCAGCGTCTGCGTTAGCGAGCCTATCTTGGGTGTAGACAGTGAGCAAAAGGAAGTATTGAGTTCGCACGATGATCTATCACCACCACCGAGTGAATTGGATGATTCTGATGACCTTTCTTCATCGAGTGCCGACTTGCTCGTGGAGAGTGATACTTCTGATACTTTTTCGACCAGTGAATGTGGCGCTTCAACCATATCCAGCGGTCAATCATCTGACCCTGTTGTGGTTGAGGATAGTGCGCCTCGTAAAGTGACAATCGTGGCTGACTCGGCTCCACAATTTCGTCGTGGTTTGAATCGTGTACCTACTGGTATATTTCCTCGTAATGGTAAAGGATCATCGCAACGTTTGTTGGATGCCGTCTTATCTTCTAATTCATTCTCTAGCGATACTCCTGGTTTCTCTGGAGTTGTATCTGAAGATGCCACTAAGAGTTTCAGTGATTGTTCGGAAAGTGCTGACGGTTATGATTCTTCTGACGATTTGCTGGGTTGTTATTCGGACGATGAGAGTAGCGTTAGCCGTAAAAGTTACAACGAGGATGAGTTGCGTGCTCTAAAGGATCTTTTGATAGCTACTATGAAGAGCAAGTTTTCTTCCTTGGGTGCTGCGTTTAACTTTATGGATGCAGATAACTGTGGAGTAGTATTTCGGCAACGATTTTACGAATCCATCGATGAGTTGTGCATAGCATCAATTGAATCTTATGAGTTACCGTATTTGTTTGACATGTTGAAGGAGCGTGACCGTGAGGTTCTGACTGTCTCATCTCTTTATCTTAACAGCGGTGATCGTGTGACAACCGCTCGTGAGTTGTGTGACCGTTTACAGGAAGTTTATGGTAGTGCTCGTTTAGCATTTGAGAAGCATTTTGGTCCTCTTAAGATGAGTTCAACATGTGCTGAGGCTGATTTTGTGTTATTGGCTATGAGCGTTGGTGTTAGTGAGGCTGATGTGAAGTGTATTTTCAAAGAGTTGGACATTTGTGGTAATGGTTACGTTACTGTGGTTACGATGTTAAAATTGATGCGTGGTGACTGGACGGTTGAGGTGGCTTTTGATAAGGAGTCATCTGCGGTATCTAGTTACAATCAGGTATTGGGTTATTGGCAGAATGACGATTATGAGACGTTTCGTAAGGAATTTTCTAACCCTTACGTGTGCGTGTTTGACATTCTTGAGTATGGTGTGGATATTTCGGTTATTGACACTAGTTGGGAGGAGTTTACTGTGTTATCTCAAGATTTACCTGGTATAACACGTTACATGGATACTATCATTTTGCCATCTGTTGATTCAAACCCATATTTCAAGATGTTATCTATGGTTCAGCGTCGTTTTGTTGCTTCTCTGTTGGTTGAATCTCGTCATGACTGTGATAGTGTGATTTTTTCTCAGGGTGATGATAATTACCCGCTGTATTTATTATTATCTGGTTCCGTTAAGTCTTCTTACACAACGTATCTGTATATGGAGTCGGAATCTACGGATATATCTGTGGGTAGTTGGCTTGATTTTGAGAACTTTGTGCAGAATTTACCTTCTACAAGTACGTATAAGGTTGGATCGGATAACATTGCATTGTTGGCATCTATCCCTCGTGCTATGTTTAACGAGGTTGTTTTACCTATGGTAACTATGCGTTCGAAGCGTGTTGCTGTGATATCTACATTTTTATCTAAGGTGCCTTGCCTTGAAGGTTTGGACGCTGTTGATATTGATCGCATAGCGTGTGCTAGCGTTGTACGTAAGCGTAAGTTGCATGAGACAATTTTCCGTGAGGGTGATTCTCCGGATTGGTTGTACATCGTGTTTGATGGCTGTGTGGATATTAAAGTGTCGGGTGCTAATGAGCAGAGTGCGTACAGTGTTTCTACAACTGCGGTGCTTGGCGCGGAAGAGATTACTGGTGGACTGTCCGGTTACCAGAGTAGCGCAATCGCCAATTCACCTAGCGTGTTGTTATTTTGTTGGTTATCGTCTACTTTTTCTTCTGTATTTGGTTCCGCTATTGAGCGTATTTCTCAGGCATCCATTAAACGTTTGGACACATTACAGCAGCTTTTGCAAAAATCTCAGTCTGTTATGGGAAAGAGCAAGAAATCAGTTTCGTTTTCATTTAACATGTCTAGCGATATTGATTAATGATAGTTTTTTTTCATTATTTAAAAATCATGTTCATCTTTGCATGTGTTGCGCCCTGTACGGATCTTCATGTGCCTTTGGGTACGGTACTTGTTTGTTGTACATTGGCATCGGGTACATGGGCATCCGCATCATGTTAACGTCTGGCATAGGCCTATACCTATATTGCATAGGTTGTACCTGCGGTGGGTACATATGTTCGTATGGCATCATGGGTCTCCTTTTGCCTGGCATGTCCATTGGTGGTCGTCTTTTCATCTGTTCCATGTTCATTTGCATCTGTGTTGGCATCCCCGGTATTGGTCCTGGTGGTACTTTTCCTGGTGTCATTTGTCCAGGATGCATTCCTGCTTGCGGCATTCCTGCCTGTGGCATTCCAGGCATAGATCCTGGCGGTACTTGTCCCTGTGCCATTTTCATGGGCATGATTTGTCCTGGAGCCATGTGTCCTTGTTGCATTCCTCCTGTCATCATCGGTACATGTCCCATTTGTCCCGTTGGATTGGGTGCTGGTGGCATTGATGCTTGTTGCATCTGTTGATGATGTAATTGCATATGTGAGTTTTGCATATTATTTATAGGCACTGCTGTGTGTACCACCGCATTTTGTGCAGTTCCACGTGGTGATACTCCATGTGCTTGTATTTTGATGTGTGTCATTGGCATATTGCCTCCTGTTCGTGTTTGTGATGTAGTTTGGTTATTTTGTGGTGGCGGTGGTTGTGCATTGTGTACGACTTGTTCGATATTTTTGAGAGGTATTTTGGTTGGTCCTAGTGTGCTCTGTGCTTTGCATTCCCCTCTTGTGAGTTTCATGTTAACGTATGCAGCCAGTATTTCTACTGGTTTAAACTCATTTTGTGGTTTTGATTTTTTATCTGCTGCGTTCATGAGCTCGTTTGTATATTTTTTCAGTAGTAGTTCTCCATGTGGGTCCGGTACACACGTTGCATTTCTTTGCCAATTTTGTGTTCTGAACCTTCCGAACATGCCTCCTACATCTTGTTCGAACAGTCTAGCGTAGAGTACGTTTGGTTGTGGCATGACAGTTTTGCCTGTATTTGAGATGGTGAGGGAGACCCTTCGTACTCTATTATTTTTTGAGAACCTTCCTGAATAGAATAGCGAGTGTGCGAACATTTTTGCGGGTATCCCTAGAAATCCTACCCTGAGCTGTTTGCTCATGCGATTACTATATTCCCCGTAAGGCATATCAGGTACAAGCGGTATTACTTCAATTTTTTTGTTGCTTTCATATGAGGGTTTTACACGTTTCTTCGACGCTAGTGCAACTTCCATGCGTGCATTTTGCGGTAACCTGAACCCCTTCCGTTTGGGATTCCCACGAGCCACTTTCGCCACTAATAGTCGCTTTTCTTTGCATATAGTTTCCTTTAGTCTTGCCACAGTGAAGCCTTTTTTGCAGTGCACCACTGTTCCATTCCTCACTTTTGCATTGGTGTTCATGACCTTTGAGAAGCGCAGTGCTAATTGTAGATCTTTATCTTGTCTTATAGCGGATATCTTACCATTAGTTAGCTGTGTTTTAAGACCGTTTGGATGTGGCTTAGTATTCTTGAATCCATTTTTATGTATTTTTGAATGTGTGATTTTCCCATTTTTGACCTTTTGAGCATTTTGTATATAACAGGTGTCGACTATTATATTATCGCTCTTCTTGGTCAAGAATGTCTTTTTCTTTTGTCTTATATACATGTCTTTAAGGCCTTGTGTTCGGTTCCTTTTTTTCGTTATTATGGACTTTTTTTTCCTTGTATATATTTTATAACGTTTCTTTGTTTTTTTGTTATATATTTTATACTTTGTTTTTATTTTGTTTTTGATCCTCTTTGCATCTTTCTGCGACGGTGCTATTGGTACGAAATGTCTTTTTTTTGGTGGTGCATCTAGGAACGTGGTGATAGCATTTCTTTGTCTTGGTCCTAGTAGTCTTCTGCTTGAATTGACTAATCCTCTCGGGTGTCTTTTGAGTGTTTCGTATGTTTCTTTGCAGAATTCTACGCTGAACTCGAATCTGTAAAGTCCGCTAGCGCTTGACCTATATGTAAGACATATGGCATACATTGGCCATGAAGGTGGTTGTTGTAGCATCCATGAGTCTAGCAGTTCGAATTCGACTGCTAGTAGTTCGGTTTTGACCATATATCCTTGTAATAGAGGTTTCGGTCTTAGTTGCATGTCGAAATCTCTTAGTGATATCGCAAGGCAGCTTGGGTCACAATTCTCCCTAGTAAAATCCCTATCGATATCTTCAGATTGTTCATCATTATCAGTTGTTGTTTCGTCTTGTTTTATGAGTGCTTGGTTCCACTTTTTTACACAGAAGCTCTGTACCAAGAGCGAGTTGAAATCACTGTCCCTTGCAGGGTCCATGAGTGGCATTGTGAACATATCCATTTCATCATCTGGTGGTCTAAATAGAGGTCTATATAGTTCAGCTCCCATTGATTGCATTCTGAGTATTGTAGCTTCTAGTACATCATTTTTATTGATTGGTGTTATTTCTGTGTATGCATTGTCATGTTGCATTAACGGTGGTACCATGATAGCGATAAGATCCCTTTCTCCAATTTCATAATCTTTTGAGGGGTCTCCCATATCAGTTTGTAGATGTTTTAGATACCTATTTGCTATATTATGACAGTATTGTGTCATTTCATCTGAGACCGGTCTGTACCGTCCTGTCTTATTGATAATATTTGCCCAGAACCTTTTAACATGAGCGCTACATTCATTAGCTATCCAATTTTTATTAAGTCTTTTTCTATCCATTATAGCTTCTTTTATTCCTATAGATATTTGTTTTCCAGCGTGTAGTTTCCATCTTCTTTCATGATAATAATCGCTTGCCATCCAATTCATTTCCTGAAGAATGAGTTCTCTATAGCTTCTGCTTCTCTGTGCTGGTTCTGGTAGTGTGACTATTCTTCCTCCCTTCAATATTTCAATGGCTCTTGTGGCCAGGTCCGCATCACTGGCGACAGCATCTTCCGACGTATTGGTCGGTGCTGTTAGCACCGTTGTCGTTTCTTGCGCCATGTGCAGGCGTTTCTCCCAGTGTGGGAGATGTTTCTATCTTTCGATTTAGTCCTGTGTGCTGGTATAGGTTTATTCCGTTAAATTAGTTCCGCGACATGTACAATATGTTGTACTTTTTATGTTAATGTTTTTATATCGTTGTGTGTTTTAAAAATTAATGTTTTTCGATTTATGTTTCATACGTTATTTCGAATGGCAGCGTGCGTAAGTGTGGACGCGTCGTTGCCCGCAGGAAATGTGTTATATCTTTATTATCCTTTATAATAATGGCTTTATTGTGTGTATATCTTACCTTGAAGGTGAAACATAAGGTCTTTGATTGATTTAGGTGATTCCATTTGAGTTTATTGAGTCTTTTGGTTGTTATTTTTGGCATATCATTAGATTCATCTAGTTTTTTCTGTATATGTTTGATAGATATGTTTTTGTTTTGTTGTACTTACCGCTATGTATTCGTGCGGGTCAAGGTATAAAGCCATGTTTGCTTGGTGTCCAACGAAATAGTATGCACGTGGTCTATTTTGTTCACCTCCAACCATTCCTCTGAACCATTTTGTTGCGAATAGTTTTTTTAAAGATTCTTCTTCGTCGTACGAGAGTTCCTTCTGTATAGTTATCCATACTACAACTGCGCTGTGTCCATATATAGTTTTTTCTGTCTATGTTGATAGCGTACCTTCTTTGTTGTAGTGCATTTTCTACCTGTATGATGTTGACTATATTCGTTGTATGTTATGTTTTACCTCGTGTATACGTAGAACACCATCTGTGGATACAACTGATGCTATAGGTATGGTATCTTGGGAGTTGACGAGGTATGACATGCACAAAGCGCTGCTAGCGCATCCGAACTGCAAGGGTTTAACACATGCCCCTATTTCAGTATCAGCCATGACTAGATTTTCTATAGAGAATGGTGCTTGTATGGTATCATAAAACAGTTTGACTATTTGTTTTTTTTCCATATTGTTGATATCATCTACTCCCGCTGTGGCTTGTAATGCCTCTGCCATTGCCATTTGGGTTGCCCTGAGGGCGCATCCCCAACCATAGTCCGTCGTTATAAGCTCATGTTTACTGTTTATCAGCCACATACACTTTGTTTCTAGGTGTTTAGCGTAGAAACTTGGTATTTTGATTTGTAACCCTTTTCGATATGTGAGAAGTATGAATTGTTCTACTCTTTTTTTGAGTTTTTCTGTCGCTTTTTCATTATATATATCATATTCATATCCCATAACAACGGCATTTTGGTTAAAATTCCCGAAGGGCATGTCTATCAGTAGCCATCCGCGTTCTTGTTTATTTCCCACCGTAATTTCGGGTTCGTGAATTTTATAATTACCGCTATGCATAAGAATAAAAAACTACTTTATATGTTTTGTGTTTTGAACCTAGCAGTTAATGCACATGTTCATTATTTGCGCTTGTGTTCGGGTGTGGCGGTGTTTTGCTTGTTACACAGCCTTGTATGATCCTTCTTATATGTTTTTCAACTTCCGGTGTGGCCTGTAGTCTATTCCAGAAGTCATATTTTGGATTCTCGACCAACTGGAACAGCAAGTGCAACACTCCCCAGGGGTGTGGCCTGCTGACCAACAGTCGCTCCAACAGTGCCAACGTTATCTGTTCCTGTATCGGTCTCTCTCCGTTACTGAATAGCCTGAGCATGAACGTTACAAATGCGAACGTGGATGTGTTTGGGTACCTCAGGTGGTTGGTCATACAGCTGAGTAGCATATGTCTTGCCTGTGATATGCAGTTAAGCATAACCTTTTCAAGAAGTAGCAGGCTATTATTTGCAAAATGCCTGCTTGCTGGTATCTTCTTGAGTATCGTTGGCAGTGTGGTGATGAGGTAGAGCACGTAATGATTCGCGAGTACCACGTCGAAAGTGCTCGGATCCAGTACCTTGAGCTCCTTCATCACGACATGTACCAGTGCATCATCAGGTTCGTATACAAACATATCTGTTGCTGCTTTTAATCCTGGTACCTTTAAAACCGTTATGATGTGGTTCGTGAAGTTCAGCGACGGTATGTCTATATGTTCGCACATCATAATGGGATTGGGGAGTTTGAAGCTCCTTGGTACAGCGCAGGTCAGCATATTTCGCAGCTGCATTGCTCTGGGCGGCACTACATCACACAGGCTAAGATAGTACCCGCATAAAAATTCTGGTACTTTTTGCATCAGCGTGACCAATATGAAGCTGACTGCTGGTGTCTTTGCATGTTGCGATGTCAGTGCTTCTATCAACAATTGGTGATACAGAGGCCATTCGTTTGGGTTTTGTATAACCTGTTGTACAAACGGTTTCCGTGATATCAGGTTAATCCAGTATTCCCCAAATTCCGGCATTTCTGAAGGCCCGCATAGCGTGAGGAAGTAACCTAGTGATGTTAATGCGGTTTGGTTACTTTCCATTTCGTTGATTAGATTCACCAATATCCTTTCGTAGCACATATATACCACTCCATGTTGCATCACTCCAAGCAACAGGTGTAACGCCTTGTGTAATATAAAGTTTTCGTTTCTCGATAGCCTAGAGACCATTAGAGACCACCCATCACAATATGTCCAAACTGGTGATTCATGACAGTTTTGCGGCAAGCGGTCTAGCCTAATTTCCGTTGTCAGTGGTTCAAACGTCATCTGTAGTGCGAACATCAGTGTTGATGTGAGGAACGCATCCGGTGTGTGTTCATTGAAATTTTGTAGCAACGGTGTGAGATCTGCATCTACGCTCATAAGGTAATCTTGGAATATTTTGATATACCTTTCTTTTCCTGGTATATCAGAAAGTTTTACAACCATTTTGTTACGTGCGAGTGACTTTTCGGTCACAAGTTGGCGTAACGATCTCAGGCGCATTGGCGTACCTGTGTGTCTATGTCCTGGTTGCATCCTCATGTTTCCATGCACACCTTGTTGAATAGTTAGCCCTGCAGGCGGTCCCGTCATCATTCTATTATTTGTTCTATTATCCGTATCGTTTGTATAGATCATCAATGGTACCCTTGCAGCCAGTCTCCTATGTAGTTCCCCGAATTCTACCGTTACAGGTCCTGTAGCCATGTGTATCTGCACCTTCCCCGATGGATCGAGCGTTGCCAATTTGTTCATGCTTATTGGCAAATCTGCTGCTGTCAGCCACTGTCCGTCCAGTATAAGTTTATGCATAGTTCTGCATAACGTTTCTGGATCTAATTGGCTGCCTATGAACCTATCCACAGCTGGTATCTTTAGAACTCCATACCTAACGAACTGGCACAATTTGGAGGGTCCGAATGACGGTATTAGGTTCGTAACAATTTCATTTACCAATGGGCAACCGATACTGACCATTTCCAGCAGGCAATATTCCGCTTCTTGTACAATCGATATGACATCTAGTCCTTTGGTATTTTCCCTTGATGTCTTGAGTACCCTGTTGATGAGCGCCTCTACACATTCCGCTTGATTCGCTGCATTTTGGAATATGTAGTCCATTGACCACAGCAGTGTGAAGAGTGTATGGTTTTTTGGTAGGCACGACAGTAGCAGTAGCGTTGACGAATCTGCGCTATATAGATACTTGCTATTTAGCAACGGTATCGTGGGTGGATGTGTCAATATAATCTTGGCTGTTTCTTTTACCCGTTGTTCGAATTCCTCTACTTTGCAGGCTATCAACGACGTCGGTAGATTATCGATTGGTGGTATAATCATATAATCTGGTAACCTAAATTGTGGTCCCGGTACTCTTGGTTTATTAGTTTGTGTAAACCCTGGTGGAGCACTATCGGTTGCCGTTGTATTTCCATGTGGCATAACGAACCCTGGCATGCCTCCTGGGATTACATTGACACAGGGTGTCTGTTGCGGCATCCCTTGTTGTTTTTCCGTTTGTAACCTTGTCATTGCAAATGGCACTAGTGTGCCAAACCTGTTATAGGCATCTAGTCCTATATTAGCCTGTAGTGCCATCGTTAGGTCAGGTTCTACGTGTACATTATCACTTCTAATTCCTGACATCCATTCTCCGATTGATGCTGATATGTACCCCGTGATTAATTCCAAGGTGGCCTGCTCCACTAGCGCGCATACCAGCCCTAGGTTATCCTTTGCGAGGAACCCGCTAACTTGTTCAAGGTTAGTTGTGAGTGCTGCATCTGCTGGTGTGGGTTCCATTGATAGTAGTGACAAAATTTGCATATGCAACCTTAAACTCATGAGGTTGTTTAATTGTTCCCTAGCTGTAGCCATAATTAAGCTTGCTGCTAATCCACTTGCCATCGCAGTTGCGCTCATTTTGAGCATTTCTGGATTTACATCTAGGATATCCCTTTTGCATGACGCAAAATCTGTAACAATCATGCTCCTTGTAGTGGTAACACAAGTTAGCATTGTCTTTTTGATAAGTTCGGAAGATTCCATATAACATGTTTCTATGGCATTAAGTACCATTTCTACCCATGGCCATTTTGTATTAAGGCATGAGACTTTTGGGTTAACTGCAATTTTACGTTTCAACAGTTCCCGTACATCCTGGCTAACCGGTTGTACCTGGAATTCCAGTTGTAACATTGACATTCCTAATCCCATGGCATTAGGTGCCCTTGGTGACCACATGGTAACCCCTAGTTTTGGGCTCCTATCACTATCCATTACAGGTACATCTTTGATTTGTGAAGTACTATACCTGGGTCTTTGTACCAGATCCAGGTTCCTGAATAGCAGTGACAGATCAAACTGTAACGTTGATTTTAGCCCATTGGACATTGCGATATCTGCCAGCAGGTTTAGAACTGAGCTTGTCCATGGATTGGGTAGCCTGAATATCTTTGAACTTTTGACATTGATCATTAACTTGCATACTGCGGGTATAACCACTGTCAGAAGTCCGTTTTGGTATGCGTACAATATCAGGTACTTGAGATCCAGGTGTTTGGTGAGTAGCGGTTTATTCCGTCCTAATGTGATAGCTCCCATCCATCCACTGCTGACGCTTAGCAGTTTGCGATATATGGTATTGTCTCTACAGGACCTGATATATTTGAGGAATACGTTTAGGCAGTATGCAGTGAGTTTGACCATTGCGTCCAGCATCCTTGCCCCTCCGAGTGTTGCCATGAATACTATGCAATCTCGGAAATGCGTATACCCCCTGATAAGTACATATCTGTAGAGAATGAATAGTAGCCAATCTACATATCCATTTGAGACTAGTTGTTCGACATGTGTGACGAAATTCTTGTTACTCAATGTCATTTCTACTATGGACATGATCTCTAGTGCGTTTGGTGGTACATCGAATTCTATTTTGAGTATCGCCAAAAGATCATCTAGGGAGTGATTTGTAAGATCCATAGTAAGTTGGTCCTGGAACCATAGATTATCCGTTGGTAATGCTCTATATTCTATATTTGCAGCAAGGTTAACAATTGAGAATAGGGCACTAGCATTGTTTGATGGTAGTGTAACTGCATTGCGGTCCGGTTCGAATTCGTATGCCACCGCTGGGCTTTGTTTCAAAATGGTTAGCCCCTTGCCACCACGTCCTTTGGTATCAAATTTCTTCAAACACTGCGTTTCTTCTAACACCACAGTTCCCATTTTACTGCTCCGAATTTCAAATATATTCGCATCGATGCCTTCGAGCACCTCCTTGGTGTGTTCCACTATCCTCGGGAATAGCCTGCATATAACTTCTTCTGCGATGAACAGCCTTGTGAACACTGGGTAGCACAGCAGGTTACCCATATTCCTTACCGCTTCTATTGCGAATTCCAGGAATACCATCTTACCACGCCTCACGGCTTCAATTAGTACCCTAAATACCATATACAATGAATCGCAATGTGCCGCCATTAGATGTGAAGACAATAATTTCCCTGTAAATTGTGCCAACATTGTAAGCCTTGGTCCCAGTTTCCTTTTATCATCGTTTGCCGTTGTGACTGTATGTAGGCAAAAGTCTGGCGGTGTGGATATTCTGAGTACCATGGCTAATCTGTTGACATATTTCCTCAGGAGCGAGTCGAGTATAGCTTGTGCCCTTGTTGATTTTCCATCTGCATTGAGTAGTCTGACGGCGGTGATGATGCTTTGGTGTAGTCTACATCCGAATATTAGATCAACAACTCGTTTAGTGGTCCCTTCTATATCTTCACTAAATATAAGGTAGTTGTAAACTTCGGTGTCAATGGTTTTTGTTTTCCCCATTTTATCCCGGGCGTAGATTGATGCACTTGCCGTACTACATGTTTGGACCCTGTCTAACAGTTCCTTGGATATATGTGTGCCACCTTCACTCCTAACCCTTATCGCTTCGTACAGTGGCAGCAGTAGTACCCTGTAGTGGTTCAGCGTTTTGTATTGCTCGTCGAAGGTCTGGAACAGGTCCAACAGTTCGTCACATGTCCCTATAACATGGTTGAGTATACAGAATATTTCTGCAACAATACTGCACTTTGGCACGAATATCTTCCGTGTGACATCACCTTGTGGTAATACATCTCTAATTTGCTGTAATTTCCAGCGTAGATAATCCATAAACCCTCCCGCTAACATACATCTTGCCAATTCATGCTCACTCGAGCCTTTACTGGCCATGCCCTCGTCGGTCATGAGTATTGCATCGATGCTGTATATTAGCATTGACATGAACCCCCAGTCGAACGTCTGTCTGCAGTAGCAAACAATTTCGAAAACCCCTTTGCTGAAATTGACCGTTGTATTTTTGAATAGGTCCAAGAGTGTACTCTGGAAGAAGTTGAGCGTGAACGAGATTACTTGCACGTTATACTTTACGTATCTCATGATTTCCATTATTGCTAGTATGAGATATTCTCCTGGGCATTCTGTTGCCATTTTGTTCAAGAAATCGAATAGATGGCTACACTTTTTGCCTTGTATAGATTCTCCACCTAGATTCCGTATCTCCGCTACAAGCTCATCACTAGTGATGAACTGTTGCAGGCACAGTTCGTATGTAAACCAGTATAACGGGTTGATGGTTGCTAATCTGAGTTTGACACTTTTGTCCTTATTCGTCAATGGATCATGGTCCTTTATCCATATATCCGTGAGTGCAAATATCACCGCTTTAGCAAAAAGGTAGCCGTTTGAGGTATGGCTGCCATGTTTGACTACCCTTTGTATCAGTGTCTTGAATTGTGATATATGTTGCTTGTGGTATAGCAGTGCCATGATCAAGAAGAGTATATCGGTATCAATGATCCATAGTACTAGCGCTACGGAATCGCGATGTTCCTCTGCGACTATTTTTTCGAATTGTTCCTTGCGTTTCGACTTTGGATTTTGAGTTTGATATTGCGACCCGATAATATCTATGAAGTTCAGCAGCAGGTCTACCTGGAATCTGGTATTGAGAAAGTTGCTTGTTATTAGGTTTACATAACATGCCATTGGGTCTACATCTGAATTGAAAGCTACATAATCACAAGCTCTTCTAAGTCCATTAACAAACTTTGGTATTTGTTTCAATGGTGGTTGTAGCGCATAGAATCTAAGGTCTGTACACAATGCTTCCCATTGTGCCTTGTTAAGGAGTTTTTTCATATTCCTTGTTTCGAGTTTCAGGTTGAGTATGTTATTGACTACATCATTTTTTTCCTTTTTCCCACTCCCAGGTGTCTCTTCATCCCTGGTCAATAGTTCTGCCGCCAAAGTGGCGGCGGCGGCAATCCTCGCTTCGCAGTCTTGCAGATGAGTGCTGTTGCATAGATTGTCTGTATTTAGTAGCGTCATGACTAATAACCTTGAAGTTGCCGATTTTGAGAGTTGCCTGGTGTCAACCTTTAAATCGAATATACAATGGAATAACCTTTTTTCAGTATATGCACGTAGATTTTGATGCGTGGTATATACTGCGATGTAAATGAGTGCCACTATGCCGTTTATATCCTTTCCCAAAGGCGCCAGAGCCTGTAACAAAGGGTCCGCAAGTTCGGTTGGTGCTGCTGCACTAGTAGGGTTAACCCCCGCACTTTGTAGAAGTTCATTGTATATTCCATCAATGTTATGGACAAATTCCTTATTAATCGCTTTGTCAGTTGTTTCTTCTAGTATCCTCCTAATAGCAGCTTGCCTTGAGTTTGGTGGTACCCCTTTTAATCTATCCTTATTTTGTGCCGTTGGTTGAGATTTTACATACTGCCTTGTTTGGCCTGTATGGGAGGCATGTGATTTCTGTGTACCATGCGTCATTGGCATCTTGTTTTTGTATAACTTTCTTGGAGGATTGGAAAAAATTGAATATTTGATAACGGTATCCTTTAACCGTGGGCTTTCTTTTGGTGAGCTAGCCCTTTTTGGACCCTTTTCTCAATCACACCTCCTTTTGAGCTATGTCACGTTGTCGGTTTCCGCCGTTCCGATGCAACGGTCATTCCAGACAACGGCATTGATAGCTGTTGCGTCTGTCATATTTGTTCTGCATACGGCGTCGGAGTCAATTTCTGCTACGAACCGCTTCAAGTTATTTATGCATATATTTCCCGATCATATCTGCAATTATAAGAGTACTAAGGGCCACTTTGACCATCGCCCAATGCCAGTTGCCCTTCAAGTTTTATCACCTGGTAAATCACCGATAATTTTCTAATAATCCCTCAAATCACAAATTATATATATGTGTGTGCTATTATATGCATTCGGGGCTGCTCTGGTACAAGGTGTCGCGTTAACTGTCGAGCCTATTCGTTGCTTGATCGTGCTGTCGGCATTCTAGCTATTATGCCTTGCTACCATTATACAGTGGCATATCATCTTATATAGCATGTAATATGGAGTATTCCGACAAAATATGGGCTTATATGGTCCATTCATATATGTTTTTTCTATTTATTTTAGCCTATTATAGCGTAACGACGCTCCACATGGTCGGCACTAATGACACCTATAATTAACATTTGGAGCTCAGATATTGCATATTTCATAGTCACACAACGATTCAATGTTGTTTTTCGAGCCTTTCTACATGGCATTTATGCATTTGAGGTACATGGAGGTCGCGTGTAGCGACTTCTTCCACAGATGTTGTCCTGGTTTCAAATTTTACGACCATATACACTTATAGGTTCATTATAAATAAACATTCAAGGTTGATTATTAGCAAAGCACGTTGTTGGGGGCAGTTTTGGAGCGACATGAACCATGATCACCCATCATCAACCTTCCACAATGCTACTTGCAGTTGGAGCGTTATCTATTTTTTTCAAAATAAACTAACCTGATTTTATATAAATTACCGTTAGGACGGTATATGACAAGTGCATAATAACTGATATCTCTGGGCAAGGCCCATCAAACACATGTGCTGAGGATGTCGAAGAAAGCTGATTTTGTCATTAAACCACAAAAGGCCGCACCACCAATCGATACATCAGAGTGGCCTTTACTTTTAAAGGTATGTGTGCTATAACGAGCTATAGATTAAACTTAAGTATGACGATACTTCAATCATGGATATAATTATACACTAGGGCAACATGCCTTAACCAGAAATGTCACACGCACCATAGATATGCTCATGTTATTACAGAACTATGACAAACTCAACGTAAGGACGGGACATTACACTCCACTTCCACATGGATCATCGCCATTGTGCCGGGACATAGCAAACTATGTCAAGTATGGTTTTATTAACCTTGACAAACCCGCAAACCCGTCGTCACACGAAACCGTATCATGGATTAAACGGATCCTACGTTGTGAAAAAACAGGACACAGTGGGACACTAGACCCAAAAGTAACGGGAGTACTACTCGTTTGTTTAGACAGGACAACACGTTTAGTCAAATCTCAACAGAGCCACGGTTAGTATAGATATATTGAAAATTTTATTCAAATTTCTTTTCTAGGAAAGGAATACGTAGCAATAGTCAAGTTCCATTCGGCACCTGAAAGTAGAGCAAAGGTTGAAAAAGCACTTCAGACCCTAAGTGGATGCCTATTCCAGCGACCACCGCTCATCTCGGCAGTCAAGCGCCAACTCCGCGTCAGGACTATACACGAGACTAAAATATTAGACTACGATGAACATAGAGCTATGGCAACATTCTGGGTTAAATGTGAAGCTGGGACTTATATTCGTACATTATGCATACACCTGGGACTGCTACTAGGCTGTGGAGCCCATATGCAGGAGCTACGCAGGGTCAAATCAGGACATATCTCGGAATACGATAACATGGTGACCATGCACGATGTATTGGATGCGCAGTATCTACTGGATAACACTAATGACGAATCATACCTACGTAGGGTCATATCGCCATTAGAAAGGCTGCTAACAGATTACAAGAGGATTGTAGTCAAGGACAGTTGTGTCAATGCAATTTGCTATGGAGCCAAACTCATGATACCCGGGGTACTAAGGTTCGAAAATAATATCGAACTACACGAAATAATTGTACTCATCACAACCAAAGGAGAAGCTATCGCTCTAGGCATAGCACAGATGCCTACCGCAGTGATCGCTTCAGTTGATCATGGTGTGGTATCCGTGATCAAGCGGGTTATCATGGACCGTGACACTTACAGTTTGCGTTGGGGGTTCGGGCCTCGTGCAACGGAAAAGAAACGTTTACAGTCTGCAGGGATGCTGGACGAACGTGGAAAACCAAACGAAAAAACACCAAACACATGGATTAATAGTGAAGGGTACATCCCACCAATGATCGGTGAAGATGCAAAGAAACGCAACCAGGAAGATGAACATTCGGAGGTAGCTAACAAGAAACCTAAAAACTAAACTGGCTACTAGTGTGCCCATGTGCACGAAAAAATGAAACAGTTTTCAATCTGGTTAAAATTTATGAGCTGTTTTTTGCAGACACCCTTTTAGGGTGGTACAACCTATTTAGATTTCGCAGAACCCTTGTTCGTATTTTTTGCACGGGTAGTTGGTTTTTTGACAGGTTGTTTGGCCTTTGGAGCTCTCTTGCCGTCTGTAGCCTTAGCTCTAACAACTTTGGGTTTAGACTCTTTGGACAAGCTTTTCTTGCTAGTTACCGGCTCATCAGGTATTTTCAATGGGTCAAGGTCAACGGGGAACCTCAATGCGCACATAAAATGGAGATGTAGACGATATTGCGGGTTAACACGTATATAAAATGATGGAAATTGCTGATTAGCCGTACGGACAACCCTCTCGATAAGCAGTTGATGCATAACCATCCTTTTCAACAGGTACATTGCAGAATCTTTGGTAAAACCCATATTACGGAGGTAACCTGAGAGCATGTGAGGGTCACTTTTACGCTGTAAAAGCAGTTTGTGAAGGGTTATCATTGTATAAGCGTTATTGCTCTTATCACCATTACGGCTACCCTGGAAGAGCCCGTTGCATATCTGAGTCGCCTCTGTCTGGAAGTTACGAGCCACGAACATCGCATCTCGATCTACGGAGCACGAATCGCAGGGAACATCACATGGCCCTTGTAATTTCTCCCCAAAATATTCCAAAAGCACCTTTCTACGACACTGGTGAGAGTTCTCGCAGTAAATGACGACACTTAAGATATTGTTGCGGATCACCTGCTCCTGTTGAGGGGCGAGTGCTGTGGTACGTTGCATATTCAGCGTGAGCAGCCTCCGGGAGTCATGAAAAAGATACATAATGATACACCATGCAGTTTCACCATCTCGACCAGCACGACCAGATTCTTGGAAATAGTTCTCAATAGATTTGGGCATTGAAAAATGTATCACAAAACGGACATCACTCTTGTCAATACCCATACCAAATGCAAGAGTGGCTACCATTATATCAATAGATCCAGATATCCATTCATTATAATATGATGTACGCAGATTCATGTTCATCTGGGCATGGTATGGAGCTACTTTAATATGTTTGCCCAGCTCCTGCGTTACCTTCTCGACCTCGTTACAGCTGAGGCAGTATATAATCCCGCACTTCCCCTCAAATCGCGTCTTCAAAAGCTCAATGAGCTGCTTTATCGCATTATCCACGTTACGATCCTTGTTCACAACTTCATAGCAAAGATTAGGCCGATTGAAGTTGGATTTTAATAAGGTAGGTGATTTCAGCCTGAGCTCATTGCAAACATCACCGATTACCTGTGGAGTAGCTGTGGCAGTCAGTGCACAGACGGGTACTTTTGGAAATTCATGTTTCAATAGTCCCATCGCTTTGTAATCTGGCCTGAAATCATTACCCCATTGACTCACACAGTGAGCTTCGTCAATTACAAATCGAGCAAGGCGGTTCTGCTTTTCCAAATCCCTCAAAGCAGCAAGTAACACTTTTGAGCTTGTCAAACGTTCCGGTGTAATGAATAATATAAAAGAGGTGTAGTTCTCAGGGCGCATATCACCGAACACCAAATCACGCTCTGATCGACTAAGCTCACCAATTAGAGCGTGACATGGTATACCAAGTGCAGTTAACCTCTTCATTTGATCCTGTATTAGCGATACTAACGGCACAATAGCCACAGTAACACCGCCGTTACCCATTGTAGCGTCATAGACCACGGGTAACTGGAAACAAAGTGATTTACCACCACCAGTAGGGATCACTATGAAAGTATCACGACCACTCAGTATGCAGTTAATGGCCTCCAGCTGCTTCGGACGGAACGTTGCGTTACCAAATACCTCCTTGTTGATACGATGGACCAAATCGGTCCATTCAAAGACACCCAACCAGTCGTCACCATTGTCGACAGTTACGGCGTCACACAGAGCGGGGGCATCCTCGTCCCTCGGCAGCACATACTTATAGCGCTCTTTAACAGTAGCAGTCTCGTCACTAGCATATCCGAAATACTCGTCATCATTATCTTTGGCATAATCATCGGAACCTTGGGATCTTGTATAACCAAATTTACGGTAACAGGAACCATGTTCCCTAGTTAAATCGATGTGATATACAGCTTTAGAACGATATACGTAAGGACGATGACGGAATGGTACGGTCATATGTATATCTTCAAGGTAGGTATCAGGGTCAAACTTTATAAGATCGTCCAGATTCAGGTGGTACAAACTATCGGTAGTATTGTCACAGGTACCGCCATGATCCTTGACAATCTCACTCTCAATATCAGAAGACAGCTTGCGTGACAGTATCTCGACAAATTCGTCATAGTTATTCACAACTTCTGGGTAAGGAAAATGACCCAGGGCAGTCTTCGCCATCGTCGCTGCTCCAGGCTACACATGGGATACATCCCGAAAAACGTGCAGCAGGCACTTATTGCCTCATAGACCACCCTTTCATCATAGTATAGCATACCATTTGGATATAAAGCAGATGTGACCTATTATTACGGCGTATAGCACCCCCAACTCGAGGAGAGAACCACACCCGGTCAGCTACACACACCCAAAGGATAATACACCTTCCTAAAAATATTAAATTACTATTATAACAATACAATAAGCAAAAGACTATAGTGTGCCGATAGGACCATCATTCAGAAGTGAGATACGCTATATAACACAGCCTTCCATTGGCAACGTTTACCTAGATGTAACCATCACATTCATATATAGACCAATTGCAAACGCTGTTAACCGCCGCTCGAGACCATGAACCATATATATGTACAACGAGTTAATAAATCATGTCACTCATATTCCACAGCCTGCTCCATAGCAGAGGCAAGTATGGCGTCCAGCTCGTCACGGATACCAAATAATACCGCAGCCTCAGTAGTCACCAACCATCGCTGAGGAGTGCTGTCCACTTTCATGCGGCAGATGTATTTCTTGAACTTCTCACGAAGCTCAGCAGTGGAACAGTGAGGCTTCAACTCCTTAAAGTCACTTATCAAACTCTCCTTCTTTGTATGCTTAGCATGACACAACTTGAGGAAATCCTGCACATCCTCTTTAGTCATGATGATGTTATGGCCACGCATGTTAAGCACAAAGTCGGATATCGGATTCTTAGTATAACCCTCATAACCGAACCCATAATCACAAGGCTCGATAGTTATGCCGTTCTTGCGCGCCTCGTCAACACTGCAACACTCACTCACGTTCTGAGCAACACCGTCAACGATCCAGTGCCAGTTGCGATTTAAACAAAACACCTTTACAACCTCACATAAATTCTGAGTATGCTTATGAGGACCTTGATCAGGGTTATCCTGCACGATCCAATCGCTCTCCTCATCATCGTCTTCCTCTTCCTCGCTACCGCTCTCATCCACGTCGTCAACGTCATACTGCTCAAACCACTCCTCATCACTGTCCACAAAGTAGTCCATAGCTGATTCGATACCTAACGGCGCAGTAGGCTTCACAGTAGCAGAACAACGAGCTATCAATAAACGCATATACGGACGCTTCCATTCATTATCAGACATATGGAACACACGAGCACCCCGAGTTGGCACTAGTGTCGCGTCGCCGTATATAGTGTCACGAATATTATTCAACACATCATCAACGACGAAACTCTTAGGAACAGCCTCGGATGACGCAACAGCATCAGACGCACCATCCTCAGAAACAACTACGGTCGATATCGGTTGACTAGATGTGTCCACATAAAAGATGCGGTTGGAATGGATATACGTGAAGTAACGCATCCAACCCTCCCGGTGAGATTCACACAGTTTTAGGAAATCAGAAAAATCCAAAGGGGCAGCTACAGTAGAATCCGCCTTACAAACGGTCATACCTGCATTAAATTATATAACATAGCATATAGCTTACCATTTCTAAGTTTAGGCACCACATCTAACAGCTTGACGATATCACACATTTGAACACCTGTAGCACCCATATCGTCGTAATCGTCTGGAACTGGTTCACCATGATGCACAGAGATGTCACTAGAACCGGTAGCAGACGACATCATAACTTCTGATGTGGCATTTTTAGACGCAGAATCTGACGATGTAACCGCAACTGATGTTGATACTGACGATTTCAGCCAGTTGAGCAACATATTAGGAGCTTTCGACTTGGATGACGCAGGTTGCTTACCAACAGACTTGCTTGTTGATTTTTCATGCCCAGAAGACGACACATCTTTACTATGTACAGATTTAGCATCTTTAACATGCGGAACCTTAGTGAAAGGACTTGATAACTGTTGATTTCTCAAATCTAAAGCTTTACGCTTGTTATCCAACCTTTCACGCTTCTCCCGCTCAAGTAACATCTTCTTGTAAATTATACCAAGCTGCTCATTAGCGGCTATTCTTGCATCCTTGTCATGGTTTTTAATTGCAGTCTTAAGCGCAACCAAGGTCTTATAACGCCTGGAGATCAGGTTGCGAGATTCACGTGCCGATATAACCTGCTCCTCCATACCTGACGGAAGAAAATCGGTAGACGGTGATTCCCAAACCCATAGACATGCAGACCGCGTAGATTCAAGCCGCTCCTCATTATTCACACTAACAAAGGGCTCGCCAAGGTTCTTCCTAGAAATAATAATAGGGATGAACTCACTCAAACGTTCATCACTTAGCTCACAATATGTTGCAATGTGTTTCCGCAGCTCGGCCACAAGATCACTAAAACGCAAAAGAGAACCCTCAGAAAATGCACGCACAACCTCCTTAAGTCGGATATCCAAACCATACTCGTCGTGAAGGTCACTCTCCAAATCACCATGTTGCTGTTTTATATGATGCCAAACAGCAGCACAGTCTTCCGCGTTGCCCAGTATACTAGTGTCCTGAAGACACATCAGCAACCCACATATACATAACATACCTGTATACCAGTGGCTAATAGCTGCGATAGCTCGGATTCAACCTCATCAAGTGCTTCTTGGTCTTCTTCACTCAGCGCGCATTCGCCAACCAATGGAATGCAGGAACCATTATCCACAGCTAAACCTGTAGATGGGTTACCCGAGTCGCTGGCGGTAGATGGCCGCATCGACGGAACTGATGATGACTCCTCCGATGTCATGGCGATTATAACGATTGAACGGCGCAATTAGCGCCAGACAGGTATCAACAGCAACAAAACCTTCAACAAGGTATTATCACGACTTTATAGATAAAAATTCTATTGAGAACCCAGAGTTATCCCCGCGTGGTAACACCACGGCCAACCGCGGAATACAACACCAGTGTGTAGAGTCTATATATTACAGCAACTACAAAAGTCACACATGCCCGTACTACATACCTCATTATTATTCGAAGTGGGCACTGTATAGTACATTGCCGTGATTTTGAACAAATTATAAGATGTACAAGCACAGCTACGCTATAGGTGTTTAAAACAACGGAATGCTAACACATAACATCCCTCATAATTGTAATTTCAAACTAAGTTTTTAAAAAGACACTAGCCATGCCGTATATTCATAACAAAATGATAAGAGTACTCGCTTAGAGAAACGATATATTTGGACGTACAAAGTAACTTGCTAAACACATATGACACTCATTATTACCACAATGCCCATTATAGAAGTTACTATTGCATTGTGTAAAAATTCGAGCCAAAAATAAACGCTATGATCACTGCCGGATGGCACACCCCGTCCTTAGAATTCAGCGCAGGGGTACAGATACGACAGATTATATCAATGTTATCGCATAAACATAAAATATCACATGATACAATGCTTCTACAGAATTGAACTTCCAACATGGCAGGGACAACACCGCAACAGGATGACGTTGAACTAACGTCAGAAAGATTCGACGATCTAGATTTAGACCCAAGAACAAAAAAAGTACTCAAAGATAAAGGATATAACTATCTCACACATGTACAAAGTAAGGTACTGCCATTGGCATTAGCAGGAAAGAATCTTATCATACAGTCACCCACAGGATCCGGTAAAACGTTATGCTTCCTATTACCAGCAGTCAAACTACTCTTCGATGATGGATACTACGGAACACTGCCGTCAGATGTAAGCTTACTAGGATGCATATGCCTGGCATCCACAAGGGAACTTGCTACGCAAAGCGCAATACAAATGAACGATCTATCGCAACCACTAGGAATACGTGCAGGATGCTGTATAGGAGGGATACGTGATAAATACGACAAGTCAAATGCAAGGAAATTACATATATTAACAGGAACACCTGGAAGGGTACTGGCACTGTTGTCTAATCAATCAATAAGTGACACCGCTAATATGAAACTGTTGGTACTAGACGAGGCAGACCGGCTGCTTGATAGCGGATTCAGAAATGATATACTAGATATTATGACATATATGACACCAGATACACAAATATTGCTATTCTCAGCAACAATTAAGTCGTCACTACAAAATCTATGCAACTCCCTATTGCAGGGAAAAGAATATGAATATGTATGTCTAGGTTCTGATGCAGCTCTATTGTCAGAAAATAAACTGAGACAGGAATATATAATTGTACCAGTTAACCTTAAACTTCCAGCACTCTTCCACTTGCTGAGCAAAAATCAGGGAAAAAGGTTCATAGTATTCCTAGCCACATGTAAACAGGTGCGATTTGTATTCGAAGTATTCAAAAGGTTGATACCAGCGATACCCATGACAGAGTGGCATGGAAAACAAAGCCAATTAAAAAGAAATGAACAGTTCACACGATTTGCTGCTAAACAAAATAACGGGTGCATTTTTACTACAGATGTAGCTGCTAGAGGAGTAGACTTCCCAGCAGTAGACTATGTAGTACAAATGGATATACCAGATTCTGTAAATACATATACACATAGGGTAGGACGTACAGGAAGGTTGACAGTGGAAGGAAAACGCAGCTTTGGTATTGCATTTTCGATTATTGGCGAAAATGAAACACAATTTGTCGACGATTTAAAGACGTCGGGGGTCAAGTTACATAATCTAACCAAGTTGTTATCCACGTTCTTAATGCGCAAACAAAATTACGTTCTAAACAAATTACAGGCGCTACTTGCAAAAGAAGCCTGGATTAAAGAAGTTGCACAACGGGCTGTTATCGCATATATGAGGTATCTAACAACACGAAAATCCGTAACATTATCGGGACAAGCTCTAGTGGAAACTGTTAAAGAAATGGCACTTGCATATGGACTACCTACGCCACCACAGATACAAATTCAAGATGACGATGATAAGGTTAAAAAACCAAGCAAACTTGAGAAACTCAAAGAAAAAATAAGAGCCAAGAAACATAGGAACTCACAAAGCAATACAACAGAAGATCAACAAGCACAAGAACAAACAAATGAAAATACAATGGAACATCTATCGGATGATAACGAAGAGGAGGAGGAGGACACTGATATGATCCTGAAACGAGTTGGAGAAGATGGTGTAGAAGAAGATTTGAAGAACTACCAAGAACGAAAGTCAACGGAAAATAATGAAGATAAACGTTTGAAGGCATCACTAGCATCTAGTCGTAAAAAGTTAAGACTGAACCGTCATGGTGTGGCGAAAATAAGAGGCGTAGAAACGATACGGCAGACGGAACAGAAACATGTCATGTTCGAAGCAGAGTCCGACGAAGACGAAAATACATACGAAGATGAAGTGCCGACACTGGACGAACTATCGTCAGAAAAGAAGGCATACACACAACGACTAGCAGAACAGCTCAAACAAAATGCCGAACATGATCACGAATGGGAAGCACGCCGCCGTGCCATAAAACGTGCAAAACGACTTAGCAAACCACTATCGACATGAATGACGAACATAGTTATTAAGAATTAAAATGACGTTCTAAAACATTGAAATCAAAAATTGACTTCACGAAAAATATGATGTTATCCAAATAATTGCAGCGGAGTAGTGTAGGGTGTCAGGAAACAGTATTCTATATGATAGGTACGAAAAGCGATCATCTACTCAGCATCACTGTCCATTTCGCCAGCAGAAGTGTAGTTCAAACCAGGTTCCGGCGGTGTGAGGCCAGGACGAAGCTTCCATTCACTGTTAGCAGTGTACCCGCGTTGCTGGTATAGAGTATCTAAAGCAGACCTGCACATCTTAGTCAGACCCTCCTCATCAAGGTATTGCTTCCACGGGTTCTTGTGCATGCGAAGTAAATGCATTATGTGAGCTTGCTGTAGGTTACGGCTGCGCGAACACTTGGTGGTCTTCGCGCAAAGGCGACAGACAACACTGGTAGAACCTGTACGCCTCTCAGGAACCATCACATAAGTCCATGCTATGCGAGCCCAGTTAGCCTTCTGAGCAGCCTTAGTGCTGTTAAGCGGCGATCGACTCTTACGTGGAGCTGCCGTCACACTTGGTACTGCCATAGATGTGATGTCGACATGTGCATCGGTGGAGGCACCGTGCGCATTCTGCCTAACGAGCTCACAATAGTTGCGCACGGCCTCACGTTGCTCCTTAAGAAGCTGGAACCTCTCAACGGGAGTTGAGTTGCGAATTTTCATAGCTATGGCCATCCACATAGCCTCACGCTCACCGAAACGCTTCACGTTAAAGTTCTTGCTGAGACGCTTACCGTTCTCCCACCACCTGCACCTCCAACTGCAATGACCCCTGTTGACGTCCCTCCACACACAATGGATGGGGTGGTTCTTATCCAACGAGTACTTCCCGCTAGATTCCTTGTCAGGTAAATATTGTACGTTTGATGCAATCTCGTCAGCGATCTCAACTACCATAGCATCGTTCATCAGGGAGTCGGGGTCCCTGCAGGGAGAAAATACATCCTCCAAGTTGGTCATGTTGTAACCAGCATAACCTCCAGTTGGTGCAACCTTGTTGGAGTAGCAATCAACCGGTGCCATAGGGTAACCCTCATATTCATGTCCATAACGAAGGTCGAAACCATCGTCCAACGCCTCGGGGTTAGGGCAATAGTCGAGGTTCGGGGTAGTAGCAGTAGTACTGCACTCCGCGTATGTTTGTGTGTCATCCTCAACCTCGCCCTTACCTTGGACGTACATCTGAGAACCGTCCACATCAGTCGCACCATAAAATGACGATGTTTCAGGCTGACAGTAAGTTACATCCAATGGACCATATAACATAGGGTTGTATCCAGACACCGGTCCCATATGCGAACCCATGTACATAGGGACACCAGGTTTCATGGCATCGTCTACGTTCATCTGGTAGCACGTGGAGTTCATATAGTCGTTCCTTGGCGTCATGTAGCTACCGTTGTAGTAATAAATCTCCTGCATGGGCAAGTATCCGTGTGCGAGTTGGTGTCCGTTAAGTTCCGGAGTGACACAACCCATGTATGACTCGGAATAAGGCATGATGTTGTCAGTACCGTCGTGGGTCTTCTGTTCCATTGCCGAAGTTTGAGAAATGGGTTCTACGAAAGCCATCGGAGCTACGACGTTAGGAAAAAATGATAAATCGACTATACTTTTTAATAATAAGAGGGTCTTTGCCCTCTGGATGAAAATATTTTTTGCTTAAAGGAAATATAACGCCACTTTGGATGCGCTATATTTCTAGGAATTATATTTACTGCTCTACAAAGACACCACTTGTGCATGGGGCTACAAATCCTAACGCCCTACAGAAAAACAACGGCCGTACAACTCGCAAGATTCCAAGCTCCGCAATATGCATGATGTGAAATTCTTGCTATTTGTGGATAGTCGTGCGCGATTTAGACGTCTTAGATGTGTAACCGGCAAACTTTCGCCAAATGGCATCGTGTACGCCATACGCACCGCATAGCCTATGGAATCGCATTTACTCAATATCAAAGCGGATTGATGCGTCAAATGCATACACATCAATAAACGACTCAAACGGTGTGCTTGGGGACACCTATATATACCGTCACTATATATCTGGGGTGTTACACAGATGACTCTTTATTCCTAATAGGAGTACTCTGACCATGCAGCTAGTTGTCCACGCGACGCCACGTACGCAATGATGAGGCATACAATAGCTAGATGTAGTAAATACTGATGTTGTTCATACACATAGCGACGAGATTTACTGTGTCTCCAGCATATTTTCAATAGTCACCATTACAGCCTTATAAGCTTCCTTGACTAAATCGGGTCGCCTACTGTAATTTTTGATGTTTAGACAACACATATTACTTGACTGTCATGCTACTATATGATTTAACCTTAATTCAGTGTATAATCATCACCTCGTTCAAGATCGTGACATCGGGCCTCTCTTTTCGTGACCAGTTCAACGTGATGCATCTATATAAGCGGATTTGTGACAGGATATTACAAAATAAACACTATAAATACATATTAGATTGCTATAGAGTAGATATTAGAAAGCAGAACCACGACGATAGCTGTCTTCCATGGATATGTAGTACCACTATGTTAACTAACCACTGGTAATGAGACACAGCGTTGAAGTTATTTGTAAAATGAATACATTTAGAATGGTGAATAGAATGTTACCCAGCAGAGACAGGTGTGGCAACCCTGGAGATATAATTCAGACCATTGTTACACACAGAGGTTGTCAATCAACAGATTTTAACACAGTTGAAGAAGTAGACTCGATTTGAAACTGTATGGTACGCAATAATGTAATGCGTGTGTCAGAATAACAGATGACGAATTGTGGTACAGAGCTATGTTCTACGCGATACCACACCGACAATACATGTAACATATGCAAATTACAGAATCCTCAATCAACTTTTGAATGAATCGATCACGTAATTTGGGAACTGACGCATTACGAAAATGTGCACTTGTGCGCGCAGGAAACGCGACGGTGTTCAATACACGACGCTTTACATACACAACAGACTACCTTTCACGAATTTTTAAAACAGCCTCGTCAAAACATAAGTGCCTCTTCAAGGCAATATATTTTTATCAACTTAAATACAAGCAACCAAGACGACAAGATAAACAAACAATTTTATATACATGTAAGTGGGTGCCTACAATTTTTATTACAAAACGTGGTTCAAATTGATAGCACAGCATCAGGTGTGTGTAGTTCAAGGATCAAACAGTACCTTGCAGTCAATAAGATATTCGCGACGACATGTAGGGATGGGATGTGTGCTATGACGTATACATTCTTATCCTTCGGAAGAAACACTGTTACATTGTGATTTATACATTTTTTGCATACTATAAGAGACATAAACGCAATACATTTTTCATTTTTCACAGTGAACATTCTTCCAAGTCAAAATGCCGCTGTGCTGCTCAAAAAAGGCCGCGCAGCGCCAAAAAGAATATGAAGAAGAAGTACGCATGAGGAAACTCGAAGAGGCCGCACGACTTGAACAGGAACAACGGGAACGTGAAGAAGCAAGAAAGGCAGAAATTGAAAGAATCATGCAAGAAGAAAAGCAAGCGGAACTCATGAAAAAAGCAGAAGATGAAGAAAAAATGAATGAAGAAAAACGCGCAGAAGAAGAAAAACGCGCGGAAGAAGAAAGATTAGCACAAGAACAAGCGGAATTAGAAAAACAAAGACTAGCGCAAGAAGAACAAAATAGATTCGAACAGGAACAATTTGTTGATGCAGAAGAACAACATATGATGAAAATGACTACTGGTAAGCAATATTCATAACATACAACATTAACACACAGCAACACACCAAAATACAATGCAATCAATAGATGCATCACAATTCGATGGACAAAACACTTTTGAAATGCAAACTTTCGCACCTTTCGATATGACCAGTGTAGATCAAACAGCAAGATACGTTGCCACCAAATGTGGATGCGCAATGAAACCAGAACACAAACCTATGGACTGTGCTGTATGCCAAGGGATCGACCTCTCAGACGCACCACTCATTGCATAAAATGATCACATATACCATGATCAGTTAATGCAAAATAGCATAGACAAAACACAAAGATCGAACAATGATCTTAGCTAACAAAAAACATGGAATGTATAGACAATATACAATGGCTAACGTATATATCGAATCACAACCTCAGCAAATACGCAGTGACGCAAAAAAAATGTAATATTATGACCGCGGGTTGAATGCTAATGTAGCTTTTTAATGCTGATCACGCGGTACTAACTTTTTAAACCGCATGTCTATAATAAATTGCAGCACCACCGTATAACACAGAGAAAAAAATACACGATTGCCATCAGTTAAATGGCATCACAAGAGCTCAATACTTGCAAATTCTTAGTCAATTCAGCAAGCTGAACTTTAAAAAAATTATACTCACGCTCTAGTAATACGGTCATGTCGCCAACAAAATTCTGAGAAACTTGCATTTTCAAATAAACAGAAAACTATACCTCAGAATCTAAATAGGCAACAATAGCAGAAGCAAGAGTAGTCACATCAGTGACACTATCCTCAGGTACATCGGCGCAATTCCTCACAAGGGAACCACCGATGAACTCGCTGCCGCTCCCGCAATCAAGAAGGTTACTATTGCGCTCCTTCACAATAGCCTCATCAACGCACAACGATATTTCAGGAAAAGAACCATCAAATGGTCGTACAGGCACGTAGGAGACATCCTCAGAAAACTGCACAACAGACTCAAACTCCCCAGACCTATCAGCTTCAATTTTATATTCCACCGACTCTTTTGCGTCCATGGTGATCGAGGCCTAGGGTGCGGATAACTCGCACTAGTGTCTTAATATTCAACTGCGCAGAGCGCCATTATGTCACACATGGCGCGGATGCTTGTGGAATTTTCCACGATACTGCTACGACCATCACGACCACCTACAAAGGCTGCCCAGCCTCATTCGCACAAGACTTAAGCAACTCCAAAAATTCATCCATATCGAGCGGTAACGATCCACCAACATCGCCAAGGCTGCTACAAAATAGATGGACACAATAGCTCGTAACATACCTCGCCTCTAAAGTCGCATCCATACCGTTACCAGGGGTATCCATTTCAGAAAAATCAAAAGATACACCGCTAGCATTCGTGCCCCAAAGAGGTTCAAGGTCAGTAGCTAACCTCTCAACACACTCACCATCCATTTTAACAATAGGCTCAGTAGATAGCATACTGTTCATCTTAATCATGTCCTCCAATTCAGATTTTATTGCTGAAATGGGTACACGATGACATGAAACACCTGAACCTTCATCATATTGCGCTTCTTTGAACGCCGGGATAGCTTGTAATGCGTAATTGACACCCCTGTAAATTTTCGCCGATAAATAGTAAAATTGCGCGATAGCACCATCAGGATTTTTGCCTAGAGAATCGACACAAGTACGACGAAAAAAATTGCCGGGACACCCGGCACCATACGTCAGGAAATCCTCCATTGTTTCAAACCGCACTGCGGCCGGAACACCGTTAAAGCCTAGATTGAACTCATCTTAGAAGTGAGCGCAATTACGCGCCGCCTTTAAGACTGGTAAAGGACTTACTCCCGCACACGCACCAAGTCGCGTTAGATGGGGGTCTACCTACCGAAGAATATCATCGACTGAGCCTTTACAACCAAAATACGCAACCCGCGCGTCCCCTAAGCAACCAGGCTTGCCTAAAACTACAAATGGACTATTTTGTGCCTTCAGAAACGCAGGTTTCGTGATGGTATGTACATCCAAACCCCTCCAAGGATTTACCAATATATGCCATATTTGACGGGATTCCGCGATGTCTAAAATTCTACACATCGATAACGTATAAGGCATATCTATGATAAAGGCAAATAAAAAGCTTGAAAGGGATTAAAATGGATTTTTATATCAGCAGCCTGGCGGCACGGATTCCGTGCACAAGGCTACACCGACAAGTGCAGGATCCAAGAGGACGATCTATAGCGGCATTTGCAGTAAGCAGCGATGGAAAACTTGCAGCCATGGCAACCTATCCACGCCCCCACCGATCGGTGGAACGTTCACTAAATGTACTATTCAAAGATGGAAAGGCATTAAGGACGTCAAACTATCACAAAGCAGTACAACGACAACGCAGATTAACAGAACAACACAATGAATTGGAATACAATGTGGAACAATACATGAGGCATACACTACAAATTGATTCGCTAGGAGGACTAGTAGAAGAAGTCGCAATGAGCACACCAAGCCTCAGCGAAATCATAAAACATAATAATCCGGAACCACCTCCACCACCTAGACCTATAGTACCATGTGCTGTAGTTTTATTCGACACGATGTACTTCAATCCAGTGGAGGAGTTCATCTATGGATACAAAATTAACGATGCTATTTATCTCAATTCATCGTCAACGAACCCAGCTATGGCAGGAATTACAGGCGCAGCCTCAACATTGCCTATGAATATTGGCAATGTTATTTCTAATAAGTGCCTATTCAGGCCAACGAGGATGAGCTTTGCTTATGGAGACACGCTGTTGGTACTATCCTCCGTGGAAGACGGTGTCAAGATATTCTCCATGGACACAGAATATATAGAACTATTGTGTCACTTTAGACCACATCTTAGACATGATGTACATCTGGACAAATTAGTCGTACTAGGATCACGCGTAGTTTTGGCCGATGTACCGGATAGGCGTACAGAACTGCCGTTGATATTCACAAGTAACACGGTAACGTGCCCTTCATGTAAACACGCCGTATTGAAGGATGTAGAATCATGCCTAAACGAAGCGCTGCCATACACAATCGTAATCGATTGTATACTGTGCCTATCGGCACAACCGCCCATGCGAATGGTGCTACATTCACATTGGCCAAGCGGCGAAGTATATATATCCTCAGTACACCAATTGTACCCGTACATGGAACAAATTACACCTCATGTACACTACTTGGTCAATACTTTCCAAGCACGTATCACAGATAACGCGGAGTTCGCACTGTTGGAACGCATTCAGACATACTGGGCACTGGAACCATATATGCATGATAAAATGAAATATCTATTCCAATCGGATACACCAGTGGAATGCGATTACTCCAAAACGCTACTCAACACCAAAGTTAATGAAAAGGATTATCTGGACCAGTGTACGCTCATCGCAATGTACACGCCAGACTTCCATCTATATATTATGGATACGAGCTATGCGATATTGGGGCAGGCCACGATAACGGAATCCGATGAAGGACACTACAAAATTGATGTAAACAGAAGTGGCAGTATCGTCGCACTCATAGGGTCAGCCTCTGTCACACTATACCGATTACGTCTTTCAAGAAGCCCAGAAGGTGCACTAGCAGCAACACTGGAGTTGCATATGCAATTCCCATCGGTTATCGGAGTAGGACGCCGCGAGGAAGTTCTGTCAGCTTGCCTCGGTCGTGATATAGGCAGCCGTTGGTTATATGTATCTGTAGCTAGAGGTTCAGTTGATGCAGTTTTGTATGTAGTGGATATTGTGCCAATCAAGGGAAGAGATCCAGTTAAACGCATATTGAATATGAACTCGGTGGTGTTCCCCTGTGTAACGGACATGGTGGCACTGGAAAACAGTCTACTGGTCATGCCACGCCACCAGAGGTACCTCGTACAACTCACACAGGAACACCTAGACAACACAGACGACTCTTACTCAAGACAGTTCTGCCATTTCCCAGTACTGGCTACTAACAAAGAGGCTCTTATGCTCAACGGACCGGTGAAGAAACGGCAGGATCAAGGTGACAAAAACTTTGACCTCCTGGTTTTCGAAAGAGAACGTGAAATTGGTATTGCCAATAAAACCAATTGTCGTTTAAATGTATCGCGATGGTTGGATGCTTTGTATCAGTATAACGCTTTGTGTATGTACAAGGGACGCAACGTTATGGTAGGGATAGATCCACATGACTACCTGCTTCCGCCATTGAGGCGGGTAAGACCACAGTTCCCATTCGCATATGACACGAAGAAGTTTTATGATGCGCTCATAGGAATAGAATTCACCGGCAGCCCGGCACTAATGCGGGCGCAATGTTACGAATGGGTACGAGACGCAGTGATGCGCACAGGCTTTGTCAATCCAATGTATCCATTGGAAATAATATATAATGATAAGCTGCAAATGCTGGACTACGTATGCGCGAAAATATGTATCTCACAATGGGATAATCCATCGGAGATCATTTTCTCCTTGCGCACGAACGACTTCCTGCATCTACAGCTCTGTAACTTTTTAAGGATTTCCCAAAGATTGGAACTGCCGTGTGATGCGCAAGGAATGATACCGTGCGAAAAGACTATGATGTATAAAAAGGTTAGCGAAGTGATGCCACAAATGATGGGAGAGGGAGTTCAGATGCCAATACGTCAGAGTCGCGCCTCGCTAGAACGTGAGGCGTTTGAGCTGATGCGACAGCAGTTGGTGCCGGAACTTCTGAGGATTCCTGCTAACAAGCTAAAGAAGATTATACGTGACCGTTTGTATCGATTGAGAAAGAAGATCACTATGCTGGAACGATACAAACAAGATCACAATCTGGTCGATGTTAAACCCGAATTCACACTGGACGAGATTACGAGAAACGATTGCAGACTTCCGACGTTCCGCGATTCAGTGGAACCTCACGAAGTACTACTTAGCGAATTTGCGATGCGTGTGCGTATGAAGGTCCTGACAACATTTTATAAGGCCCATAAAGAAGGCGGCCCCGACTTAGAGGAATTCGACTCGCCGTAATCAACACTCTCTAATTTAATTCTTAATTACATATATATGTATTAATAATGAGCTTCAACGAAGACGACACCGCTATGACGGAGGTAATTCTTCTAGGTGGACGCTCATAATGCACAGGCGATCCGCTTCGCGCGAGCGCGGAATCGCCTCTCAATTTCAGCAGAAGTATTTGGAGCACACAATAATCCAGATCAGTTCGTGGCACCGGTATGTTGAATGGCCACGATTTCGAACGATCACCAGGTCCATGAAAAGTCAGATGAACAAGCTGAACGCATCAAAAACACGGTGCTTAAATGCTTCTTATTCTCGTCAGTGGACTCAAAGCATGTAGACATTCTAGTACGCGCATTCGAGTCACATGACGTTAGGTAATAACGATAGATCTACTATACACATCGCGCAGCGCCGGAACAGTGATAATACAGCAAGGGGACCCAGGAGATAAACTATACTTAATCGAAGAAGGAACTGCTCACTTCGAAAAAAAATCTGTGTGTAACATTAGAAACATTATCATAATATGCAGGCTATCAGCGGTGAAGTACAACAACTAGGGACAATAAGCGAAGGAGGATGCTTTGGAGAACTGGCATTGATGTATGTCATTTCATGACCATGTTATAGTGCTAATGGTTATATATTTCTTAGACGGATGGCAGAAGTCGTGTAAAATCGACATTCCTAAACTAGCATCCATGATGACAATGATGTAACCATCTCGTCCGTAACGATTATAGACGGGCAAACGGCACTGTATTTCATGAGTAGTGTTTACACTGGTTATAATCGAAATGCAGGTACAACGCACCAAGAGCTTGCACTGTCATAGCAGACACAGATATGAAGTTGTGGACACTCGACAGATCAACGTTCAACCATATTGTGAGGACCGCAGTCATAAAGAAACGTGAAAAATATGACAAACTACTTCAGAGTGTAGCACTATTGAGCAAGTTGGATCCTTACGACCGCTGCCGATTAGCCGATGCATTGACCGAGAAAACATTTGTGGATGAGGACATCATCGTAGAAGGCGACAATGGCACAAGCCTCTTTATGATCATGGAGGGAAATGCAGAGGCATATTGCCAGGGGAAACTAGTGAAGTCGTATTCTGAAGGTAATGTATATCGTAGCATAGTCAGCATGCCAATACAGGAGGATACTTCGGAGAAATCGCGTTGATCGCACAGACACCAAGAGCAAGCACCGTTAAGGCAAAAGGTAAATGTGTCGTTGTGGAACTCGAACGCGAGAGCTGTGTCAACCTCTTGGGACCTATGGAAGAGAGGTTGAGGAATAACCTTAAGGAATACCAAAGCGTCCTCTCCTCTCTCAACATTGAAAACAAAAATCTGGAATCTGTCAAAATATAACATGCCGAAAATAAACGTGCTATAATATAATACTACATTAGTTGCTCATCAAAATAATCAATAGGCACCATATACCAGTAGCAAGGTAAAGGGCCATTTTAATGTACCAAGCAACGCTCAGTATAAAATGTTGTGAAAAATTATTCCTCGCGTAGCAATTGTTGAACGAACACAGATAATAGCAATCAAAGAAATTGTAACTTGGCGAGTGTAGTAGCCTTTTGTTCTAAGTTTTGCTTAGTGTGCTCTTTGTCAAATTCGGCAAAACTCTCCACGAATTTCTCGCTTGAAACCTCCGGCTCTTTGGCAGGAATATCCTTATCGGCTTGATCGTTGTTTGTTTGAGGCAATATACTGTGTTGGCGATACTTATCGCTGCAATTGTGGTAAACGTCGCTAAACAGGTCGGCCATGTTAAGCGCCATGGAAGCGTTAGCCAATATTTTCTCACGACCTTCGGCGCTTATAGCCACGCGAATGTCGTCGGCATTCAGACCTAATGCCGAACACATTTTCACTATCCTAGCATCAAGGACGCAGGGTGGACTGGTCTGCTGGCTCTCTGCGTCACCCTGCGGAGGGGCCTCCATATCCTTTTCTAAAGATGCATCCGACGCGCGTTTATTCTCCAGTAAAGGAACAAACTCGTCAACACAATAAGCCTTCTGCAACAGTAACGCAAATAATGGTAGCTCAAGCAGTACTAGCACAGTGTTCAGGGTTTCTGCGACCTGCTGTTCCAAGGTAGTGAACCACAAAATTATGCATCCCTGGTAAAAAGTGAAAACCACCATCATCTTTAAAGATATACACTTAACCAAACAATTCGCTTTCGCTAATCCAGGGTGGTTTCGCGTCGCAAGATAAAACAAACCAAGGGCATAGAGTGCCAAGTAAACGCTCGCATTAATGATGACCCAATTAAAAATTGAAACCAATAAAGACTTCTCGATGCCTAGCATCCGAAATATCACGGAAAATATTGCCAACAACGGACGGATGAAAGCATACTGCATAGTGCCCATACGACAACGCTTAACAAAACCAACGTTAAGTGGTATGTCCTCATTCAGTCCAAATACCTTTATCTCCCGGATTGGCCAAACGTGCTTGAGAACGGAAGGATCACGTGTAATGACGTCAGCACAGTTGCTCTCACCGCCACAGTACTCCATCATCAGACAGAGGAAAGAATGGATGAGGAGCCCTTCCCAGATGTTACGAAGCATCTCAAGTACGTCCATGAAGTGTGGAAGCAGATACAGCAAGAATGTCAGCGCTCCATATATAGGCATAAAGACCAGTATACGCACGACATATGACTGTAGACGGTGGTTATGGTAATGGAGCAGATGTTGCAGAAGCAAATGTATTGATATGCCGAGACTGATCAACATCGTGCTCCACACCAGAGCCAAACACCAAAAAGAATCCAAAAAACCCTGAAGCGTCATGGTTGATATGCTCAATTACATAAGAACGTATGTAACCTCCGAACACTTTATTCGCTTCGCCGGTGGTATTTCACACCGTAAGCGGGCTGTGTAAACCATAACATATGCCTTTATCCATCTTTTCCATTTATAGTCTCAATGGAGATTTACTATTTCAAATGTCTGGTCATTTAACCTATAAACAGTGAGTCTGTGTGCCTCTCCTTCCCCATAGGTCACACTGCATTGACTAATATGGCCGTAGGATAACCTAAAAATTAATCTCAACCGTAACACAAACTACGAAATTCAATCTATTAGGGGAACTGGAACCCAATTCGCTCTTCACAATCGAGGCTACCAGCAGTAGACGCGTGTAGTTTATTTCGGATGCTTCTATCCTATACGCTTTGCCTAGATATATAAACACCGTTATAATCAGTTAGATGCACCATATGTGTAGCAAGGTCACACGTTAAAAGCGTAGAAACGTATTTTTAGAAACATTTTGAGAGTCATATCAACTACGTCACGAGACACCCACGCAATGTAGAAGGGAAAGGAAAATCGATCATTACTTAAGGTGTTGAACTGTGTGTGATCGCAAATAATGCGGGATAAACGCTTAATATCGCTTCAATGTCGTAGGTGCCGAGGATAACGCGGATCGTAGCGGCAGGATGTGCAGCAACTATTCATCATCGCCTTACGTCACACAAACATTGAGCAAAGCATATTCGCACAGTAGTTGAGGACAATGATCTTTGTATCGCGGTTTCGAGCTCTATGGGCTAGGTTGCCTTTGGAGCGGAACATACAATCTGAGTTGATGTTGTTGCACCTCTACTCAAACGAGACTGGCACACCTGGATCCGATTGTGACGTATACGCATCGTTCACCAACAATACTACGGTCAAAAACATGATTAAAGAACATAATATTAGTTGTTATACGCAACAAGTCAAACATTTGCACCCAGACATACTGACAAACCTGGAAATTAGCAACGTACCAGTTATCGTGGGAGTATTTCGAGGTAAAAATCTAGGCGAGTTCACACGCATTAGCGCGCCAACATCAGCGCTAGACTTGTGCAAAAGACTAGTGGATGCCCAAGCATATCTGCATAATAACCGAGAAAAGTCGGAACATATAGAAATCGAGAAACAAATACAAGATGCACTGACAGCCAAATCAAAGGATGGAGCATTCGAGGAATTGGAAAAACTCGAACGTAAATATATGCAAAGGTTGGAAGTTGATGACATATTGAGGCGAAATCTCGCCCGTGCACGGCTTACGTTGTACAAGCCAGAATGCGAAAACACAGAAACATCTGTGGAGATGCTTCGTAACCAACTTAATGAGATCGATCAAATTTTGGTGGCATTCGAAAATGCCAATGCGGATGATCTTATATCATTGTATGACAAGATGCCTCCGACTGACACCGTTATTCAAAAACAAGGCTCGTTAGATGTTCATGCCAACTCCCGCAATTCGGGACGCGGTCATGCCGACGAAAACACCGCTACTGGAGCTGTCGTTCAAATGATGGACCGTTTTGCTGCCGAAAATGGGTATACAACAGAACTTATGGATGGGTCCTATGATACTATAACATTGATAAGATTAGTGAAGATTCGAATACTACAGAACATAGGTGTCGTGATGTTTTTAGAGGGTACCGTTGAGGAGGCCCTTGAGGTGGCCACACGTGCGTACGACGAACTTGTGCAGATGCTTAAAGACGACTTGATCTCTGTAAAAGCATACGAACTGCATTCGTTGGGGAGGATCATCGAATTGATGTTCGGCGCACTCCCGTGGAACCATCCAGCGGTGCTAGCTGCGCGGGCCGCAATAGAAACTGTTAATGGGCCTAGGCTCTTGAATCGCATTCCGCAAAGCAATAGACCACTTGGAGGACCTGTTTCGAAACGCCGTGGGTTTGGTGGACGATACTCCTGGCAAGGACCGGACTATCGCCCAAAGAAATACCGACCACGCGACCCAGAACAATACCTGAACGAATGGCGATATCAACCAGATAGCAACTTACCAACATTTTAAAACTTTCACAAAATTACCTTAGCTCGTCCTTTCAATAATTCCACATTACATGGTGAGGTAAGAGAACATTCGACATTCCCAGGTTCATTAGTGATAGCAGCAGTTGTAGATGTGGCTGCAGCATCCGTACCGAAGTTAATGTCGTTAAAAACACCATTTATACGACTTATCTTACTGATGAGCTGCTTGATCTGCTGCTCAAGAGATGATATTTTTTGGTTCTTAGCCGAGATTAGTTGGTTAAGCATATTCTCCTTAACCTTTATACCGACCAAAAGCCTCTTACTACGAGTCACCTCGCTAAGGAAAGCAGATTGGCGCTCCATCTCACGTTTCTTCAGTTCGCTTTCTAAGTTGTTCAACATTTTCTCGCGTTGGTTGGTCTCCCACACAACGGTGTTGAGCTTGTCACACATATCCTTAAGCTGCTTAAGCAGGTCGCTCTTACGTTGCGTCAGCTCACTGACCTCTTTGCGGCAACGGGATAGGTCATTGACAAGTTCGAGGATTCGTGCATCCTTTTCTGCGACCAAAGCGTTAAGACGCTCCACCTGGGACTGGAGCACAGCCAATTCCTTGGACATATCGCGCTTCATTTGCTTAATATCCTTGTCACGTTCTTTTAGTTGGTCTTTAGCTTCTGAAAGACTCACTTCACAACCATGTAGCGCTTTCTCTAAAAATGCAATTCGAAATTCACGTGACAAAGCTCGTTCAGATGCATCAAGCGCTGTCTGCCGGACCTTGTCGAGTGCCTCAAACGTCTCATTATACTTCTTTTCAAGACTTTTGTTATCCTTAGCAAGCTGCTCTAGTTCATCCGCATGATGACAACTGATGGATGATTCGTTGAGACACGATGCTTCACCTACTGACACCGTGGGTGCTGCAGGATTGCTATTCATATTCATCTGAACTTTATCCACAATTTTGCGGTTTACCATAACCTTGTACAGCATAGAGCTGCTATCCTCAGAGTCCGTACGCTCCATTGCTAATATATTTACTGTGCCAGCTGCTTAGCCATTTCAACGTACCACATGCACAGAGGCGCTTTTAGAAACACACACGATACTCAGTAAATGTGGCACAAGGAACATGGCATTGGAATGTGACGAGTCAACAACATTTTAGGAGCGACATGGTACTAAGTGGTTTTGGCCATACCAGATATAGGTTCGCATGTTGTACGATTAAAAAAAAATAACACTATATACATTCTTTCAGAGTTCAATTAAGTAGCTATTCATAGCAAGGCTTACTATTCACCTTGCGCTTCGTTATTAGGGGCTTTGGTGACCTCGTTGATATGGTACGTACTTGTGTCATGCAGGGCTCAACAGTATAGACCAATAGTGGTTACATGGAAATTCGCCTATAGTTTTACACTGGTCTTGCAACGTTATTGTGGGTACTCTATATGGGAAATGTGAGAGGCAAGCACAAATACACACCCCCTGGCCACACTTCCAACCGCCATTCTGGCAACATCACATAGACGCACCAGACGTGGACAACACAGTATCTAATATACAGACATGCTAAAAATAACAATAAAAATGTTCCTGTCGGTTGGCAGAGTCACATTGTCATGCCTTTCCCGTAGACACAACTGATTCATCAATTATGAACAGGATTGCGAATTATTCATAATTGGCTTATTGTCCACTGCTAGTGATGCAGAAGATTCAATCGTCGATCACCTCTTCTTCCTCATCGCTGTCCTCATCACCCAAAAGATCACCTAACATCTTCCCGATGGCAGACGGCTCATTGTCGAGGGCTAAGTCATCGGGATGCACCTTGAATTCGTTTGATTCAGTTGGTACATTGACCGTGAAATTCACTTTAGAGCTCTTATCGCAACCAAAGTAACTGTCAGACATAGCAGTAACAAGCACCGAATGAGGACCTGGTCTCTCAGCTAACACAGAGATCTTCTCAGTGATCACGCGCTCACGAGATGTACATATGCTGAACGCCAGTAGCTTGTCATCTTGCTCGCCAAAACTTAAGAGGATGAGCCATTCTTCGTATTTCACCCAAGGGAAAAATGGAGAATGCACCGGACCAATGAGGTCACACTCCTTAGGCATGTTAAGTCGAGTGATCGTGATTTGGAATGTGACGATGTCTCCCACACAGATATCAGCGGCGTCATGTACGTATACGTCGACCTTAAGGTCGATCTGCGGGAAAAAATTACAGAAGGCGGCTACGTCGGCAAGTTGGCTTTCACTCATACCTGCCAGCCCCTTTTTACTCTCCATTGGCATGGCTATATAGTCCCCAAGACTCTTACCACCAGTTTTGCTGCGTTGGATGTGGCTCACACATTCCTCATTAACATGAGGTATCTGGTAGTAAGCATCACGTCGGCCTGCTAACGCCTGTATCAGGCAACGCCTGAAGTCAATGATCGATTTTGTGGTAATCATCCAACGGCGACAAAGAGCGACATCTAACATACACTGCGTTATCAAAATCGTATACTTCAGCAGCTCTGTTTGGATCACCTTGAGCTGCGGAGGCAGTTCTTCATTTCGGTTCATGTGGCAGAGCAGCAAGATGAAGTTGCGAAGCGTTTCCTTCGTACTATTCTTCTTCTTAATCTCGCCAACGTCTTGAACAAATTTGCGCAACAGAGCCTCGTCCTCAGAGGTCACCGGCACTGCAGCACACTCCGTTGAGCAGGCGTAGATCTCAGGTAACACCTTTTGCCTCGTGTTCTCCGAGATTGCGTAATAAATCAACTGTAGCGTTTCCAGACGCACGCCCATAGCAGTGTAACGCTTCTGGTTGCGATAGAAGTAGAAGAAGATACCAGGTATCACCACAAGAAGTACGATAAAGAAAAGTGTGAGAATTAGTACTTGGTTGTCTACATCAACCAAAAACCGCGGCAAACCGATACCGATTTTCATCATTCCAGGACCATCAGGGTTCCCGTAACGCTCGTAGTTCTGTCGGAATTTGTCATTGGTAAGGGTTTTGTAAGCCTTTGTAACCAGGATGAAATGCGCTGCAGCCTCCGGGTCATTGGGGTTTCTATCAGGATGGTACCGCAGAGACATATGTCTGTATGCCTTCTGAATCTCCTTCTTAGTCGCCCCAACGCTAATACCGAGGAATTCGAAAGGATCGAACCTCTTAATATTTTTTGAGGTATCGATGCCTTTGATCAGGTAGAATACCAGATACCAGAAAAACGCTAGCGCAAGAATTTGCAATATGCGTCTAGTATTTAGGTAATCTTCCACAACGAACTTGCGATTGCGCTCTGCTTCTCTCCGTTTGCGGCAGAAAGAACACCCGCAATGGAAACATGATGACGACCTGGATTCGACGTGGTTATCTCTAAGTTTAAATTTGGATTCCACAGAATTACGCCTAGGCCCAGTCCATTGGTATATACAATAAATGGTAATTGGAACTAAAAAACACGCCAAAAACCCACTTGTGAAAACGCGCGACGCGAAGTCGTCGTAGGATAATAACGGATCCGTACGACTACCGCGCGTGAAAGTATCATGGAACTGCGACATTACGCGTCTTTTACGCGATTTACGGGCTGGCCGTGTTTGAAACTACGCCTAGAGAGAGAGCTGTTACAACGCCGCAATGCGCCCAACTACGTAGCCGCGGGTACAGTGCAACATCCTTATCGGACATCTCTACAGTCCAAAAAGATGTGATATCGACATACAATTATGTATAATAGGAATAGATTACGATTATTACGCACGTCTGTTGTCAATTTGACTACGGCTAAAGGTATATGCGCCGCTTATAAAGCAACGCAACGTAATCCTATTTGTTTACACAACGCCGGATGTATTGATCGATCGACTGTCAAAGAATGTATTTTGTATTTCAATACTGTTCGTTCTTCAGTCCTTACACCTCGCCGAATCTGTTACAACAAATAACCACGAACAACTGATGCTTAACTTCCGCTGGAATACCAGCATACCATAATCCATTAAAGAAACTAACTCAATATTCATCTTTCACTTCATCTTGTAGGAACATCACGCTAATTTTCTAACGTGGAATCAACAACTTTCATACCCAGGGTGCTACCGCACAGTGCTCACACATATCGTGTTGGCCTGCATAAAAGGCCTCTAAACAGATTTCTAAGCTTAAACCTCCAGCATCCCCACCTTCCACAACGTGAACCAGTTCCGTTGCGCAACAGCTTAGTAGATCCAGCTTGGCTGAATTCATTCGTACGACGTGGAATAGTAACAGGTGTATCCATTGATGAGAGAATTGGATCGTGGAACGTAGGAGGTAGTAGTGGTGCCTCTTTATACGGGGTAACAGTGGTCTTTGCAGCTGTTCCCTCAGTGATATGCTTATTGGCATCTTCTGAATTCCCAACACTGTTCACTTCAGTAGACTTGTCACAGTCAACGAAATCGATGTTTTTACGGGTGGGAGCAGTGACAATGGATGGCCTCACGACGGATACAAGAGGTACCTTGGGTAATGTCGAACGCTTAGGTACGGCTCTTGGGCTTTCCATGCTGCATCGAGGGGTTGCCAGTGGTGTTAGTAGCTTAACTTCATTAGGATCTAAATAGTAAGGTTTGAACCGTTCATCCATATACAGGGCCTTGTCAAGCTGCTCCCAAATGCATCCACGTGGCTCATAGATTGCGTCCGCCATAAGGGTGAAAAGGGTGTCGTCGTTACATGTTACCGTTAGGAAACGGTTTTGGTGGAACACTGCGTTGAATGAGACGGCTTTGGCATTGAACTCGGCCCTGATTAGTTGCAGACCCTTTTCGGTCAATTTCGAGGGGTACTTCTTAATGAAAGCATCTGCTGCGGTCGCCTCGGGCTCATCAAAACGTACTCCTTCCATCTGCTGACCGCGTTGATAAAGCATCAGGTGATACCTCAGCTTCTCGAAAGTGAAGGATTCCACATTCTTGTAACGCGAGCCGGCAATGCATCCGTGGAAAACTCGAATGCACAAAAGTGTCATAAGTTTGGCAATATCTGCATCAAGTGAAACGGTTAAAGAATTCAATCGGCACTTCGGTTTACAGCCGTGCTCCATCTTCTTCACTGTGTCGACAATCTGCACATAAATGATGACACGGAGAAGGATGACTTACCCATTGTGAATCCACACGTTTTACCAACGGGATGATCAAACTGCACAACTGGTGGAAGGAAATAGACGTAGTACCACTGCTGAGTTGTATCTTTCTCCTGAGCAACAAAATATTAGCTATGCAGACCAATAGGGAGTCCTTCGCGTCATTGTACAACAAGAATGGAGTGACACGGGAGTAATGGCGCATCCATTTCACGTTGTAGGACGGAGCGCTATCTTTCGGCATTTTTCCAGGGTATTGAGAGCTCAAGTTCTGTGTAATGTAGTTTTTTCAAACAACAAAGTAACAATAACAATGCAAAAAATGTTTTGATAAAACTAAAAAAGATTAAACACAAAACAAATAATTAAATGTATATATTTCTCTGGTAGCAAGCCAGCAAGGCGGGGGCGAAGTTGCACGTGAGTCAGACACCTCACACAATGAACGATCGTGACGCCATCATGGCTGGCGCTAGGCTGCGAAAATTTTAACCCGCATGCGACTTTATGATTTTCGTAAAATTAAAATTAAGGGCGCGCGCAACACAGCGTCCTCGAAAACCTAGTAAACAGTTCCTGTGCCGATGATTCCAGAGAGTTGAACCAATGGCGTGTTTGTTCCGCCAGCTCCTGAGAAGCACCAATAGATGGGTTTAGACGAGAGCGTAACCACTTTTCTGTGTATGCCCAGTACACCCTAAATGCATCTTCTTCGCGGGGAACGGAATCTATGTCCGGCACATCATCTAATCTTGTTTCACAACGTGAAGCGAAAGATGCGTTAGGTACAACAGGCATAGGTTTCTCTTCGTAGGTTTTTTCAGTTGAAATATTTCTTAAAATCTCTCTCCAAGCCTCAGGGCCACGGGAAACTATTGAACTGGTACGACTCAAAATGTCCACTATTTTTTCACCGCTTGGGTCGCCACAATAGGTCAGTAATGCACTGAGGTTGAGAAGCTTAAATATGCTCCATACGGTAGTATCATGGTCAGTCCATTTGTCAAGAGCCTCATTAATAGTGTCAACCATCCACATGCCGGTGGGTAATGTTGGCATGTCCATAGGTGAGCGATCTTCTACAACACGGAACTCGTTGCTCTCAAGAATCTGAGGTTCACTGTAATCACCTAATCCGAGACAACCACGAACTATTGGTTGGCATGTTTGACATTCAGCGGGGATAGCGAGGCAGTTCTGTGCAATGGACGGAACTATTTCACTTACACATTTCAGTGCAACATCCTTATCGGACATCAGTTCATGCAGACGTGTATTGCAGTAATCCTGTAACTTAGCGAAATCACGAGTAAAGCTGCGACGATCCTCAATGGGTGCCATATTGAGGTCCTCGAGGTACATAACAAGGACATCATCTTCTTTTTGTAAAGTAACCTTGTAATCTTCACCTCCTTCACTAACTTGCGAGTAATCTCGTTCTTCAGAGATTGCCTCGGGTGCCTGCTCATTGGAGACAAACTGCACACTCAGATCACCGGATCCCGAAATGTATTCATCAGATGTGTCAAAAACGCCATTACGATCAATATCACCACTCATCTCAGCGGGTGTGTAATCAATCAGCTCGTCGTTAGTAAACTCAGTATCGGATTCATCTACCACAATATCGCCGGCCGGGTGCGAGGCCCCTGCGACCGACTCCTTTACACGGCGACGCGACTTACACATATGTAATTTCATCCCGCAAAAAAATAAGCGAGTGTTAGTTAGTCAAGCGCCATTTGTAAGGTAAAACGCGTGCACACCAGCACCCCCAAGCGACACGACAGTTAAAAGTACAAGATCATGGTCACGCAATGGTTGGCGATTCTTCCATAAATACTCATTTCCATGCAGTTCAAACGCGTGGAGTTGGGAAATGTATGCCTAGTAGGTGCGAAGGATAGAAAATCCTTACGCTCCAAGTCGGAAAAGGCATTTTTGATAGAAGGTGTGCAAAGCGAGTGCCTCTTTCCAGACAAGGCAGTTCTTAGCTCAGCAAAGATAGCAGGTACACGCCATGCTGTCTACATGGTCGGCGCAGACCCATGGCTTGTGCAGCTACAAGATGGGCGCATGTTCCCTACGGTAACCATATATTAGACAACATCACATCACACTTAGATTTACGCCCTATGGAATGCACCGCAGGCGCTTCCTATCATCAAAATACATAGACCGGTCCTCACTTATATAATGAGAGGAGCCCACCTCATGATCCCAGGAGTGCTCAATTGGCCTTGCAACATTGCAGCTGGGTCTATCGCAGCTGTTGTAGTCGACGGTGACCCGTACGTTACAAGATACCTTATATGCTATATTTATTCAAACAGAAACCCAGTGGCGGTTGGAGTATGTGAAAGCTCGGTAGACGATTCTGGGCAAGTACGCACAACTGGACGTGCTTTGGAGGTTCTGCATTATTACGGAGATGGGTTGTGGTAGGTCAATGCAATTTTTGTGTGCATTGTTATTATAGGAAATTGACCTCTAAACCTTTTCCAAGCAGAGAGGACCTGTCTGGGGATGCAGATGTGGAACAAAACAAAAGTACTTCAACGACTAAAATTCCGGATGAAGGCACCACAACATCACAAATAGTATCGGAAGAAGCTGTAGCCGATAACACTAAGCCATCTTTGGAGGCCATGGAAACGTCGTCAAACAGAGAATGCGAGACCTCGGGTGAAACAAACGATCACCGTGTTGACACTCTTGGTGGAGACGAGGCCAAACTAATCAGCGGGATAAAAGCCATCTATATCAATGACACAACAGCAGGTGCTAAGGGCAAAAACGCCGATTTACCGACGTTCCCTCAGAAACTTGTAGACCATGTATTACGACTGTGTTTCCTACAAACCTTACACGGTATTACAGATGCCCAATTACCTATGGAGATAAGCGCTCTTTACGGAGAGATGGTGGCATGCGGTACCAAGCTGCTGGCTACGTCAGTGTTTAAACGTGCGCTAAGAGAGGTTGACCCGTGCGAAGTTGCACCGGAAAACGCGACTCAACTTATCTCATACAAGAGCTCCTCGTCCAAGAAACTCATTAAATTGTTTCAGAACTGGGCTAAGGAGGGGCTAATTTCACTGAAAGAGTCAAAGGGCACAGGCACGGTGGTAAATGTCAACCGTAGCAACGAGCACTTCGTTAAATTCAAGCCTTTCACAGTCCCACAGTCAAAGGACAATGATGCTCCAAAGGTAGAAAAGATCAAGGTTAAACGATACCTAGCCTTTTCTGCAACACAGCGAAAGATGCTGGCTGAAGTGGGTGTCCAGGTGGACAAAGAGCCATTGACCCTGGAACTATTCAAAAAGGTCATTATAGATCACATCAGTAACGATGGAGCTACCATTTTGAAACATGTTAACGAAGCAACGCAGTACCACCAGATAGTCAAGGGCGACGCGGTTTCAGCCATATGCAAGGGGCCGGCGCAACCTGTAACCATCACTGTTGAACCTAGAGGCAATAGGAAGCATGTAACTACTATCAAAGGGTTATTCAACTACCTTTTTGATGCTGAAGAGGCAACGGTGGTGGAGGCTCTGAGGCGTAAATTCGCCAGTTCAGTGTCCGTCTGCAACGGGGTCATCACTATGCAGGTGGGTACTATTGGCACTATATGCATGTTCATCAGGGCAAGGTAGCTATTGAACGTGAGTTAATAGAACAGTTTGGTATGTCGCAGCAACAAATTAAGCTGGTGCAACGGGGCTAAAATGTCATACGGTAGTGATTGTTCTCGCTCTTGGGTTTGACTACTTTCTCCCAGTTCTGAACAAATATTATGCAAACACAGTTCAACATGCCTTGCATAACAGGTCATATATCATACTGTAATTATTTCTCATATCTACATTCGTTATCTTGATGTGTATCCATTCCTTTTCATCTAGCTCGCGAATTGCCTGTACGCGGGGCGTTTGTAACACGTGTGATAGACCCTTACCTCGCTGTAATCGCATACATTAGGATACTTTATGACCTTGGTGCACAATTTTGCCCTGCTATGCGTGTAAACCGTCGTGATGTAGGCGTACCTTGCCATGTAGTACTTCACGATGGAGTCAAACAGGTTGAATGCTGTATCCTCCACACGCGTCAGCTCCAGTATTACCTCTTCTTGAATACCAACACCAAAATTGTTCCCGTCCTCTATGCGCGGGACGTTGAGTTGTATCCAGAGCTTAATGTTGCCGATCTAAAACGTTGTCAAGAGATATCAGGCCACGGTTAAAACATGCTTCCAGGTTTCCGAAGTAAAACGGGGATGTGATTACACGAAAATTGCGCACTTACAATCTCTATTAACTCGGATGCTTCAGATTTGATGGCCTCAAGCTCATCCAAAATCTGTTTGTGGGATGGCGTGATAATCCTGCCATTTTCTAGCGACTAAAAAAATGTATGTAGCAAGCAATAACCTTACCTCATCTATAGTACGTTTAGCCCTTTTGCCATCAGAATCATCGATTGCGGAAACGCGATACGATACCGTGTCAAGGTCCTGCGCGTGAAACAGGCCACCTGGCGACGACTTCTCCTTCTGTACAACTCTTATATGGGCAAATACAGCTTCAGTCCTACCACAAGCTTGCTGAAATGTAATATCTTACGCGGTATACGCTCGCGTAAGGAGTCAAGTGCGAGACGTGTTACCTCCTCCTTGAAGGCACGGTGCTGCTCCTTGACGTCCGAATCAACTGGATCGACGGACAAACCGTTAAGTCTTTTGTCCATCATGAAATAGTAGGTGTACGATAAATGAAATAATGCCGTCGATTTCCATTTTGTCTGGGGCCTCCGTAGTGGGTTACACATTTCAATAGGACGAACAATCAACACCTCAACGAATCACCTTATAAAACAAATTAAGGGTTTATAACTATTTGTAGCTCGTTTTCAAACACATGTGCGCATCAATGCGAATGAACATGACCAACGTCGCCGTGGCAATTGACCACGATTTGCTCATTTACTAGCTGCTTTTGTAGCATGCATCTAATTCTACACCGCCTTATACGACGAACTACCACTTCTCACAATAGTGTGTCTGGTATATTATCTGTTGAACGAAGCATTGATGCCTAACGCAATCTCACGTCTATATTGTGCTCAAGTAGTACAGTAGCGAACCATTACATTATGCGCAAAGCGAGATGTTGTCCCCCCATTGACTCAGCTAATGCATAAAATGATGTGTCATTCAGTCACGCTAAAAGTGACTCACATTAAAACACATCCACAGTAGGGATGGCTTTGTAACGCCCGTAGCAACAACCAGGGCATCTGATAAAATACATGCTTGTATAGGCTGATCAGCCATAGTAGCGACGTATAAATTTGTTAGCAACCTAAATAGTACGAAAACTCCCAATCAATGGTATGCGTACTTTGCACCTGGGCAGAGTTTACCTCCATTAGCATCCAACCTAGACTTGAGTTGGTCCGTTGCAGCCAGAACTAGACCTAAGAACGGTGGGCTAGGTTTGAATGGAGTGGATTGGAACTCTGGGTGAAACTGTGTCGCAAAAAAGAAGGGGTGTCCCGGTAGCTCTAGCATCACCATACGTTTCCCGCTTGGATCACTGCCTGAAAACACCATACCGCGTTCTTTAATGCGTTCAACAAATGCTGGGTTTACCTCATACCTGTGGCGATAACGTTCATGAACAATTGTTTCGTGGTCATACAGCTGATATGCTAACGATCCTTTGGCAACAAGTGTATCACGGACACCTAGCCTCATGGTACCCCCTTTTGCGGCATCACCAAGGAACTCTGGCATCGCAATAATAGCTTGTTTCTCTTCAGGTGCATCAACCATCTCTCCGTGTACCGCATCACTATCAAACTCATGCACGAAATCCAAAACCGCAAGCTGTAATCCCAGGCATATACCAAGGAAAGGAGTACCCGTAGTCCTACAATGCCTAATAGCCATCATCTTACCACGGGTACCTCTGTCTCCGAACCCACCAGGTACAACAACCCCTGATACATCCTTTAACAGCTCAGGTACCTTGGAGGGATCACTTTCAAGTTTTTCAGCTTCGTAGAAGACCAGGTCGAGTGCGTAACCTGCGTCCATTGCAGAGTGTTTCAGGGCATTCATTACAGAGAGGTAGGCGTCATTAGCAGCGTTATACTTGCCAATCAATGCAATTCTAACAGAGCCTTCAGCACTTTGTACAAATCTACTCCAGCTTGACAGTGTGTACAATTTGGGTAAAGGTGGGTCCATTTTAGGAACGAAATCGAGTAATTTCAAGATTTTCTGTGCAACATCCTGTTCATCCAAGATTATAGGTACATTGTAGACATGAAATGTGTTGTGTACACTGATAACGTTTTCTACCTTTACTTGGGTGAAAAATGCAATCTTTTCTCTAACGCTTGGAAGCAACTCAGTTAGACATCTTCCAAATATCATGTCTGGTTGCACGCCACGTGCTCGTAGATTCTGCATGCCGTTAAAAAAGATGTGTGACCATCTATACATACCTTGACCGAATGCTGCGTCGGTTTTGATTTCTGCTCATTACTGCTCCCAACGACTGGTACATAGGACAAAAGAGCCAGACATACATTATGACTACCTAGCCTAAGCTTAAGTTGGCGTGCTGCTTCCATGAATATCTCTGACTCAATATCTCCTACGGTACCACCTATCTCCAGCATACAGAGTTCTGGCTTGCGCCATCCCATGCGGTCTACCTGTTTTTCACTGACGCTAGTAACCCAATCTATAATCTCGTCTACAACATGGGGGACCATCTGCCGATGCTTATTTGATCTGGAGTTCAATCCTACCTGTACCGTTTTACCGAGATAACAACCACGACGTTCCTTCTCGAATACACGTGTGAAGATCTTTCCAGTGGTGATGGAATGATCGCTAGTCAATTTCAGATTCAAAAAGCGCTCATAGTTGCCAAGGTCAAGGTCACCTTCACCGCCATCCTCTAGAACGTAAACCTGTGGATTCCTAAACTGGCATCATTCACACACCAACCTCGCCATGCTCATGAGGGGACATTGTGCCAGCGTCTAGGTTGAGGTAAGGGTCAATTTTGATTGCGGTACAGGAGATGTTGAACGACCGAAGAAGAACGCCAAGGCTACTCATCACGGTGCCTTTGCCAACACCGCTCATGGTGCCACCAATAACCACGAAAAATTTCATTTTTACATAAACACATAAAATAGCAAATGCGATAAATTTTTGTCAAGTTTGTTGTATACAGTCCACGCGATACGCATGATCAATTAGACGAGCATATAGGGCCCCGTCGTTAAGAACCAGACACGCCGCGATTGGCTGAAATTTTTTGACGGAATGTTCAAAATACAAATCACACACCTTTAGCGCCATTAATAAGACAACTTTGCAGGAAACGCTCGCGGAAAAAACGCTCGTACGGGACTAGAGGTGAACCTTGCATATCACCTGAGCGTAATGAGCCTAGAATGCAAAGATTCCTACCGCCGTGAGTGTCATAATATTGACGCAATGCAACTACATATATTTTAAGCATAAATTGATCTACTTACGCAATGTAGGCACATCCTCTGGCCTAAATGTGCCAATCTTCTCGGGCTCTAGAGGTACACACACCCTTCCTGTAACGTTTGACGGTGCATTCCTCTACCACTAGCTTACCTGTCTTAGCATGTATACAAAACGGTGCCTTCAGTAAATGTCCCGTATCCTTCGTCACTGCCGCATCCAGCCTGGGGTAGGAAAAGGCAAGTACCAATTCTTTGAAAGCAGCTGGAAATGAGTCATGTCTTCCTACAGTGGAACGTTTGTTGTTACGATAGTCGGACGGTGTGTCAACATCAAGCTCCTTGCACAACTCCGTAAACAAAACAACCGAATCAGGCACCGCCCCGTTGATTGCTCGTTGTAGTACTTGACGTGCCCTGGGATAACGATCAGTGATGTACTCCAGCGTTGACTGCAGATGATGCGGTACTGAAAGGAAGTTCTGGTCACGAAGCAGCTCATCGAAGTTGCGATAACAGATGTCAAACGCCCGATTAACAGCCGGGTGGTCTTCCGTGCCGAATAGATTCGCACGTTTTTTGTGGTTATCGGCAGAAATCAGCGTCAAATAGTCAACTATAGCGCTACGTGCTTCGTTAGGAAGCGCACGAGCTTTGGCATCACACACCCAACCGTGAATGCCACGACGACCAGAGTATACCCACATTATCTCCTTGAATCCAAAATCCTCAGTCAGACTACGAGTCAAAATTTCAGCTGCAATACTGATAAAGCGCCAACACTTGTGGCAGATACGTTTATCACTGCAACACGTACGAAGGTCATCGTAATCGTTCATATCAATATCAAATACCAACTCGCGCTCCACGGCGTGGAAGTCACTACCGCTAAGTTGCATCAGAGAAACCGGCTTGTTGTATATAGCGCCTGCAGGGTATATAAGACGGTAAGGGAAGGATGGCATCGTAACACATGTAAGTTTACGTTCAGGTGTTGCGCAGACAACACATTACGACAGAATCAAGTTCAACCGTAGGACACAGGTAATAGGTACGACTGGAATGACAAGTTTAGGTTTTTATTAACTAATGATGACCAGGATTTAGCAACATGGAAGCCGACAGCACCGGGGGTGTGATATTCAGCACTTACCAATATCCATCTTGTACGGTACACTGTCACGGCCGCTTAGGGCATTTTGTAGCTGTTGGTGATTCTCAAAGGACTGCCATCGCATATAAAATTCAGAAACGCTGTCGCCCGTCTCGCGCTGAAATGTGAAGGAGATCTCTCGACGCGGAAGCATACCGACGCTCTTCTCTCCTACAGCTTCTCAAAATCATGAAAAACACGACACAAACCTTCGTATGACAACCATCGTACCATGTCACGTACTGGGCAAAGCTTCTCTGCAGCGGATTAACAGAAAACGACGTCGACACACCGTAGTAGAATCTAAGATTAGATTCGGTCACCACCGCATCATCAGAATAAGCCATACTTAAAATGTCGGTGCTGCGAATTACAAATGTGACGAATTATGTTAAATGTGTAAGGGACGGTGTTAGGTCAAAAACTCGCAGCGCGTGGTTTCGATCCACGGACCTGGGGGTTATGAGCCCCCCACTCTCCCTCTGAGCTACGCTGCGCCAATGAATCGGCTGAGATTTCGCTCCATAACCTAAATATGCCTAATTGAGCCGTCGCCCAACCCGTGTCTAGAATACCCCCGTACAACGTTTATGCATGATTGAAGTTATAAGTATCGTCACCGGTGTCATTCATAGGATACTCTTCATCCTGATATTTTGAACGAGGCATAAGTATGAAGCTGTGCCCGGCGCCTCGATAACGTACAGACACTTCTGCGATCTTGGCCTTGTATGGCGTTCCGTCTGAATACCAATAGTGAACCGAATGTGACCGGACTAACCCTGATTTGGTGGAGTGTAGTATGATAGGCTGCCTATGACAAGTGCCCGATCACCAACACTGTACATTTATTGGTTATGTACTAAACAACATACCGTGCTCGGGAGTGAACATAGTCCACATTTCCTTGGCCGTACACAACTATCTTGTGCCATTGAGTTTTAACGGTGCCTGACCTGCCACGCTGCGCCAGATGCAATAAATCAAAGGTCAACATGCCTCGTTAGTGGCCAAAGCAATTCGAATCGCCCTGAAGTCAGTGCCGATGGTGATGGGTTGATCAACATAGCCGATGTGTCCACAAAGTGTGACAGTGTTCACGCTCGGAGTCATCTGTAAATGATTATTGCTGTATTATAAACACCCACAGCATCAGAAGCGCGGGGCACATCGTCCATCAAGTAACCTGGTACATCAGCATGTTGATTCTCACCCTCTCCAACGCTTACAGAGTTATAGGCATCACTATGTACGTTAAGAGGACGAGTGGGTATGTAGAGCGGATAAGGGGCGGATAAGAAGCCTAAACCTGTGATAGTCGATCGTGTACGTACAGAGTGCGCAGACGCAAGCGTTATCGTCATATAAATAAGCATAAGTGCCGTGCCACGGCATCTATGTGTGTTATTCATTTTATTGCGATAAAGTTGCGATGCAGAAGGCAGTAGACACCAGAAAATAACGCGCATCAGACCCCTACACCTCTAACCAAATAGACGCTGACGGGCAGTTTCTGGATCCTTCGTTTTCAAAACAGCACGGATCTCCTGCAAACTCTTTATAAAAATCGTAAATTGGTATACCTCTAAATGGTGACCGAAATGGTTGAGCCGCTCCTTCAAAACGTTGTACCGATAAGTAATGTTTTCTACAATGCGGAACTCGTTAGCTCGTTGTAATGAACACTCTAGAAGGTCTATAAACTTGTATTCGGCATTCTGGAGTGCATAAGAAACAGAAAATGCAAAACCTACCTGAACAAAGCGGAGAGTCCCCTCACCACCGTCCAGGAAAAGCAATGCAGAGAAGAATCTAAAAGTAATTTTCAACACGATAACTGTTTCTACTTACTCGCTTTCAATGCATGAGACTATCATTTTGCCAAGTGTGTCGGGATATAAGTCGAAATCTACATTGAGACGTTGTACTTCATATATCTTTTTGTAATCTTCTCGGGTCACCCTGTACGCTTATGAATCAAAAATAACATAGAAGTAGGCTGACATGTATAAAACTTTAGGTAAATTAATGAATTATAGGATAAATACTTAGCAGATAGAACATTATGAAAAATAGACGGATGGAATTCCGTATTAATTGGCCATAAATAGACATACCGATGAATATAGTTGAAGAAGAGGTCAGCTTCTGAGGTGATCTCCAGCTCTACAACATTAGCCTGTACCACTATTACGAGTATAGAGAGAACAAACTTACTCCATGAACAACTTTGAAGTTAAGCAGGGTCTTAGTGCCTGTTATCTCTGATGCTACGCCACGAATCTCTGCCTCGCATTCCCGAAAAAGATAAATGGACATGCCTTCACCTGATACAACGTGATGGTATATATGTGTAGGATTCGTCCGTACCTACAGCCGGGTCAGAAATCGAAGGTCTCACGGTAGGAGAGTTACACACCCCCACCGTGCAAGGAATTTTCTCCATTAATAGTATACACAGCAGAGTAATAAAATTTTAGTGAGATTGTGTATTGTGATACACACCTATTGGCGGCATTATTTGATCTCATTGCGCCGCACATACGGCACTGCGGTAGTAACCCCAAGTACACCCAAACAGTATCTGATATCATATAATCAACAACCCAGATGACTTTATCCGATAAAATGAATGGGTTTTTTTAATTTGGTGAAAAGGCTGCCACTGAACTGCCTCCAGTTGGCATTCAGTCTATTGTCTCGAACAATAAAACTAGCAGTCTTTGGTATAAATGGCATAGGGAGGCGCTTACAACGCTTAGTTGGCGGCGTACTACGTGATATTACATCTGAGGCCCAAAATGTGCTCATATTAGGTACCAGAAATGCTGGTAAGACCGCGTTGCTGTACAGAATCAAATTGGGAGAGTTTATATACACGGTAGGCTAAGGGTGAAATGTAAAACACACGTCATAGGTAACCACGAACAGCTTCATTGAAGAAGAGTGTAGTTTGTGTTGCCAATGCCTTACACCGGCCGATATATGTGTCCATCGTGATATGGACCAAGTGAACACACTGCGTTTGCACCTCTGCGAAGTTGGACTCCTAGACGAGAACGACGTCATTGAAGATCGCTTGAGGGTAAGATAGTTAACGTTCCTTAATCAAATCCACACAGTTTGCCGCCAAAATCATATTTGTACTCGACGCATCCGACAAGGCATCTAGTGTATCCGCATTACATGATATCGCAAGTATAGTAACACAACACAACTTCTTTCACCAAACGCCAAAATATGTCATTTTCAACAATAAACAGGTACGTGTCGCGCTATGTTTACACAACACCCCTCGGTAACCGAAATGGTTGAGAAAATAACACCATAGTGGTCAATAACTAATGCAATTGACAAAAATGCAGGATGTTAGTGGAAGCAATACAAAATGTCTATTGCCTGACATAAAGCTGCCAACTCATCTACAGGATAGGTGGGTAATCTACTGAACATACATTCGAATTGACAACACATAGGGCCATCTGGGTCGATGGAAGCGCACTCACCGGTCAAGGCGTGGTCGATGCTCTGACATTCCTGTTGTTGGATGAGCCACAACGGGGCACAAATGGTAGTGGTCGCAATGTTGTCGACCTCATTCAGCTTAACTAGTGTCACAGCTACGTAGCTATTACATTGGACCGGATTCGGTCAGAAACGAAATCACAACTCTGTTTTCAGACAAGAGTACCTGATTCTAAGACATCATTTCAACACTATAAATCCACTTGCCTTGTCCCAAAATTCCTTCAAGCTGAATTCTGATGACGTATCGTTACCATCTGTTGCAGGTGAATCCACGGTAATGGTCACACATTCTAACCTTGTTCCTCAATCTACAATAGCACTGTTATTATTCGAACTAATGCACACACCTTCACGTCGGTAACAGAGACAGACAGCGCGGAAAATATCGCGTCAGTGAACCATAAGAATAGACAGAGGAGAATCCTGCAGCACCTTGGTGAAAATGTCATCGCAATTGTTCTACCGGAGTTGATAGAGAATAAAAGTTGTAATATTGAAATAGAATCGAACAGGTGTCAGTAATTGGAGAATACAAAAACCTACAGTGTGTGGTGGAAAGCACTGGTTTAAGATGGTAGGTCTTCGTGCACATAGATACATCAACATACCAGTGCAGTTGGTACTGTGTCGTACTTGTGCCATCTTGTATCATTTGTCTCTTTAGTTCAGCGAATCATGATAAGAACGCTGCAACACATCCCTTGTGTATAGATGTTCATATTTGCATCATTTAACAATAAATCGTTTAGCAGAAATATTCGTCCCCAACTCGGCTACCATTCGCGCCGTCGGAGCTTAGGTTCCATAAAAAAATTGCCAGAGGAGCATTCGGCTCTGTATACCTTGTCACGGATTCTCACGGCCTGAAGTATGCAGTTAAACGGACTCGCAAGTTGTAAGTGGCGTCTGTCACCTTGAACTATGATCTAACAGTGGTATGAAACGCTCAAGGGAACTTATCAATCTTGGACTCTGCAAAAATGCAGAGAATGTCATGCAGTACTTGGGAACGTTCTACACAAGGAACCAACACGGGATACTTACGCAAAATTCGATTTTCGAACACGTTCCATACAACTTGCGTGTATTCATTCGCTTCTTAAATAGCAGATTCAGAATTTTGGAAAACGGTAACAAATTCGATGGTTATCTTTTAAATTGATCAGATGTGACAGCGTCAAGAAACAACGACCCAAATATGACACTGTTACGGCCTGAAAAGAGTGAATTCGACCATATCATAGTACGAATTTTATGGTTAGTCCTATGTCGTCTAATAAAATGTAGTATAGTCACGTCGCGAACGGAATTTTGGAATTACATGAACGTGGGTTGGTCCACCGGGACCTCAAGCCAGACAACATACTGGTAGGTTACGTCATAATATGTGTACAACGACCCATGACTTGGAAATGTCGAAGCATCTGTTTTAAAATAAAAAAGGGGATTCAAAATGAGTGGAGTTATGTACATTCGTGTTGTATGCTTTCATTAGGTATTGCCATGAACAAATATGGAGCAATTCTGATCTTTGTTGATTCTGCCCTATTGACAGTAATGTCAAACCATAGATGCATCTGTGCTGTATACCTATCCATGGATGCATTCTAATGAAATCGCAGATTGATGACGATAAAATACCTAGGATGGCAAAAATTTGTGATCTAGGTATGGAACCACATATTTGGATATATTGATACACGATAAACAGGGTCGGCAAAAAGGATAAATCGGCTATGTATCACCGCTACCTCTGAACTGGACCTTATGCAGATGCCATCCACACCGTACGTATGTTCGCGTTGGTATCGTGCACCAGAACTATTGTTCGGGCGTACTTTCTATGCGGTGGGTTATGCATGGGCATGTACATTGTATTCATACATTGCATCCTGTGAGATGAGCGTGAGCACCAAAGCCTCACGGAACCATTCACACTCACATCATCAGTCATTACATCTCGCTATGCTTTTTTATCATTTCTACTCAGGCATCGGTGGACAACTGGTGTAGGTTGCGTGTCTTTAAAAAGTAATCGCTTCAGCGTTTGGCTGCATCTGTGCAGAATTGCTTTTACTGAGACCGTTGTTCTCGTCAAACAATCAGTAGGTTTCATACCGAAGTACACAGACTGTCATTGTCAAACAGGAACGATGCGCAACAGGTACTCTTGCTAATTGAAGTATTGGGAAGCCCATCAAAGTGAGGGAATCATGCACTGTCAGCAAAGCGCACGCAGATCCGAATTAAAGAGACTTATTGATGCAGCTCCGAATGATAAGATAGTATGTACGCGATTTTTTTGGCAAAATACCTTGTAGGGAAGACAGTTAGGACTATTATTCGAAGTGACGCAATCGAGGGGCACGCTACGGACCATACTCACCAGCATAGCTAAAGGGTAAAAAACGAAAAGTAGTTACATAGACAGCATGAGTTGCACATCTCAAACTGTGATAATGAACACAATTGCTGTAGAAACCCAAGACTCATGGCTATCGCGAATGTAGCGTACAACTTGTTACGATGGTAAGTTACTGCCATGTTATCTCGTCCTCCACGCTGCACACCCTTTCTTGAACTTTCATACAGGTGCCCAGAAGATAGAATTTCGATGGAAGATGCTGGGAAAATGTTAAACGCTGCGCGTAGGAGTGGGAGATAGAGTAATGACGGTGTAAAAAACGGGAGTAAAATCCAATATAAGGAATATAAACATGTATGAAGGTACCGACACATATTTTGTAGACACATAACAAGAATGTGGTCATATTAGCCTCATAATATGGTACCCAGGTGCCAGAGGTTCACACCCACACACCATGTGTGGCACGGCACTAGTACAAGCGATTCAGATGTCACAACGCACCTTTTTTAAGTTAGCGAACGGCAAAAATAGCCGATTGCATCATGAAGGATACGATATCGCAACTTACGGATCATCGAGGGCGCAAACCAGCATCAAATGATGACGCTGTCAAGTTGCACAATTTTTGCTCTTCACTTCCAATATTCAGGCGAAAGTATGACTGGAAGATGCCAAAATGGGAGCCTGAACAAATTAAAGACTTACACAGAGCTGTCAAGATTCAACTAACAAAGCAGCTAGCCGAAGGACCTTCAGGGCTCGATGCCTCTCTTGGACCTGAGGAAATGCATAAGGCAGGACAACTGATAAAACGAACGGAATCCCTGTTGCTGTACGAGTTGTATCTAGATATGGGACCGGAACGCATGTCCAAAGCGATCGTCAATCTCGTGTGCAGCGATGGATTTCTAGACACGATGGAAGTAATAGAAAACAGTCAAGACGCTTTACGTGCACTCTTTCTTTCAACTGAAGCTGTAACAACAGGGGAAATCGACGACAGTAATGCTCGTGATATCCCGCAACCGGATTCCTGCGTTGACCTAGCACCCCTTTGGTCACTTGTGGCAGATGAAGTTAATGCCAACGTGAAGGGTTCGAGGTGTAAACTGGCCACCGAATGCTGTAGCGTCTTCCTAAATTCGACGCCTGATGGTGTATTGATTGAAAAGGTGACGGACAAAGAGATTGAAAGCCTCCGCCAATACAAAAACACATTACCTGCTGAGGACAACTATCTGAAAAGGTTGGTTACAGAACATCTTGCAACGTTTACACCATTTCTAAGAGGCGCGGAAGTGGCGAAGGAACTAGGGATGACACTATACCAGTTGCTGAAGGCTGACGCAGTCCCAGAACGCGTCTCGAACGAACGCTGGCGTCAAAGTGATGACGAACGCCTCCGACATCTTGTAGAACTACAGGTAAACGCCAAAGCGCGTGGAACCAAACGTTCACACTCAATCTGCTGGAAAACTGTGGCGCGGCAAATGGGCAATAAATCAAACGAACAATGCCGACTGCGTTGGCGATCCATTGGAAATGGGGTAGCATCGGACGAAAAGTTCGACGAAGCGCAGCTGTATATGCTGCAAATATTGTACGCCGTCTATGGTGACAACTGGCACAAAGTTGCCCGATTGATACCAGGGAAGCAACCGCAACAATGCAGAAACAAATTCCTTTCGTCCGTGTCTATGCCAGACAGAACAGAGTACATCAAATACTTCAAGGACCTCAAAAACGCTATCGTCAACCGCAATGCGTCAGTAAACATTAGAAAGTGGTGGGCACGTGTAGATTGGCTGGGTATCAAATTGCTGAAAATAGCAAACATCACGAAGAACGGGCCGATCATGGATGCGCTAGCCATGTTCTACGAATCAGAAGAAATATCAGACCGAATCGACAAATTGTTCGGAGATGAACCGCTTAGTCGCAGCAGGAAGTTAGACAGCTTGGACGTGCTAACCGTGGCGGAATATCTTAGGCAGTATACCTCCCACATGGTCACTAAAATTTTGAATAGCACGGTGGCGGCGCTTCTCCGGGTAAGTAGCACTGCATGAGTTTGCTGAACCGTAATTCAGAAGTCGAAGCCGGGAAGTGCTAATGAATTCGAACATATATTCGATTTGGGAAACGTGGACGACAATAAGTTCGTCCAGTCGCTCAACAGGCTGCTGCAATGTGCGTGGCCGTAGTAATATACACTTTTTAAATCCTGCATAAGTATATGGAACTTAGCTGCTGTACCTACAATAGAGTTGAATGTTGCTCATCGTCACTAGCACAGCTGATTTGTGCCATTCTAACACTTTAGCAACGTCGACACGGTGAGGTAGCCAGTGTGGCTTAGCTGAGAAAGCTGGTAGCACGCGAACTGTGTGTCATCTGTTTCATCGAATCCTATACCCCATGGCTTGCAAAGTATCTCAAATGTCTTTATTTCTGGACGGAGATGCACACCGTTCACAGAACAACCTACCGATGAAGCCAGAATCAGACAAAGCTTTCGACATTCTCTGGGATTGTTCCACAGTTGGTGAAAATGTGACAAGCTTCCCGAAATTTTTCAGGACGGTCTTGGCGTTGTCTAAGGCATCCCAGGGTGAGGGAAGATCGAAAAAGACGGAATCTATAGATGATTCCCATACTGCGCCATCCACGAGAAACGCCCCTGTGGAATATGCGTCGCGGTCATAAGCAGTTATATAATTCGTCAGCTCGACCTCGGCGAAGAAATCTCTGACAAGCAATAGTTGGGTAAGCATACGAGACAAACTCCGCATATTGTTTGCGCTGGTTGTGGAAATCGAAAGTAAAGACGTGACCAGTCGGTGCTACAGTAGTGGCCAGAGTGTAACTTAGGGATCCAGATCCGGTGCCTAACCAGAATGTTTTGGCATGATGAAAATTAATTACCGCATTCCAGTACACGTTTACCAGGGTAAAGGTCTAAAAGCATAACAGCGAGGGATATGTCAGCACGGTACTGTACACAGTTTTTCCTTTGCAAGGCAATCATACCAATATTTGCGTGCGGTGAGTTACTGTACGAGTAATCAGCTCGCAGGTGGGTTGCAGAAGGACGGACCACCTATCAGCAACAGAATCCCAAAAAAACTGCACACATGTCTCATACTGGATGCTTTACATACCTTCTGGCCATATTGTTTCCCTAATACCTTGCGAAGGTCAAAGATTCCACCCTTACGATGCAAAACGCGCTTGTCTTTCACATTAGCCGCTTGTTGCTTTACAGGGATTTCACCTTCGGCTTCCGGAATCTTGCAGCGTATTAAAATTTGCGGCCCCGTATAGAGAATGGCGGCATCGCCAGCTACAATCTCCATCGGGAGTGGTCGCTTTGCGACTGAACAAGAATCCACTCTAACTCCCCACACACGTACAAATGATTCACGAAAAATTACACAGTTAACCGCAGAAACGTCGAATGGTTCTAACACAGAAACGTAATTACTCATATATGTTGTTATTTGTCCTGAAACAATGGGACGCAATCCGAGATTCCTCACGAAGGCCAATGGCGTTAGTAGGTTGCACAGCAAATTGAGTCAAAAATGTTTACAGCGATGCTGCGAGTTATACTGCTCGCAGTGTCTGTAAAATACGCCCATACAGACCCAATCACCTTCACATGTCTATATACCATTAGCCAATTGCTGGATATGGTTGATGGATATGTGTCACGATATTTTAACGAGTGTAAGTTCTGAACGTTGATATGGCACTGTAATAGCGTACAGCTACACTTGTTGGCGCTGCCTTCGACCAGCTTCTGGATCGCATGACTTCCAGCTATTTGTGCTTCCTCAATGCAAAGCAGTACCCTAGGTACCTGGAAGGTACGTTCTACGACTTACGAAATCCCACTGAGCTCTATGACCACTGCTAAAATAGTAGAAGTGGAGTAGGAAAATAAGGAAAACACATTATATGTATGCCCCTGCTAATTGCCGTGCAGCGTTCTATTTGTTGATGGTCGTCGACATCTGTGGACATTGGGTCCACAATTACGCGTATGATTAGACGTCGTTGCCCTAATATTCAGCAGGTGTGCATTATATTCGAGCACGAACCACAAGGACGTTAAGGATGCAAACTGTATTTTGAGGATATACTACCACAAAAAGTGTAGGTCATTTTTACCGGGACTGCGATCCAGTCGAGCGGTGTACGGGTCTATATTATACTGCTCTTACGGTCATTGTGTATTTATTGATGCGTTATTTTGTCTTAAGCATCAAATGTTGAAAAGGTATTTACAATTCTTCAGGGCTCATGTTTATGTCCATCGTTATGTACGAGGCATTCTTTTGCTCCCTATATGTTAGGTCAATGTACCAACCAGGGCATCTCTTCCACAACATCGCTACACAAGTCATGTACATTGCTACGCCGCTATGTGTGTATAAAATTGTAAGTTTGTCGATCGTACAATCTCACTCGCTGGCAGCTAACGAATATTCTGCAAGGGGCGTACGGATGCTCAAGAATCATGCAGTACGATATAGATAGTGTAAAATAAAGCGTACTTGAGTGGGAAAAGTCGCTGCTTGGCGCACCAAACGGGTAGCGCGGCACTTGTACTTGCCCAGACGTACGTCACACACTAAAAACAATAACAATTTTAAGATGAATGACGCCGCCGATTTAGAGCGGAGGGCACGTAAAAGCTCAAAGGGTTTTTTGCAGTTTTTCTTTGGTGGAGACGATGAAGATGCGCACGACCTTTTTAACCAGGCGGCGAACATTTACAAGCAGCAGAAGCAATGTAAGCAGACCAGTCAATCTACATAGATCTCGTTTTCTGTTTTAATTCGTATAGTGAACTTGATTTGGCCGTTAAAAGGTTTCAGGGAAGGACGCGGCCAGGTGCTTCCTGGAAGCGGCGACTATAGGCGAAAAGAAAAATGAACATGTATTTGCCGCGTCGAATCTAGTAGATGCCGCAAACGCCATCCTGAAGAACGATGAACATAGTTAGTCATGAATATGTGAAATCGGCTATCGTCCATCAGGCGTGGAACACCTGGAAGTGTTGATGCGCGCAGCAAACCTTTACAATCGACAGGGTAGATTCTCGCAGAGCGGGCGTATCATGAAAAACGCTGCTGATGACTTTGAGGCCAAGGGGGATCATGTCAACGCTATAGAATGCTACCTCAAGGCGTCAGAATTTTACGAACTCGACGAATTTGGAAAGGTTGCGGGATCTCAGGCACGTTTGAAGTATGCCGAGCTTGCATCGCAATATGCTGGGAAATATACCGAAGCTATTAAGGTATGAGTTGGAACGTGTCGTCACTCAAGTGTACGCAGATATACGAGACCGAGGGACACAAAAATCTCAAGAATCAATTATTGCAGTACGGTGTTAAGGATATATTTCTCAAGGCTGGTCTACTTCATTTAGCTGCGTGTGATGTCACAGACGCGCAAATAGCGTACACAAAATATACCACAGCAGACTCAAAGTTCGCTTCTTCCAGAGAAGGGCGCTTCTTGAAGGTGAGGAGCAGTACTACGTGGGAAAGATCATATGTATACAGGCTATTATAGACGCTTGTGATGCAGAAGATGCGGAGATGTTCCAACAGGCAATGTAAGTTTATTATGGATTCCACCTAACAAGCGCAGAGTGGAGTTCGATGCCATATCTAAACTAGACCCCTGGAAGGTGCAAATACTAGTCAAGGTAGCTTTACAGTTTTTTAAAGAATAAAAATTCACAGATTAAGGCAACATTACCACAAGAGCGCGGTAAAGTAGGGGCACCATCCTCCATGTTACCGCAAGGCGACGATTATGACGAACATGTAGATCTAACATAACTTGAATAATAATCCTTGATTATGGCAAGCGCCAATGCGTATTGGACAGAGCACGTCTCCAAAGATGGGAGGCGCTATTTCTTCAACCAACAGGTGCGAAAGACTCAGGCAACCTAATGAAATGTGTAGACAAAAAAATCCCAATGGGAAAAACCTGACGAATTAAAAACTGAAATAGAACGCAAAATTGAAACAAATACGGATTGGAAGCAATTTGTTACTGCAGAAGGAAAAGTATATTACTTCAACACCAGAACAAAGCAAAGCGTCTGGGTAAAACCGCCAGAAGTGCTACAGGTGATACGAGAACATGAACAACAGGAACTTTCAACCAAGGAAAATGCGAAAAATGCATTTATGAGATGGTTAGGAGAGTTCAACTTCACTCAACGTACAACATGGGACACCGCGGTCAGACAACTGGAAGCGCATGAACGGTTAGTAGATGTTATTGCAAATCAATATGTATAGGTGGAGTAAATTCGCTTTATTGACGAAGGGGGAGAAAAAACAACTATTCTCTGAGTTTACAAGCCAGGCACAGCGGCGGATCCAGGAGGAAATGAGACGCAAACGTGGAATGATAGGCGACCTAATAATAAACGAGTTAGAGAAATGGGATGATCTCACTCCATACACGACATACGTAGAATTCGCAAAGCGATGCAATACACGTGAATGGTGGAACTGGGCAGACGAAAAAACACGAGATGCAATATTTCAGGAGACCATAGAGCGTATGGAAAGGGACCTAAAGGCGAAGGAACGTGAAAAACGCAAGATGAGCATGTCTCAACTGGAAGAAGAAATGGAAAAGGCGGCGAATGATGATTTGCCGTTGTGGGAAAACGTAAAACAGAGTTTTGAAGGTTTTGAGGGGCTCCATATAATCGACGTATTGGAGTGCCATCGTGAGGTGTTCAAGAGGTTGTACCGTCTTCGACTAAAAGAAGCAGAGAAACGTGCATACCGTGCGCAACGTAAACGCCGACAACGTTTCGTGGCATTCCTAGAGGTAAGCAACTCGTATAATATTTTCAGTTACACAACCCTTGGCCACAGCGCAGGTGCAAAGAACATTGTAAGACAGGGGGGGTTAATGGAATTATCTGGCTTACAAATGGACGCAAACATTCATGTCGTTGCAGGATGCAGTGGATAGAGGTGAAATCCATGGAAGAACTACCTTCGAAGATTTTGTTAAGGCACATTCTACGGAGGCCATATACCTAGATATCGTGGGGCAGCCGGGATCGACTCCGTACGACCTTTACAGGGATATCCACGCGCCATTAAGGGTTAGCAGAGACTATATGACCTGTGATACAATACGCGCAGGACGAGTACAAAAGACAACGTGAAAATGTAAAAAAACTTATTGCGCAAGGGATCCTCGATCGCAACGCAACACTAGATGAGTATGTGACCCTGTTACGTTTTTGAAAACTCGTAGGTACGAACGTGTAGCGCTTATGAATTCTGCCTGCTCCAAGCAAAACGTCCCTCTCATATATGAAAGCCTGAAACGCAGCAAACACATATACCAAAAACGGCGATCACATAGCGCTGAAGAGGGAGAAATCTGTCACAGTGAGGAAACAGAGTCAACTGATGATTCGCGCGAAACCCACGCCCGAGGTGGAGACCCCAAGCGCCGGCGACGCGAGCGTTGACACGCACCGGCAACGTGCACGCACACATTTCTTGTCTAACACATTTGATAAACATAAAAGTTAAAATGTATCGTCCTGCCTAGTATCAATTAGACAGCTGCCTTCCGGGACTTCTTAGTGTTATGAAAATGGCGGACGAGAAGACCTATACTGTTTACTCCGATGGTACGACAAAGTAATGCCAAATTAAGGATTCGCAGGGGTATTCGATATGCCGCACCTCGGACATATGAGACAGCTAGAACAGGCGAAAAAGATGTTCCCCAAATGCACACTCAAGGTGGGAGTTACCGATGATGAGGAAACGCTGCAACTGAAGGGACAAACAGTCAATACTATGGCCGAAAGAGCGGAATTCCTACGTCACGTACGCTGGGTGGATGAAGTTATAGCTCCGTGTCCGTGGATTGTCACCAAACAGTTCATGACAACTCACGGTATCGACTTTGTGGCACACGACGATATACCATACTCAACATGCCAGAAAGCAACGAAAGGCATACAAGAAGCAAGTGAAAATGACATCTACGGGTGGTTGAAGGAAGAGGTTAGACACGTGACTTTAGCGTTAAAAAATTACTTAGGGACGTTTTAAGGCCACAAGGCGCACTGATGGCGTATGTACGACGGATCTGGTAGTAAGAATACTACAGCACTACGAAGATTATGTGGAAAAGTAGGTTCGCAGTGCAGTTCTGACTAGGATGCCAATGTAATAACCTAAAGTGATTGGTATTATGCTGCGATAAGCCCTTCGTAATGTAACTACACATGAAATTGTTGAATGAACATATGTTTGTGGTATACAAATTTGCATTGTTCCAAATAGTCATCAACGCTTTGGTTAAAGCGTTGCATATATCACTTGAAGCCGTGGTAGATGACGGGGAATGACTCGAATTTGTGTATAACTGTTTTGCATTATCAAATCGTCATCGTTATAAGGATGCTTAATATCGTAAAACATAGTGATTATGATGCAGATCTATTAATACCGGGGTCAATCCATGTGATCTCAACATTGGCGCTACTATGGCGAACTCCATAAGAGTCAAGAAAAGGTTGAATAAGTGGGTCAGGCAATTAACGGAACAAATTACGTCGACTGATATTTCTATTGTAAGTCTAAGCTGATGTAACCACATAGGATGCAGGGGCATAAATTGGAAGGGAAAATTGAGGAAATACGCACTGGTATTGCAAATTCGCTAGAGCAGTGGGTCGAGCGCTACATCGCCGCGCTGCGTCACTTCGCGGGAGATGAAAGTGGTGCAGATAGCGGAGGTGGTGATGCTACTGCAGCTATAGAGGAAGTCTTCCTAGATGTCCCCAGTGCAAAGGACCACAACTCTAACATGGATGAGTTCCTAGATATTACACCAACCAAGACGAATTTAATTAACCCCTATGAAGATTTTGTTGAGAGTACCAGTTCCAAAGATGCCGGTGATGTAGCAGGAATGACGTCTACAACTGATGATTACGATACTAGGGAAGAGGTCTTCGTCTATACCGCTGGCACTTTTGACATACTGCATTATGGACATGCAAGGCACTTCGAACAGATAAAGAAAAGCTTCAGTAAGGTTCACCTCATGGTTGGTGTCCTATCTGACGATATGGCGGTGAAACTAAAAGGTAGAGTCATGCAGCAGTGCAAAGATAGGGCAGCCGCGTTATATCATATAAGATGGGTCGACGAAATTTTAGAGGCACCACCTGCGTGCATCACAAAAACATTTCTCAAAAAGCATCGCATTGACTATGTGATAGCGTCACCCAACGTAGTATGTGATCCAGACGCTACACGTTGGCTTAAGGAAAATGGACGAATAGTTTGTATGCAACGAACCCCTGGAATAAGCACATCCAATATTATGCTACGAATTCTCAGGAATTACGAAACGTACATAAAGAGGTCCCTTGAAAGGGGAGTTGGAAGGGAGGACCTCAAAATTGGCTTCACAACAGCCAACTCTATCAAGCTGAAAAGCTCTATTGAAAACTGGCAGAAAAAATTCACCCAGGAAGTCCAAAAGGCCACATTAACGGACCATCCAGTTGTAAGTAACTCCAATTACTAATCATCTTGTATGCAGGGGCATGAATTCGATCGCCTTGTGGACAAAATTGTGGAGGTGGTGGATGGTTGGCGCAAAGATTCGAAAGTCATGATCGACAACTTTATCAACCATGTCATGTGGCCGTCGAAAGTCTAACATGTAATCTGCATCATCAAATATTTTGAATAGTAATAAATTATGTGGTAGATGTGTTTAATTCCGTCTAACGAAACATCTAAGCGCAAATCTTGCCAGCTGTAGGTTCATGATGACACACAAGTGTCAACCTACTGTGGATATGAGTTTGAAAACACGAAAACGACGCAGCGTTATAAACCCACAAGAAGCTAAAAAGGCAAAGTAACATGATCGCACAGTTCCATAGCGATTGATTGTCCTGAATATTAATAGAAAATGTGGAACCGACAAACTTTTTTCGTACGCTGTTGAACAGTTTAGTCGCCGAACCAAATCGTTTCTTAAGTACTGCAGCGTTCAGAATAACCAATTCAATGACACACCGTCAAGTATCTCCTCCTGTCGTAGAATATATTTTGAAGATTTCAGCATGGACGATTCTGTCGCATTCATTTGCTTGATTTGATTTAACATCATATTACGCGTGGCCTTCAACTTTAGTACAAGTTCAGACTCATTCTCCCGACCATCGGAACCCAGCGACGAGATGCAACATGCATCCTCTGGCTCGTTAATTCTGATCAGAATCATTTCCAATAAACAGATAAGATTACAGTTGAGTCGATCCATCTGCCTCGGATACGAATGACGACAGACACATCGAATGGTACAGGCGCTCATTTCGAGACCACCACTCGCTCAGCTTGCTCTTATACCTAAAATGCTTTATTGTGAATATTGTGTAACCAACCTCGTCAAGCGTTCCATATAAAACCGATGCAAACCTTGTAGTTTCAAGGCATTCGGGGATGTTGACCCCTCACTCTGCTTGAGCAGCTTACGGCAGATTCCGGCAAATGCACTTATGCGCCGCGACGCTCGTAGACGGAACTGCGCAAATCATGTGAATTTGATTTAAACAATTATATGACGAAAATACAACTTCGTCAATCATGGAACAAGTTTATGGAAGACAAAGGTGTTTGACACTTATCGGTTCGACAGACAACTTTAAACAGTGAAAATAACTTCAGATTTTGCAAAAATATGTGAAACATACCTTATGAATTTGTTGGTGAGTCGTAAAATTCACAGTACTGTCACGAAACAATTCCTCAAGACTGGTGTCAAGCTGGCAGAGCTCATAAGCAACATCGCCTAAATCGATGCTTCCAGATTTGGCGGCTTCTTTCTCGCGATAATAGAGGCTATCTAATTGCTCGGCGGTTGCCATAGGTTTTTTTAAACCATTAGGTATAAAGAATTCGTGGTCCGCATGGCTTGTTGGCATTCGCATACCATGGATCGACGCCATTCTGTCTTACAAGGGGTGCGACGCACCTGATTGATGGCTGGACCTTCTCCTTAATTCATTGCAGATTATACTGTCGATTGCAATTCGATAATATCCACTTTCAGATGAACCGTGTTGCACATAACCCTAAGCAAATCGTGCGGAACAATCTTGGGCATACAGCTCAAAACAAAATATTTCGACGACCAAAAGCCGAACTAAATGATAATTCACACGTAATGTCGCGCTTTAAGGAATTGGAGTACACATCCAAACGTGCTTCAACACATCCCTAATAAGACGGAGACTACTGTCTGCTCCTCTGTGTGCGTCACCAATACAATTGAACAAAATAAACGGTAAAGTGGTCTAATTAAATTGTTCTATACCGAAAATTAGACACAAATAATCGTGCTGCGCATCTCCCAGCACCAAAAAACGCTTGCAGGAAGCGTGCGATTGGATGCAACCAGGTGGCCAATCTTAAGCCCTGTAACACACACCGGTTGTCTATACGTTCAAATGCTGCTATTCTGGGCTGAAGAGATTGCACAGCTCCTGAAATTGTTGTTCGACGATGAACATCTAGACAAACCTGGTAGCGACACATGTCTTTAACGTTGAGAATAACATCGTTCATCAATCCGTGGATTTCACGCTGGCGGTCATCCCAGAAACGTTTGGTAATTTCCTGCCGTCTAGACAATTCTAACAATTGCTGGTCTTTGTCTTCAAGTTCATTCTGTAGCCTTGAACACTCAAGCTGGCTGCGTTGGCAGTCCTTGTAATAAGTTTTCTTCAGCGCCTGTTCCAAGTCGAAATAATCACGATTGATACGTTCGAAATGGTCCTGCAATGCTGATATCGTGTTTTCGGCTTCTTTGAGTTTGCAAATCAGCTCTTCTTCGTTAGTGGACGAAAACGCAACCTTTTACTAATAAGGTAATCTGCGCAAACAACTAACCGCTGTCCTGTGAGTTCCTGTTTCATCACCCGAATCGGATTCTAAAAATATATTAGCACAATGCGTAAAACCCGCGGAGTCTAATTTAAGGAAAGGCAAGCATAATGCAACATACGTGAAACCGTACTATTAACTGATAGCCACAACGTTGATTTCTGATGTCAAAACTACAAAAGATACAAGCGTAAACTCAACATGATGTAAACATATAAGAATTGCCAACGATAATTGTGGCACCTACCTTCAGATGCGGACGCTTCAGAAGGAGACTCAGAACCACACCTGAGAATGTTATAATATATAAAACAAAGAATAACCCTTTTGTAGGTTCTTGAACATGTGCCTGAAAGATATAGCATTACACTAAACACAGACATACCAAACAATCAGAAGGAAGCATATGCGACGATGGCGCTGCAGCTATGTTGGTGATATCCGCCAACTGCACATCTTTGATGCCGATATTATAAATTACACGGAACAACAGTTAAACTAAAAACCAACCTCATAGTAGCTGATATACGAGCCCAGCATATTGAACTGCCTACACACATCCGAACCGTAAAAACCAGTCGCCATTTTAACGTGCTAACGTCTAAACCATTTGATTAGATATTTATGTGCAACACAATAATACACATGGCAACCATCACTCATAATTTGCAAACGCGCGCAGTCGCCTGAGATTGCCCTCGTTGCGGGCCGGTAAAATACCCTCCAATAGCTTTATTATTTCAATCTGCCGAACTAGATATTCTGGAAGCTGGTAATGAGCCATGCCTATTAAAAATCAGACGTATTGCGAAATGTAAACAAACCTCCGGTGTTGTACGGATGCATACACTCATACGCAGAAGCGAAGCCTGGGCTGCGTTCCAAACGACGTTCATTCGTGTAAACGTTAAAGGTGCCTGTGAGATTGGGTATGCTCACGACCTCACGCTCAGTATCGTCACCGCTGTCCTCATCGGATATGAAAGAAAAGGAACGATGGTACGATCGTTCGCGTACACATTGCCGATCGTACAGATGCCGTCGATCAATCCAAATGCGGCCACCACGGCCAATACGGCGCGAAATGCGCAAATGACGGTAACTTTCGTTATCCGAGACGCAATCATCCAGTTTATGCGACGACCAATACCGGTTGGGCATTGGCGACGATTGTAGACGCCATACACTCGAAGACAACGGATCCGAAGAGCTGCCGGTCCTGTAAGATCTGCATAAAGTGTGAAAGGACGCTCAATTCTTCTAAAACGCACCCTCCCCGATGCTTCCTCAGCACTCGTGAGCGTTTGTTGTCTAATATACTACGCCAAAATGGGCATACATAACTGTGGTCTTCCCGTTCACGGCAACGTTGGTCGAACAGCACGACCTCCAACTGTGCCACCATTAACTTTTTCTCGTCGCGCTGGCGCATTTTGCTCAGCAGCTTTAGCACTTTGCGGAAACCGTCGATGATGCGGAACAAACGCAAAATACTTTCTGTTTTTGTGCGACGGGGCCGCCGCAATAGCATCTTATCCTTAGTGCGAGGCCGAAACACAGGGAATGCAGAAGACTCCCACATTAAGGTGACAGGCCAGAGGTAACGGATAAGAGGTAGTGCGTGTTCCGTACGGCGTCGCAACCAATACGCGTGTACCTCACATAGCACATAAGCGGGCACCGCATTACCACTTTCACGGGCGCTCATAAGCGCAACCTCATAGCTGAATACCTTCTCACGGGGGTATTTCGCTGCACCCTTCTCAAATCCGTCCATCAGCAGGCAAAAATCAGCCTGCGTAATAGTAGTCAACACAAAACAAACATACCAAACTCAAAGGGGTATCAGGGCAACGCGAATTGAATGACTCGACGAACGTGAAGTCCTGATTATACAACGTGTAGTGTAGAGAAAGGGTTTCCGATATTCTCACACCTGTTTGGCTATGGCGATCCTGCATAAAACGGATGTACTGCTTTGGGATGACAAATCCCAAATCTTCAATGGTATCATCCTTGTGCATCACTGTAGAAGGAACAATGATGCGACTACGAGAGGTGTCAATCGTATGTTTGGTCTTGTTAATGTTGCTAACTTGACCGTGTAACACGTATGCCGTCAGGGCATCGAGATCGTCCTGAGTCTCATATGAGATATTAGCTTTTTCTGATTCCTATGAAAAAATAGAATTACTCGGTGCATTACACAATTACCAAAAAGCTGTCAAAATCCGATTGCGATCGCAAAATCCGTATGTTGGCAGTGAGATTGACTTGTTTTGTTTTAACAACACGATTTGCGGCGGCAGGCTGGGCTACTACCATTTTCGATAGTGAAAAATCATAATAGATGACTTAGTCCGATGGTCCAAACCGCCTTTGGTGGACGGGCGGAAGCGCAACAACGATTCTGTCCAAGATGTCGCGATGTCATCCCCATTTACAATCCGAATACGACACGTTGTGCGGTTCCACAGTGTATTAAATGTTCTGAAGATGTGTAACATCTTTGTCTGTAATTTGAAGTGCTCCTGTCAGCACAGGTGTGGTTTAATTGAGATTCCCTAACTTCTTTATACGTACCCCAGATTAACGTTGAAATGTGTAACGAAATACGTACACATAACCTAACTAAATGTACGTCCCGTAAACAGACACTATGGTGAAGCGGATCGGCAATTGCAACGACACGCTTTGGGTAGCGTGGGCCGCCTATTACCCGTGTCTTTAGATTTGTTCGCCACCGGAAAAGGTAACGCCAGTTACCGTAGCATTATAACGATTTAAAGATATGACAACTAATTCCGTGCTCGGTGGATCTAACAATTGGCAGGCCACGTGAAGAAACTTTTTTCCCTGCAACTAGCGAAACCACATAACAGCCTCCGTGCTTCAACAGGCCACGCAAAGTAAACTGTAGTAACATTCTGAAACATTTATAAGTATCGTACTTTGATTGTAAATCACGATCTAAGGTGAAGCAGTGGCCAAATGGAAGATTCGGTTAGTTTGAATAGTTACTTTATAGTATTGTTGCAGACCTTTATGGTTACCAGCAATACTGCTGACATCATGAGGTGGTGGATAAAGCTAAACGTGAAGCCTCAGCAAGAATATCCAACATTTGTTAATCTGAAGGCAACAGAAATGGTGAAGCAGATAGCCCAAGTACGCCGAGAATTCGCGTTACACACAAAAAATGCCAATAGTCGTGCAAAGAACCCTAACACTGGCCCTTTCTTGGTTAAGCAAATAGGTAAAGCACGTAGAGTTCACACTTTGCGCGAAGAAGGTAGATACGAAACGCGAAATTCTTAAACACTGAGGGCACTAGGAAACGCTTACATTGTCCATCGCGGCGATTACGCATGAGACTGGTGAATTACTAAAACGATTTTGATTTTTGCATAATCGTATTATTTTTGTCGATGATTTTGAGCATAAAACCAAATGATTGCATGACGTACTGCACATCCATGCAAGCAAGGGTGGATGGCATACCCACGGGCACACATACACGGTAAAGCGTAAAAAAATAGTTGTCAAATAAGTGTTGGCACTTGAGGTATACACATGGCGTCCGAAGTCGCAGGAAATAACGTACAAGGCGGACGTGAGAAACGCGATGCCGAAACTATGCCGCAAAAACGCAGTGTAGCAACAGGTAAGACTGTCGTATGTAAGTCTATCTAATGCGTGAGCAGATGACGAGAACACATCTCAACCCACCGCTGCATCGGTAACAACGGGTCGGTGCTAATTCACAAGATATACATCGACGCAGAACGATCGCATAAACGACACAACAAATGTCCATATTTGGGAACTATAAATAGACATCTGCTAGACTTTGATTTCGAGAAAGTCTGCTCAATAACCTTATCAAACAAACATGTATATGCCTGCTTAGTTTGCGGGCGGTATTTCGAGGGTAGGTCGAATAGACATGACATTGGAATCTACTTTAGGCCGTGGTAAAAACACATATGCCTACACACATGCACTTGAGGAGAGGCATTACGTGTTCATCAATTTGCATGATTGCAAAGTATATTGTCTGCCTGAAAACTACAGAGTCGAAGATGCGTCACTCAACGACATTGTGGTATATTCTATACTAGAAGTGTTTGCACACGGCTTGCAGCTATTCCTGAAGCCTAGTTATACACCCCAATATGTGGCCAATATTGACACGAAAATCGTATATGGGAAAGCCCTTGACGGCACAGATTTCATACCGGGTATGGCTGGCAGTGGTCATAGATGAACACCCCTCAGGGTGCATAGGGCTTAATAACCTCAAGAATACTGATTATTTCAACGTCATAATCCAGGTATAGCTTATGTGTTTGGTGACAATGGTTGTTCTTGCGGGTTCACTAGCAAAAGGTCACAGTGCAACTTCGATGCTTACATGGTTATAGTGTGGCATGCCTATAAAATGCGAGTGATATACAAACGGCATTACAGGTTATATGCTCCATTGCAACTATCCGAAATTATTTACTTCTTCTCGACACAGAAAGAATACAACCACCAGACAGTGTTATCACAACTCTCGTCGAATTGATTAGGAAAATATATAATACTAAAAACTTCAAAGGGATTGTGTCTCCCCATGAATTTCTTCAGGCGGTCGGTGTGGCGTCGAAAGGGGTCTACAAAATAGGAGTACAAAACGATCCAGTGACCCTACTGTCCTGGATAATCAACAGAGTCCATTGTAGACTCAAAAATAAGCGAACAGAAGGTGGGTACAACTCAATGGCCAACGGACCATACGCAGAGTCGGTTATATCTAAGGCTCTCGGTGGGCAATTGAAGGTATCGACGCTGGACGGACAAACTTGGAAAGAAAGTTTTTTGCCCTTTAAAATACTTACACTCGATGTTCCTAGCGCTCCCATATTTAAAGATGCACAAGAAAAAAATGTAATACCTCAAGTTTCCATTTTTCAACTGCTACAAAAATATAATGGGCAGAGTGAACATACGTCGGAAAAGGGAAACATCTGCCGTTACAGATTATGGAAACTACCAGAGTATCTACTTATCAATATAAAAAGGTTCACACGTAATAACTTTTTTTTGGAAAAGAATCCAACGATCGTCTCCTTTCCAATGAAGAACCTTGAGATGGGCACCTGTAAGCGGACACGTTTTTTTACACCAAAATGTAGATGTTGACGAGAATTCTCCTGACATTAACAATCTAGATACAAGATACGACCTTCTATGTAGTGTTTGCCACCAGGGTAGCCCGGCTTCTGGGAGTTACAAGATACATGTTCTACACGCACCGTCAGGAGATTGGTACGAAATGGAAGATTTGCGAGTTACGTCTGTACTACCGCAATTTGTAGCACAAACCGGTAGGTGATCTGTGGTGAATACACATTACGAATAGAATCTTACATACAAGTGTACAAGCAGCAAAAGTTTAATGATGGTGCGACGCCACAACAACTCGCCGAAAACATCAATATTTTCGATTAGAGAATCATTATACACATGAATTCAATTTTAAAATGGCCTTCACTAAAGATGACGAAGACCAGATTATGTTCGATCTCTATGATGGGCTCGACACATTCGCCCAGCAAACAAATGATCGCGCAACAGAGCAAGATGAGCCATTATCTGCCGCAATATTGAATGACTCTAATTCAATACCTTTGAAACGTGAGGGCAGATGTCTAAACCAGTACAAGGAGGTTGCGACGGAACGAGCCGGTGACCATGCCGACGTAGACATTGGCGACCCGTACGACGATGATGGTCTTGTTTTCCTAGTGGAGGACGATGAAAATGAAGATGTCGCTGCTACAGAGAGGTTTCCAAAGGCTGCACGTTCATTAGGAAGACGGAAAACTGGAGGATGGGTAACCAAGTTCCAGAAAAAAGGTAAAACGTGATACATTAACGAATTCAAGTTGTGACAGAACGTGTTATATACATTGGGGCGCCAAACTCCGACGCGCAAGCTATGGCATCAACTCATCCTAATAAAGGTTGCTTTTGTATTGTTAGCGGAATCCCGTGGTGGATGGATGTGCATGAGTTGAACCGTATCATGGAAGACATGGGAGGGACAGTCGCATTTTCGAAGATCTTAAGTGACCCAGCTAATGGCGCGTCACTTGGTACAGCCGTAGTTGAATTCGTGGATTGTAATGGTTGTTCCACATTTAGGACAGCTAAGACACAATTCACCGCAATTCAAATGGCAGATGATATATTCAATGTTATACAAGCTTCTCCTTTATATAGGGAAGGGATATTCAAGCGTGGCATGCTTGAAAGAATCGCAGCACATCTAGGACTATCCCTTAGGAAAAGTGCGGCAGAGGGCGTCACGTCAGATTTATACCACGAAATAGAATTCGAGGTACAACAACAAGAAATGATACGTAATGGCGCCTTCCAAGTTTCATGCAGGGCATTCCCATGGTTCAACTTAAATCTGCTCAAATTCATAGGGCGGGCTCAGAGAATGGAACGACGAAACCCAGAGAGTAAGCACAATATCGCAAACCATTTGGACGCATACAAACATAAACAAGAAACCACTGGAGATCGTTACATCATGACTATGCCGCCTCCTGCGCAACTCCCTACCAAGAACACCGGAGAATTAGTAACCCTGCATTCCCCTCGCGTGATAAAAGTGTCGAATCAACAATGTGCACAAAAGGAAAATAAGCGTTCTAGTAATAGAGAATCTGAGGATAGAAAACACAGACACACGGACAAAACACGTTCGAGCTCTACGTCGCGAAAGGACAGGGTTGGAGAAACTAGTAAACGAGGGTGGTCACCAAACTATCGAGAAAAAAGGCGACATGCCTCATCTAGAACGACTGATCGTAACTCGACGCACCACAGGGATGAGAAACGTAGACGATGATCTGTAAATCGCGTTATAGACAAGGCAACTTGGGATGAGGCCGACTCCTTCATGACACGCAACTCATGTATATATTACACTAATTTTAACGTGTGCTTCGTTGAATTCTGCTGCATGGTTATTGCACACCGTTCTGCGAATTACAGTGATGATCATAACGCGACCTTTCTCAGGTATGCATTAGATGATTAACGGGCGTATCATGCCATAGGCAGGCATCGGAGTGCGACGCATATCGCGATCACGGCCTTGCAATAGCTTTCTCTCTGGAGAAGCGATCTGTTTTGAACCGATGGCTTGAAGATTTTAAGGAACTATAATGAAGCAAGTCCCTTTAGCACTTTACAAAGATTTGAAGCCACCTTGACGTTTGGCGATCTTGCTTTCCTGTTGCAGCTTATCTAGCGCATCCAAAAGCTGCCGACGTTCAAGATACTCTCCCCTAAGCTTAAACTGGGATTTACAGCGGTCATATATCGCGTCCACAGTCGCAAAAGCTTCAGATGTAGTAATGAACCCGATGGCCGATAATATTTCATCACACAAGGCCTCTGTGCGCTTGGCGGCAGCTGAGGTAAGACCAGTTGCGAGCTGGTCGAAGTCTATCTTCCCCGTTATTGGGTCAATAAGCGACTGGAAGGTAGTAGCCTTCATCAACCTGGCAGCCTCGCGCGCATCCGACGGTGTAACCTTGGGGGAAAGTTTCATCTTAGCTAGGGCTTGACTAAGACGAATAAGTCCTTCAAGTTGACGAGCACTGGCACACGGTAATTTAGACGGATAACCCTCGGTTACACGAACCTTAAGGTACTCGGAAACGATAATTTTCCGACTCTCCGCCGTCAAATACGGATTGCAGTTCGCTCTTGCGAAAGAAATATAACGTGACAGAGTAAGAGAATCGATAGGAGGGTTCTCATCATCTGTTCCTGCGAATGAGTTGCACAGGCGCTTCGCAATAGTCTTGTCCATGTTAGGCTCTATGCAATCCAAAACGAGATATATAAGGTCAAATCTGCTGAACAGAGATGGCGTTAAATTTATGTTCTCTACCACGGCTTTGCGCTTGTCATAACGCGAGTTAATGGGATTCGCTGAAGCCAATATAGCTGTTCTGGCGTTCAACGTTGCCACTATACCAGCCTTGGCGATGGTCACCGTTTGTTGCTCCATTACCTCGTGCAAAATAGCCTTGGCAAAATCATCCATTTTGTCAAACTCATCAATACAACATATTCCACCGTCAGATAGTACAACGGCACCGCTCTCAAGCACATACTCATGCGTCTCTACATCTTTGCGAACGTAAGCTGTTAGACCTACTTGACTACTGCCCTTTCCACTGGTGTAGACTCCGCGTGGAGCAAGCATGTGGACATATTTTAATAGTTGCGACTTAGACGTCGATGGGTCCCCGCAGAGAAGTACATTAATCTGCGATCTCATACGCGAAGATAAGTCAACGCTGGCTCCAAATAGCTGACACAACAACCCACGCTTCACATCATCGTGACCTTGGATAGATGGTGCAAACGACTTTACTAGCAAGTCATAAATATTGGGACATTTGGAGAGCCGCATAATCTCCTTCACAATATCTTGTGAGTAATTCAAAGGAGTTTTTTCCAACGAGGGGTAAGCTTTTGGTACAGATGACATCCGGTTCTTAGAAGATTCCTCCAATCGAATATGTAACGCATTTATGAATGTGCGATAAATGGCGTTGCACGTTCTCATTCTAGGGTTCACACGAACCGCAGATGTTTTAAATATACCTGTTATTTCAACTTTGTCACCAGGCATTGCAGAATCGATCAAATCATCATAAGCGTAAACTATGACCGACTGTGGCGCCTCCGAAGCGGATTGTGGTAATTCGATCAACTTTACTAACTGCTTACTGGCGAAACAACACATGTTGTGCCACAATTCAAAACAGTTTCGATTCTTGCACTTGGAACAAGACATAGGTTCATTCACTTCACCCTGGATTACATATTCGTACATCTCTTGCGTGCATTTCTCTAAAGCGTTGATTCCAGTTTTCATTTGACCCGAACATCTGAAGGCTGCCATTGTCATTTCCGGTGTTATATCTGAACAACGTACGACGATACCCTTCAGAGACACAAGCGTGTCAATATCTCTGGGGCCTAGGGTGGAAGTGTAATCCACATCCGGTTTGCCAAATAGACGAACCCTTGGACTCAAATGCATCTGTTTATGATCAACAACGACACCCGTTTCGCCGAAGTATTCCGATATCGATTCCTCGAAAAGACGCTGTACCACTCTATCAAGCTCGCTAACACAGTCAGCTGGGTATTTAATGAGCAACGTATACAATACGCAGTCAAACGCCTTAATGTGACACAAATTTACTTCATAGCGACGCATCGCTGTAGATGAATTGTTGCCAGATTCAGCCATATTGGATACAAATTGCCCGTCTATGTATGACAACATTTTCAACGCATAATATACAGATGTCCATCGAGATACAAACTTTTCACGCCTGTCTAGTAATTCATAGTCCTCGTCTGTAGGCGAAATTACACCGATGAAATCTTCTATTCGGAATTCCCGTAAAAAGGTATTGAATCGAGTCTGTACTTCGTCAATGCGGGCGTCTAATATGTATGGTAAACGACGAATCTCATCCGGGTGCATGAACAATTCCCGGCCCATGTCACCTATATCGCTACGAGCAGCGCGTATTCTCCGCAGTACGTTGGGAGTTTTTCCATACTGAGTATACTGGGTAGGACCCCTCGTAGCGGTAAAACGCTCGGACTCGTCCAGTGTCAAGCGACGGCGCATGGAAATAGCACCTCTATCCAAGCTCCTGCCGCTAGGATCTGACGTCGTCATGGGACGCGGCATTGGGGTTTCATTAACCGATGCTGAATCCATTCTACCCATATGTAAGTGAAACAAAGAAAAAATTGCGCACAATGAAATCCTCAGTCATTAAATCCTGATGCGTGAAAAACGCAGAAAAATAACTTTTACATTTGTTTTAAAAACATGTAACATTCAGATGCTGTTTGGAAAGAGATTCGATCACAGGAAGCAGGACTTTATCAAAAAGATGGCCGAGCTAGACAGTTGGTGAAACACACGCTATATAGCTTTAATAATAAAATATTAATAAATGGAGTCAAAGTAATCACATGGGTTGAATTTTTAAATAGTTTAAAGACTATTATACGGTGGAATCCCGAGTGCCCATACCACCGCTGAATATACATCGGCTATGGGGAAAGAACTGAGCAAGTAGACGTGCGACGAAATGTCTGCACGTAGCTCTAACGAATGGACACCATAGAAGATGTATGTGTAATCATATGGACATGTTATATAGCATTTTGCCTCTCACAAACGTTGCCCTGCTGGGAAATGTAGAGTGCCGTCACGTAGAACTAGTGTGTGTCATCAACGAATCAAAAAAACTTAACATGGTATATAATGATTTTATAATGACGTGAATAGTTCGGGTGTATTGCATGGATTTCGCGACATGATCCACCCAAAGCTTCATGCCTTGAGGGAGGAGCATAATGTTGTGCATATTCAAAGTGTACCGCGCCTGTATCCATCTCTGTCATGATATATACGAGAAATAAGGCGGGGGTCGCTCTCCGGAGGGTAATTTGTGGGTATCATACGTTTAATGAACCATCCTGTAATCGCAGGGTTCCCGAAGCAATACCAAACGACAGAGGGTAATAAAAACATAGTACACAGATAAAAGGCGCCGTATCTCCTGTGAGCTCGTGCTCTATTACTCTCACGAGCGAATCCGTAACCCCAAAGTCCCATTTTGTCTCAGACATGAAAGTTGCTTGAGAAAGCAAAAGTACTGTTTTACCAGTTGCAAATGTACTCTGGCTTCTGCTTATTTCTCATTTGAATTATTTTTTTGACTGTGAGTTGACAGAAAGCGACCTTGTGCGCTGTCCTAGGGACCTGTTCGTGCGTGGTTGTGGGCGCGGGAGACTTGTGGACCACTTACACATCTCTAAAAAATCTTCTTGAATTAATAAGGAAAGACACTACTGTTTATTTTTTTGTAGTAGAAGTTCACTGTTAAACATAACATTTGATTACAATACCTACATGTGCTAATACTTGTCACGGTGCACGGCTTTGGCGATATAAAACATATTGCAATAACACGTCATTGGTATTGCGATAGAGCATTGGTTCTCAAATAAGTAATGAGGGCAACTATAACCTGAATCATGAATAACGGTGGGCGTCCAGCATCCGAAAATATCTTTAGTGAGGACGTAAAAGACCCTTCACTTTTCGTGATTCACTCCTCAGACGAAGACAATGAGGATGAAGAAGCGATCGAACAGACAATTCGGACGCCTCATAAGGTTGATTTAAGGGGACGAAGAGTAAATGACACCAACGATATTATTAGTGACAAGATAATCCGCCAAACCAGATTGGACGACGAGCTCTATGATCAAAAATTAAAGACCAATAGTATACTTACCGAAATCAACAAGATTTTTGATCACGCAATTACTGTTCCATTTGCTCATGATGTTAAAGAATACAGATCAAAGGAGTCGAGATACTGCTGTAACGATGCAGAAACCTTACGAAATATCGGAGTGCCATCTGCTGTTTTGCCAGCCGATCTGAAGAGTAAACAAAAGCGTGTTGATGTTACTTCATCAGGTATGACAGCAACGGGGAAACGCCAACGCAAGAGGAATGTGCGATATGTCTTCGACGAAGCAATCGTATTGTCTGAACAGGAATCAGATGAAGACTACCTGCCTAGTCAAATTCCGCTATCTACACGGTTACCGCCTGTGCATAGACGTGTCTCAGCACGGATTCGTGAAAATAATGGTCTGCGTGGTAGCATGACAGATTCCGAAAGTCCCCCCGCACTTCACGGGAGTCCAATGATCTCGAATGACAAGTTTTCTCAAATTGCAAGGGCAATAGCAACAGTGAAACACAAAAACGTATCCTGCAAGTAAGTTTTTGTATTGTTAAAAACGACTGAAACTGAAGTCTGCCTTCGCATAATTTATACGTATTCAGGCACTTGAAACATACGGGCTCCAAGAGGAGTCAACCTGCAATATCGCAATGTGAGTTAATTGATCACAGTATTTCTGGGGGCAACTTAAGTAAACAACTGCGGCTTAACACCAAGGGATACCAAAAACATAAAACAGACGTTAACAAGAAAGAGGGTGACGAATATGACCCATCACGCAGTATGTGCCTTAAATTCGTAATTCTGGATGAAAACCAGACCGTGATAAAAGATAAAAGGCTTGATAAAGTCTTCGTGCGGCACGACGAAACTATAGGCAACCTTGCGGCCAAGTTTGGGAAATTGTTTAATCTAGACGAAAACAAATACAAGGATGTAACAATATACGTAGACGGGGATATCCAATCACATGATGTAACAATAGGTACGTTGAGATGAAAGTTGTCTGTTGAGCAAACATATTTGTGATGTGCACAATTACCATTCGTTTGACCTAGCCTGATATGTTGCCAGTAGAATCAATACATTCCTTCTTCCATGTCACGTTTATCTGACTGGCTGTATATGTACGATGATTTGGTGTGTATTCAATTAATGGTTGATCAGGGGACGAAATGCTTGGAATGGAGGACGGAATGCAGGTTGATGTGAAGTTTCCACCGAAAACTGTGGAAGAAAATGGCAATATGCAATATAAAAATGGTAAAAGAGCTGATGATGGCCTAACGGGCGACGCCGTTATCGCGGAAGGTGTAAAGGTGAACGTCTCCACGAATATGGAACTTTCGGCCGAACAACCACCAACACACCACGAAATTATTGAAATTGACTGACACTATAAGCTGTGTAACTGCGATAGGTCTGTCTTAGTTACTGTGGGAGACGAATGTGTAGATACGCGGCGGTAGGCAGTCTTGCCCTATAACAACGAAAGACCCATAGAAGTGAACGCAATTATCTGACAAAATGTTTTCAAAGGACGCATTGTTAAGCTCCTTGTTAGAGGAGTGTCATGACACCCTTACAAGGCTCAGGAGTGCATCATCCTTGGAAGCTGTGTTGGAAAAGCTCGATCACCTGATAGAAAAGCTATTCACAGCAAAATCACGAATATCCTGTCATTTTGACCGCCAATTACTAATAGAAAGTTCAAGAGTTGGGTGTGATTTTGGAATACATGAAGACAGATCCGTGGATAATAAAAAAAAACTTAGACTCCTCTGTCTAAATTTTATACGTACCCTTGCTGATATCGGTCACAAGAAGGGCATCGTAGGGCATATTATACCCAGGCTTTTTACCGTCCTACGATTGGAAGTTACGTTGCTGGAAGCAGCTCAAAATGGTAGCTGTCAGCTGAAAAGCGGGTCACCACCGTTCCCGGTGGCCCTGTTGGAATACGTAATTGGCATCGTGTTATACTCTGATCGCTGCGATGGTGATTTTGTCGATAGTATAATCCGTGACTATCTTGTCACCACCTCCGACTGGGTATACCACACGTATATCGCGCTCACAAACATGCTGGAGAACTTGGATACTTCGGAGCTGTGTATATATAAGAATCCTAACGTATCCGTGCCGGTTGTTTTTGAACGCTTCATGTTGGTCGTGCTGAGTTTACCAAAACCACAGCTTGCTTGCCACATAAAAAGGGCAAGAGTCGCGGATAAAATTAATGATGATAATATCGCAAATTCCAAGGTGCTAGAGGACTCTGATTCGGGCTCACAGCTCGATTACAGTGATCAGTCAGTTTATGACGACCATGAATCTGGTTATGACAGTATGACCGAGAGCGAAAGTGTGGAGGATGCAATGGAGCAAAAGACACAAACATATGACTCTGCTAAGGCATATGCCTCTTTGTGGCAGAGTATCCTATTCTCTCCATTGCCTTTGCCGGAGTGTTTGCTACCGGCCATTCTAAATCGCATGCCCTCTGATATATTGCCGTATGAGAAAAATCCCCTGATCTATTCCAACTGGCTAATGGCGCACCTAAACGGTAAGGACAGTATTTTGAGTATGCTGAGTCTTAAAAGTATTTTTGAACTCATATTGAAATACGGTTTTGGCGAGCTAGAAGAAAGACGCAATGACGTGGGTGGAAAACAGTACTTCTCAACTTTCTACGAAAGGATATATGTATACATATCTGATGACATCTTAGAGTCAAACTTTGGAACCGAGTTTCTTAAGCTCTTGAGCGTAGCGGTTCAAAGCGTAAAGTTGCCGTCGCAACTAATGGGAATGTTTATCAAGAAACTCGTTCGTACGGCCTGTTTTACCACGTGCGTGAATTCCACTACCTTGCTAATTATTGCTATCAACCTCCTCAAACTTCACAGTCACACTTGCCTAAGTTTAGTCCATCGGGACAATGTGAGGGATACAAAACGAAAGTGTGATTCAATTAGCATGGAAAACCCACCACTGTCTCGTAATAATGGAGCTCCAAATGGTGAGAATGAGTTGTACATTTGGGAAATTCCGCTACTTTTGAATCATTTTAACGAGCGAACAGCGACTATTGCCGGTACATTTTACTCAGACCTCAAGAAAAAAAGAGGTACGCTGCTGAAAGCTGAAGACATCATAGGGTGTGATAGCAGAGAACATCTGAGGCAAGAAATTACAAGGACGCGCAGAGAAGACGGAAACGCGTTCCGTAAAACGCTGCAAAAAACAACACTGTTGGCAACACAAATTTTTGCATGATGGTTTCTGGTAACGTTTATTACGTGCATTTCGTTGTCTAGATACTCTCCCAAAAGGCCTCTATTCTTGAGGATCCTCCACCGTTCTCTGTAAGGGTTCTCCTATTCTCTGAGTTACCACACCAAAAAATAGTACATAGCACGAATCCAAATTGATAAATGGGAATGAAGTCCCTGTGATACTATTCGTACGCCTTTTCGCTAAACTGCTAGTAAACGATGAAATAAAAATATGAAATATGAACGTAAACGAAACCGGCGCCGTTGAAATGTGAAGCGTCATGTATGGCTCGCAGTAGTACCGAAACAAATGTTTGTTTTACATCCGCTCCTCGCTTAAATATTACATGCCAAAAGGTTGTGAAAATGGGCTGAGCCTTGGCAACTGTCTAAGATGGCGCCAAATCGTTTAGCGCGGTTGAATGAGGAATTCAATGGGCGGCAACTTGTCAACATAAAAGCGTCATCACTGGAAAGCGCTGTGCTCTTGCGCGAGTTTGGTGTTAGGTAGACAGTACCATTCTCTGTGATAACGCAGATGATGCGTCGTGACAAATGATTCAATATATGCATTATATATGGATTAGACCTCAAATAGTGGTTGAGTTAAAACGTTAGTTATTCGTTGGCATTGCCACATTGCTACTCACAGTCGAAATATTGTGGTTCCTGTCAGCCATGTTACTGTAGGCGAGTCAGCAAGTACCCTTTTCCGTCATTTCATTTCACGGGTCACTACAGAGCCTAATAATACATGGTTAGAGAATGAGTCATGGAAGCCAACCTCATTCCATTTGGGTGCGTCTGGGAAGCGTTTTTTTATCACATCCGAGAGGAGCGAACTGGTGAAACCGTTTGTAGCTTGGTTGGCTTTCCCACAGATGAGATTTCTGTCAGTTGTTGTCCGCTTGCAAATCTAATGGCTTACCTCGGGTGGTGTATGTAATTCTGCGTTAGGAGGGAAAACAAACAAAGTGCCAATAAAATGATCTGTGACGTCTACGGAACTATTGGGCTTGTCATTAACGATGAATGTGATAGCCTTTGGCTTGACGAACTTGCAATGTAACGTTAAACCGTTCACGATTATAGTGGCAACGTCGCCGTTAATATGAGACAGAGTTAATGCTTCCAGAACATCTGAAGTGAAATGATAAAGCACAGAAAATAGTACCTTGTGGCATAATATGACGAGGTATACAGCGTTCAAATTCGATTTTCACGATGGAATCGTCGATCCCCCCGAGAACCGACTTCAAACTCACGCGTGCCTCAGTGCTTCGGAGCCAAATATCGCCCACATTATGAGCACTAAGATTGCTCATTATTTAAAAGCCGTGTGAAAACACGAGAAATAACTATCAAGCACCTCAGCGGCTACATGGCCACGGCGCTCAGCACAAGAGCGACACACACATACCCTGTGGTCAATATATATATATATATACGCTAATGAATAAAGTCGTTTGGAAATACATACTTCGACAGCAAAAATATTAGAAAGTCGATGGATGTCACACAATCCCCGGGGGATCGGCAACGGGACGTTTATGTGTCATGTCTAACAACAGTCTGCAACGCATTCAACTGAACACCGAGATTCACAAGAATCCTCCGGTAAAACAAATGTGAAACACGTTAACATGTAGCCAAGAGCATAACCGGTACAAACTACGAGAACTATCCCAACATTGAATGTCATAACAATCAACATCATAGAAAAATCCATAAAAACGACTGCGAATGCGATCGAAAACATGGCCAGCTGTTTCAAGGCGTATGGCCATGTGTTGTTCCTTGAAAGCAGTGCCATGTTGGCCATCTTTCTTAAGGCTTTCAGGAATACCGTAAACAGCGATAAGACAAAAATGAATAGCAGACTGACAAAATATTCCATCGCTGTAGTCGTTTTCCAAAAGTGGAATAGTATCACAGACTTGTAGGTATTCTCAAAATAAGCTGCCATGCCACAAGTGGACATCATTTCATGGCTCGACTCAGCCGTACCATTTTTAGAAGCACAGCAGGTAGATGTGGCTTCATTGGCTTCCTTTGGGGTGGAAAGCGAATCTCTCTGGTGCGCTTCATTGTGAACTTTCTTATACCCAGAGTGGCAATGCGAATTCTTCTGATGCCCCGTTCCCTCGCAGTCTGTAGATAACGATGTGGACTGAAGAACTGTATTCCCCATGGTAGGAAGATCCGTAACATCGCTCATACATCGCTCCTCTGTCGTACCGTGTAAAACGTTAGCTGTATCGCCATTCCCATCGTCGCACAAACTATGAGCTGAGTTATCCATTTTGGTATTAAACACATCGCTCAAATCCTGTCCCGTACCGTTAACTCCATTCTCAAAGAAACCTGATTTGGATGTGGATGCTGCAGTCTGGGAATCATCTTTGGTATCTTTATGCAGCAACGTGTCCGACGTTTCAGTGGATAACGGCCTCACTTCCGGTGCGTTCGGCTCCGGTTTATCAACTGGTGTAGCAGTAGAATAAGCACAAAGCAGAAGGCCGAGTCCGCATATGCGTAGAAGGCCTGTTGTTTTAGCGCCCATTTTAGCCATTCATGGAAAGTGTGCGCCTACTTAGAGCTCCCCCACCAACAACAAAAGTAGAGTGTGTCCGATGCTGTCTACAGACGTCCATGAGACGAAGGATGGTCAGTAAATTAAAGCAATTGGTAATCTCTCAGCTTAAGTGTCTGTGAAATATGCCGCCTTTGCGCTATGCCTCAACACACCTCATTTTTGGCCTACAAATGAAAACAAAGCGCAACAAGCGGTTGCGCCGAACCATTCCTACTATAAATAAATATCTCACGTATTGAACTGTTTATTAATGCACATAGATGTCAGTTCAACCGCAGGTAATGTAAAATCGTAGCTAGTGGCGCGCAATATACCTACACTGGACAGGGGTGACTGGATTTTTCCAGGCATTCGGAACAAAGTGTCACAGCAACACCTGGTCATTTGACCAGGTGCGTTCGGCGGGAAAATGTCGCTGGCTGAACATTTGTAGCCCTCCGCCACGGGAACACCTTGACGTGACGCACATGGGGGAGGTATCATGGGGAACGACGGCATAGGTGACCCCGGGCCGTTATTACCAATCCAACATCGGCCTCCAAATAGTAAATGCTTCTACACATTATCTAACTATGGTTAGTTGGTGGAAATGTAACTTTCGCGTAGCTAACAATGCTGCAGGCGGATCAGGGGGCGCAAGCCAACAGGAAAAGGACCTTCAGGACCTTCAAGTTCAGGGGATATGAACTGGAAAAACTCTTGGAAATGCCTATGGATAACTTCATCTCTCTCTTGAGGTCCAGGCAGAGGAGACGATTCTCCAGGGGTATGTTGCCCTCTTGCGAACGCACATATATGGGTTTGCAGGCATCAAAACGAAAACACTGACTCTCCTTAAAAAGCTAAGGGCGGCGAAGAAGGATCTAGCCTATGGCGAAAAACCGGAACCCGTGAAAACCCACCTCAGGGACACCATCATCATTCCCGAAATGATCGGATCAATTGTCGGCGTCTACAATGGCAAGCAATACATTAACGTCGAAATTAAGCCCGAAATGGTCGGGTACTACGTTGGAGAATTCTCCATTACGTACAAACCCGTCATGCACGGAAAACCCGGTATAGGAGCGACGCACTCATCGAGGTTCATTCCGCTTAAGTAGACAGGCTATCTACTAATGTATTTAGTGTTATGTTAATTAGGTGGTATCTCTGTGCGGGAAGCGTGCGGAGGAGTCTGACTCTGTAAAAGACCTCCCTTCCTACCTGGTGTTAGCTGGCCTGCGGCGATTGCAAACTGCGTCCCCCGATCGGTTTATACAGGGTGAAGCTCATCTTCTTTGTGTGTTTCGATCGTACAATCCGATTTGGGGTAACAAGTGCACAATAGACAATATCCTTCGGCTAACCGTTTGTCATCTAAGTAGTTCTGGTCTTCGTTGTTCACCTCGCCGCTTACAACCTTAGCTGTAATGAAATAACACGAAAGACTTGTGACAATCAAACTACCTGCACAAGTTGAGCAGCTACCATTACGACAGCTGTATGGAAGATCAAGCCCTGCTCTTTCTGCTGCTTCTAAAATATATTCATCTGGATCGCAGTCAACAACTCTATCACCTTCATGATTATGAAAAACACCGAAATTGGACGTACCTTCTGGAGTCACCAACTTGACGGAGTAGTGAACGACGCAAGGGCGAAGAGGTCGTGAATAACTTTCATCATATGATGTGCAAAATGGTCTCGATGGCGACAAATGGTGTGTAAAAAAAAGGTGGCGATGTGCGACGTAGCCGGTTCGATTTATTAAGGAATTCCTAGCTTGCAGGCAGACACAAAATAACAGTATTTTCCTTAAGGTACAACATGTTACCAGGACGCTCCATAGTAATAAATAGATTAACGCCATTAATTAATGCAATAAAAACGGGTGTCACGTAGTATGTGAGCAAGAGGCAACACAGAATCCTTATGTGAAAGGCGCGAATTATACGGCGCAAAAACCTCACCAAAATGAAACGTATCAGTCAAACTCAAGACTATAATTGGCTATTAAGAAGAGATGTGCGAGCAACTATTTAGGCCGGTGTGATCGATTATCTAACGACATAACGACACGGTGCCTTGTGAGTGTAAGTCATATTAAAAGAGCAATCATCAGAATTGATAAGCAGTTCGTTGTCACAATTGCAAAAAACCTCATTTAATTAATGATATTGAGGCCGTAGGCGCAAACGATGGAATCCAAAGATGTTTCGGGATTCTTCCTGCCACAAAGGAACCACCCTCAATTCATACAGAGCAGCAAAAAGATTGACATAATATGACCTCTAAGTAGTTCTGTGAAGCCCATACCCAAAAACAGAAACTACATATCATCCGAACACCTCTTTCAACTTGCTTAGAAGCACGGCGCGATCTTCCGGTGTCATTCGACTAATGACTTTCATGACTGCATCTGCACTATATTTAGAACTTCTGACAAAAGTCTTCAAATACAGATATGTGAATGTCCCCATCAAAATATGACAGTCGAAACGGTCCATCATACCTCCATGGCCAGGAATTGTATCGCTAAAATCCTTTACCTTTAGAGCCCGCTTGAAACCGGAAGCCAAGAAGCCACCAAAAGGGGCAAACAACGACGCGAACAGTGTCAAAATCATAACATGAACAAAGCAAGGCTTGTACAGTACCTCCTTAACACCAACAAAGTTGGCAGCCCAGTCAGGCAGTGTATACGTCGCCAACCTATATATACCTTCGGGCTCGCATGCATTGTTCATCCACGCAAAAGGTGTAAAATCAAAGTTATTTACAGGGCATATCATAGGTCGGAAACTTATTAATGCGGGGCTGGCCACTGCAACTACTAGTAATGTAGAGAAGAACGCCCCTATGAATCCCTCAAGTGTCTTGTTCGGGGATAGAGAAATCAAAGGGGTCCTGCCGAACATTTTGCCAAAAAAGTATGCCATCACATCGTTGCACACTATCATGGTGTGCGGGAGAACGACCCAAATCATGCCATAGTATAGATTGCCGATTGTCATCATGCTCTGTATAACCACATACAACAAGGCCATTATTATGAACGCGAAACGGAGGAACTGCTGACGTGAACGCCCCTTTTCGAGGCTTAAAATGAATTTAATAATTCCTGAAAAACATGAAATGAAAAGCAACAGATAGTGATACGAGAGTATTAATGCGCAGACACGAGCCACTTTAGTATGCATACGGGCCAAGCGTGGCAATAACCAAGGAAATGATATGCCAACCATTGTGATAATCAGGAAATACGTTTCAAGTGAGATGAATGACAACAAATCAAAGGCTTCAGTGATGACGTATATACGAACACGCTTCTTATACTTCCCAGGAACCACCGATGTCTTGGTTCCGACATCCTCCCCTATTGCCTGTTTTCTCTGCTGAATCACCTTGTCATATAAGTTCACCAACTCGTAGTAGGCCCGACCGATCAAAAACAGTATCAGTATTGAGGTATATGTGTGCCCTAAACATATTACAAAAATGAATGCCCCCGATATAAACAGGCCTAGAGCAATTCTAATCACTACCTTATTAGTCGGAATCATGTACCAACAGTTATCTCCATGTTCCGGCTTTTCCTGGTTAGAGCTGCCGCGAGAATCGCGTATGGACGACGAACGCCTAAAGACGCGCATCGTCTGAAAATGAGCGTAGTACCCTCATGTCCATAAACTACATGGATAGGTAATGTAAATAACATGGTAAGCGTCGGCAAAGATACATCTTTAGAATTTTTTCATGATAATGGCGAGACGCTCTACAAGACTTCTAGGTTGACCTTCCATAGACCCCATAGATTTCATAATTAAAGGCCTGCGCACGCACATTTTTAGAAATTTATCAGTAGTAATAATTTGAAATCTGTCTATTGGTCTTTCGGCGGTGTAGTTGTGTCACGATGTGTGCTAGTATGCCGATAAAAGATGTGTAGTTGGACAAACAAAAAAGTAATGCACACTAGAGTATATGAAGAAGTTGAGGTAAATCAAACATTCAACAACGACAAATAAATATGAGTATTGTTGTACAAAGCTCCCATGCGACGAAATGACGTCAACGGGGTTTCTGTGGCGTGTGTATGGCAATAACTAACCATATCGAGTTAACTTCTGCCCGCGTAAATAAAAATCCTCGTAACATTGGTGTTTTTTATAGTGATAGGTTGTTAAATTGCTTTACACAATAACTATTTCAGATCGTAAACGGTAGTTATTGTAGTGACGCATGAATCCTGGTTTCATACCTTCCAGTTTCCACTCTCCATTGAAGCATTTTAACTGTGCCATAGTAATATCTACGTGTCTATCGTAGTCTGATGCCCCCTGCTAGGCGGTCAGCGACCTAACCTTTCATGATCTCGTTGAACTTGTAATGTTTCAATCTTTTAATCGACACTGATTATATTTGTCATTCATATTCCAAAGATCTCGTGCAAATAATGACGCAATGCCTGGTACTTCAGCAATGAATTTAAACGATGCCAAACTTGAACCAACTTACACACTGCGCTTGACGTGATACATTACGCTGCCACAATGTTATTGACAGTAATTGTTTACCATTTGTGTATTGTGATTAGTTATTCTCAGAGGAGCAAAAAGGTAACAAATGCACAATCGCCTAAAGCTATGCAACTCCTTATAACTACAGGCGTATTTATAGAGTATAGATGCCTTGAAAAGAGTGATATGTGGCGGTATTTTAGGCAACAAAGTTATTGTCTTTGTACAATATTATCGGAACAGTAGCCTAAGAGCGTTCCTGTCACTCATTCAGCGGGTCTAAGCACAATAAGAATAAAAGCAATGAGGGGTCATTGCAGTGCGAATAAACGTAAAAATGAACGCACGTAGACGCCATCAGAGTCGAAAGCCATAAAGCTTCGAGCTAGGAGCGTTCAGATCACAAAATAGGTCTAACGACGACGGGAATCGAACCCGCAATCTTCGGTTCCGTAGACCGACGCCATATCCATTAGGCCACGCCGTCTTGCCCTCTCGACGGTAAGTTCCATTCAGGTTTCGCTGCAATAAATATTTCTATCATTTCTGCGCTAATAGAGAGATGCTAAAACACTGGACTCATATATTTGTCACACAGGTACATGTGTGATGAGCTATTACTCATGGGTTAAAACTGTTCAGAATTTTACAATACCTATTGCTTTGGACGAATGATTCAATATCTGTTTCTGCTCGTGGCACTAGTATTTCGGTACGTTAATCGATTGCTGGGCAAAATGATTGGCAGCTGTAAACTATGGCTTTCTTGACAATGCATTTTGGCGGAATGAACAATTTGTAACGCATGTTTTTGAATAATCCCACTATATGTTTGTCGAGAAACACACTCGTGATCGACAGTGATGACGGTATTTGGCGACCGATACATTGTGTTTCGTCTTATTACCATGCTTGTGAAAATGAGGAAATATTTTTCAAATGACTGGCACAGATATTGGCAACTGATGCAGATTGTCTTTACATCATTGTTTCACCTGATCGTTAACATAGTTTGTCAAGGCTTTCATTCCCAAAATTCATTCACACATCCCATGTCAACATTGACGAGCTATCTAACGCCATGATATTAATACTTTTCCATTGTAAATATATGTAAATGCTATATATTATAATGCCGGTTGATTATCGCTCTTCATACCAATATTAAATTCAGATATACGATTGTATCACTGCAACTTTATACGCCTAAACCGTCACCACCTGGACGTTAGATTAGAATCGTGGAACGTAAAATATACATTATCACCCGATACAACATAAACAGCTTATACGGGGATCATTTGTGATGTCGAGATTCGATAAATATGCGTGTATGATCTGTTAGTATTTTTACATTGCTGGTTTTGGTTTATATTCGGTGACCGATAAGTTATTCAGCTACACTGTTTCCCACATAAGTTGTTTTGTTATGAACCATGGATACACAGAGCACAATGTAGACACTTCTACCATCTTTCAATGTGGTACTACCGAATGAACGGACATTCATACATATGCGTGACTAAAAAATTAAAATCG